CCCCTCCCCCCGTGTTCGTGCAAGCCTTGGGAGACATGCAACATTGACAGATACATGGGTATCTCTGGAAGACAAAGCAGCTGATTCGTGTGTTTTGAGCAGAAAGAAAGATATCTTCAGAAAACACCCACCAGAACAACATATTGTTCTCGCACCGATTTGCCTATAGATAGTGTTCAAACTACACTATTTGAAATCAAAGGAAATTCGCTTTCCTCTTTCTAGTCGCATCTCGCGAATATTTTGTCTCGTGAAATAAACTGAAAAAAAAAAGAGCGAGTTCAACTACTTTGTCGTCGGACGGAATCAGTCTTACAAGGATTTTTCTACATTCCTTCCCGGAGAAACAAAGCAAGCAAGCAGGCGGCTGTGACTTTCAATAGTTATGGCGGCTCCTACTCAGATTGCTTGTAAGTTTGTTCCGACTGAAAAGCTGCGAAGAAGCGAGGCCGCTGACTAGTGTTATAGTTCGTACCCTGAAGGGAATTGGTCTCTTGGACGCCTCGCCCTTATACCAGCCCGTGCCAGAATTTGAGAGGTATGTAGCTTATTTACGATATCGTCAGTGGAGAGAGATGTAAGAATCTAATTGAGAATAGACCGGAAGGAAATCTTCGTTGCAGCGCCTATTCACCTTGCGGACGGTATTTCGCATGGGCTTCTCCGGAACGGTATGCTTTTCTTTTACCCGTCTACGTGTCTTTACGTGTCAAAACTTATGTCGGTCGTCCATCTAACATCTTACTAGCGTCACCATCATAGATCCTTCCGTTGGCCACGTCATCACCACCCTACCCGCCGACAATGTCTTCGAATTGGGCTTTTCTCCACTCGGCACGTACGTGATCACTTGGCAACGGCCGTCGAAAGACGAGAATGGCGATGCTGTCAAAAATCTAAAGGTGTGGAGCGTCGAGGCACAAGCGAGAGAGGGAGGAGTTGGCGAGAACGCAGTGGTGGGTCGTTTCGTCCAGAAATCGCAAACCAGTTGGAACTTGCAATACACGTCTGATGAGCGCTACTGCGCTCGGGTTGTGACCAACGAGGTTCAATTTTATAAGACCCATGATCTGTCCAACGTGTGGAATAAGCTCCGCGTGGAGGGAGTCTCAGATTTTGCCCTGTCTCCCGGAAAGAGCCAGGCAATTGCCGTCTTTGTGCCTGAGCGCAAGGTTAGTAGTCATTCAACTTGTGATGGTGGCGTGTGCAATTCTCAGTCCTAACAAATGAAATAGGGACAACCGGCATCAGTCAAGGTTTTTGTGGTTCCGCAGTTTAACAGCCCGGTCTCACAGAAGACCTTTTTCAAGGGCGACAAAGTCCAGCTCAAATGGAACAACTCTGGCACATCTATCATCGTCTTGGCGCAAACCGACGTTGACAGGTCTGGCAAGAGTTACTATGGCGAGACGACCCTTTACTTGTTGAGTGCAAGTGGGGCTTTTGATTCTAGAATCGATCTCGGTATGTACGAACAGGAGAGAGGAGGATTTTTCCATGGCTAACTTGTATTGTAGACAGAGAAGGTCCCATTCATGACGTGACGTGGTCCCCCAACTCGAAGGAATTCGGAGTTGTCTATGGCTACATACCAGCCAAGACCACTATTTTCAATTACCGGGGTGTTGCAACCCATAGCTATCCTTTGGCGCCGCGAAATACGATTGTCTTTTCGCCACATGGCCGCTTTGTGGTTGTCGCGGGATTCGGCAACTTGGCGGGCCAAATGGATATTTATGACCTTGAAAAAGGGCATCAAAAAATCACCACCATCGAAGGCTCTAACGCCACCGTTTGCGAGTGGGCGCCCGATGGAAAACACATTCTCACCGCCACTACTAGCCCTAGGCTGCGAGTCGATAACGGCGTGCGTATCTGGCATGTTAGCGGCGCTCTTCAGTACAACGAGGACATGCACGAACTTTACCAGGTGTGCTGGCGACCACAAGGATCCGTGGAAAGCCCATTAGGGGATCCTTTCCACCCTCTCCCTACACCTCATGCCTCTGCATTGGACTACCTTGCCAAAAGGAAGACTCCTTCAAAACCGGTTGGGGCCTACCGACCACCCGGCGCTCGTGGACAGACAACGTCTCTCGCATTTAAACGAGAGGATGAAGGTGGAGCTGCCTTCAGCAGAGACGGGGGTTCCTCTTTCGGAGCCGCGCCCGTCAATGGCTTTGGCAAGCCACGGAGACGTGATATTCCCGGTGCGGAACCAGCCGAATATGTACCGCCAGGCGCAGCTCCCGGTGGTGGAGTTGCTCTACCTCCGGGAGCCGAAGTGGCGGACGAGAAGCTTTCCAAGTCAGCGGCAAAGAATAAGAAGAAACGAGAAGCCAAGAAAGCCAAGGAGATTGCGGAGAAAGAGGGAGGAAATCCAGAACTTGCTCCGCCCGCCAACGGTTCCCAGCATTTGACTCCAAGCCCCGATCGCCGCGAGAGAGGAGGACAGCCGCAACATCGCTCGAAGAGTCGGAATCGCAACCGAGCCGAAAGCAATGCTAAACCTCAAGCAAATGGCGCAGCAGCAGCAAGCAAAGCAAAACAGCAACAGCAGGCTCCTGCTCCAGCTCCAGCCCCGGCTGTAGCAGTGGTAGCACCAGAATCGCCCATCAACAACACAACGCAAGACAAGCGAATCCGCGGACTGTTGAAAAAGTTGCGTGCCATAGACGAGCTGAAAATGCGGTTAGCGTCTGGTGAGAAATTGGAGGATACACAAATGAAGAAGATCCAAACTGAGGAGTCGGTTCGGAAAGAGTTGGATGGGTTGGATTATTCTGGATAAGCTAACTCAAAATGATTGAATAAAACAAACCCCCTGATGAAAGAACAAATGGAAAAAATGGGAAAACGTGGAATGGAAAAAAAAAAGAACTTGTATAGCTGGAAGTAGATAGAACGCATTTAGAAAAGAGAAAATCAAATGTTATAACTATTCATGATTTACCTACATAAACGTACCAACCTCTATGAATAGCTGTCACAGATCTATGAATGATGCCTATTTAGCTATCTACATACTAACTAATCTACAAAAATCTTACTTGGTACACTAAAATGTCCCATTCATCAGGAAACAGATCCCACAAAACTCATTGTCTGCTCCCTTGCCTCCATCCAAGCTTTCCAAATATAACCTCGAGACTCTTCACCGCGAACATAGTCAAGTTCATCCACGACCTTGATTCCCTCAATAACTATCCCCAAAGGGTCCACCTGTCTGATGTGGGTATATGTATGTAGAACATAAGACCAGACAAAGAAAACCCCCCAAAATAGCATGGGAAAAGAAGGCATATAGCAGATAGAGATTGAATATGTTCTGGATGCAGCGAAGAAAACCGAGTTTGGGGGCTGGAAGAGGGAGGGAAGAGACGTTTCATGGGATGTGATTGCAATGGGTTCTTTGGTTTCCAATGGAAATATAATTGATGTATCGCGTCGAATACAGAGCTTATTCCCTTTTTTTTTGGAAGAAAAGGGAATTTCAAGGCATGAATCTCGCCTTGCACTCCACCTTGCGTCGCGAAATGAACTCTTGTCGAATGGCAGACGATGAAACGTTTCAGTGGGTAAAGATGAAATGGCGGAAAATGCGTTTCAAGGAAGAATCGAGAGAAATTGTTAGATTCATTAAAATCGTAATTAATAAAATCGAAATTTTATGCTGGGCGTAGCTAGCTAAGAAAATATGCGCGCTCGCTTGATAGGACTTCTGAAGCCGTTGGGTTGAAGAGCCCCAGACATGTTAGTCAACACGCGATCCATGCCGTCGACATCAAGCTGCCCTTGGCTGAGCATGAGTTGATCGTTTTCGGCACTTGACTGTAAATTTATGGATACGTGCGGTTCTGGCTTTGCTGTCACGGTGGAAAGCTTTGAGAGGTCACGACCAAGAATGATTAAGCGATGTTCAGCAACGATAAGTATTTCGTAGTCTTTTTGGTCATCACTATCATTTTCTGTGCGAAATGGTGACGGCAGATGGGCAATGCCATTTATTCTTTCGCCCAACAAGTTGATGTTCCCTAGAGGAGAGACACGGCAGCGATTAGAAGCATCGAACGTTCCAGAAGCTTTCACGGAATTTCTCCATAATGACAATAGGCTTGGGATTGTTGCAATTTGGTTACCGTGGCGAATCAGGATCGATTCGTCGGCTAAAGCAGCTCTTGATGAATTAACCTGAACGACAGCGATCTCACCTTCAAAAGAAGGCGCAGCTAAGGGCTGAGCACCCTTAAACAACGTGTCTTCTCGCACTCGCCTAGACGAAGGCGTCATAGGGGCAAACTTGCCTCGTTGCTCAGATGAGTCACTGCTTGTAGTTGGGGATTTGTTCGGTTGCGAGCCACCGATAATACGACCGCTAACGGAGTATGTTGTTAAAGAGCCCCCAGTCACGCCGTGTACACTGGACTGGCCGATAAGAGGCCCCGGCTCGGCCCCAGGACCTGCTCCTTCAATATCCCAAACACCCCATTCACCATCGGCAAGGAGCACCATGACAGCTTTTCCAGACAGGACCCAGGCAGCATCGATAATCATCTTCCTTCGAACCAAAGCACTTGGTGATTGTTGAAATCCAGGATATAGTGTGAGCAACCATTTTCCCTCTCGCTCGGATGTCTCGTTGGCGCTGGGATTTTTGCTTCCTTTCGAGGATGCAGAGCATGCGAGTATTTTCACATAGCCGTCCGGAAACGACACTAAGAGGTGGGTGTGACGAGCCGAAGGGTACGGAGAAGGATTGAAGGAGATATTCGATGCTGGGGCAGGAAGACTAAGCTTTTGCGGTGATTGTACGTCTTTTGTCGGTAGTGTGAAGGAGCCATCAGTAGATTGTCCGATAGGAACACGGTACACCAGTAATGTCCCAGACGCTTCGGCTGCATGAGTGGCGACCAGCAAGTTCCACTGTGCCGCTGCCTTGATCGTAGGCTGCGAAGATTTCTGTCGTGACCTGCTTCGGCCGAGGTCTTCATTTTTGTCGCCGCTTTCACTGGTGAAGGTAATAGAGACGCCCTTGGGTATTTCGTTGTGTGATATAGTAGCGTTTAGGGTTAATGTCTTGATATTTAGATCAGAAACCTTCGTACTTGGATGTGGAGGCGCAAGTGGCAAAGTCACGACTCTCAGTTTAGAGTCCGCACACACTACCGATATGACAATCGAAGTTGTAAGGATTGGAGGCACAGTATAACCCAAAAAACGAGCTTTCTCTGGCAGTAGAGACGGCATAGCTAGTTCAAGAACTCTTGTACCAAGAGGAATATCCACGTGTCGAAGAATAGGTTCATACGGATGTGACGGGTCAAGCTCAGTATCCTCGTCCTCAAATATTTCGAATTCCGCGTTATTCTGGATGCTGGACGTGGCTGGCGCAGGCTCCTCGTCATCTGAATCGATAATCATAATCGAATCGTCATCATTCTGCGCCTTGCTGGAGTTGTTCGTCTGATGCACGCCATGTAGATTCTTCTGTCTGGGAGAAGAGAGGAATGATCTGCCCCCTCTCCAAACTATCCTTATGCCATTGTCGTGGCCGTAGACGATGATTGTCGAGCCGTTCGGGGCGAGCACTGGATAGGGCCTGGCTGCGAAGACTCGGTGAGGAAGAGTATAGCTGTAGTCATATTAATGCCAGACCATCTTTTGGGCGGCAAAGACATACCTGAGCTGTATTCCATCATCCCTCCTCCGCACTATAGGCGTCTTGGAGGAGCTGGACATGATGGCGGCGGGTGACGGTTTTCTCGAGGGAAGACTCAAAGCATTGCCTTTTTTATATATATATCGGCGTGTAAAGCAGCAAGGAATCAAAACCAAATTCCAACTCAGAATAAAGCCCCGGTACTAGGATGTGTGATGCAAGTTGGTCAGAGGCTTGAGTGCGCGGGAGAGCAGACGAGAAGAGGTTTGGAGAAAAGAGCTCGGCGGGAAGTCGCGTCCGCCGTCACGTCCTTCCTCCGCAGCTAGCCCGACAACACATAAATATGAGCCTTCACCAGGGTCTGGCACCACCAACGCATCTCCAAATACACTCCTCGGCTGGATGGAAATGAAACCTTCCATATGGAGTCCGTTTCTCTCGATCTGATCTACGGAATACTCTCACAGCCTTGCCCGTAATGGCATCAGTGCGCTCACTTGGGCTTCACGATCCCCCCGCATTGCCTTTTCTCGTCCACGAAGCCCTTCTCCCGATAGAGCCCTCAGACGAAGACTACAAATGGTGCACCCAAGGGCCAGAGTCAGATGACGATATTATATACACCAAAAATTGCGCTGTTTGGTCCCGCGGCGGCGTGGTGAAGCGCGTTTTTAAGATTGAAATCGAAAAAGAGGAAATTCACCATGTTGTTCTCACAAGCTTTCCTTCGGTATGTGCTGAAGCGCAGTCCGATGGGACGGCGGATATACACTCTGCCAGCCGTCTGCAGACAGACAGTCAAGGTGATACGACAAAGGTGATTGTGGCTCCCATCGACCGAGGGTCTACCAAAGGACGTATGTACCCATACAGAGATCCTTCAAAAGCCCTTGTAGTTGTTCTCAAGACGCAAGCACACATATTCTTTCTTGCTGGAAACACACATGTCGTACCTTTGCCATTCGAGGTGGATTCTGTGTTTGCTTCTCCTCGAGGGTTGATATTCCAGAGACGACTTCCGGACGAAACTCCGACGCCTTTTCCTGAAGCACCCCCCAATTCCTTCATGTCATACCAGACCCATTCAGAACATCGACAAAGCCATATCTTCAGATCTTCAAGGGGTCGAGAGAAACGGGCTTCGCCCATCTTGGGCCTAGCGCAGCCATCCCGGCTACCGCAAAAAAGGTCTGACGACCTGGATATGCCGCGGACATTCTCCTTGAGCGACCCTCATTCGGAAATGGGTCATGTTGTCGCGAATCAATCTACACATGCTACACATCACACTCAAGATTCCTGGGCATATGATAGTCTCGACCCTGCAGAAGAAATTGTTTATGTGTCAGCCGTCAACGAACTCTTAGGCGACAGCCCCTCCGTTAAAGAATCCCCTTTGGTCCTTGTTGTTACAATAAATGCAGTTACCAGACTTTACACAATCTGGACAGCAAAATTTCGAGGCGAAACTAGTGGACAAGAATCTAGAAAACGGAAGAAGCCGCTTCCCAGTGGAGCACGCTCAAAAAGACGAAGTTCACATTATGGGATGACGACAGGTACTACGACTCCTGTCGTTCGCCCTTCTGGCTTGAGAGAAAGCATTGGGGCAAGTCGAAGCCTACCCGGGGCTTCATTTTCTCAAAGTTTCCAGGCAGAGGAGCCTCTAGAACAAGCAGACTTTGCGTCTCAGATGGGACAGGAATTTGAAGACATTGGTGTTCCGTCAAAAACGTCACGCCGGGTAAGTTCATTGCTTGCTAGAACAGAACTTGGGGCTAGCCAAGATAGAATGACTTTCTCGGACCTTGCCACGGGAAATCAAGGAAACACAGCAAACCATGGTAGCCTACGACAGTCAATCGGCGCCTACAGTACCCGTGCTAGCTTTGGTGGTCGTAATTTGAGAAACTCATTCGCAGGAAACGCTTCAGTTTACAGTACCACCAGCAGCTTCTTGGATGCTCCTGTTGACCGCCTTCTAGAAGAATTGAACAATGGCGGTGACTTTGAAGGATTCGGGAGCATGGACCTAACAGGCCCTATGTCTGGTCTGCACAAAGAAATGATGCTTCGTAAAGTCGAAAGCTTCTCGTCAGGCTTGTCAAGTGGCAGTTTTTCTTTCACTGAGTTGAAGCAAAGTCGCTCCAAACCTAAAGCATTTACCCTGCGACCTACTGAAAGTGTACATCAAGAAACATCCAGCTCGTCGCCTATTGCTCTCTGTCTGCTTGACGAGACTTCCAGGTGTCTGGTAGTTGTCAATCTCAGCATACAGAATGTGAGCCTGTCCAGCAGGGACAGAGCGGCTTCTCGAAAGCACGGGAAATCGGAGAATTCCAATGGGAAGACTACGATTGTTCAGGCCATAGGTATACACCATGCCCCAAATGTGATGGATGTTTGTAAGGTTGTAGACGGTGAAGTCTCACGAATATTGACTCTCAAGTCTACTATGGATGGCAAAGGCGAGTTATCCTTGCAATCTCCATGGGGTCCTTCCACAAAAATCGAACTTCCACCCAAGCTTTTACTGCATCAGCCCCAACGGTACTCGGCTGTTCAGAATCGAGCACAAGATGCAGGCATGAAGAGAGTTATTGGTGATCAAAATTTGAACCTTACTGCCTTCGGGCATTCTTCTGCTCATGGTCAAGTAGATATTATTGACTCTGAGAAGAGGCGTCACCGTATCGAAATCCAACTCCAGCCAAAAAATCCCCTTGTAAAGAAGGTGCTGGCTGTGTGCCGATTCGTTCTTCGAGACGCAATCCGAGCGGCTGATGGATTATACACAGCTTGGTGGGAAGTACTGCGGTGGCTCATCTCCGGGGGAGTAGATGAGAATGACCTCGAATGGACTGCACTTGTCGTCGTACTTTTTACTATGGCAGTCGGATTCATCGACTCACCGCAATCTCGGACCCCGGCTGCTAAGAAGCAAAGACGCAGGGGAAACATTTTAAGGTCAAGCAGCGGTAGCTACATTGACCAAGAAAGTTGGGAATCCATGACGGAGAAGCTAGCTGGGTCATCCGGAGTTACAGCACCGTGGATGATGAGCAGCTCCTGGACATGGGTGTCCGGTCTCAGAGACGACCACAACGGCAAGCACTTTCTAACAGAGCAGCAGGCGCAGAATGGTCAATCGAAGAACTCCTATTTGCTTCGATGTGTCAGCCTCGCACGTGATTTCTTTGACAGCCCTCAGGGTGAAGCTGCCTCCGGTTCTGAAGGATATCTGCCAACTGCACTGTGCCAGAGTCAGACCACACGGCGTAGCGCACTGTGTAGTATTCTTGTTGGTCTACATCTGCTACGTGAAGAACAAAAACTTTCAATATGCGACAGCGAAAGCTCTTATCATGAAATAGGCATGCTAGCACCAATACTAGCCCAGATCGGTGGATGGGTGGGGTGGAAGTCATGGACCTGGAAGGAAGACAGTTATTATGGAACAGAGATGGCGACAGTGAGCGGCTGGGCCTTCGAAGACAGTCAAATATCTGGATTGGAGTTGCCATCAGAGCCTTTTGCACCTCCTTCAATCTTTGGTCATCTTCAGAGCTCCGTCTTATCTCAAACTGCGAATAATTTTGCTACGCTCCTTGATATCTTGACGAATGTGGATCGCGCATCTGATAAAATTGCTCTTAGAAATGAGGTTATGAGCCTGACACCGAGGACTTTGGCACTCAATGGGTTCATGTCAGAAGTACATGAAATGTCGAGCCCGGCCGACAAAGTTAAACTCTTGCTTCGCTGGGGCTTGACAACCAGTGTGATTGAAAGCTTGCCAGAGGGTGTGAATGCACCTTTATTCGAGCTAATAGTCCGTTGCCAAATAGAACCACCAACGTCTTGTACTGCTGCCCTGATAGGACTTATTGACAGGGATGATCTTTACATGTCCATGAAAACTGAAACTATTTCGCTACCATCATCTCGGCCTCAACTCGGAGCCAGCCACCTTTCAGTTCGGGATGTTCATCATATAGGAGCCTCGACCCTAGATTTCGAACTTTCCAATTCTTTTGAGGCTTCTGTTGAAGCCGATCGCATATTCATCACTAGATTGATGTTTCGCGAGGACAGGCGATTCCAAGAAGCTTCCAGGCTTCTCAACCAGTCAAAAGCGCCAGTGGCGCAATGTTTCCCTGAGCCCGAATGGTCTGACTCAGATCTCCTTGAAGCCCAGAAAGAGATTGTTCAGCTTGTGACCCTAAGAACGCTCTCAGTGCCGGCTGGTAGGGCAATGTTTATGTTTAGCGGTCGCTCACCCTTACTAACCGAGAAACTGCCGATACCATCTTTCTCTCTGCAATGCTTAATGAAACCGTCTAATGTGACTATCAGTGCGGACAGGTCTGCCTTTAACGAAGAAAAGGTATGCTGGGCTTTCTTTCACAATGGGGCCGCCACGGGGTTGGCCATATCCAAAGCCTCTAAAGGCATTGACACATCTTGGATTCTGTTTAACAAACCCCAAGAGCTCACAAACCGCCATGCCGGATTTCTGCTTGCTCTAGGTCTGAATGGCCATCTCAAGAATCTGGCAAAATGGGTGGCATTCAAATACTTAACCCCCAAGCATACAATGACATCAATTGGCCTTCTTCTGGGCCTCTCTGTTTCCTACCTAGGAACCATGGACACACTCATAACACGTCTCCTGTCGGTGCATGTTACACGGATGCTTCCCCAAGGTGCAGCCGAGCTGAACCTTTCGCCTCTTACGCAGACGGCCGGTATTATGGGAATTGGACTGCTATATTGCGATTCTCAGCATAGAAGGATGAGTGAAGTGCTCCTATCTGAAATCGAAAGCGTGGAGCAGGAAGAGGGAACTATCTCTCCTGAGACACTTCGCGATGAGGGTTACCGGCTCGCCGCTGGTTTTTCATTAGGACTGATCAACCTTGGTAAAGGCAAAGACCTTCGGGGTCTACGAGATATGCAAGTTGTCGAGCGACTTCTAACGCTGGCTATCGGCACCAAGAATGTTGACCTAGTGCACGTGTTAGACAGGGCGACCCCGGGTGCTACTGTCGCTCTCGCAATCATTTTTATGAAGACGAATGATGAACTGCTTGCTCGTAAAGTTGATATCCCAGATACGACAGTACAATTTGACTATGTCCGACCTGATCTTTTCCTTTTACGGACTCTGGCTCGACATCTCATCATGTGGGACAGCATTAAACCCAGCTCCGAATGGCTCCTAAGCAAAATCCCAAAGACTTACAGGAAGCGACATCGACTCAGTACCATCCGGCACCTTTCAAGCGATGATATGCCGTTTTTTAACATCATCGCAGGTCTCTGCTTTGCAATCGGACTACGTTATGCGGGCTCGGCTCACAGCGAAGCTAGAGACTTGCTAATACGGTATCTCGATCAGTTTAGACGGATTGTGCGACTTCCTGCTTTACATTACGATAGCAAACTAGCGCGCAATTCAGTGCGTCATTGTCAAGACATTGTGGCGATTTCAGCTGCAGCCGTTATGGCTGGCACGGGTGATTTAACCCTGTTCCGACGGCTACGCTCTCTTCATGGACGTGTTGATGCAGATACCACTTACGGAAGTCACATGGCGGCACATATGGCGATCGGCCTACTCTTCCTAGGGGGCGGATGCTACACTCTTGGTACATCTAACTTAGCAGTTGCATCGATGCTATTTGCTTTTTACCCCCTGTTCCCTACATCCGTCCTTGATAATAAATGCCACCTACAAGCGTTTCGGCACTTGTGGGTATTGGCCGCGGAGCCACGATGCCTCATCGCCAGAGACGTCGATAGTCGACGGCCTATATCTATTCCCGTATCGCTGAAGATGAAAGATGGAACCACACGAGAGGCTACTGCGCCTTGTTTGCTGCCCAATCTAGAAGAAATTGCCTCGGTCAAAGCGCATGGGAGAGATCATTGGCCGCTGGTCCTCGACTTTGACCGAAACGACGAATTGCGCGGGAAGTTCCGCCGGGGGGACCAATCCATTTATCTAAGAAGAAACACAACATACGATCCATCTGGGAACTCAGTATTTGCCTCTACGCTGTTAGGGCTGAGCGAAGCTCAAGATATTCTCACCAGCTCTGTGATAGGATCTTGGAAAAAGCCCATCCCGAATGCAGCAGCGTTGCTAGTTATGCAGGGGCAAAAAAACAAAACAACAAGACACGATGTCTGGGACTGGATTTTTTCTTTGCGTCCATTACAGAATTTAGATGTTACCGACCGATCGGCTGTTTTGCCTCCATCTGTGTTCCAGTTTCGACTACGCTATGCTGCATCCTCTCAGGGGTCAGTAGTGACCCCTTCGTGGCTTCGGTTATCCTCGGTGGATACTCGTCTCGTACTTGAAAGTACGGTTAATGAAGCAGTTGAAGAAGCTTTTGGTAATGGTGGGATGACGCGGCAGGCATTTGATGTGATCAAAGACCGGCTCTGGCAATTACGACTTCTTTTTGACTGGATAAATCGCCAAGCGGAGACAGAAAGACAGAACAAGGGTGACTCTGCAGGGCTCCAAAAGCGAGCAGCGGCCGGTGGTGGGTGGCTGAATCGTGAGGTTATTGAACAAGCACAGTGGAGGATTTGGGGTATACGAGTCGGAGACCAGCTAAGCTAATAGCCCTGTTGTACGGAGTACGGGGATCCGTAACATACAGTAGTAAGTCCCGGTCATAACGATTATATTGGATAGAACACTATGTTAAATTTACTCTCACTAAAATATAAAAAATAAGAGAACGTACAGGGCCCGTCTTCCATTAGTTTCACTGGAAATCTTCTGCACATGTAGTAAACAGGAATATTGCTGCCAGCGTTTCTGCGAAGCTGTCGAGTGAGGCCCGACATACTGATAGTGCTAACCTGATCAGGCCTAGCAGATGTCGACTGTCCAAGCCTCCAAGAAAAGACATCGAAGGTAAAATCCTGTTTGGCGATACTGGAAATCACCGCAAGTTCTCGCATTACCCCCGAGCTGAGACATAGGCAATGCATATAATGATACGGACAAGTGACCAAAATTGTACGCAGTGGTGTCTCCAATCTGCGGTGGCCTAAGTCTATACTAATCGTTTTCGTACCCAGGCATGTGGTGATAACCGATCTTTGCAGATGGCAGGGTCGCATCGCAGTGAGAATAAAGTGAATTATCATAATTGTGGCACAGTTAGCACTGGCATAGCCCGTGCAGCCTATGCACTTGTTTCTCTCAACCCGTATGCAGGATGCGACTCCAACGCCTAGTGGTGACGCGGAACAATTCGCACTCGTCTAGCTGATCAAGGAGGGGGTATTGGGAGGGCCTCAGACTTACACCGAACTGCGCGATGAGTCTTCTTGAAACCGGCCTCTATATAAAGGACCCGTCATCAGCTGTGACTTCCCCAGACTGATCTCGCCTAGATATCGCCAACATGGTCACTGAACGCATCCCCGCCGAACCTTTTCGCTGTTCTATTGTATGCTTCCTTGATGCAATTGACTACCACGATGACAACCTGACGTTGGAAGAACGCGTCCAAGGCCTCCGCTACGTCCACTCGAGAGACCACGGGATATTTCGCTGGGCCCCTTCCCAGGACCATCTTGAGATCAGTAGACCCGGTGCGCATAGCCGCCGTCACTCGCACAATCTCATTTCGTGGTCTATTGTTGGTCCAAGGTGCCTCGAGACGCGCAAGCTGACATCAGTATCTACCTGTCTATTATCAATGTGCTCGACGATGAGGCTAACTCGGACCCCGGAACACAATCATGCAGGGGAAAAGGCAGACACATCCGGTCTGGGTGCTGATGTACGCGCATCTGCCACAACTGCTGAGCAACTACGGCAGCTTCTGTGCCTTCAACATCATGCGCTGCACCTTTGATTACTTCGAAGGCTGTTAGATCGAACAGCATAATTTCCAAGGCTACCCGGGATCGACTGCTTCCCTCTGTTCCTGCGAAGGCTGAATTGCCTTGGGGGCGCAGTGGCGAACCATCCTTCCGGCCTGCGATGTTGGATGATCAGGAATACCTGAAAGAGATCGCATGCGTGATGTGGCCGGGTGAGTTTTAGTCTTGGAGCCCATGTTTTTCCGTGCCGAAGCTTTCAAATATGAGCTCCCGTCGACTGGTGATAGTTACTTAAGAGTGACAATAAAACACCAACCCTACGTGTTTTTCAGTACACTACGGCTTGGGAGTGGAGTGGAGTGGAGTTAAAGGGTTATGTTACAAATGAAAAGGTGGCAATGAATAAAATAGTCTGTGGAAGGCTAGCCCAACGCCTAGCGATTTCGTATCCATTCGTGGTCCGTAGTACCGCACGAAATACGGACACTAGTTCGGCGCCGCTCTGAAATGGTCGACAAGACCAAGACTGCCGAGCCTGGGATTAGTGAATATCGCTATTTTGACTGACTCGAGAGCCGAGAGTCGAGACAGCCGGGCGGAGGCGTGAGACAGCCATCAGTCGAGTCTAACTAGTAACTACAGACCTGATGTGCATTACAAGAGCTTCCACGTTTTTTTAGAATGGGCGGTGTGACGCGGTTACAGAGCGCGTACACCTTGCTGGGTTGTAAATTGTAGGAAGAGTTTGGCCTGCTTGGGAGTTAACCATAGAAGTAGAGCGTGAAATATCAACTTTGGGAATCGATGTATGAGGTAGTAATCATAAGACTCATCAATAACAATGACAAATGGACAAGAAAAACGGAGACTAGGAAGGTCTGTAACATTCATTGGAACAGAGTCTTGTTCAAAATAGGCGTGGCGTCGGCACACTTTCCTCCATAATCCGAACAAAAAGCTACATTAACTGACCCGTATATAACCTTGGAGAGAAGCAAGAACAAAACTGGAAAAGGCAAGTATCATATCAAGTTCATAGGACCTAGGTAGCCCAGCTGAAGAACAGACTTGGGCTATTTTCGGCTCTATCTAGATACTCCGTTGCGCTAAAGGCCCAAGGTGTACGAAAAGCTATATAGAACTACTGTTTTTAAATCGCAAAAAACAAATTGGCTACACGATTACCAATCAAAAGCTACAAATAGTCGACTTTGAAATACTTTAGGTCCTTAGGTAGTAAACCGGAGCGCATCCTTGGTTAGCGTGGTCAGATTTATATTAACAGCTCTTGACTTGTGACCAAGACCCATTTGACACCAGCTATACACTCAGCAACGAGCACATAATTTATGCTTCCCATTCCATAATCTGATATCTTAAAATCTTAAAACATTGTGTGTACGGAGTATACAATATTGCAATGACATGCCATCGTTCCATGGATCCGTTTGTCTGGGTTGCGGGCCGGCCGTGCCGCTATGGGGCCATATCTTGTATCTGATTGGTATATATTTGGCGGGTATGGGGTAATACGAAATTGGTTAGCAAACTCGAACTAAACTCCCCTAATTGCTAACTAATGCTAACTTAAGACTCTCGTTAGGGAACGAGAATGGTAGTCTAGACATTAAAGAGGCCTGTCTCCTGGGGGTTGAGACAAGACATAATTTAAATGGCAAATGTCGTACATTTTTCTACGGGTATATCCATCTGGTCTTCTTCTTGCTCGTTAAGAAGGTCTCCACCTTTCTTCTTCAACTGCTCACTGTTCGCGAAACGCATGTTTGGTGGAGACTTATTGCATTGCTGACGGCCTTGGTGCTACGGACGACGTCGGACGTATGTACTCGTCTAAGATAAGGCTCCCTCGCTAGTTAGTTAGACATATTCATGCCATGGTAGGCAAGTAATGAGGTGAATGTCCGAGCTCAGCTATCATCAGTAGGAAGTACCAAATTTCATTAATCAAAGTTTCTTTTTATTTTTTCATTTTCCAGTGGACTAAGTTCCAACTAACTAGCTAACTAGCTAGCTAACTAGTTAGTCAACTTAAGAAAGCGATGACAATGACTCAGCAGAGCATGATCATCAGCACCTTAAACTCCCCTGTCAATTAATCTTGGCAGTTGACGGATTCTCAGCTCAAGGATCCAGCCCATCTTTTCCCTCTAGGCATAAACGCCGTGAGGCTACTGCGGATCAGAGATCTCGACCCTCCTCCGTCTCTACTCTCGACCTTGTCATTTGGCATCTATTCCCTGTATCCTATCTTCCACCCTCCACCCTCCACCCCCTTCTTTCTGCTATTATCTGTTCTGCCCACACACCCCAGGCCAGTCATCTCTCCCGACACCCCGCCTTCGTGTTGTACCACCCACAGCTCATTCCTTCTGTGATCTGACCGATCAATCATATTTTTGCATGCTGCAAAATCCCAAGCCAATTGTGAATCACTTCGTCAACCACTGATCATTGTTTTGTCTCCTACCTTGCAAGAATAGCTTAGGTGGGGAGTGATGCCGAGCCGTCAGCGTAAGCAACCCGAGAATCGACGCCGGACCGGCTGTTTTCAATGCAAAGGTTGCCCTCTTTCTCTTCTCCTTTTCCTTCTCATATCACGTTTAAATAAGAAAATCAAGTGAAATAAGAAGACGTTATTTGGCAATTATGATCACTAATAAAGAAAATAGAAAAACATGTTCAATGTACCGAAGAAAAGCCCAGTTGTAGGCGCTGCGAGCGTTTAGGTCTACAATGCGTGCGCGGCATCAAGCTCCTCTTCCGCGAGGATGCAATCGAGCGGGGAATTCATTTTGGACGAGAGGGTATGTATATCAGCTGGCATTTTACTTTTCTTTTGCTGTCAACTAATTCGCTGCCATATTCAATAGGCACCTGGTCAAAGCGATGCACCCGGATCAGGAAACCACCGGTTCTCGAACTAGGCAAAGGCTTTACGGAAGTTCCAATCACTCAGTATGTCGGAAAATGGATCTGGTTGAATACAACGTATGATGATTTCACAGATGGACCAGACAAGTGGGACGAGTGTGATGAAGATGAATTATTATTATCCTCCAACAACGATAAGGCGCAATGGGCAATCTCTCAGGAGCAGAACGAACAGCAGATATACGATCTTACCCTAGGATCTCGGCCATTGGGAAACTTGCTTGGATATTATACGCGAGCTGAGGCATGTCTATTAGACTATTTCATCAATGGTATAGGACCGAATTGCTCGCTGAGTTTGTCGAACAACCCGTACATGTCGCTGATACCTTTGCTATCACATACGACGTTCCGAAATACCATCCTTACAGTGTCGGCAAAGCAACTTTGTCTGTTGGGAAACAAAGATTTTTCAAAAGAGGCTTGTATATACAAACAGAAAGCATTAACCGGTCTGAAGCAGGATGTAGAGTCAAGAAAAGTGAATTTCGGAGTAGTTGCTTCGGTTCTGATGCTTTGTTTTCACGATGTTCGTCTCCTCCTTTCATTTCCTTAACATTACAATATCACTCCCATAGTCAAAGCAAAGCTGACCGGTCAATCCATAGATATCCGACGGCTGCTCATCTTCATGGCTCACTCATCTCCGTGGTGGTCTAGATATGACCCAACTACTACCGGAGTATTCAACGCAGATGGAGTCCTTGAAACGCTTTTTCAACATGTATTTTGTTGCCCACGACATTATGAGCCGCACTGCGCGCGTTGATTGCGATGCCCCATGGGACGAGGAGACCCCCCCGCATAGGTGGCTAGATAATGACGATCTAGACGAGGTACGTAGTTATCTATGTCCTATTACTAATATTTATGGTAGATACTTACACTCAGTTTTCGCTCGACAGATTGATACAACTGTGGGTTGCTCTCGGCGTCTGATGTCACTTCTGAGCCAGACATCAGCCCTGGCTCGACAAAAGATCAAGGTGAGAGGACCACTAAAGTTGTCAACTTTTCTTGACTATGAGAGTTCGGACTAAATAGGAATGTGTATTGTTTCTATAGGCTCGCGATCATCCTCATTCGAAGCTCAAAAGCGAATTTATCAAGGAATGCGAAGACATTGGAACTGCACTCGAAAATCTAAAGCAAAATCTGCGTGCCTACTCTCCTACAGCGGACAATTTTATTTTGCAAATTGCAGAAATCAAACGTCTCACTGCACTTCTTTATTTCACAGAAAATCTTGGGGATGTATTACCACCGCCACCATCACCACCATCACCACCACCACCATCATCATCATCATCATCGTCATCATCATCATCGTCGTCGTCGTCGTCGCCACCACCGCCTCATGATTATATTTCGGCATCATATTACCCTGACTCTGCATCCACTCGTTCGTCGTCACCCTCAACATCCTCATCGTATCCTTTTCCGTCGCTCAAACAACCCACCAAACAACGTCTTGTCAGTAGTATAATCGACCTGATATCAACATTGCCAAACCCTAATACAGCATCTGTGACATGGCCACTATATATAATCGGACACAGCACAGGGCTCGAAGACGAGTTACAACGACGATTCGTCCTCGAACGACTTCGGGCGATTCAACATACCCGGAACTTGGGTAACGTGCGACAGACTAGAGTGGCTGTTGAGCGCGCTTTTCGCACGACAGACTTAGATTTGCCACCGGTATCTTCGCAGTCTCTAATAGTGAAGAGGAGAGGTAGCAGGAGCCAGGCCAAGGTTATTAGTTTGGCTTAATCCATTCTCTTATCTCCTTTGAATTTGTTGCTGTTCCTGGCTCTTACGCTTTTACTCGGCGCAGAGGCAAGATCTTATCTCGTTTATCTTTTACACTCTCTTAAAATTGTTCTCCTCTATTCATGGATACCCGAGCGCATGTGCTACATCCATCATTTGCAATGTGTTTAATGTTACTTTTCAAACTTCAAATTGATGTACAAAGGAGGCAAGCTTGTCACTATCTATTGGTCTACCGTCTTATACTAATGATTCCACTGAGAATCACCGGTCATTATTATGACAGCAAATATCAACGGACACACCTGGTGCGGACGATTACTTCTATCTACTGTTCAAGATCTAATCATGTACAATTTAATATTTATACTTTGTACTAGTACCTTTGATCTAAAGTCGACTAAGGTCCAGACCGACCAGACCCGCTGCAATGGGCCACGATCTGGCCCTCCGGAACTGGGATCCATTTATTGATATCCACAAGGCGTCCCAAATTTTGGACTCTGTAGCCGGGTCGGAGGAGCCATAAGGTCTGTTTCGTACGGACGCTCGAACAATAGAAATGCATGTAGTTAGTTATACGTACTTGCGGTATAATTACAGGCTATGAACGTTTAGCCAAGGCTCTAGAAGGCTGTAGGCCAAGGTTTGTAATCTCGTATAGAGTATAGAGATAGAATGGCGTGCGGCTGAGCAACCTGGAGAGACTAACTAGCTTGATCACAACAGGTATCGATATGCTCAAAGTGGGCTAATATTTAGTTTCGTCATGATAGTACTAGTAGACAAATACATACTCTGTAAGTAAGCGGGATAGCCTCATTCTCCACAACGTAAGAGACACAGTACGGGCTACGTTTTAAAATATGGAATATAGGCATGACAATATTCCGCACGTTATCTGAAACGACGAAGTTCCATTCTATGCCCGTAAGAACGCTCAGACTTTAGTCGCCACCTCATTCTAGGCCTGTCAATCAATGCACTAGTCACCCCGTGTATAATCCCGCAATGCCACGTAGCTATAGTGCCATAGTACTATCATACTACGAAGTTTACATGTTGGAAGATGAGTATCATCTGCATATACCATGCCCGAGCTGACACCCGAGCTGACACCCAAAACGGCAAAAATTAAAATTACCCTTTTTTAATACTTTAGATGCCTATGTTTCCAGTGATGTCGTCGTCTAATAAGAAGGTACGGTATAGGTATTTCTTGGGGTTTTGCAAATGCCTGAATTTGACCAACTAATCTTTGAAATATTAAGTGACGATCGATGCAAAAGATACATTCAATATATGCAGAACCAGAACCAGAACCAGACCCAACAATGGGGAGAGAAATCAAACAAGATAAAGCACCTGCCTCAACGGTAGGGACATGCAATGAATAATTGATAACGGGTCAATAAAGCCGTATCAATTCGTTCGTACCTAAAGTCAATAATTCCTGCCAATGCAAAGCGTGGTATGCTGTCGTATATTACCATGAAATATGTCATCATGTACTGAAATAGAAGTCGACATTATGAACGTAAGAAGTGGTAAGAATCTCGTAACGTCATTGATGTTAAAGAGAGGGGCAAAAGGGGAGAAACGCGAACTTCTTTACGTTGTATACCTGAAGCTCTGCTGCTGAAAGTCCGTCATATCAGCAAATACGGGCTCGGACAAACTGTCCACATCCGAAACATAGTTTGGATTTATCGTTGCAAGTGCAGGTAACGGTGAATTTTCAGCTTCGCGTCGAGCGTTAAGAATCGAGGCCAGTATCCAGTATACAGCCATCAGCCCGATGCAGATGCAATAGCAAATGAGCATGGTGATGAAACCGCCTGTGTATGCGGGTGCTTGATTTGCACGAAAAGTTTGCGGGCCAATTAGGTTGCCTAACCGTTGCGTAAGTATGTAAATCGTGGAAAATGTAAGCCCTATAAGGAGATAGGCGAGATCTCAAGCTGCAGGGATAATGTTGAAACGTACCCACTGCGTAGCCAATGTACATGATTGAATATTGGACATTTTTCTTCGTGTGGCCGGCTGTATTAGCCTGGCCAAGGGATATTCCTAATTAGATCAATTTAGAAAAGACTATCTTCTAGGTATGCACGAGAAACTCACCTAGAACATATGGCCCGAAGTATGTATACAGCTATTCGCGGAGATCCAATCAGTCAGCCTGACACGACGGACATATTCAACACTACGCAATGAACATACCAAATAAATACCAACCATCTGCCCACCAATATTGCTTCTCGGCAGAGTATACACTATCACGGCACCAACAGCGGGAACAAATGCCGCTACCATGGTAACCAGGCATCGACGATTGGTCCACTTTGCAGCAATCCATGAAAATAGAAAGGCTGATAATGTGGACATGACGCCAGTTGGCATGTTTAAAAGTGATGTCTGCACGGCGGTGAATCCGAGACCGTTGATAATGATTCCGCTGAATGTAATGAGACCTGGATTGAATACATGTATGTGGTTAATTCAAGTCCAACAAGTAGACATATATAATGGAGCATATTAACCTCCATTGGGTATATTGATTGCAATGTTAAAGAGGAAAATAATCCAAGTCTTAGGGTCAATGACTGCCTCGATGGCTTGTTCTCTTTTCCAAGTCTTATTAACGATTCCGGTCTTATTTTCGGCTAACCTGGTTATAATGTGGAGTTTCTCCTGGTCGTTGAGGAACCATGCATTCATTGGTGTATCTGGGAGATACAAGAAGGCGAAGATGGACCAAGCGAGGGAAATAGAGCCTAGAAATCCGAAATGAGTTACTATCTGATTTCTTCAAGTTTATATTTCTCTCCCCGTTTCCCTTTTCGTGTGCTGATAGAGCCAAGAGACCAACCAGTGATAAGAAACAGATACTGCCACTTTGCAAGGGGTGCAGTTGAAGGAATTTGGCCCACAGCCCAGGACAAAAATCCATTGATGACGGAACTAATGGCGGCAAAGACAATAGCGTTACGAGGCGGCTGTTCAACTTTTTTGTAGAAGCCTGCGATGACGAGAGAGATGGAGGGAACAATAATGCCTTCGAGGCAGCCTGGGAATAGTAACGACAATCGAGTCAGCTGAATTAGATGCGCCAACGATATCAATAAAATGGACTCCACCCTAGCTCTACTTGAGACATAACGTACCCATCAAAAACCGCAAAGTCATTAGATCCGCAAAGTCACGACAGGCTGGAATCAGTAAGGACAGCACAGACCAGCCAAAAGAACAGCCTGCCAGATATTTCGCTGAGGGTACACGCTGCAGGACATATGACGAGGGCAACATGCCAAAGATGCACTATATAATGAAGTAATTAGACACAGCTGTTGATGGTAGGGCTAGGGCTTGCTTATTCATACTAACCCCGAAATAAAGAATCGATCCAGTCCATGAGTATTGGTCACCAGAGAGGTTCAAATCTGCATTTGAGACGCCAATCAGTAGAGCAGTTTGGTATGAAAAAGCCACAAGCGAAGAAAACAATGTACCTTCTCTCAAGCCGTAGATAGCAGCCGTACTAATTGCGACTTTATCTACCGCACCTAATGTGGCGGTTAAGAGGAGCTATCAAAACCCGACAACTCAATGATGCGTCATTAGTAAGTTCAGCTTTTCTTAATAAATGCAACTAAGACATCCATGCTAGGACAAGGGTTACGTGCGCAGGTGACAGGCAACCACAGCTGCTGCTTAGGTAACTACATACATCATTTATAGCCATGTATGCACCATGCATGTCATCCGCGTTCTCAGCCTTAGGATAAATTCATGGTGTTGCAACAAAAGGAACTTAGACTTGTACGTACCATTGGAACAAGGATCCAGTCGATTCTGCGAATCAACCTTTTTTCCTCAACTGGCGACAGAGGAAGATACCTCTGTGTTGCTTGCGCAATATACTCCGCGGCTTGATCCATAGCTATCGGTGGTAATACATAGAATTGCAAGCTTAATTGACCAACCAAGTGAGGCTTTGTATGAGAGAGATGAAAGGAGAAAAAAAAAAAAGGTCGGTCAGATATGGAAATAAAAGTGAAAGAGAAAAAAAAAGTTCTTTCTCAGGAAGCCTTCAGTCAGTATATAAAGGATCCAATTTGACAGATTTATGTCTATCAGCCATCAGGCTGGAGCCAAATGGTCAATTTTCTGTACCGGACCGTCCATCCGAAGTGAAACTAAACCATCCATGCCACGAAAGCATTCTGTACCGGGACATAAGCTGAGGCACATAATCCACTCTTGCCGCTTACAATGAGTTTTTTTTCTTTGGTAATTAGCGTCTTGGTTTTAATCAATTCATAATTGGGATTAACACAATATGATTCCCCTTACCTTGCTTTGAAAACAGTTTATTAAGTCGTTACAAGTTTGCTAAAAAGTACACGATAGGGCTGAACGCTATCACTTTGCTATCCGTCTCTTTCTGTTTCTGCCTCTATTTTTCTGATAATTATTACTTTGCCTTGTATATACCAAGCAACAAAAGCATTGATTTTGATTCTATTTAAGTCCTAAACAAAGCGTACGGATTATGTTTGTAAAGTATGGACTGAAAAGTCAGGGGAGGGAAATAGTGCTCAAAATGACAACAAAAAGCCCAGGTTTTCTCAGTCAGCATGCATGGTCATGCGTGCTGTTAGCTAGCAAATTTAAGACCATGCCGGTCAGAAATTGTGGAATTATTTTCTTAGCAAAACAAAAACTTGATATACAAGCCAAGGCGCGGGAACCCATTTCATGGTCTCAGACATGAACCGTTGTATGGGCGAGGGCTTAGCTTGGGGCCTTGAGCGTTTCAGAGTGGATACGTAGAATGGCGCCTTTACATAGGCGGATGAATCTTATAATCAGGCAATTACGCAGTATCTTCCTAGACATTCATAAATAGATGGATGTATGGATATATCTAGGCACATGCCCATGTTTAGGTAATCAGATCATAGGTGTCTATAGACAACACTCGCAATGTCTGCAGCAAAATAATGTATAGCTGAACCCCCAAAGTTAAATCAATGACCATCAGGCAGTAAAGTTCTAACACTATCTATGTGCCTAGCTTGTGAGCAACTAGGTATGAAAATCGGGATTTAATGTTCCCGTGATTTACGAAATTCGTTCCGGGCCGTGTCTATATCATCAAATGGGAATATGAATAAAAAAGAACTAAACTGACAAAGAAACGAGACCCTCACATAGTTACTTTTTCTGCCTAAACTTAAGAACAGAAATTGGCCCCCAAAGAGATGGACATATTCGGAGTATACTAAATACAAATAGACATCAAATGAATGAAGTGCCTGCTTACCAAATATTTGAGTAGCTTGGTCAAGTGTAGACAGCGATTGGCGTACACAAGAACTATAACCAATTTATACAGACGCATGCATGTATGGAAAAACTGGTATGGGCACATTTACAATCGGCAAATCAAAGCCAATACCATACCTACGTAAGGACTGTCGGAAAAGCCGATGGATGCCCTGAATCCGAGAAAAGGGAAACAAAAGAAATCCTTTGTTCTGTTCCACTTTCTGATCTATTCCATAGTGGAGATTTAGCAGTTAATATGATTATGAATGATTGTGAAGCATCTAACTTAGGTAGGACATGAGAGAGGGGCAAAGTGTCAGGCTAAAAAAAGCCAGCTCATCAGAAGCGGGCGTTCAAACTCCGAATAGGGAAACAAAGGCGAGCTTAGCATTCAGCAAAATTCAGGAATTTTCAAGAATGAAAGGACGTAAGGAAAAAAAGAAGAACCCTTCAGATACAATAAGCAGCCTGCTTGCACCGTGATGCCCGCGGGGGCCGAAATGAAAGGAGGGGTTCTACAGTTCCACACCACTTCTACTTAGTTTCCCTCTGTACCGAGTACATAAGTAGCATAGCTACAGCTTATTCTTTACCCATGCTCCATAGTTACGGGCACATGGGGCTGGGACGGATTTAGCGCTATTGGTCAGGTGCTGGTCGGCCTTACTAGCCAGCTACGTACGAATTCGTAGTTAGCGATCTTGGTACGCCATAATATAATTTTAAATACAAAGAAAGATATCTGCCAGCAATGTCTGAGTAGGGACTCCGTGGCTTCCAAGAACAGTCAGTCTGTTCCGAGAACGTGGGATGGTTGTTGACCAGAAAGACTGATAAGGTTAGGTTCGGCACGTAGCGCACAGATAACCGCTGCTGACCCGCATTTCTTTTGATTTGATCGAGCATGTCGCGCAGCAAAACTTAATGCTTCATTGGGCGGCCCCACACCACTCTTCCCCTCCCCCCACCAACCACCACGTCGAATCGGAGGAAATATAAGGGCAAAAAAAATCAAGGAACTACATTATAGAGGACACGAATGTAAGGTGCCACAATTCCGGGCGGTAGTTATGATAGCACGGGGAGAAAAACTATGCATTGACGCAAGAGGTAACTTCATCATTAATGAGGCAGTGCCCCCCGGTCCTAACGGAGTGGGATCGTTCATGTCATCGTGCTTGTACGGAGTATCTGCAAGTGAATTATAGCTGTGCAGCAACGTAGTGCTATGCAGCACGCACTCCGCAATCCGTTACCTGCTTTGGCAATAACATAGTCATTGGGCCACTGTGTAGTAGATACTATCCATGCACCTCGCTGTCTTGGGACGAGTTCTCGATTGGTCATGGTGGAGCTTTGATCTCATGTGAGGTCCATTGTGCTCGTCCGTGCGCATATGCCTATATTATCCTCTTGAAATGATATGGATTACATCGTCTCAACACACTCATGACTCGTGTCTCATTGACCAGACGAGTAGGTTGGATCATTTATCGAGTAGTGCCACCTGAAATAACACAAGTGGAGCCAGCAGTAGCCAAGATTCTTGTCCATACTCAGCTCCCGATGTCTACCGTCTTTATGCTAACGACAGACGCTATCTTTCTACGTGGGCACCTGGACCCAGTTTATTGTGTCCTCCGGGTGCCTACTCTTATAAAAGTATCTTCGAAGGTGCTCGACGCCGTTTGTTATAATACACTCTTAGCCTTGCCGGCGTGACACATTTAATGAAATCCTCGGAACTTCCTTGATCCTGAGGCAAGTCCTAAATAGGCAAGGTTAAGAAAAGAATACTTAGGTTTATGCTTTTGTCCATGTAGCCTTAGTGATTGAATCATCTTGGCAGTTCTCGGGTAATGGAGGCTGGTTGCTCGTATAGAAATGACCTCAATAGCTTCTATTGCACCATTGCCTTCTAGTTACTTGCGAAATATAGTTGGCACGTAATAACCCGGGGTGGGGGTGCTCTCAAAAACTAGATTTCTTCTAGTTGTAGAACATTCCGACTCAAAGTCAGCTAGCTATATTGGGTGAAAGGGTTGGTCAAAATCTGGCCTTTTTCGTGATTGTAGAACGAATTATATGCTACATGTAAATTACATGCAGATATATTTAGAATTACAAGATAAAACAAACGTAGGCAATGAAAAAGAAATCATATTCAACTCGCGTTATCATTAGTCATTAGTCTATACAATAAGTTATCCATAGACATGAATGTGAAAAGCTGTCAAGAACCTGGTATATTTCAGGATCCTATGCAGTGATTCATGATATATACATAGCCATTGGACATGTTTTCTCCCATTATTTAATTTAAGGATGCTATCGACTCACGATACCCCGGTTACCCCCACCCTTCTGCCACAGCCATATACCCTCCACTGCCCATGCTTTGGCGCTTGCATGCTTCCCTATATTCGACTTTAATCCCGTGTCTACCTTGTCGTCCTCCTTCTCTGGACGGTTTTCTTGGCCGCGTCGCTGCTGGCTTGGTCCGCCTTCCGCCTCTTGCAGCATTCGCGGAATCACGCCTTCATGCTCAACCACTTTCCATAGCCCTTCTACCAGATCGCTTCCAGGCTCACCAAACTCGCCGGTACCTAATCTAAAAAGTATCCGTCCAAAGACCTGCCATGCAATGCATCTTTGGGCGGGTACTGTCGATCGACTGAGAATAGAGAGTTCAGGGAGGGTGTACCCGGCAGCCTCGGGGTCGTCCGCGTGATGGTGCAGACCGAGCGTTGTAGGTATTAATAGTGACTTTGAAGGAGGTAGCATTTCTCCGCGGAAGGAAAAGCGGAGTGCCGAAGGCACGATTTCTGTAGTAGAACTTGACGGGTGATACGCGGACAACATTTTGGGATCAGTGTCCTTGTCATCCTCCTCATTTCGAGGTTTTAGCCATGACAGGGCTGAAGAGTCATGGGGTATATCTGGGAAGTAGTGTGCTTGTAAGTCATCGTAGAAAGAAGGGGAGGTAGGGTCAAGGTTCGGCATGGGGGTTTGTCTCGGAGGCGGCGTGGGGAAATGTATAGGACCCGATGGAAATTCTGACGCAGGCCGTAAATCATCGGGGTGTACAGCGGGTGGTCTATCATCCAAGTCTGTGGCCGTAGCTTCTGAGTCGCGAGCAGTGACATCAAAGGAGACCGACTTTTTCTCCGACCTAGCCTGAACAGGTTCATCGCTTTTCGGTTCGCCCTCTCTACTTGTTCCCGGTCTGGCAACGCTTGTCGACGAAGTTGCCATTTCATCGTCAATATTTGCCCTCCGTAACAATCTTTCAATCAACGAAGGGGACAAATTCGCCAGCAAATCGGCCTTTTCACTCTCGATTTCCGCATCGGACATGGAAGCTAATCGCTGTTTGTTTTCTTCGTCTATTATTCTTTTCTCTTCATCCTCCGGCGATGCGGATTGCGAGGACAATGTTGTGCGCTGTGGTTGTGGTGGCAGTGGAGCAGCGGGGGGGTGATAGGAATAGGAAGAGCGGGGTTGGACGGCAGGTAACGCATTGGCACGTCGTTGTTGCTTGAACGCCGAGCCAGCAAGACGGTTTTTCGAAGTTGGGAAGCCCTTGGATGACGTCCTGAGAGCAGGTGCGGTGGGTGGATTGGGCGTGCGTTCTTTGATTTCGCCGATGAGGTTCGTGAGGCCGGCGGGGGCGGGGGCGGGGGCGGGCTGCTGCTGATGATGGCCGGGATCTTCGTCGTCGTCAGACAAGTCAAGAACGAAGCGCTCGCCGGGGATTGCCATGTTGCAGGGTGGAATACGGAAAATGGGCAGGAAGAGCGGCGGAGATGAGAAGAATCAATTATTAAGGCGTGCGGCTTAAAAACCTAAAACCCGCCCATGCAGAGCACGCCATTCCCGATATGGACTAGTGTGCATCGAGCAGACGGCGCACGTCCCACGTTGAAAGACCAGCCAATCATCGTGCAATGCTTGGATCCGGGGGAGTTGTTGTATTATCGGTATGACTTAAGATTTATAGTTAACTATTGTGGTTGCTTCTAGCGGTATCTTTGTGTCTCTCTGTGGTACAAAGCCATAGTGCTGGTATGTCTTGCTGACGGCCCGGCTCAAGAGAGCATGGCCGATCCGGCGAGCTGCACTTGCTTGGGTTGTAAACATGATGGTTGAATATGACTACTGTATTCCAATGAAGGAAGCAACCAAATGCCGCTTAAATCATCGAATCTGGGGTAGACTGCGTCGACGCAGTGTACGAGAGAGTCGTTCTCTGCAATACGCGCGAATAGACACATGGAAATGGCTTGAACTCGGCACGGCCTAGGTACGCTGTGGTGTATACCATACAAGAATCCGTACTGCAGAGAACACGTAGCTGATCAGACACGCGATATCCTGGCCTAGGACTGTAGCGACGCTAGCAAGGCCAACTCCTGCGAGTCCTTTTCTCGCGGCGAACCCCTGATATTCGTACCAGGAACTGCGCTACGTAGTATATAGTACGAGGTGCCAAGGCCAGAGCGCTCTGTCCTATCATGGCGCCAGCACCTCTCCACACGCCTCAGGCATTCCTACGTACTTGCTCTCTCTGCCCTTTTTTTTTTCCTTTTTTCGTGCTGTTAATTAAGTATTCTCACTAGCAGCAAATCGCAGTGGCATTCGTTCTTCTCTTTTCCTCTCTTTCCTCGACTCTGGCCCCCTTCCCCTTTCTTTCTGCAACCGCCCTCCACGCCTCCAGTCTACAACCCCTCTCGTTCTGCCTCTCTCGTTCTACCCTTTCTGCCGGCCACCAACCCCGTCCTAGTCCACCTGACTTCTTTGCATTCGTTTCCCTGCGACCAACACCTGGCATCCTTCCTTCCTGCAGCCCCCGTCACAACACGCAATTCAAGCCGCTCTTATTTTGTTTTGCCTATGAATTATTGTCGCATTTGATCCCCCCCCCCCCCCCCCCCCTTTTTTTTTTTTTTTTTATATTTGCCACTTATTTTATCTCCATTATCGCAACCATCTCGAAACCATCTTTGAGACCGATCAGGAAGGGGGAAAAAAAAAGGGTTACGCAATCCGCCTCCGTCTGTCTCATTGCGCGCGGTGCTGGTGGTGTTGGTGTTGCATACAGTGAGTAGACCTCTTCTGAAATGGCCAACGAAGCACCCATGAATAATGGGCTCGCAAACAAGGAGGAGGCGGAAGAGCGAAAAGAAGAGCAGCCGATGCCAGAGATGACACCGCCAGAGAATGGCCCGGCGGCAGACGTAGAGGAGAAGGACACCGCTAGCAGAGATACCCGCACTCGACGCGCCTCCGCTGCCAACGCCGCCTCCAACAACCAGCCCAGCACGCCCGTCACGGCCACTCGTCGCACGCGCCGGAAAAAGGACGACGCTGGCCAGGACAAGGATAAGGACAAAGAGAAAGAAAAGGACAAGCAAAAGCCAAAGAAATCAAAGGCGAAAGCCAAGGAGAAAGACGACAAGGAAGAAAAGGAAAAGGCAGTCAAGGACAAGGACAAAACCAAGGGCAAAGACGCCAAAAAGGAAAAAGAAAAGGAGAAAGACGACAAGGAGACTAAGCCGCGGCGGCGTGCGCGCGAAAAGTCCAATGCCTCTGCAAACAACACGCCGCAGAGCTCGCGGAAGAAGCCCAAGCTGGAGCATGTTGAGGACAGCAAGAACAGCCTCAACCTCAACGATGGCAGCGACCACCATTCTACAGCGCCCGCGCTGGCTCCTACCCCGCTGGCGCCTGCGTCATCCCAGCAAGTCCCCCTGACCCAAAACGGCAACCATGAGGTTATTTTCGGGGCAGCTGCGCGTCTTTCTCCCGTACAGCAGCCTGTTCAGCCTGCTCCGCCGACCACTGCTGTATCGCCAGTGAGGACTGCAGCCCTGCCGTCGTCCACCTCGATTCCGACTGCCGCCATGCAGGCCCCATCATTACCTCAGTCACATTCTTATGAAAATGTGCTTTCGACGCATCACACTCCCACGTATATGACTCCTACACACCCGCCGCCGCCACCACCACCTCAGCCTTCTCCGCCGCGGTCGAGCGGACGTAACTACGATCCTATCCGATCGGCATTCGAAGATTCAGCTCCTCCTACTCTTCCCCCTCCGGTGTCACACGGCCCTTCATCCTCCCAGATGGGGACGCCTGTCTTGTCTTCGCAGACACAGTTCAGTCCGCCGCAGCATTCTCATTCTGTTTCACCGCGACACACGTTCAGGGCTAGTGCCTCGCCGGCCATTTCCAGCATTATCGACCCGCCTGCACCTCCTGCACTGGGGCAACAGCAGCGACCCGCCCAGTCGCCCGTATACCCCAGCCATATGCAAAACTACTCCCCCTACGGCTCTAACGTATCCACACCAGCACATCACTACGGACAAAGCCCGCAAACGCAAGCGCCGACGCTTTCTCAGATAACTCACCCGCCTCCGCCGCCGCAGCAGCCGGCACGGTTTCTATCCCAACAATTACCGCCGCAGTATGCTCCACCAAAGCAAGAGCAGTTTCCTCCTCCTACGCCGAGCCAGCAGCCTGCAAACCCCGTCGACGGGATGCCCCTGCTCCAACAGCCTGTTGCAATGGAGATCGATTCCGAGCCTGCGCCTGCTACTGGACCGCCGCCTACATCTGCACCTGAATCTATATCTACACCTACACCCGCTCCTGCTGCTGCACCTGTGTCGGCGAAAACCACAAAGCCAGCCAAGAAGGAGAAAGGCACACCGACAGCAACTCCGAGCGCGCCATCCCCCAAACCAGCTCGCGCCGCCAAAGATGCCGCCGCTCCGCCACCGCTGCCCCAAGGCTCAGGTCTAATTTCCGGGGCTTTATTTGGGGTAGACGACAGCTCGTCAACAGCGTCCAAAACCGCACCGAATATTATCCTTCATGTACCTCTTTCTGGAGAGACAAACAAAATCATCAGCTTTGCCCGCTTGGCAGAGGAGAAATACGGCTTTGCAGCGCTACATCCACGTCTTGCGGCACAGAAAGAGCGGCTCGCGCGCGTTGCTGCAGCGAGTGCGGCGTTGGAAAAGGACGAGAAGGACGGTTCTGCGCGCGAGAGTGCAGAAGAAGATCTCAGTGTAGATATCGATCGAGACAGCGAAGGCGACGGCGATGTTGCCATGGGTGGAACCGGATTGACGGCGGCCGAGGAACAGACGGACGGGAAGAAAAAGCGCCGCAAGAAGAAAATCGAGGATTACGACCGCGATGATCCGTTTGTGGACGACAGCGAATTAGTATGGCAGGAGCAAGCGGCGGCTAGTAAAGACGGCTTCTTTGTGTACAGTGGACCTCTCGTCGCGGAGGGCGAGAAAGTCCAGGTCGAAAGGTACGAAATCATGCCCTGTTTCCCTTTGGTAACCGTAGTAACTCTTTCCAGGGCTGATGGTACCATCAAACGCGGACGTGGCGGGCGTGGTGGACGGGGTGGTGGAAGGTCCCGTGCAGGACAAGGACACGTCCCGATTGCATCCAACGTCCCTATTTCGGCCGAGACGGGTCTTCCTCTGCGCGGGCCAGGGTCTCGCGGTGGCAGTATGGCTCGCAAACCGCGCGCGAGCAAGGCCAAGCAGCAAGGCGAGGACAAGTCGGACCCGCGCAAGAGCGGCACGTCTCACGCAGCGGCACATCGCGCCAGCAACAAAGCATCAACCATGGCGGGCATGGTTGGACTGGCGCCAGCTCCTCCTGCGGCCCCTGCCACAGCTGCAGCTCCAGCTCCAGCTCCAGCTCCTACTTCTGCTGCTGCTGCTGCCTCAGGCCCCCAGCTGGCTCCTGCTCCGCCAGCACCTCAGGCCGGCCAGACCCAGAGCGTCTTCATGCGATAGCCTCGCGATTCTTGTCTCTTAGTTACATACATATATCAACCGCCTCCCTCTGTCGGGGGCCTGCTTTTACCTTGTGTTTTTGCGCTTGCTTTGCCATCATCTCCGGAGTCGAAAAATACAGTCAATGGGTCGTTCGGCGTTTATTGCGTCTATTGAGTATGCGGGGCTGTCTGTCTGTTTGAACTTTGTTGTGTATGTCCACTTGCCTGGGTAGACTTCATCTGTGTATTTATTTATTTTGTTTGTTTGTTTCATGGAAACCATCGTCCATATCCAATCGAGCCTGCCTTGAAATGCCGTAAGCTGAGCTGATTGGCCGGCGGGCCACTGCGCATGACATAAGCACGCAGCCCGCCTCGCCCTCGTCCTCTCCTCGTCCTCTTCTTCTGCGACACTACCTAGGTATTGACGACGACTGTTTCCGTCTTCTCTTGCTGGTTGCTTCGCAGAGATGGTCTCGTCTCATCATCGCCTATACTTTGTCTGTTACCACCTTACGGTTCCAATAGGATAGTTAGTGACTATCCCTCAGACCTTCTGTCTGGCCGGCTGCCAGCGCATCAAAGCATCTCTTATCGATAACATCATACATAATACGTTCGAAATATTATTTCCCCGCTCACTTTTGGCTTACACGTCGCATCTTTCTTACTTTATTTTGTATCTGTTATTCTTTCTATCCCACCGAAGAACACTCACAATGCACGACCTGCGCCGCCAAGCCCTCGAAAGCGGCAAGACCATCTCGCGCAAAGCGCAGTCGCGAGAGGCTTCCCGCTCCAACTCCAGAGCTGGCTCGGCCCAAACCTCGCGCCACACCTCACGCCAGTCATCGCGCGCTGCGAGCAGGCATCCTTCCGATGATGAGGACAATGGAAACCTAAGCGACGATACTGCCACTTGGAGGTAAGCTTTATTCTTTTTTTCTCGCGCTCTTTGTCTTCGCGCTTGTTTAGTTCTCTTGGCTGGCTGCCTTTTGGGATGATGTCACCGCAACCTTTTTCCCCCCCCCTTTCTTCCTAAGAGTCGACGTAATAGCACAAAAACTGTTTGTTGTTTGCCACATATGGTATCAAGTCATATGCTAAATTTATGCCACGCATATAGTACCAGTTCACTAGATGACTTGGGTGAAAACCCCGAGTCGGACAATGTCGAGTGGCCTGAGGAGTTGGCAGATTGCATCCAGGATATCCTGGATCGGAAGCGAAGCAGCGTTCAAGGGAGAGAAGAATCCCTGGCTGTGTTCTGCCGGCTCTCGAAATTTCATTATGTCGAGGAAGAAATCAGAAGTCATATTCAGGATCTTCTGGCTGCGTTTTCCCGCAGCATCAAATACGAATCGAGTGTGCGCGAATCAATTCTGGCCCTGAAGGCGCTTGAGTTCCTAGCTGTGACTGCTTACGATGACACGATTTATGACTCAGTGGAGCCTTTGCTGACTCGCACGATTCGCGACTCGGCGTCGACTCTGATCAAGGTAGCTGCGATCTACTGTCTGGGCACCTGCACTTATTTTGGCGGAACGAGCGACGACGCGAAGATGGATCAGATGAATCTCTTCCTAGACATTGTCGCATCAGACGGCCAGTCTGTCGACGCATCCGATGATGCCGGCGTCGTCACCGCTGCGCTGCAGCAATGGGGGTTTTTGGCCACGGATATCGAAGATCTAGAAGGAGAAAGCGAGGAAGCTATCGAGATTTTTATTGACCAACTGGGAAGCTCGGATTCTAGTGTGCAGATTGCCGCCGGCGAGGGCATTGCTTTATTATATGAGAAGAGCTATACGCCCCAGGAAGATGATGACGATGAAGATGAAGACGACGACGATGATGAAAACGATTCAGATGACGACGAAGAAGACGGCACAGATGACTACGGCCCCAAGCTGATCAAACGATACACGGCGTACCATGACACGCACCAACTAGAACAACTACTCTCGTCACTTGCCAACGTATCCGGCAAACGAATTAGCAAAAAGGACAAAAAGAGCCTACATACCAACTTCGCATCGATCCTCACCACGATTGAAAATCCGCGCAGGGGGCCCATGTTCAGTAAAGCGATCAACCAAAACACGAACCGGCAGTATGGCAGCAAGCGCCAAGTCAAGGTCGGCAGCGAAGGTGTCATGAATATCGATCGATGGTGGAAATGGCTACGTCTTGCAGCTTTGCGACGTATTTTGCAAGGAGGTTTTATGGAACATTATTTTCAGGGTAATCGCGCGGTGCTGGATGCATTACCGGTTATGCTGAGGGAAGCGAGTCGTCCAACAGTGAACCGGGGTGGATATAAGAAGGCCGCCAAGTTTAGGAACTCGATGAGGAGGATGGTTGTGGAGGAGGATTGATTTTTTTTGTTTTTTTCGCGTTTCTCATCTCTCTCTCTTTTCCTATACACGTGTGACTTGCGACGTGCACTTCTTATCTCAACCTTCCTTTTTCTATTCTTCTTTCCAGTCACAATTGATTCAATGCAAGCATTCTGTTCCCGGGATTTGACGATATCAAATTATCAGGATTGTCCCGACTCTCAGGCCATAGTGCTAGAGTGGAGCCCCGGTCATCACGGTTCGTTGGAGTAGTTGGTTATCTCGCATCCTTAACATCAGTTAATCGGATGAGGCCGCCATTTCGAGTATGGCACGAATCACTTCACTTAATTCTTTTTTGCGTCATTCTTGCTTCTCTATTTTTTTTTTTTTTTAAAAAAAAGCACTTCCATTAGTCTACCATGGTTGTCCGCGCTGGAGAAAATTTCAAGTCGTATGCGTAAATTTGAAAGTTTTTCTCTCAACAATCCAAAGTTCATCTACTTACTTTTTTCTACTTTTTCAGCTGCACAAATTGAATGTGCTTCCGAGTCATGAGCATTGATTGAGCGGAGAAGAATATGAAAAAGGGTAGTGAAACTGGGGTATATATATAGTGATAAGACGATATTGTATAGAAAACAAAACGAAAAGTAGTGTTTTTCTTTTCTTCCTTTCTTCCTTTTTCCCTTCTTGATTTGTACAGGTGCACAGAACACAGAGAACATGGAGAACGAGAGGAGAGAAGAATGGCTACAGCTTGAAGATAGGAACAACATTCGACCATTCCCCTCGCGATCGCTCCTCCCAATACCCATCTTTACCCGACTTCATTTTCCAGACTATTTCTCCTCCGTCGCTGCTAGAATTAAGCGCACCACTGGTGACGACCTGCGTAAACCAGCGCGGCTTGTAAACTCCTCCACTATCTTCGAGTTCGCGGCGACGCTCGCGCTGTTTCTCCTCTAGCTGCGCCTTCAATTCTTCGGCGGCATCTAGTTCGTTATTCTCCAGCGCGCGCTGATCGGGCCGGAGGCGCGAATCGGTGGGCGGTAATTTGCCCTTTTCAATGGGCGTGGTTTCATTCAGAGTTGCTGCGAATGTCGGGAATCCGTATCGTTTAGCCGCTTGATCGACTAGTGACCCCGATGCCCATATGGTTTTGTTTGTTGGTGAGCCGTGCTCGGTCAGTTGCAAGGAGCCCGTCCATGTGCCCGTGAGACCAAGTGGGAGCTCGTGGCCATGTACATCGAACGCTTTCACGATGACTTCTTCGCTTCGGCCCGAGAACATGCCGCCTGCTTTGAAAGTCGAGACTGTTTTCTGGCCCGTTGTCTCATTGACCACGACCATCTCGCCGACCGGTTCGACGTATTTTTCGCCTGCAATAATGTTCCGTAGGAAAGACGTGGCATTTCCCCAGCTGAAATGGTCCCCGGTCGAATGGAGACTCAGTCGCGTTTTGCCGTCTGTGGTGATTTCGGCCGATTTGCCCCAGAATTTCTGCGATGGCTTGGGCGATTGCGTTAAGCTCCAGTCTCGGCTGTCGGCTTGGTATGCGAGCTGCACCGGTCGATGCGATACTTTCTCCACAAGTAGTCGAAAGCCGCGGTCTTCGCGTACAAGCTCGAATGTTTCTCCGAGAAGCGGGTTGAAGGGCTTGCGAATGGCCCGCTCTTTCACGCGACTTGATGACAAGCTTGAAAGCGCGAATGCAGTCACATATACCAACCGCTCAAGTCCGTCGGTTGCACTGGCAGCTTTATCTAATAGAGGCGAATACTCCATGCACTCGGCAGCTCGTTGCAGTAGTGACAAGGGCTCGTTGGCTGTCACCGGCATCGTAACAGCAGACAGATCTTTGCCCACGTTCTTCCGCAGAAACCCGATCAGACTGGGCGGAGGCATGATCGGAGCGGCGACTGTTTTTCGTCTTTGCACGCTGTCCAAGGGCAAGGGGCTCATGGATTTGGGTTTTGGTGGGAACAGCACGGCGGAGCTTTCCTTCTGGAGCGAATCACCTTCACTGCAAGATGATAAAGCATCGTCATCGACATCTACGTCTTCATCTTCGGCCTCGACTTCCGAGTCGTGCTGAATAGTGAGAAGAGGAGATGTTGGTCCCGCCTCAGCATCAAAGAACTCTTGTGAAGCGTCTGATTCCATGCTGACCCGGGAACTGATGGTAGTGATTGGCGGATGTCGTCTCTGCTTGCTTTCTCCAATTAAGTTGGTGAACTCTCCAACAACACAGTCAAGATCGCGAAGAATAGCCATTAAGTTCTCATGAATCTCATCGTCTCGGTCTGTGTGGCTGGTTACACTTCTAGGTTTCGGCTCTTCAGTAAGTGCTTCATTCGACGGACTAGGCGCTGCTAAATGTACAGCTCCATTTTGCCGCTTGTTGGTGTTGGTGCTACTGGGTTTGCGCTTCCAGAACGGACGCTTTGGCTGGAAGTCAGGGTATTCGTCTCCGTTCACGGAAGAGCTCTCCGCTGCACTGGCTTGTAGACTCTGTGAGCGCCGGCGGCCCGCGGCGGCGGCTGCTGTTGCTGCTGTAGAAGCGGAGGAAGAGGTGAGATATTTGGGATCGGTATCCTTTGCCAGCCGCCGCACAGCATCTCTCGACCCCGAGACTTTGCTCACCAAACTCTCGATTTGCTCCCATTCAATGTCCTCGTTGGGGTCCGGAAGATGGCGTGACACGGTATTTGAAGGAATCTGTAGCAGCGGAGATGCAGGAGTCACGACCCTGTCGTCTTTGCTCTGCTTGGAAGCCCGCTCCAGCGCCGTCCGCCATGCGGCGAAGTCTTGCTCATTATTTGCTCGTAAGTGCCAGATCTCCGCTCCGGAATCGATGGATATTTCTCGTGTAGCATCATTGGCCGCGACAGCCGCCAGGTTGAGCGGAATAGCCCCGCGGAGCGCCGAGGAGTTCCGGTCGTGATAATAGGAAAGTGTGGAGGACGTGTAGTCGAGCGAAAAGAACCGACGAGCCCAGCCCTGGTGTCGCTTTCGACGCCTCTTTTGCAGTATGCCCGTATGCACCTGTGTTGCGGCGCTGTTGGCGGAAGAAGCACTGTTGAGGCGCTTGATCGACTTAGCGCCGGACACGGAACGTCCTCCTCTGGCGGTGCGCGGGTTGTCAATGGAGGTGCTCGAGTTATTTGTAGGTCCCAGCTTCGGCGATGCACGCTTGCCGGAGCCTCCGATGTTGCTGACAGTGGCTAAGGCGTGTGGAGGGTGGACTTGATGGACGGATTGCGGCGGCGTAGCTGTTGGGTATGTCATGAGAACGAAGGTGGCCATCTTGCCGGTCGTCTTGGAGAAAGTATTATCGAACACCAGCGCGTAATTCCCGCCGTCATGCAGCGGGACGTCAAAGATACCCTGCGAGATCTTGTCGGCTTCGCATTTTCCCACCCACTGTGTGGGTTTCAGGCCGGCGCTGCGGAGCTTTTCGATCACGGCGGATGCTTGTGCATTGTCGGCGGACGACTCGGCGCTGTTGGAGTCGGCGTTGAGAGCTGACGAGGCAGAGGGAGCCGGCTGGCCAAGGTGCTTAAAGATGCCAAAATTGAGGGATTTCTTGTGAGGCTGCAGACTCCACGAGATGGTATGGCCGCCCTGGACCTTCACCCAGCGCACGAGGTAGGACTACGCATTCATTCATTCATTGCATTGTCAGCAGGACTTGGTCGTCTCGACGCGCGTTGGGCACGTACCTTGCTGTGAATCTCGAGCTCTTCCATGCCCGCCATGGCGAATAGACGTGCGCTGTCTGCCAGACAGACAGGGAGACGATGTTGTTTGTTGTTGTTGTCGTTGTTTTGATTTGACAAGTTGCAACAAGCGTTCGGCTGGCTCGGGGGCCGCGCGGGCTCTTTATTTATCCGCCGAGTATTTTTTTTTTTTATTTTTCAGCTCTTCAGCTCTTCGCCGTGCAGCGCATAGAGTCTACAGGATGCTCGATATTTATAATCATTCTGTTAACTACCAGCACTCGGAGGAGTGATTACTAAGTGTATCGACGCTCTTGCCGGCGACTTCCGCTGCGTTCTTTGCCTCCAGCTTGCCGACATCACGCACTGCTTCTACCATCATTCAAGCTCAGGCTCGAGTTGCTATGAGCACGACCATGGTATACAGAGCAGAGAACAGAGTGGCCAACGTGGGCTGAAAAAAAGCACTGAGTCGGCTCTCTCGCACGGTGGCCGGGAACCCTACCTGATAACTCCTGCTTCAGGCTACGCGACTAAAAGGAGAACGCATGCTTCTTGTTTCCTGCATTTATGATTTATATACTAATTGTCTAATGTACACATGTGCCTGGCATGCGCCTACCCAGCGAATTCATGCTTGGGCTGTCCACGGGCATCCGACGGCTTGAAGCGAAACATATGGCCACCCTCGTCTCCAGCAATCTCCTTCGTCCCCCGCCATTTCCCGCTGGCAAGAAAGATGATATCAAAGTTCTTCCCGCCCCAGGTCGTGCAAGCAGGGTTTCGCGCAGTGAAAGTGATGTCTTTCAAATGCCGGCCTTCAGGGCTGAACACCATGACACGGCTCGAGTCGAACATGGCGATCCATAGATTGCCCTCGGTGCTGTGGCTATTAGACTTTTTCCTCTCTGTACTATGAATATGAAAAGAAAGAACGAGCGTATGCTTACTCGACAACCATCCCATCAGGCTCGCCAAACGAGTCTCGCCTATCAATCAAAAGCCGCTTGTTTGAAATATTGCCACTCTCCAGGTCAAAATCAAATGCATACACGACCATGGCCACCGAGTCATGGAAGTAGACTGTATTGAAACAGAAAATTTAGTCAATGCTCCTTCTCCCTTGGATTCAAGACTAGACTTACAAGTCTTGTTATCCGGACTCCAACCCAGCCCATTCCCACAAACAACGCCCCCGTCTAGCATCTCATGCAGACTTCCATCGGGGTCATACCTCCACAACTTCCCCTTGGGCGTCCCGTACGAAGCCGGGAGTTGGTTGGGCCCGTAAGCCATAGCCTTCTTATCAATTTCCGCGAGCCAAAAGCGGCCTTTAGCATCAACGCCGCCGTCATTAAACCTCAGTTCGTCCCTCTTCTCCGTCGGAATAATCTCCTTAACAATCTCCATCTTCCCTGTCTCTTCGTCCAGGAAGCATACTCCCTGGTAATACGCGGCAATGTAACTGCCGGGCTTGTTCTTGCGGAAAAATTGCACGGTGACGCTGTCTTCGAGATGTAAAACGCGCGCTTCCCCGATTGCGTCTCCCGTCTCAGGATCGACTTTGAGGATATATAGTTCTGCAGGCTCTGCGAGACAGTCCACCCAGTGCAGTGTGGAATCGCTGGCGCGATAGATGGGCGCTTCTCCCAGGATCATTTGGCCCTTGGGGCAGTAGTAGAATGGCTTTCCGCCGCTCAAGACCTCGAGTCCCGCCATTCTTTTGCGTTTGTTCGAGATGTTTTTTGAGTTAGCTAGTTTTGTTTTGCAGGATCCCCCGAGGTTGAATTCTAGAAAGGAGAGACAACGTTCAGGTATGTTTGATTATAATTCATGCAATTGGTCCAGTCAATCAATACAGCTGGCTGCAACCCCCACGTAACTAGCATCCCACCCAACGATTGCTGATAACCACCACAGCCATCCCGCGCAATACTGATAACCTTCAGTGCTTCACTATCCTGCCAAACCTAACAGCAGGCATTATTGGCACCAAGCTAAGGGAGCTAAATCACTATCAACCTTGGTTAGGCTACCCTGCTGGTGCCATAACAATTGGAATGTGCGGAGTAACCCGGCCTTGGCCCAGCCTCCAGCAGATATCCTGGAGCAGCTAGCTACCCATGGACGCGAGCACGTTTATCCCAGACATACATCCACCCTAGTCCTCAAAATCAGGCACACTAGTATACATATACACACTCTCTTACAATCTACTTGACTTGGTTGAAACTAGCCCACGCATAAACATTCAATAGGTTGAGTTGTTGTGAACCCCGAAATGGCGGTAACTGGGGATGAACATCACAATGCCTCACCGTCATCACGGTGGGTTAGCATGAAACATGCGTTTACCTCATGGCATGCATTCCACGACTCGATGCGGCTGCAGAGTGCTTCTTCGATGCTAGCGAACGAGGACTTGCTGCCCTCGCCTCCCGAGCGACAGACCTGGACCGTGTGGAACTTTTTTGCTTATTGGTGTGTATCTTCATCCTCGTCTTAGTGAATGCATAAGAGCTAAAAGTGGCTGTCTACAGGTGGAGCGAATCCTGGGCCGTATCAACATGGAGCCTGGGCTCGTCACTCATCGCCCTCGGTGCTACCGTGCGAGATGCATTGCTCGTCGTATTATTTGCCAATATCCTGTCGGCCGTGGTAATTGTTCTCAATGGCCGTGCCGCGTCGAGATATCATATTGGGTATCCCGTGCTGGCTCGGGTGACCTTTGGAATTTATGGGTCTTATTTCTTCGTGGTCTTGAGGGCCATATTGGGTGTAATCTGGGGTGAGTTTTAGATCTCGTCTCTGGAGTCAGGCTAGCCGTACTGATGGGATCGTAAATGGACAGGCGGCGTGCAGATGTATTATGAAGGGCAATTCATTTCGATTTGTCTTCGGTGTATATTCCCAAGTTGGAGCCGGCTTCGTAATACTATACCAGCTGTAAGTGCATTGGATGTTCCTTTCCTGTTATTTGAAGGTAGCTGATAAGATTGCAGAGCCAGCAAATCACTACTCAAGGAATGATCGGTTTCTTCCTTGCCTTCGTCTTCACCCTACCCCTAATGCTCATCCACACTTCCAAGATCAGACACCTCTTCAGCTTCAAATCTGTCGTCTTCCCCCTCGCCGCCCTCGGCGTGGTATGCTGGGCCACTACGGCCAACGGTGGCCGCGTATCCGCAAACAAGCTGGAAGACACATCGCTGCAGTCCTCATCCACAGCAGTATTCGCATGGGGCATAATTGGCCAATTCAATGCCGTCATGGGCGCGAATTCCGCACTGCTCGTCACAGTACCTGATCTAGCGCGCTATTCCAAGACCAAAAATGCCCAACTATGGGGCCAGCTTCTGGGTCTACCTATTGCTCAGCTTATCTGTGCCGCTATTGGGATAATCACCACCTCGGCGGTACACAATATGTGGGGGGAACTGTTTTGGAATCCGTATGATCTTTTGGATGCTATCCTGGATCATTCGTATACATCCAAGGCCCGTGCTGGTGTTTTTTTTGCTTCTGCATCCTTCGCTTTTGCCACTATGGGCACATCGATTGCATGCAATATAGTCCCGTTTGCTGCCGACGTGACGTGTTTGGCACCGAAATATGTCAATATTATTCGAGGCCAGTTTATCTGCTTGATCCTTGCCTTTGCTATTGTGCCATGGTATGCGTTCTCTCCTCTTTCCGGTCCCATTCTCTTCTTAACAAGTACATGCTAAATCATACCAAGGCGCATTGTCTCCTCGGCAAACGGCTTCCTCAGCTTTCTCTCCGGCTATTCCATCTTCCAAGGCAGTGTTGTATCCATCATGACGGTCGACTACTTCCTCCTCCGCCGCGGCAATCTGCACATTAGCGCCATGTTCACAACCTCACGTCTCGGGGAATACTACTACAACTTCGGAGTCAACTGGACCGGCATCGCAGCCTTCATCGCCGGGTTCTTGCTCCCATTGCCAGGATTCATCTCTAGTTTCGGTACGGTATCTTTCAGTAGTACTGCGGCAACGGACATGTATGATTTGGGGTGGTTGTTAAGTTATTTGGTGGCGGGGGTTATCTATTATGTTGTTAGTAGATTTGTGACTGCTAGAAAGACGGTTAGGTCTTGTAGCGAAGTCGCCTTTGAGGCCAATGTGCCGAAATCGATTGGGATGGGGGTGCAGAGTGATACGTTGGTGGTCGATGGGATTGAGATCGTGGTTGGTATGTCGACTCACGAGCAGGATGATATGGCTTCCTCGCCTTTTTCTGTTGCTGCTGGCCCTGCCAAGGGCGATCTTGTATGAGGAAGACGCTTGTATATATCTATATTCCTAACTATCAGAGTGGCATGTACTTGATCAACAGCTTCCGAAATAATATAATAGATGGCATTTTCCATATTTTATGACAAAAGAATATGTAAGTAGACAGACTTATGCTAGCTAGCTTGCTCCATTTGATAGAAATGATATGAGAATACAAGAGTAGAAATATAATCAACAGGGTAATAATAGAGAAATGGTTTTAGTCTGTCCAAATGCAAATATACCCTTTCCCTTACTGGTTAACTGAAAATTTGATCAAATACAAGAAAGGGTCAAAATGACGAAAAAACACAGAAGAGAAGAACAAAAGTTGATCAGACTGATGTTACAATTTTTTTTACCTCCGCGGCACACCCTGACCAACACGGCCAACTTGCATGTTAGTAAATAGCAGTTTAAATCCATTGCATAACGCACGCATATCAGGGTAGGGGTTCCGCTGAAGCTCGTAACCTTGAGGAATAATTTTGACGTTCCAGCTTTGCAGAGATGCATTCTGCCCGGCTTTGAAGCATAGGAAGAAATAGCCTGGGTATTTTGGATTGATACAAAAAGCGTAGACGGAGCGTTTGGGGTTGGCCATTGTGTATGTTGTAAGCCACTTTTCTAAATGTCGTGTTAGCCAAATTCGTAAAATAATAATATGAAGGGTTGCAAAACGTACCTGTATCGGCTTTGGTACCAGTTTGGTACTTCTCATGCGCCATAATTTCGTCTACCTTTCTAGCCATCGTCTGCACATGGCTGACAATTAACTCGTCCAAATCACTGTATGTGTATTTACCACCAATCTTCAAAGTTCGACCGACCGAATATTCATTCTCCTTATCCAATTCCAAAACGTCGATATGTTGGTAAACACCATCCGCAACTTTCCAAGTAACTGTAAGATGATCAGGTCCCTTGGAGGATGGCCTGATAACACAGTCGCCTCGATTTTGTCCGCCCAAGTACTCTTCTGCTTGCTTCGAATTGTATGCACGGTATAGCGGGTGTTTAATGACCCGAACGAAGCGGCTTTCAGTTTTCGCTTTCTCTTGTAGAAGATCTCGATCTTCTTGCTCCTGTCGCTCATCCCATTCGCCGCGGTGTTTCTCAATTGGCCGCTGGTATCCTTTACTAACTTTATCTTCACGAAGGGTCATGTTGCACGCGAATGTCTTCTTGTTCAAGTACAAGATTTTGCCTTGGACAGACTGGTGAACTTGGAAAAGTGCTCTGGGTGGAATGTCATGTCGGTCCGTGATGTCTGATTCAGAGACCAATACTTCCACGCCGCAATCAAGTCTTCCTTCAATATGATCTGGGGCAATTCGTTTGATGGACATCGGCACTACCATACCATCTGCTAAAGTATCATTGGTCTCACCCGTCAGCATGGTGAAGATCTCGTCCGTGCTCGGGAAGACGAATTGTTTCCGCAGTTCTTCATATGGCTGTTGCAGTTCGGCTCTGATTGTCTCCAGGGTGGCTCGTTTACGCTGGTTTAGATTCTTCTCCAACTGTTCGGCATATTCCTCTAAAATCAGGTCATTAACACGATCTTGAAGATCATCTTTGAGGAGCTTTCGAACGATAGCGCCGGCGCCTGACTCGTCTGTTTCCGCTTTGATGTCTTCCTCGTCGAGCTCCAATGCATCTGCGGCCATCTTCCGAGCAATATCATAGTCTTCAGGATGGACTCGGGTGTTATCTAAAGGATCCGCATCCGTCTCAACGTTCTCCCAATCCAGATATAGAAAGCTAGCGCAATTATTCCACACTTTGACGCCCATGGCGGGATATTGCGCCTCGACACCGAGTAGCTCCACGCGATTGTTGACGACGCCACCGTTCATGTTGACAATCTTAACTAAATGCGAAGCCTTTCGGGGCCCCAAACCACAGACATACTGAAGAAGATTTTGCGTTGACGTATCACTCACTGCTTCATTGATATCAACGCCACACAGGTTGACCATATCGACTAGTGCGCTCTCCAATTGTTTCGAGACAACATCCTCCGACAGATATCGCTGGCCGGGAGTGAATTGAATAGAGACCAAGTCTTTGCCGAGTGCTGCATATTCCTTCAACGGGTTTTGGAGATATCTAGCGATACCACAGCAATACGATGTGAGCCAACTAGACTTGATGGGGAAATCAACGTTGGCACGTTCGCTGTTGGCATATAGCTGAGCTGTTTCGCCATTCACCATAATAACCTCCAATCGATCAGACACTTCCTTCGCTTCTTTACCTTCGCCGACTGTATATGGCGCAGCACGGAGATCTTTGCGATCAACAATGTCACAAAGCAGCTTGTAAAGCTTGCGGGTCTCAGGAGACCGACCGGAGACAGCGATGACGTCGGGAACTCGACGACGAACTAACCCAACAAATGCTGCAACATCTTCACCGTCTGGAACGCCACGTTCTGGGTCACCAATCTGCAATTTCGCAAATTTTCCATTCTCCTGTGGTCGTCCCTCTTCCTCAACCCAAACCCAATGAATGAAATGATCACCATTCACGGGGGCATCGCCGTTAGATAAAGCAAGTACTCGAGGAACGGTCCCAAGAACCATTCCTTTGGGCTTGTAAGGAGCCTGGTCTAGTTTGTTGGAAAAGACTTCTCGGACCTCCTTAGTGACATGATTTTCACAATTCTGTCTAATGTTTTCCTTGACGCTGCGGGTCATCAATTTCACAAGTCTGGCAAGTGCGGTATCAAGAACTTCGCGTCTTTCACGATTCCATGCGTCGGCGACGTCACTCTGGCTATCGGACTCGATATGGCTGTATAAGCTTTGGCGATAGCGCTCAAAGTTCTGAAAAGTGACCGTCACATTTATCAAGCCTTCTTCCTCAGCCTTGAGCATACTTAGGAAGAGCTCTGGACGTCGCGCAATATCAGTAAGTTGTTGATTGCGCAGATACTTAAACTCGTAGTAAGGGTGCTGTTCGTCTATCCGCCGAAGACCCTTTTCCGTTCGATGGCAATCCACAACGCCATTCCTGTAAGACTGCTCACGGATGACCTTGCGCATCCTTGGATTCGTAACTAATTCTTCCACGAACATAGCCTTTGCAGCCCTAAGAGCGCTTGTTGCATTGGTATAGTCTGCGTCTAGTGCGGTATCTGCAAGTTCTTCTGGAGGCTTTTCAGGGTCCTCGGTGTATTGCCCGCGTCGGTTTTGAGAAGCAGCTTGCGCGAATGCGTCTGCAGTAATGCCGAAAGAACGCACGAGACTATAGACATTACTCTTGCGAATTCTTTCAAAGAAGGTATTAGCACCGGCTTTTCGTCGATTCGTCGTCTGGCCATTGGTCTCGCCATCCGCTTCACCTGAACCGTTTGCTTCCTCATTGGCCAAAGAAATGTCTTTAATCTGCGGTCCATATTGGAAGTGCAAATATTCCTGGACATCTTGCAATTCCTCCATGGTAGTTGCAGAAGAAAGCATTTCATCCACTATCTCGTCCTGGACATTCAAGTCCTGCAGTTTCTTATATGTCTTTTGCAGGGTATGTCTTTTGTCAATATAGGCTCGGAATTTCAAGTCATGCTCGAAGATATCCCACAGATCGTTCATATTCAATAATTTTTGAGCGCGGACTACAAATTCCGGGGCATCGGGATTGCCAGGATCTGGGGATGCTGGAACCTTGGCGGCGTGAATAAGATAGTCTTTGCGGTGCTGAAAAATAAAAGGGACTTCGAAATCATCAGTCACCATAAACTCGAGCACTTTAGCAACCGCACGTTGAAAGGGGTCTTGTAGATTGTCTTCAATCACATGCTGCTTCCTCAAGAGCATCAAGTTCGATATCCAAATGGCTTCTTCGCGGAACTCATCGTCGGTAAGGACGACGCCTTTGTATGGCTTGCGCGCGATTTGGTGGCGCTCTGGTTCGTCGGTGAAGCGAATTTCGTTGTCCTCATCAGTCAACATCTTCTCGGCAAGTAGAGTAGGCTCGAAGACGTCCTTCAAATCGAGGTGCTTCTCCTCCTCTTCTACCCGCTCTTCTTCGTCTTCCTCCATTTCTAGAGCAAAGAGATAGTCTGTACCGTCGCCAAAGGCCGCACGCATATCCTCAAGAGCGTTTTCATCGAGGCCAGTAGCTTCTGTGATGGCGAGACCCGAGATTCCCTTCCGAACAGGATGAGCAATTTCTTCATCGTCTTCCAGACGCTGGCGCTCTTCGTCCGAGAATTCGTCTTCTTCGATGAAATCGTCCATTTCCAGTTCATCGCGACGACGGTGACTGGGCCTTCCATAATCAGCCTCTTCTTCTTCGTCCCAATTAAAGACATCGGCGGGGCGATCGGCCTTGTGGCCTCTTTTCAGGCGTTTAAATTTTGACTGATGATTCAATAAAGTTAGGTATTGGCTACGTAGAACAGGAGGTTTCTAGCACTTACTTCTGCTGTCGGGGGTTGAAATTCGGGGTTCTGTTCGCCAATGAGGTCTAGATCTTCCTGGTCGAGATGCACATCATCACGTTCACGTTCCTCCCGCCTGCGCTTCCTCCGTTCTCGCCGGCGCTCAGCACGTTCCTCGGTCTCTTCGTCTTCGTCGACGATAAATCCCTCCCGAACCTAGAGCCTCGGAAAGTCAATGTTAGAAGATCGTCAAGGTAACCCTGTGTCGATGATTCAGCCTTACCGCTCGAGCCGCTTCTTCGTCCTCTTCTTCCTCGTCGTCCTCTTCGCTCGAGTCAGCGTATGAAGGTGGTTGACCGGTGCTGGGCCCTCGAATGGGCTCGCCAGCCTCCTCGTCGAAATCCTCATCATTCTCCTCCTCGTCCAGAAGCGCCTCGCCCTCAATCAGATCTCTGGTGCTCATGATGGCGGCGGTCGTCAAGGGTGCTGCCAGATGACAAAGCAATCTCAATGAGGTGCGTTACGCTCACTCGCTCCAGCAAGAAGCGATCAAAAGCACGAGTGAAGGTGGGTTTTTTGTTGTGAGCGCTCACAGCTGGCAAGAGCACTTGACTTGGCAGCTGCGACTGAAAAGGGCCGAAGGCGCGCGCCTGCGGCGTGGCGGGTGCGCTATTCCGTAAGCAGCTTAAGCGTGGCGCATGCATCGGCCAGAGGCTGGTGGAGCGGATCGGCTGCTGATTGGCTGATATTTATATCTGCCCTTTACTATTTACAACTTACTATATTTACTACTTATTTATTTACTGATTTTCAGAAAACTCATGAATGGCATAGAACAACCTTTGCACTAATCCGTGCTGACCCAGCATCCGCCGGAATAAAACAGAGACAGCGTCTGGGCAGTACTCACCGCGTAGAAAGACTGACTATTCGCTCATTATTCCCCGCCTCCTAGCGAGGTTTCAGTCATAGCCATAGCCATAGTCACGGCGCTGGCTTTGTGCCCGACTACGCACTGCCAATCGAGATTTTTGCCTTGCTATTGCACACTATTGCCTATAGTTACGTGCGGTTGGCAGTAGTCACGTAGTCCCTCTCTCTGAGCTCGCCGCCCCAAGCGCGCTGATTGGCCCCGCTGCATCTCCCACTCAGTTCATCACGTCCGTTGCGTGAACCTCGTCTCTGGCAACCGCTGTGACTGCCACTAATTCAGTCGTGGCGGACGGATATTTTTGTCGTTCGATCGCTATTTTTATGCCTCGCAAGCCAAGGCCGTCGTATGCGGGAAAGTCTATTGTTTGTTCGCTCCAGATAGGGCTTCCAAGGTGTCCACTGCTTTGTCGTTGGTCTTCCCCTCGACTGCAATAATCATTTGTCTCGCTTTTCGCATCGTGAGTCGATTCGCCGCCGAGCGGCATACCAGCATCCATCATGGCGGACCAGTTCAAACCTCGTACCATGAAACGCAAGAATGTGAAGGGACTTGCCCTCAATTCGACCCCCAAACCAGCCTCCAACCCGTCGGAACAGGACGCCCAAATCCCAGGCGCTCTCGCTAACACGGAGAGCACCCGGTCCGATACGCTGGAAATTGGTCTGGAGTTTAAACTCGATTTGCGCAGTGAGGACCTGATTACGTTGAAGGAGGTCGGCGCAGGAAATGGCGGCACAGTCGCCAAGGTTATGCATGCCACAACCAAGGTGGTTATGGCACGAAAGGTCGGTGGTTCTAATCTCGTATAAACACATCTTCCCTCTGACAGCCGAGCTTTCTAGATTATTCGAGTCGATGCCAAAGAGAACGTTCGCAAGCAAATCCTCCGAGAGCTCCAAGTTGGCCACGATTGTAACTCGCCGTACATTGTGACATTTTACGGTGCCTTTCAAAACGAATCCCGCGATATTGTGCTGTGCATGGAGTATATGGACTGCGGGTGTGTATGCCCCAAACAGCTCTACTGGCCAGGGCGAAATGGTTGATATCGATCAATCTTTACTGACACACTGGCTTAGCTCTCTCGACCGCATTTCTAAAGAGTTTGGACCTGTACGCATCGATGTGCTTGGCAAGATCACCGAATCTATTCTTGCCGGATTGGTGTATCTGTACGAAAACCATCGAATTATGCACCGCGATATCAAACCGTCAAACGTCTTGGTGAACTCTCGCGGTAGTATCAAACTCTGTGACTTTGGTGTCGCAACGGAGACGGTCAACTCGGTCGCTGATACCTTTGTTGGAACATCGACTTACATGGCACCTGAGCGTATTCAAGGAGGTGCATATACTGTTCGGTCTGATGTGTGGAGTGTTGGGTTGACCGTGATGGAGCTCGCCGTCGGACGATTCCCTTTTGACTCGTCCGACTCAGCTGCAGGGGATCGTGCCAGTGCTGGGCCGATGGGTATCTTGGACCTTCTACAGCAAATTGTGCATGAGCCTGCTCCGAAGCTGCCCAAGAGTGATGCTTTCCCTCCTATTCTACACGAGTTTGTGGCCAAGTGCCTGCTCAAGAAACCCGACGAGCGTCCTACGCCACGGGAACTCTACGTAAGTCGAGAACTCGAGATTGCTTGAGACAGCTCACTAACACAATTACAGGACAAAGATGCATTCTTGCAAGCCGCTAAGCGAACGCCAGTAGACCTCGAGAAATGGGCCCGTAAGATGATGCACGCACAGGACCGTCACTCCTATCTTGAACCACCTGCTCCGGCATCACTTAGGGCGGCAACCTCAACTTCTGGAAGCCCGTCCCCTGATACAACGCCTCGCGACACTCCTGCAACTGCGATATCTTCAAATGCCCCATCTCACCCCACGCCAACCTTTGGAGACATCCCGCTCCGAAATGATGTTACTTCGGCACATAGACACTATACACCTCCCTCGCATAGCATTCCGACATCCCATCACGCCGATTATAGCGCTCAGCATTACCAGCAACAGCATGTATCTCACAACCCCAACTCGCCGCAGACGGCTTTAAGACAGTCGCCCTTCCTATCTCTCGAACATTTGTCGCTAGAGAGCGATGAATCTCGGAGTGGGAAAATTCGTTCCCCGCGCCATTATGCCGGCGAGCCTCGTTCGGCCATAGACGCGCCGTCGAAGCCGCATTTCCCTCGGGCAATGAATTCTTCTCACCAGAGCGGGCTACATACTGCCACCTTACCCATGGGGGCTGTACCTCCACCCTCCGGTCCTTTGCCTCCTCCGCCTCAGTCCGCCGGAGAGTCGTGGCGCAACCAGTACCGAACACGGGAGAATATGACGTGAAACACCTCGGCGTTACCACCAAGCCGCTAGTATTATTTATACGCTGTATATGTGCCTCAGTATAAGGACTAAATTAGTATACAAAACACCCCTATCCTCTCCTTATTCACCACTCTGCATCCAGCTCCTGACGGCACGCAACCTCGCATTCATACTCCTGACCTGCATCATATGGCGTCTGTCGTTGCTTGCTTGAGCTTCCTATCGTTTATCTCATCCAGGTCCATTTTTTATCCTGTCTTTCTCTCCATCTTTCCATTCATTTTCCATCTCTATATCCCCTCTTTCAGACACATATGTCATTAGCGATGAAACAATTTCTTTGGCGCGAACGTTGCTCTCTTGTTGATAAATGATTTCATGTATCTACGCACAAAGTTGTCTCCGGCAGAGCCATTTTTGCACAGATTTCATATCCTTGTATCTACGGCGTTGTTACTATGATTGTAGATGAATGATTCTTCTTTTTTTCTGTGAATTTAAACGCACCCGAAATGAGTTTCTTTGATTTCTAATTCCTTTAAAATAAATACTTATGCAAATGAACACGCGATGCAATTAATCTACAGCTAAGAGTCCGAGAGAAGAAATCAAGCCGTGCTCTTGACAGCGTCAACCATCAGCGTAATAGCATCTTTTCCAGCCTGCAACACAGCATCCATAGCCAAAAAAGGATGGGGCATACCCTGCATCACATGCAGCTCTGCCTTGACACCGTTCTCCTCCAATTTGGCCGCATATGCTTCCCCTTCGCCTCTCAACACATCCAACTCGCCCACTATAACAACAGCAGACGGCAACATCTTCCAGTGACCGTCCTCGTTCCCATACAACAACGGCGAAGCCTCCGGATTGGCCCACTCTTTCTTGTCAGGTAGGTAATGGTTGCGGTACCACATCATCTTGAGAGCCGGCAGGGCAGGGGTATGCTCGAATTCCTTCCACGCCCAGTTCGTGGCTGGATCAGCCGTGTTGTCGGTGACGGGCACGCTGAGCACTTGTTTAGAGATGCTGATCAGCGAGGGTTTCTCGAGCAGGGACTTGTGTGTGAGCATGGCTGCGAGATTGCCGCCGGCTGAGGACCCGCCGACAGACAGCTTCTTGACGTTGATGTTCAGATGGCTGATGGTCGAAGGGCTGTGGAGCCAGAGTAGGGCTTCCCAGCAGTCGTGGACTGCGGCTGGGAAGGGATCTTCTGGTGCCAATCTAGAAAAGGAAATTGTGAGCATTTATGTTTAGATAACCCTGTACATGGCAGGGAGCCTTTCTCCCTTACCTATAATCAACACTAACAACCACCACACCAGCTCTCTTGCACACATTCGTGCAAACGGTGTTCTCAGTGTTGATATTCCCCAGCACCCAACCGCCTCCATGGGCATATAGGAAGACACTCCATCCGCCCCCTGGCGCTGGCGTTTCTGGCGTGAACACCCGCACGACGACGTCGGGCCCTTCGGTCTCGGTCCGCTTTATCGATATGTCTTCGGTTTTCCCAACTGGAAGCACAGGACCACCTCCAGGAATAAGAACGCCAGATGTGCGTGAGGCAGCAACGGGTTGGAGGTGCACTTGCTGTTGGTTGATGATGTATTTGTTGTAGAAAGCGGCATATTCGGGGTGGACGCGAGATTCGACGGATGGGTGAAGAGGGTACGGAGGCTGGGTGGCGGCCATTTTTGCTCTTTCTCTGGAGTAGAAAGATCTATATTGCTTTTCTTTTTATTATAGAGAGGGAAGATACAGGATATAGACTCCTGGGCCTAGTAGTGCCGGATTCGAGGAGTAAGTGGTAGAGTACGTGGTAGGGTAATTAGGCTCAACTGGACAGGGAGTAGAGAGTCCTTTTAAAACCGAGCTGTAACAAATCAGCACAAGAGAGCACAAACTTAGACTCTTATCTAATCTAAATAGTTAACAATTACAGCAAATAATAGGGTGCTTTGCTCCCTCGTATTGTCCAGCTATACATGCGTCCATTCACTACGCCCGCGTTACAATCGATACTTACCATAGTACCACGGTAGCTCAATAGAATGCAAAGGACCATCTTATTCATGCACAATCTAGCCTGGCTAGACTCAAGAAATAGCTCTCTGATTGCACGAGCGTACCGATACCCCTCACCTCCATCCACGCGCTACGTGGGATTGGAGGTGCGGGGTGATAAGATCTATCCGAAAGATAGACACGTGTTTGCGTATTCACGCTGTATATACAATACCAGCTATGCCTTTTTGGGGATGTATATGTTACTGTGTGGGATTGCTCCCCCTTGCTTGGCCAGATTATTCCCGTATTAAGAGTCCATACACGTTCCTGAAAGCTAAATAGATTACTCAACAAACCTTCCATTTGCTTCTTATTTTTCCTCCTCCTCTTCTCTTTTCCTTTCTACTCCTCTTCTACACCCTCCTCAGAGAAATTATTTGAGAAATAAACAACAAACATGGCCAGCAAAACCCCCATCTTGACCGACAAGGCCCCCAAGCCTCTCCCCGGTATTTACTCCCAGGCCATCGTCGCCAATGGCGTCGTCTACTGCTCTGGCTCAATTGGCATGGACCCTGTAACTGGAAGTTTGGTCGAAGGAGACATTAAAGCTCGCACTGTATGATATACGCATCTACCCCTCCTCCATTTGTTTTGTCCCTCAATAATATCTGATGATTTCCGTTACCAAAGCACCAATGCATCAAAAACTTGAGCCACGTTCTCGAAGCCGCCGGCTCGTCTATTGAGAAAGTTGTCAAGGTCAATGTCTTCATTGACGACATGGATAAATTCGCTGAGATGAACTCCGTTTACACACAATATTGGGGTGACATTAAGCCTTGCCGGACGTGAGTTCTCTCTCTGTAAAACAATGTTACTTTCAGAAGCTGATTTGTTTTGGATAACAGTTGCGTTGCTGTCAAAACTCTGCCCCGTAACACAGACGTCGAGATTGAGTGCACTGCTGTCTTGTAGGTATGCTGAATACTGTTTTTTTTTAATTTCTTATTCATATTTGTGATTCTGTTGGTAATGCTAACTTGTTCTTTCTTATCGTAGATCTGATGCTTCGGGGAGCTCCGGAGAAAAGTTCGGCAAAGTCAAATCCTCGCTTTGATAGTATCTATGGATAGATATTAGGTACTCACATCTTTGGTAGCTTAGTGAGAAGGGTAAAAGCTAGGAATTATATAATAATTACAAGTTTTCATGTGACATGACTACAGCATCAGGCGCTGTCTTTGTTTCGCACACACATGTGTACATGTCTATATCTAACGGCGTAAAAATACAGATGGTATCAAATATCAAAATAAGACACTGTATCAGCTCGGCTCATTACTCACCAATCTTCCTAATGTATCATACGCCTCTTGAAGCAATTCCCACCGACAACCCTCAAGAGACTCTCTCACTGCCTGCAGTAGCTCAGAGGTCTCTTGGGCGACAATATCAATCTCTGCGGAGTCGTGCCTTAACAGCATTAGCATGCGCACGAGGTACTCCTCGGCACTGCATGATATCCGTTTCTCCCGGTCTTGGTGGGTCTGCTGAGTTTGGTTTCTTTCGCGCGACATTGCACCATATGCCCACAAGATCAACGAGGCATGGTATATCGACCATGGTCGAAGTGCGATGTTGTCCTTGGTTGCCCGATAGACCTGTCCCGTAAATATGCTCTCTTGTATCAACAAAAGACAGTGATAGAGAGCCTTTTTTGATTCCTGTCTTTCGCTCCATGCTCGCACTCGCGCTGTTGCTCTGAGTCGGTCGTTGGTTGAAAGCAAGCTGCCCAGTAGAGATGGCGCACCTGCTAGGATATGTATGTCGTTAATGTCAGTGTAGATGGCTACGTAGGCCATGCGATGTAGTGGTCGGGATGCCTCTAGGGCAAGGGATGAGCTCCGCGACACAAGTGAGAACGACCACGTATCCATCGCTCGCTCTAATGTCTCTTTCCACGTATCGATTGCATCTAAACGCGGAGAATGGACTGTCGATATACGACCCACGCCAAGTGTAGCCGAGTCTCTCGCTTTCAGGTGAGCCGTCACGCTGAACAAACCGTGCAGCAAAATAAATCGAGAATATGGACTACAATGCGGTGGTATCGGAGTTCGTGCTAATAGCCGCTTCAAGACTGGCAAAAATCCAGGTGACTCTGGGGTCTTACGCATCATTCGGTCCCAATCTTCAGCTTTGCTACATTCCCACAGAATATCAGCACATGGCAGTGGCAGACGCACATCATGCACAGAAAGAACGCAGGTATGCCCGAACATGAAGCTATGCTGGGCGTCCATGACAAAACCAAAAAATGCGGTTCGATTTGAACCCTGCATTTCAATCCACTGATGCCACGATTGCTCTACCGCAGTCGTACCAGGAGTTGGTATTGTTGTATTCTGATACGCAACTCCGCGTTTCATCAGTGTAATGATAGCGCCGTGAAAGATGTGTGCTAGTTGGTGATGTTTTCTCGTGGAAAACATTTTCTCATGTGCTTGTATGATCAAAAGTGTTTGGACACACCATAGTGATGCGGGAGGATCGAAGTCAGGGGTCTACATAATTAGTATTTCTTCTTTCTTCTTCCTTTTCATGAAAATTTCGTTCTAAAAAGGATACGCAAGACACATGAGATTCAAAGTACTTTGAGAAAAACTTACGCCAAATATGAGGTATCGCAATGAATCATGTATCTTGTTAGCAGCATCATAATGTACTGCGTCCCCTGAAAGTGTCGACCCCAACGTGACTATAGCCGCTACAAGCAGAGGCGACGCCTTCACTGGATCAAGCGTGTGTTTATGTAATATCGGAAAGTGTGGATGATAATTCTCAAAATAGAGGTTCCAAAAACCCGCCAAATGATTGGGATAAAAGAAAGACGATAGCAATATGTCCGGATCCAGAGTGCTCAAGGCCTTCAACAGGTTTGCACGAACCTCGGTCCATGGAGAAGATGCCGAGGACTGGGTGGATGAAGGATGGCGAATATGAGCTGGAGACGGCACTGGGAGAGCTGGTGGTGATGTATCTGTCAACGAAGCATTGCTATGTGGTGACGTGCCTGATGGCATGCCAGCACTACCTCCTGTAGAGTTTAGGTCGGCGGAGAGATTGTCAAACAACCATTCAAAATCTAAGGGCGGATCGGGAAAGTTGATCGAGGGATCCAAGAAAAGAGAAGTAACCTGATCTTCGCCAAATTGAGGAGTCGAAACGTTCATATTGTGAGGATCGGGGTGATCAGATATGCCAGGATTGCGGAAATCAATTGGTTCCATGGGTGGGATACTGTGACTAAAATCGATAGGAGCATTTTCCCTTTCTAGCTGGGCTGCCTCTACGGCAGCCATTTGGTGATTCTGCGTCTCTCCAGTGGTCTGATAAGCGGTCATCTTCACGGGAGACATATCTGATCCAGTCATTTGAACAGCGTCCTCCTGCTCAGGCTCAGTGAACATGGCAGTCGATTCCATGGGCTGAGACTGGGAGTCAAATGACGAGCTAGAATCTGCAGCCACAAAGCCACCAGAATTTCGGAACCACATCCCCTTTGCATGGCGCTCTTCATGTCTTCTCAGCAGGTCCTTGCGGACGAAGCGTTTTGGACATGACGTGCATTGGAAGATCTGTTTTGGGCTGTCTGGTTGACGTTAGCTAAGACTGGCACTAGCCGTTCGCTACAAAAGCGATTCGTTTCACATAAGATAAGATACGTACGGTTTAGCCTGTGTCTGGCCAGATGCTCTGCGCGAAGAAACTTCTTTCCGCACCCAGGCTCGGTGCATGGATGTTCTCTGGGCATGAGGCCTGCAGAGAATATCTTTCTTTAACTTGACCTTAGCAGCAGTAACAGTCGCTTTGAGCTAGAGGCACGTCGGCGCTACATGGCGCGATGCAGTATGGTGATGAATGGTTGGACGATTCACTCATTCATCGGCGAATGTCGAGTAAGGTGAAGTGCCTGGGTGCCTGAGTAACAGGGTATCCAAGTGGGGCTTATCTAAGCAGCCTTTGATTGGCTGGCTTGATTGTCCCGGGAACAACCAATCAGATGATGGGATCTAATCATAGACGCCCAGATCGGCTCCACAAATGACACCATAACCCAGATCTGTTTATTTCAACTATTGACCACTCTATTATACGTGCTACAATGACATCTCCCCGCCGGTCTTCTTCCTGGCAAACTCAGCAACAAGAAGACCCATCGTCTGAAGCAAGCTCCTTCTTGGAGCTGGGGCCCAATCATGGCTGGCAGATGATGTCGACGCGGGGACAGAGTTTGCCGGGGCTGCTAAGGACGTATTCGTTTTCCGAGAATAATAAATACGACTCATCTGATGATATTGAGTCCAGCTCTATCAGAGATGCTGTTGCTAGTAATAGTAGGCATTTTACTGCGTCACCCACTCGTGAGAGGCCTCACAGGCGAGGGTCGCTTCTTATCGGAGATACGACACCGTCTTTTCGATGGTACATTCACCCTCCCCGGCCTTCTTATGTAGTTGTTAGTATGGAACTACGTCAGCTAATTGAATGTTAGGTCGGAATATTACACGCCTCCAGTGCAGCTAGCCAAGCTTCGGAAACCAGTGTAAGCATTCATTTGTCCATATCAACCAAGCACAAATAGCTCACCTGAATCACGGGTAAGCCGCGAGTACTACACGAGAATGAACTATCTGGTTTCCCGTTATAGCCTTGTAGACCGCTTGTTGGACTCTTCAGTGGCTCGCGATTTGATTGAAGACTACGGTCGGTTCTGGGCTAGCAATCAGCAGGGCAATTTACAGACCATTACAGAGGAGCAACCTATACCAATCGGAGGCACTTCCGCTACAGATATACCTTCGACTGGCGTACAAACGCAAACCTCCGATATACCAGAGACGAATTGTACACGTCGCCTTTTGAATGAAAGAACGCCACTCTTGCTCTCACCAGACCAGGGAAGTGAAATGGTTGAATTTTCACAGTTGTCCAGGGAACAAGACAACCGTCGAATTGTACTGACTGCTGTCTACGTTAATCTGATGGCGAACTTACTATTGCTAATTGCCAAGATTGTCGTAACACTAATGACTAGCTCTGTGTCCGTCCTTGCTAGCTTGGTAGATGCGGCATTGGATTTCTTGAGCACGGCGATAGTATGGAGCACAACACGGTTGACCGTGCGACGAGACCGATTTCGATATCCTGTTGGTCGACAGCGTTTGGAACCCCTGGGAATACTTATTTTCGCCGTTGTGATGATCACCTCTTTCTTCCAGGTTGCGACAATTTCATTGCAGCGATTGTTCGGGGAAGATCACAACCTGATCGCGTTGACTGTTCCTGCGCTCATCATCATGGCATCGACTGTGACTATCAAGGGGCTTATCTGGATTTGGTGTCGAAGGATCAATAATTCCAATGTCCAAGCACTAGCTCAGGATGCTATGACTGACGTCGTTTTCAACGTATTCAGTGTCATTTTTCCTCTCAGTCAGTTTTTACCAAAGGAACTATACCTATGATCAAAACCAGCTGACGCAAATAACAGTCGGCACATTCACTAATATATGGTTCCTCGACCCTCTCGGTGGTCTAATTCTTTCAATATATGTGATCGGCAATTGGGCGACCACCGCAAACGAGCACATCGCACACCTAACTGGCGCCGCTGCATCAGCCGCTGACCGCAGTGTTCTATTATACTTCGTTATGCGTTTTGCGGCCTGTATTCGCTGGATACAGAATCTGGAAGCATACCATTCAGGAGATAGACTGAACGTGGAGGTCGATATTGTCCTGGATGGGAATACGAGCCTGCACGATAGCCATGATATTGGAGAGAGCTTACAGTACATGCTTGAGAGTCAGATGGCAAGCGTCGATAGGGCCTTTGTACACCTGGACTATGCTGAGTATAATTTACCTACGCATGTAGATCATACACATACCTAGGTACTTACTGTTGCCTCGATATTTCTTTATAAATCGATATTGGACAGATCTTTAAAATGTTAAAATCATTAATTCTTTTTAACACGGTTCGTACCTGGGTATAAACCTGATAATCAACAAAGCTCATTACAGAAATCCAAATTCAAAAGCAAAAAGACAATAGAAGACAAGCAGGGCGAACCTCCCGATTGAAAACCAGATCCCAGCAGATAATCAAGTACTACCACAACTGCGGTACAAAGCGGTCAGGCGGTTTCCTGTTACGCATACCTCTGCGCAGATTCTTTTCGGATCTTGTCATTATCTGTTCTTTCTTTTTTGTCTGCTTCCCCTGCTTCCGACGTTCATCACCGCGTCGATTAGCCATTCTTGGTGCCTGCATTCTAATCCGCGCACTTCTTCGCACCGGCACATCGACATCCTCATGCAGACTTCCCCTGGTATTGCACCGGTTTCGTGTTCTGGGTCTCTTTGCGGGTGGTGCTTCTGCATGTCTCTCGGATGCATTTCCGTCTATGCGTCTTTTTCTGGATGTATTTGCCGTTGGTGGACGGCGCTCTTCCCCCTGTTCCTCTGGTGTCTCTGGTACCTCCTCTGGTATTCCCTCTAATACATCCTCCTCTCTTTCCTCCTCCGCCATCCTCTCCAATACCTCCTCTGCTATCCCCTCCAACACCTCCTCTTGTACCTCTACCTTTATCCTAGCTTCCTCTTCTGCTACCTTTCCCTCTTCCTGCCGCGTTGATCTTGACATTGGAATCGTATCACTTGTTCTTCTTCTTGGTATTTGTATCGGTCTTTGGTCAAAGAAATCCAACCATTCCTCAAACCACATCCCACTATGCCGTTCACGGGCTCTCTCTCTTAACTCGTCTGGCGTGAGTCGCCGCAGGTATTGACTTGCCTCCTCTGCATCCTCACCATAGTATACGAGTCTCAATCGTTCTAGTTTTTGCTTTTTCTTCAAGGTCTCGTTGAGCAAATTCTCGAAATCGAAATAGGCTCGTTGGTAGACGCTAATGTTAGAGGAAACTGAGGCATCTGTTATCGGCGTTATGGTAATGTCTGAGAAGCCCTCTTCTTGCTCTCCATGGGGTACATATGAACTTCGGGTAGCATAGCTGTTCGGAGGTAGCGGGCTACTTGGCTCACAGTTTTCTTTATCGTCTTCCTGTTGCTCTTGGTCTTCTGAACTCGCTTCGATAGTGGACATCTCACTCTCAGGGATATCTTCTTCGTCTCCATCATCGTCTCGATCTCGGTTGGCAGCACGTCTCAGAGACGCCGCGACGGTGGGAGATATTTCTCCGCTTGTTGAACTTTCCCTCCTGCTGCCGTCCATGGTCAAACCCGGTTCGGATGGTAGGTATGCAGAAGTGGTTTTGGATGATGCTTGACTATCAGAAGACATCCAATTAGGCAGGCGACAAGTTTAGTACATGGTAGGAGTCCTCCCATAAATACAGTGAAATAAAAATCAAAGACTTTGCAAAAGAAAAAAAAAAAAGAAAGCCTTCCGATCTCCTTTGAACATAGATACACATAGCATTGGAATTGTATTGATTCTGACAACGTCTAAATCCGGAAAGCGGACGCATGATACATCGTCAATAAAGCCTCTTTTTTATATCCCTGTTTGATCGTTTTGTTCGTCTTTCCCCCCTCCCTTCTTCTTGTTACTCAAGAGATATGTATCATACTTCTTACAGTGAAACCCAAACATGAGGGTGAAACTTGGGAAACAAAAGACATTGTATTGTTGAGACACGCACAGCGATGCCCTTTTAGGTTAGCGCCTCGCGAGGACGAGAGAATAGATATCCTCCTCCGGGGGTCCTCAAGTAGTCGATCATTTCATCTTTCTGCCTTCTTCGTTTCTTTGCCCTCATTATTGCATAAATCTGTGGATAGCGTATGAGGCATTACCCTTTAGTCCATGTAAGCCCGAAGCGGTTAACCCTCGCAATGACTAACAATATTGTGCCCAGCAACATAACACTACCCATAAACATCTGCATATACAAGTAACTACCATCATCATCAGCCTGCACAAGTGCGCCTGCAATCGGATTGCCAGTCAAGGCTGCGAAGGCAACAATAGAGAGAACCATTCCCATCCTTACGCCTGTCTTTTTCAGATCGTCGGTCAATGAGCTCAGAGCAACAGGGAACAAGCCCTGGATGCCGGCGGAAACGAGTCCATATATCACAGCCCACACATACAGACTAGGCGTGCTATGGACGCCATACCAACCGTATGCCGTTACAGCAGTGCTAATTGCGAAGGGAATCAAGAGATTCAAAGGTCCCGTCCAGGCATCGGATACCAGACCAGGAACAATCCGTCCCGGGAGGCCGATACCACCCATAACCATGAGTAGGTCTGTAGATGTCGACGTAGAAACACCAAGAATATCACGGGCATAGCTACCCACATAAAAGAAGCCAACGTATAACCCCCAAAGAACAAAAAACATGCCAATCGCAAAGCACAAGTAGGGGATTTCCTTAAAGGCAGCCAATTCGACAATAGGCCCGCTTGGACGCGGCGGCAGTCTTTGTCGGAGGAAGAACAAACCAGGGAGCAAAGTGGCTAGAGTGAAAAACCCCAACGCGCGCATAGTCCATGCAAACCCTGCTTCCTTCAAAAGCGAGTTTATCATGGCGGGGATTATCAGTCCGCCTGTTGCGGACCCGGCTGCTGTGGCGGACATGGCGAGTGCTCGTCGTTTATCAAAGTAGGTTGGTAGAAGAGATAGAGTGGGGCAGAACATGAGACCGCATCCAATGCCTTGCATGATGCCCTGGGAGAGGAATATCTGCCAATACTCGGTGCACAACGAAGTCATGAATAGACTGAGTGTGGCGATGAACATGCCGCAAGCCCATGTGAATTTAAAGTAGCCTGCATCGGTGGCACGACCTGAGAACGTGCCAATGAAAAAGATCAAGAATGTCTGCACACTGCCTATCCAGGAAATGTCTGATGGCGACTGATGTAGAGTTTCAGTGTAGTATGTTTGAAACATACCGAAGGAATTGGTGTACCCCCAGGTATTGGCTATTACAAAGTGAGCAAGAAGGACTTGTGACCATGCCCTGATGCCGCCGTCTGGAGGGGGACCGGGGTTTCGCCCAGACTCTCGCGTGCGAACGAGGGTCAAGGTCCTGGTTAGAATAGATGTAGCAGCATCAGCATCTGTGTTTGCTTCTTCAGTTCTCGATCTCGATCTGGATCTGGATATGATTGCTTGGTTATTGACATCGTTGTCGTCCTCCCGATCATCATCATTAGACGATGTAATCGTGTCTGAAGTTCGCCTTTTCTCATCCTTCCTATCATTATCATAATTATGATAGACCACAGAAAGCTCTGATCCTAGCTTTTCTCCATCCTCATAAAATTGCCCGCTCCTCCGTCTTTCTTGCTCAAGGTCCGGTCCTGAATGAACGTGCGGTTGCGCCTTTTCCAAATCTATATCACTGGGTTGATCCATTATGATTGGTTTGAGTTCTTATTTGATTTTGAAACCTGCCCTTGTATATAGCATTAGAAACAGTTCAGGCTATGCAAATGCCGTCAATGTCGGCAAAAGTTGGAAATCGGCTAATCGTGAAAAATGGAAAAGCGATTGTATTCTAGTCAATTTTCACGATCCAAAGGGCGCTGGGTATTATCATAGACGTAATAATGGCAGTGTAAAATCTAGACAGTCGAAAAATCTTTTATCGGGACGAACTCCACAGCGAACAAGCGCAAAGTAACTGTGGATGCACAATCAGTAGTCACCCCAATGTCAAGAGATGAAAGCAAAGGAGGAAAAGAAATACATGTAGTAAATTTCCTTTCAAAAAGCATTATTTCATTTCTTTCTTTTAGCAAAAAACCGAATATACTAAATTGGTGGTGGAGAGCAACCTCGCAGAGAAATCCGAGATGGAGAAGATAAAAGCAACAAATGCCGTGGACTACTAGCGGCTCCTCGAAACCGGGCCAGGGTATGTTGTCTCTGCATGAAAACTCACAACTCACCGCTCGACACATGATTGATAATAGTACTGGTTTTAACCTCAATGGCTGTGAAAAGGTCGCTGTATGGCTTACACAGAGGGAAAAGCCTTGTGAGATACAGCCATTCTGTCGTGCGTCTCAAACTGCTTGTCTGTTGGCCTCCAGATCGTGCTGTCCCAGAATCCGCTTGCCATCCCATGTGTTCGGACACAGATAATACCTCGGTCTTTGGACGTGCGTATTCATGGGCTAGGTACAATGGTTTGCGTTTCCTCATAAATGGAAGCCCAAGCCTAAGTCTTAGACTGCTGTAGATGTTGTCTTGATAGCTATAGCCCTGACTTATTTAGCCGGCTTACATTTGTTCGCGCCGCTCTGCTCGACCGTCCCAATCGTCTCGGCTTGTTGATCACAGTACCGTGCCATTTCGATGTCCTTGTCGGTCAGACCGCGAGGATAGTGTGTTGTCCAGTGGACGCGGACGGAGCCTGACTTCTAACCACAGCCAGTCAGCATCAATTGGCCTTGGTTTCCGGAATGTGTCAATGTATCCGGCGACAAGCAAAGCAAGATGGACAGTCTTACAAGAGTTATTGTTGAGTGATGGTTCTTCGATTTGCTTCGAATGCCGATGACTTGGGTGAAGTCCTATGCAAAAGAAGGAATTGGTTAGGCAATCACATTGACAATTAAAGAGCGGGTAAAGAACACACCAGACATTTCGTATAGGTCTTGAAATAATACGTCTTCGCAACACCCGCGCGGTCTTCATCCAGCGTCCATTGTTTTTGCTCGATCAGTGACCGAAGCAGCGCCGATAGTCGCTCGCAGTTGACAGAGTCAGGAAACACAGGTTCCGCACTATCCGCACGATCCACGGCAGATGCGAAGTTTTTCCTAGTCGGTTGTCGCGATCTTGCGGGACAGGTGGTTGGAAATGCAAAGGGAAAGGCGGGACGGCTCAATTGCGGCAATGAGCGCCGCTGTAGCAGATGCGTTATTTTTGTTCTTGTCGGTGTTGTAGCAGACATGGTTTGTGGTAGTTGCGGCAGTTGTAGTAGTAGTAGTGGTAGTTGTTGTTGTTGTTGTTGTTGTTGCTGTTTGCGCCGTCTGAGGAAGCTTGGGGCCCGTGACTCGGACGCCTCAGGCCACGACACTTTCCTAACACGACACCTTCCCAAAATGGACAATTCTAAACAGTGAGCATTCTGGGCCCTACACCCATCACTAGCGCTCTCATAGTACATTGCTATACTTTGCACTTTGTGTATTTGCTAAGAAACAAGAAAAAGCGTCTATACCGAACGCCACATTTTCATCGTGCATGGCATACACCAACATGGTGGATAACGGACAGCATAGGCTGCACACATAGCCCAATTAGAGAAGCTTACTAGGGAAAAATCTTATGATGCTTGTATATCTCGTTCACTAACTAGTTATCCAGTGCACTGCTGACGTTAAGCATGTAGTCACTGCTCAGTTATCGCCTGTATCGTAAGTTCTCAGGGCTCGAGATGTTCTAGACCCTATATCAGCATATGGTTAGTGTGCGACAGTGATACGAAGAAAGCTTTTTCCTGAGCGCGAGTCCTGGGTACAACTCCTATTCTCCACAACTAGACATACTATCTCCCCTGCTGTGGCTTGACCCTGGTGCTGGATTGACGACGTCATCGACAGCTTGCCGATAACCGAAAGTGAGGTCAATATGAATAGTTACTACTGTGAATATTACCAGTTGCATGAGGAGAGATTGCGTGGCCATGAGCTATGATGCGCGATAGGGTAAAAACGCATGTGGAAGAACAGAACAAGAAAGTGGAATGCCTGAAAGCTACTACGTTGAAATCTCAACATCATCGACTCGAACCTGACCCACAGACGATTGGATACATAGTCCGTGTTGCTATCAGATAAGCTACGGCGAGCTAGATCTCTGAGTACTCGGGACTCTGCACAGAGATGCTGAGTTGTAGAACAATTGAATACTGCAGAGTCGCTATTCAGCCAGATGATCTTTGTGTAAACATAAGTTCTAGAAAATATCAAAAGCACGCACGCCGGGACGGAGCCACGGCCTTAGTCAGCGGCATTAAACGCTTCGTCTCGCCGCTCGGAATGTTCGTCCGAACGGAGCAACACACTTGCCGGCACCGAACAACACAAAGCGAAAAACGATGCGGAGATCTCCCGCTTAAAGCGGCACGTCGGACTTTACAAAGTTAAACTCTGGAATGCGGTTCCGTGCGAGGACATCACTCGCTATGACTCGGCCTTACTGATTGTTCTCAGCGATTCTTTACAGCCAAGTCACTCTGTCAGATGAGCCAGGAGAAGAGCATTGGATTCAACAGGGTTACTAACGCGCGAATGGAAGAGCCAGAAGCCGGTAACTATGTATGCAGGCTTTAACTAAGTTATGGCCGGAGTTTACGTATATCCGTTCGCAAATACGACAACTAGCCTGGACGAATAGAAAGGCCGCAAGTACGCTGCAGGGAGATATTGCTACGTATTATTAGAATATTCCAGGCGATGATCCAGGTTGGGACCCCTTCCCCCAAGGAGCATGGACGGACTCTTGGAGTATGAGTATTTTTGGACTACGGAGCGTAGTAATACTAATACTAATACTAATACTAATAATACAACTCGGAAGCATAGCTTCCCGGACACTTAGCTGGCTGGCCAAGTGCAGTAGTGTCGGCGACACGCTTTCTCGCGAGCGAATGGCCGATTATCCGATCTAGCTCTGCAACTCGATCATATAATTCGATTGGGCTTGACTGAGGGAAAATCATATCCGAGTCCCCGCTGATTTATGATCACCTGCCCCTGTGAGAGATTTTTTTTTGAGAGAAAAAAAAAAAAAAATAGATAAAAATTTTTTCGACAGTTGTATAGTTTGGTTGATAGTAAACCCCGACGGATCAAGGATGCCGAGTAACGAGTTGGATCCTTGTTTTCATTTTAATCTCTCAACTGATGGTTTTATGTCATGTTCTGTGTGTGTGTGAAGATGCCCATACTCATAGTATAGGCGTACATACCATCAAGAAAATAGATGCGATGAATACGAGGCGTATCGTAAATTGGGATAACTCCGGCGTGCCTCCTGCTGCCCCACAGCGTCGTTATGAATGCTGACTATGATGATTATGTACAGAGTATGTCAAGAAAAATAAAATCATAGAACGAACGTGCATATGCATAATTTAGAATACCGGCCATTACGTCTCAGCCACAACTCAGCTGCAGGCTGTATGACAGGCAGAGAGCAAAGCTTCCCTTTTCGTCCAGCTCCCAACTCTAAAAGCCGTTTACAGAAAAATACCGATCTAAACCTGGGTCCATCAACTTTTCCTGACTAAAAGCATAACTCTGCTGATTCATAAATATCGAGAGTACCTGGCTGCCTATAGCCACAGGCTAGAGGGTTCCTTATTTCGATCTGGCTTTCGTCACTGTTACTCAGCCAGGAGCTGTAACTAGCCAACTAGTGAACAAAGGCACGCCCACGATATTAAACCAGACCACGCCCCCCCCTCCTCCACCTGCTTACCTATTTCCTGCTTACTTGCTTCCTCCTACTTTTATACCCCTCTATTTCCCAATTCTTCTTTTCAATCTGCTGTGGCTAGTCTACATTTAGAGCGAGGCCAGCTTACCAGTAAAGGTAAAACATTGGATCGGTTGCATTTCCAACAACTCTATACGTGCTATCATCGCATCGACAACCTATCACCTACACTGCTTCTCCAATCCCGGTTGCTGATGCCATCCTTACCAGCGCCGAGCTTGTTTTGATATTCATTCCAACAACCCTGGTTTTATAGCACAATTTCCGCAACACCTATTTTCCAACACGGAATAATATCAGTGCTGGGCACGAGAAAAGGGTGAACGACATTGATATACGATCATGACTGCTCGACAATCAACTCCTTCGTCGGAGCATTCAGCTCACTCAGACAACGTGCGCAAGAGAGTCTGCAAGGCTTGCGATCGGTGTCGCCTGAAGAAATCAAAAGTAATCTAGCCTGTGTACTTATGCTTGATCAAGAGCCAACTTAACTAACCACCGCGCAGTGTGATGGTGCAAGTCCGTGTGGGAGGTGTCGTGCCGACAATGCCATCTGCGTGTTTGGCGAGCGGAAGAAGGCACATGACAAGGTTTACCCTAAAGGGTGCGTCCATCCACTTGCGTGCCTCCGAATGATTGAATAGTGTCAAACTAATGCAAATATGCTCGCAGATACGTGGAGATGCTCGAACAACAACAGGTATGGCTAGTGAACGGACTGCAAGAACTCTATCGACGTGCCCAAGAAGGCGAGGGCTGGACTGGAGAGCCACTCAAGGCCGAATCCAACGGCCACCCACTGACACACGACCTGCTCACACGCCTGGGCGCATTGGACCATACCAAAGGCGAGCAATTCGAAGAGAATGTCGAGTCAATGCAACAAAAGCTATGGCAACAGAACCCAGGATATATGCAACGACAAGAGTCGTCCGATGGCAGTTCTGACACTGCCCAATCGCCTATTATTAGCAGCAGTGGCAGCAGCAACAACTCTAATAATCACCGACATCACATCCATCACCACCATAATAATAACCACCGTGTTCATCCTTATAACGTCTCGGGGTATGCGGAAGCCCTATCACGACGCCAATTGCCCCCAACACCACCCAGCTATAGTCCGTCATCACAAACGATGACAACGATAAAATCAGAGCAAGGACAAACGCCGGCGGCGTCAACAAATAATATTAACACCGGTTTCAGGTCAACAGTCGCCTCCACGTCAACCCTGCTCCTTTCCCAACAAGGCATTAACCCGATGGCTCTACAGAACCCGCAAAACAATTTGCACCAACAGCAGCAACAACAACAATCACAACAACCGTGGGTCGGTAGTAATGCGAGCGCAAGTGATCTGAGTTTCGACGATCTAGATCTCCTCGGAAATCAATATACGATGTTTGACGAGGCATCCTCTTCCCCGCCTCCAATGTTCGCTACTCGTCAACAGCAGCAACAATCGCAACAACAAATGCCTATAAGTTGTTTACCACCGAGTATGCTGTTTGATGCGAATGATGATTTCAGTCAATATTTTAATCCGAATATGGAAATTTCTACCATATGATCATTTCCTCCCTCAATATACTTTGGGTCTTTTTGTTTCTTTCTTGGAAGTTGATGATTCTTGATCTAACGATGTAATGGCCTGTACAATTATTATCTTTTTTCTTCTTTCTCTTCTTTCCCCCTTTTAAGTCGTTTCATGTACAACAAAATTTCGACGCTATTACCAATGCAATGGCTATGCAAAAATAAAAAAGGAGTCAATGGCTATCTACGGCGATAAGGTTTATTTTTTATTTTTATTCTTTTTGGAATCTATTTGCGTCATCGTCAATCTTCAAACTTTTTCTGTAAAAATAAAAATACAAGAGTAATCCATCGGACGACAAATTTCGCATTCCTTACCAGAAGCGGAAATAATACCTCGGTTTCCGAGTTGGAATACAATGCGGCGCCGGCCGTCCTTTTTCACGTCGGGGATCTAATTACACGATCAGCCTATCAAACAGTTACCTGCAAGGATGTGGGGTGTGAGTACGACGTAGTTTATTGCTAAAGTACGTAAAATACATGGAATTGAGTTGAGTACGAGTAAGTTGTCAACGGGATTATGTTAGGTTACGTGTCTGGCTGCCTGTCCGTTGATTCTGCACTACTTTTAAAAGTCTGGACAGTTGAGGAAAGCGAGCTGTAGAAGAAGCATGCTACGTATTAATGTTTTATTGCCGTGATTCTACCATCACAACTCGAAGGATATCCAACACCACAAAACTATATGCCTAGTCACGGCATTTAGCCAGGGTCTCGAGGCGTTGTTATTCGCATCTTATATGGAGTGCTATTATTATTGGAAATCATTGTATGCCGAATCCCGAGCCGCCGCTGTCAGAGTTAATTAATTGTTTGTAAGCTAATAACTAACGGGGAGTTCTACGGAAAATTCGACGTGGAAACTTCATGCGGAGATTCCATGGAATCCACGGAGGGTGAATTTCGCAAATTCCTAAACCCGGCGGAATTTGAGGAGGTTCGTATAGGTATCCGTGTGTATATCCGTGTCGCTTTAACTGACTCCTGCAAAGTGCTCTGATCTGATACGTACGTATGACTGCGTACTCCGTAACATTTTTTACCCTCTTTTCCTAAAAGAAAGAAAGAAAAAAGGAAACAGGGAAAAAAAAAACAATTAGTTAAATTACTATCACGATGGTTTCAACTCTATTCTCTGTCTGGTGTGCACGGAGGTGATAAATCCCGGGTCCGTTTTTGAGGACTTACTCAACATTACTTAGGGCTTACCCTTGGGACGCACTATTGTTTGATTATAAGCGGTCTTGGGTATTGAGAAGTTGATAGACATTTAATAGTTCATGTTTAAACCGCATTCGTTCGTATGACTATGTACTATATAAGCATGGATGATTAGTTACTATCAACGCGAGAATTTAGATTCAGCGTCTCAAATCCAGTTTACATACTTGTTTTTTTCCAGTGATAGATTTTTCGATAGACAGACAATACTAGTTACTAATTATTTACCTAGTCTCAGTCAATGTTACCCAAGGCCAAGAAATAGTACACATCTGTCCGTAACTAAACTATAATGATAAGTAATCACGTCTGAGATAGGGCTGTATTCTGCTTAGCTGAAGTTAGTACGGCCGATCCTCTGGACGTTGGTAATGAGTAACTACGGGCCTTATCATTTGTCGTGCAGCAGATCAAATTGGGGACATTCTTGTGTTATGCAAGCCACGCTGTAACTACTCCGGACCCCGTGCAGAGTTGCATGACCTGAATCATGATCATCGATTCACACCGCTGAAGCTTACTAACACGTTTTACAAGCCTCAATTCGAATGCTAGTTAAGCCTACCGGCGATGATCAGCTCAGTCAATCTGGGATTATAAGATCAGTTTTCGTGGCGCAGCATATTCAACTACATATGGTCAGACAGACACGGCCCGGCTGCATGCTGTAACCGACTGCGCCTCCGTCAACTTGCGTGTGCAGCATATGAAGCTGGTGTTTCACGGGACATCTGTCTTGCCTTGTTCTGCCACGTAAAGCTCGAATGCATGCTATGAATATTTGTTAACTGTAGGCATGTCACACACAAATGCCTGTTGTGCAAGAAATCAACCCCTCTAGTTCTCATATCCTCCGAGGCGTTCAAACAGTGGCTTGTTTGCTGTACCGTTCTCGTTCTTGGGCGTTTGACCATACATGCTTGTATTAAGTATTTCTGATTCTTTCTTTTTCAATTTACAATTCAGACGTGACAAGAAGCATCTCTATTTACCCTGCGTTTTTAGCCTAATTTGGCAAGTGATGCCTTTTTTACCGGGAACTTTTCTCGTCAGTTAGAAATGCCTAGGTAGATTGACAGCAATAATATATCGCCGATAGTGTAGATGCATCTTAAACTCTCCTCGGCAAGTTCTTTTCTTTACCCGGTCTATCTGACTGGCAAATTGATCATTCTTCGAGGTTGTTGATACTGACATTGTGAAATCCGCGGGGTACAACAAACGTCATAGCCCGCCCCTCACTAAATTGGGTTTACCCCATACTTTCGCACTCTCATAAATCAGGCTGTTGCTTCCGGTCGCTGTAGAAATCAATTTACCAGAAGCAAGTCATCAAAATGTCCAACCCAGAAGAGTCTGCATTCACCTTTCTCCCCCTGGGAGCCATCATCCAGGAGTTCAATGTCGGCGGGACCAACATCGTGCAAGGCTTCAAAACGCAAGAGGACTATGTCAAACATAACTCCCCCTTCTTTGGCGCTACAATTGGTCGGGTGGCGAATCGTCTGAAGAACGGCGTGCTGGAAAACATCAATGGGCAGGATTACTCTCTAGCGCAGAACAATGGTCCGAACGCGCTGCATGGGGGTGTCAAGGGCTGGGACAAGCGTGTTTTTGAGGGTCCTACCGCTGTGAATCGAAACGGCAAAGAAGGGATCTTTTTCAAGTACCTGAGTAAGCATGAAGAGGAAGGTTATCCGGGTACCGTGGAGGTTCATGTTTGGTACACGGCTAACAAGGAGGATGGCAAAACTGTGCTGGAAACCGAATATGAGGCCGAGCTTGTCGGAGATGAGGTTGAGGAGACGGCTGTGAACATCACCAATCATTCGTGCGTATATTTACCCTACCTTCCATTATTATCATTCTTGATAGTATAATTGGATTACTATATTAACATTCTGGCTAACAATATCGTAGGTACTTCAATATCTCCGGTGGCGCAGACATCCGCGGGACTAAGGCTAAGCTGGCAACAGATTCCTGCATACCCCTTGACAATACCAGCATACCATACGGCCATATAGACAAGTTCAAAAAAGTCAAAGTTGCTGAACCCTTTATTCTGGGCACCCCCGAAACCGAAGTTGATGACTGCTTCTTAATCGAAACCGATCCATTCAAAGTACCCCTCGATACCCGGTCTCAGGCTTTAAAGCTACTCGGCGAATTCAGCCACCCGGACAGCAAGCTACACCTAGAGGTCTATAGCACCGAGCCCGCTTTTCAGTTCTATACTGGTAATTTCATCGACGTCCCCGCCGTGAACGGTCTGCCGCCGAGGGGCAAATATGCCGGTTTCTGCGTTGAGCCTAGCCGCTATGTGAATGCGCCCAATATGCCGGATTGGCGTCATATGGTATTGCTCAAGAAGGGACAGATTTATGGCTCGAAAATCGTGTATAAGGCATGGAAAGAGTGAATGAGCATTGCCATGAATTACATATTCGTTTATGTATGCATAAAGTTATGCGTTTCGTGCATGCATAAATTTATGCGCATCATTGTTTGTAGAGAAGGGATCATTTTGCATGCATTCATATCATCCTTGAATTTACATCTTCATGTGAAATAGGTGACTGACCAATGCCAGATGCCTATTTCTTCCGATAGATGGAATGTCGAAATTATACAAGCTTCCACTAGATACATTATCGGTCATGCAGGTCATATACATATCATATACCCATGGCCAGCCCAAAAGCGTATTACCTCATACAATCATAGTATTAGACCCAAAATGAATTTAAGTCTAGTAATCTTGGTCTTCCCAGTTACCGTCAGATGGTGCCGGGCTCTTGCCGTCGTAGTACTCCGAGCAAGGGGCATAGGCGCAAATGTTGTCGTCAGCAGCGCGGAGCTGGCCGAATGGTCTCCACCACATGTCCATACCCTCGCCACTGCCATCGGGCTGGGGAATAGTGCTGAGGTTCCAGTTCCTTTCGAGGGTAACAACTTGAGAGAAGTCTAGAGCAAGTCAGTCGGTCAGCTGCGGCGTTGTAAACGTATCTTAAGAGGGGAAATAACTCACGATCGTAGTACTGTTGGTCAACACAGTCGTAGCACTTGATGGTGTCATTACCCAGGGCAACAGTGTAGATGAGATTGGGCAAGCCAAAGTTATCATTGATGTAGATATCTGCGACGGAATCAGCATTATTCCTAGCTTCAAGTATGTGGCCTAAAAGAAAGCTTACTGTTTTCGTCAAAGGTAAGAAGAATCAAAGTGTTCCTCATAAACTCCTCATTGAGCAACATGGTGTCGATCAAGTATTGAGTGTTGTTGACAGCGAAGGGAATGTCGGTGTTGTGGGCATCGTTGTCAAGGTTGGGGCTGTAGAACATGTACATGGGGGCTTTAGCACCGAGAGCAACATCTTTGGCGAAATTCTCCTCGGCATTCACGATGTTCTGGCAACGTGCAGTGTTGTTGCGAATGTTGTCGAAGGACATGAAAGGGTTGTGCTTGCTATATTGATCAATCAGCCAGTGCTTCCATTTTGCTTTTCATGGCAAATTTGAAGAGCTTACCGGACGTATAGAGTGGACTTGTCTTCGGTTATTGGGTTGCAACCACCGTCGGCAAGAGGAGTGTAGCCCTCCATGTAAGCTTTCCAGGTAATACCTGTGTTTTGATTCAATCAGCTAATGATATCTAGCGATGGGAAATCACAAGTTATAGATCGTACCAGCCGGCTCAAACAAGTCAATGATGCTCATTTCGGTGCTGTTGTGATCGGCATCATCATAGACACCGGCGGAAAGGGTGTTGGAAACCATGGTAATGTAGTTTGGCTGCACAATTCGGTGTCAGAAGCTCGGCAAATATAAGTCAAATAGGAGGATTGTTATATTACCTGGGATGGATGGGCAGTTCCTAAAGTCTTGATGTTAGAATGTCATCCGTCGTAATAACTTGTATGCTCGATTCTGAATGGAATCCTTACCATGGTAGTTGCCCAGCGTCATGCCCATGTTGGTGAGATTGAGGAAGTAGGGGTTGCCGAAGGTGACATCCTTGTTGGTGTTCTCAAGAACAATCACCACAAAACCTATCACATTAATTAATTCCATGTTTCATTTCGCAGGTCTCGGAACAGGGCATCTTCCAACTTACGGTCGAACCACTTTCCCACAGGCGGCGTGATGGTGCTAGTGGTGTTGGTCACCACGCGCTTCAGTGGCGAGGCACTCACCAAGGAGAGACCAGAGAGAATCAGGCTGGTGGAAAGCTTCATATTGTCGACTGTTTGCAGAATCTAGTCGTTCAGTCTTTGGATCTGGAGCGGAGTGGACGACAAGAGCCAAGACAGTCCGGGGGACAGCCGTTTAAGTATGCGAGCAGTTCTCAGCACGTGGGTTCCACGAGAGCTTCTTTCGAGCTTTCGGACAGCCCCCCATGACGGTTGTTTTTTCTCTCCTGCTGCTGTTGCGACAAGAGCACGTGTGCCAAAGGCTTGGCTCTTGTAGATCGTCGTGGGTCTCAGCCGCCTCTTGCCGCGCTGTTCGGGGAGTGGGTCCTTAGTCGCCGGTAGCGCGGCAGGCATCCCGCAGGTTTCAAATCTTGGCCACTGGCGAACGCACGTGGCTGCACGTGAGTGTGAATAGTGCGCCATTTTCCCCCACGCGATCATTGCTTAGCATTGCTTAGCACACCTTAGCGCTCATCCTTTGCTGCTGTGTCGGCGTCTTTTGTACAGTGCTGATTAATTCGTCCGTCCTCATTGGAGGAAGGCAGCTCCAAGGTCCTCAAACTTCAAGGCACTCCCACTGTGCATGCGGCCTGATTGGCAGCAGCATCTCTGTCTCGGATCGAATTACCCTCAATTCCTTGGTTTTGAGAGCGAGAATAGGTCAAACCTGAGTCATCCCTTGCGCTATTGAACGTTTGTGTAAATTTCGGAGAGCTTGCCGATGTAGTACGTGCTCGGATATTCCATCTGTGTGGTGGCATCTAATGCGTAATTACAAATTAAATCTTTGTGATAGGCTGGGCTGACCTTAGACATGCGTGTTTGATGGCGGCTAGTCTCTGAAGTGACTTAAAGTCACACCACGCGGAGATGACATATGACATTCCCATGGAGAAGTTGAACATACGATTAAGCTACTTCTACAGAATATCCCTTTTACAGTGCAACAATTTGTGCGTAAAAGACCAGGTTATATTCATATTCGTCCGTGACACCTACTGGACGAGAGAACTATGGACACCCCGAAGGCCCCAGGGCAATTGCGGTAACCGGGTTGATTTTGGGGATCAGCAATCAGCCTATTTTCGCGGATAGTTTCGCTCGCTGTGCAAAGGCCATCTGCGTTGGGTATTGCTCTGGGAGCAGAATGAGACAAAATAGATTTCATCTCGTCTCTACATATTTTCCAGAGACTGCCTGAATGATAGCTACCTAGGTGGTATTCTCATACTTATCAAGAAGACTAAGTTTCTATTAAATATTCTGATATCTATCAACAGAATAAACCTCCAGGGTCAAGCTGTCTCTTTGTACAACTCTTCGAGTACCACATCGACAAGGCTGACTTGCGGATTGCAGTTGTCGACACGGAACTAGGAACGTCACATAGTCACTGCGTACTTGCTTCTAGCCAAATATTCGTAGCGCAGATTTCGGCGGGCACAGAAAGAGAGAGACTGTTTCTCAATAACCCCAAAGGAACCAGTTTCCATCACATGTATAGTGATCTAATAGCCAGATTGTTAGTTGCAAGAATAGTATGGAGGTCTATTGATGTACGACAAGAGCGTGTGCATTTGGCAATGGGAAACGGGGGGCGAAGAGGAAGATCTAGGGTGGTACTTCGTTCTTCATCGAGAATCGCTGCTTGTCACATCTTCAATTTGGCTCAAGTCTAAATCTCTTCTTTAGATATATATACATAGGTATCTAGGAACTGTGATCAATTGGTGGTTGTCATAGTGCCACAGACGAACAAGCTATGTGGTCATCTCGCCTATGTAAACAACGAGCACAAATAAAAATTCTAGACTAGTGGCTATGTATAGGTAGATTAGTATGATGTCCAAGAAAATAAGATCCTCCTTCAACGGCTTGGAGCCTTGGGCCAGTTGGGATGGCAGCTATGTAAGCTGTATGTAGCAAGCCAAGCTTTATAGCAATTATATAGATATGAACACTTTTATATGCCTATACTATATAGTCTATAGTATATGTCACTATATATATTACATCTAAGAACTTAGTATAGACTCATAGAGCTATACTTAGGAACGAACGGCCTCTGATTGGCTGGAGCCAGGTGGGTCCAGGCAAGAGGGGCAATCTGGAGGGGTTTGGCATCTCTTCCCAAGGCATCCAAGGCCCTTTTTTGACAAGCTGTCAGTTCTCTGGTCAGAGCGATAGCCCCGTCATTACCGTCATACTCAACTTGCAATCCTTCCAATACCCGGTATTTGAGAATCAAAAGTCAAAGCCGCTGCAGCGCTTTTACCCCGCTGATCACACGACACAGTTTTCAAGGTCAGACCCTTGGTTTCGATTGACGCGCCGTGAGTTGCTCAGATGTTCTGCTTCTCTGTCTTTGAAGGTGTACTGACTCAGATTCGTCTTTTCAAAGTAGATACTACCTCTTACTCCTGCCAGTGTGTAACCCCCGTCTTCAGCTCCTGAATATAAACCGATCGATCATGGCGCCTCGCGGTCGTGGTGGCAAGTTCTCAAAGCCGACTAGAGGAGGTGCGTTATATATACGATGAAAAACATCCAAGCATACACAAATACCATGACTCACTTCCCTGACAAAAGGTGGCAAACACTTCAGTCGAGATGTGCAACCCGTCGACAAGGATGGCAACCCCTTAGGCATGTGGAGGGTAAGGAATATGAGAACCTTGCCTAGCTATCTTCATTTGGAGGAACGAACAGCAGCTGATTTTGCACCTGACGTTAAAAGGACCCCGAAGACGAATCCTCGTCAGAGGAAGAAGACGAGGACGAGTCTTCTGAGGAGTCGTCCGAGGACGACCAGCCAGGACCGTCGCAAGTGGCACCCGAGGAAATGACGCGTGAGCAGCGGAAAGCAGCAGCTAAAGCAAAAAAAGAAGCTGCTATCAGGAAGAGAAACCAAGCTGCTGCCCAACCCGGTGATTTGCCCCCCACGGATTCCGAAGAGGAGGACGAGGATGAGGGCGATTTACCAGCCAACCCAAATCATTCTGCCAAATCTCGCTCTCAGGCATTATCAAGTGGCGGTAATCAAGAAGCAAAGAAGGAGAGGAAGGATGGTGGTAATCACGAATTGTCTCGGCGCGAGCGCGAGGCTCTCGAAGCCCAGCAAGCTCGTGAACGATACATGAAATTGCACATAGAGGGGAAGACAGATGAAGCCCGTGCCGACCTTGAGCGTCTGAAACTCGTCCGCGAACGTCGTGAAGCTGAGAAGGCGCGCAGAGAAGCCGAGAAGGAGGAACGAGAGGCTCAGCAGAAAGAACGCCAGGAACAGATCAGTGAACGTGAGAAGAAGCTTCGTGAAGCAGCACTGGGCAAGCCTTCGCGCGGCAAGAAACCCTCCAAGAAATAAAAAAGAACTACCTTTCTTTTATGAGAAGACAACGGAATGATACATATTTTTCAAATATGTCCCTTTATAATAGGCATCATGCGAAGAGATCGGGAAATACACAAGACAGTTTCGAAAATATAAACATACATAAGACACCAACGCGCAATATGCTGCAGAGCAAATATAAAGCGAACACATCTCTAGAAAACTCCTAGATCAATTATAGAAAGACACTCCTGAACAGAGTTCATCCTTTCTTCTTCTTCCTTGACATTTCCGGGTTCTCGTTTCAACAAACCAAGTCCAGAACAATAAAAATATGATATGATATGATGATGTGCATAAATAAGCCTCTATGCTATGTCTGTATATATGATTATTACACTCCCCAAAATAAGCCCTCAACGCCACGGCCTTGAGTAATAACATTCCAACCCGCAATCAGACTTACTAGCCACAGAACAGACAGGACAAGAATCGGAAGCAAGAGCAATTCGGTATTGTGTAGGAATGGCAAGGCATTGTACCCGAGGAAGGTGATGTATGTATAGTAAAGAAGTGCCGATAGATAGAGCGTGTTGCCTAGGAACGTTGTAAAGAAATTCGCCGGGTTCCGCGTGAGTAGTGGCAGTAGTAGGAATTGGAGAACGTAGAGATGTAAGTATAGAGGGAAGAAAGCTCTATTCGAGACCTGGGTGTAATCGACAATCGTGAGCTACGGGAATTCATATATGTTTTGCGTGTTCCATTTTCGACTTCGCTAAAATTCACCTTGTGTAGGTACTGGTAGGAAACTCACATCAAAACAATATCCAAACTCAACCTGCTCCTTCTCTCCAGGCTGAGCGAACAATCCCTGTGCGGCGCCTCGTCTCGGCATTCTTGATCCTCTGAACCCTGTCAACCGTGCTGCAGCTCCATCAGGGCCAAATATACGCCCGATAAGGAAATATGCTATTGTCGATATGATCAGCGATGTACCGATGAAGTGTACGAAAATGAATAATATGGAGAGGCGGGATATCGATCCGAAACTGGGAGAATATGCAAGGCCCCAGGCTAATGCGGTCAAAAGCAGGAAGAACGAAAGGAGGTATGTAAATGAAGGATCAGGTCGGTGCCATGTATTCTTCGTTTCTTCGGTTCGAAAGTCAGTTATGTGTTAGGATATTGGTAATAAAGTCAACGAAGAATTATCCGTCTCAGTTGGGGAGGGTCATAAATACGTTTCTAATTTCAAAGACACTCTTAGGTCAGCTGCCAATATCCCGCGTCAAGCTTCACTTTCCAAGGCAAGAAGAGGTATTTCTCACATGGTAATACATTGATTTGAAAACCTTTTTGGGAGCAATCACGAGCGACGTCATCTCCCAGATGGCCATTTCAAAGTCCATCTGCGGAAACTTGAATAATCTAAACCGTAATTGATCACAACTTGTGAGCACATCGCCCACCATATTCGGAGATCGACCAGAAAATTGAACAAATACCTCTTGAAAAATCGTGGCATTTTGATGCTCGATCCTCCCCGTCCAGCTGAGCCAGCGCCGGAGCTGCTGCCAAAGCTGTGTTGTCGCGGTGTAGAGATGTGTGGGTTCATTGTCAGCTATCGGATTGACCGCAGGGGACGGAAGTCGTCTACTAGCAAATAAAAGGCGCGCTGCTTGGGAAGAAGTGGCTATGAAACTTTTCCCTTGACAATATATGGTAGCAGCTGCTTGCACGTGTTTGCGAGAGTAAGAGAGTTCGCTAGGTGCTGGCCATTGAATGTCTGTCTGATGAAGTTAGGCCCGAGGGCGGATAAACCATGACGATGGTCTTGTCTCTTTGCGGTTAGCCTGCCACGGGACCTGTCCAGTCACAGTGTTCACAGTGTCCAGTTGTCGCGTACCTCACTCAATTGACGACAGATGCAGATAATTATTGCTTTCAATTTGCGTCACTGCCATTGTATAGGATTTGCATCGTGCATTCGCTTATTATATACTTACTGTTAAACCACTCTTCCCGGGGTTCTCAAACGACGCCAACTCCAAGCAACAAATCACGAACCAAACAAAGAAAAAGGACACTAGACGATATTGGCAAATATGAATAGTATGCCTCTCATGATGTTTACCAGAAATTAAGAAGCCATCGCCAGGCTGTGCCGAAGAGGGAGCTGTACGTGCTGTAGTCTCTTTTTCCTCCACTTCTCTCGCCCTCTCTCGACGAAGCGTTGGTTCGATGATAAAGTACGAAAACACCGAAAGTACGCGGCAGGACAGTTGCATTTTGTCAATTATGGGAGCAGTTTTCTTCATACATAGCTGTCATTGAGTCCCACAGATGACTGTTAAGAGCCATCCATATCGTAACAATCTCTACCCTCAGATCAATTGCTGTAATTAATAAGTACATATTAACACAAAGGACAGTAGTTAGCTTTTAAGGGCTATTATGCTTCCAACCCATAGTCTTTATACCCAATGGAGGAAAATGCTGGAAGCTGACAAGGCCCAAAAAGTACCTAGGTAGTCTAGCTCAGGCATGGCTAGATATTTCTTCTGGCCCAATTCGAATGAATGTTAGAGATGTGTTTTCGAATACTTCTAGAAGCCAAGGCTATCAGTGAATGCATGGGTTTAACCCTAAGCCCATCTAGAAAAGGGGAAATCGGGACTGCAGTAAGTCTCATTCAGACTGTACTGTTTGATTTCTGGTTCAGTACGTTAAAAACTTTATTAAGAAATAGACACTGTATTCTATAAGAAAATTTGATATAGAGGTCTTGGCTTGTTTGTTGTTGTTTTTTTCTCTGCTTGTGTAAAAGTATTAATTAATCTCCTTCGCGAGGATTCTTCTAGCTCTATAAGGAGTACAATGCCCGGATGCCGGCAACTTCCAAATGGACAACTACGTATTATATACTACGTACGTATCCACACATCTTTCAACTGAAAAACCGGAACCGTGAAGGTTCCGGTAAATATATTGTACGTACTCGTACTGCGGAGTACTCTATAAGTTTACCTATAAGAGCTATAGTTAGCGGTAAAGCTCAACTGTCATCCTAATTTCCTGATCAAACATAGACTTACTGTTCTAATCGACGTGCAATCCAAATTATAATTAATCCCCGGTTAATTCCCAAACGATGCAGTAGGCATTTTCGTTCGACTAAACTTACCATTAGGTACTCCATGGTCAGGGTGTATCTTTATTCTACAGTCCTGCGTAGAGTGGGTAACGAACGTCTTTTTGGTTTGACGTATTTACAACCCATTGTGGATATTCAGTGGGACACACTACTGTAGTAAATCCTATACTCATAAATGACAGGGGTGTTCCAGACGGGCGGTGTCGTGACCCTTCGTATCGATCTAGGAGTTGACCGACACTCAACTCCACCCCTGTGATAGTTTATATACTCCGTACTGTCATGTGTTCCATAATACTGCCAGAATTTAATTCTCTGGGACTCACAATATGTACTTATAAATCGAAAGCGCTAAAGATGTGTGACGACAAAGCGAATTGATCTACCAACAGCCCCACCAGCGCGCCCCGTCCCGTCCCGCAATGGGTCGAAAGAAAAAGACTGGATGAAATCGGTCTGATTTAAAATGAATGATGCTTAAATTTGCGTTATTGAAAAACAGCAGTGTACGAAATATTAAAACTTAGAACATCGAAATATTCTATGGTGTCACTAGCGAAGTGTCATCTTTTGGTAGTATTTTACTAATTGGCATCCTGTCTCCGCACGGAGTGCTCTGCATCCGTATCCGGTCAGCTAGATACCTTGCTAGGTATTACAATGACTCGTACGAGTGCGTGTCCAGGGCTGACAGGTAATCCTTTGATTTGGCTCGTATTGTGCTGTTTCTGTGCTCCGATAATTAATAATAACTCATATTGGTTGCCTCTACTCCGTAACAAAAATAGAACTAGAATACTACATTGAGGAAGAAATATACTTCAAAAACGAGGGCATACTTATGCATGAACAATGAACATAAATCGCCTTACATATACGGAGTACTCCGTACTAGACTTCGAAAAGAAATGTCTGAGTACTAATACGTATCAATACATACAGAGCGCCCCTTGCCTAGGTATCCACGAGGAAGCACCAGTAGCAAACCTTACCAATCTGCCGGGACCGCATTGTGTTATACAACAAAAATTTCGAAACTATAAGAGCTACCTACCTAAGTCTGTATATAGTTATACCTCCGAGCTTGTGGAGTAAGCATATGTACGTACTTCGTGGGCGACAGGTCTCATTGGCTCAAAATAGTTATAATGGACTAACTTGGTCGGGCAATGTGACCTATAACTAGCTATGTAGTATGTAAACTAACCATTTTATAGATGCCAACTCCGTACGGGCAGGGTAGCCTTATCAACGGTGGTCCGCGGGACCAGCCCTAAGTTACCTGAACACCGTGGAGTTTCCAACCCTGCGTTTTTGCCAACAGGCGAAGTATGCCTATTGCCCGTACCTCTTCAAGCTGGAAGTGAATCAGCTCCCTGATGTATATGTGTCTAATACCTAAATATCTAATAAATGTAACGCAAGCGAGTGACTTACCCAGCGAGGCGGCAATGAGTCTCCTACGTATATATTGCTACCTAACCAATGCAAACTGGCTCACGCATGACTGCTGATTTCTATTTATCATCGAAGAATTCAAAATTTCATAAGACGGAAATATTTGTTAAATAGTTTACAAATCTCGATCCAAATCTAGTCAAAAGACATGACCATTCAAGTGCTTGAATGAACACATGTAATAAATGACGAATGAAAGATTTTTCTTCTTTCGAAAATGTAGTCAGACATCCTTCCCAGTGCTAATAAATATCAAATATCGCCAATCAAATGCTGTGTATATTTAATATACACGCCAAAATGCCACATCAATATGTCAAATGTACGCCACGCAAATAACTATAAGAGCTCCTGGAAGTGCATCCATCTTGCCCATGGAAAACAGGGGTGCGCTGAATCAAGGTTTGCTGGCTGGTTTTCGACCATGAGTGAAATGTATAAGCACGTATAAATGGTTCCGCGCAGACGATAATTCTGCTTTAACACGCTCCATCAATTCGCGCATTTCCTCCTTCGACCAGCCCAGGACACGCGTGAATGGCGCCAGTGTAAATGCCTCTAGTGCCTCAAACGCCTGAAATAACGTTATATATCCCAACTCTTTCAATCGCCGGTCTTTAGGCCATGGGCCTACTGGTAGCTATGTCAAACATATATTAATACCGAAGATGTGCGATGTATAGATAATCATTAGGACGAACATACCTTATATAAATCATCTCGCACGTCTACAAAACCCCGACTTTCCAGTCGCTCTTTCATCGTCTCTGCACAGTTCATAGGTTGGCCGATCCTGCACCTGGTTAGCATAATGATTCGCCAGATACATTACATGTAGACAGATGTTTTCGATGAAGAACTTTAGGTCCATACATTTCAGTCGCCCGGTTTAGATGTCGCGTCCAGATTGGGATTGCAGTTGTGCGCTCCAAGGTGCCATCGTCTGATTTATAAAATGCCTCAAATTCTTGCAATTCAATCACGCCGCCCTCATTCATATTCTCAAAGGCCTGTTGAAGCAATGTATCCCAATCCTTGATTGACCCGCCCATAGCCCGGCCATGCACAAAATCGAATTTAGAATCAAAAGTCCAGGGAGACTCGACATCGTCAACAAAAAACCGGCAGTTAGGCGGGATATTGCTAGGCTGGATGGGAGACAGATCGATTCCAACGACCAGACTTTCCGGGTTTACATCGGCAAAGTCAATTGCCCATGACCCTGTGCCGGTTCCACAATCAAGCACTTGACGTGGCGGCTGGGGAAACACTGCTCGATGTAGACGACCTCGTAAAAGCATTTTCATAATATGGTGTGCTAGATCGAGACGCTCCTGCTCTCTTTCATCGTTGGGAATCATATACGAGCCATCACGGTATGTATGATATCGGCGGCCATTTTCGTAATTGTAGCTGTGCAGCGAAGGGCTATAGCCTTGCCGAAGAGTCAATACATGGTGTTCTTTTTGTAAAAACCAAACAGAGAAGGAGAAATAAAGGGGAAAGGGAATGAACCCAGAATAAGTTTTCCTGAGACCATAAAAACTTACGACTTTCTGCTTCGCTGCTGAGGATAGAATCAGCATTGTACAGCTCCCCGCTCTAAGGAGAAAGACAGACGAAGTTAGCCTTGTACAAAGATTCCGGCACACACACACACACTGCTCGGCATTTAATGGAAAACGCCTTGGAAAAAAAGTGTTATGATGTGACTAGTGTAGGATAGGAGCTCACATCAACTTCAAGGGTACCAAGGCCACTCATCGTTTAGTTATTTGATTCCTATTGCTTCCCTCAAAAGCGCTTGGTAGTGCAGTTTCGCGGGGTCGGCGCGGCCTCGCGAAGCTGCCGAGATGACACCAGGAAAGAAAAAAAAAAGTTGGCAGGCAAGACAAGACAACTAGTCCAGTCTAAAATCGATTTATAATAAACAGTCCTATTAATATTCGTATTCGTGCGAACATTGAATAGAAAAGATAATCAAGAATTGTGTCATCTGACGAGAGAAAGTTGTCGTTGGGGGGGTTTTCTGACCAAAGTCTTAAGGTTCGTTAGGGCAGCGGTGTTACGTTTAGAGTCTCGGAATCTGGATAAGCAAGTAGCGGTCTTGTAAGTGTTCTTCGACGTTGGTAGGTTCCAGTGTTTCGTTCTAGATGCATTCATTCAGCAGTTCAAACCGAAGAAGAGACTGCAATGAATAGATAGGTGGAAATCAATGGTGCTGCCCTAGAGGAAAAATGCGTGCAACGTCAAGAACCATGGATAAATGACCGCGTCTTCGTTATTTTATTTTCGCCCGTTTAATACTAATCACGCCTGCGGGGAAGCTTACTAAGGTAAGCCTATCACTGCTTGTTGCGGTGCCCAAGACCCGGTGTTCTGGGTTGCTCGTATATTTGGGTTTATCTTAGTGATCTGTCGCCGGTCGGACTCCAGGCAGTGGGAACTGAGTAATAGCAGCACGCGAATCCCGCAGGACCGGGAGCAAGTAGAGTTCGGCTCTGCACATTGCGTTGAAAGCATAATTATTAATACTAATAAATTAATACGGAGTAATGTCGGTATGTCCCCGACCTGGTGAGGGAAGCTGGCATTGGCACGTGATGCGGGCGAGTTCAGAACCGGAAAGGGAAAATGCCAGAAAAAGTAAAACTCAAAAGTGATTTATGTGGGACACAGCAGCGGAGCTCATTCCAGTTCTGGGTTTAGCTCAGCCAATCATAGCAGTGCATCGGAATGGGCCGTCGAGCCGTTCTTTTTAACCCTAATTTAGTATTTTTAGCATCTGCAGCTACGGAGTACGTATCACGTATTTTCATTCCTTTGTGAACGTCAATCACTAGCACTAGTGATAACATAGCACTCTGTAGTAGGACTAGTTAGACAACGCATAATTTCAAGTGCAGACGGAGAAAAATTTTATTAGTCCTTAATATGATCGCCCGACTTAACCACGCACCTGCGTCCACCACGGTAGTCGTGCATTACGGAGTACTTAACTATATCGAGAATACTGTACTCCGTAAGGCGGATGCCTAATTCCCGAGTGCAAATTTGTCAGGAACAGGCATGTCACCGCTAGATGATTCGAGACAGTCGTTCCCCCTATCTTCAATATTCTTGTCAGTTTCCCGTGTTTCCAAAAATCAATACGTACTCCTCAATACAGAATCTGACAGCACAAGCAAGACTCACCATTGCAATCTGGCAAAGGCAACGGATTCTCCCGCTTTTAATTGTGGCCGCTCCTGTTTCATAATACAATTCATTTGCTGAAAAAGATGGAACTCGCCGCGTTGTGAAATTAACGAAAAAGGAGATCTAGAAACTGATCGAGACCGTAATTTGTTGTAGCCCAAACACGCGGTAGCTCTCCAGGGATACAAGTCTGTAAATAACAATGACAATGACAAATGACGCTAACAAAAATACCAGCTAAAGCTCCAAGTGTATCCGTTACAACTTACATTCAGACTGCCGATCAACTCGTTTTACCCGGGTTAGAGTGCGACTAGTAGCATCAATGGTAAATTGGCATTTACCATCAGCTCCTAGCCAGCGCCGTACAGCCTCTTGATCTCCTTGCCCGGGCCTTAAAACCGGAATTTGAGACGGAGCATCCGACAATTCTGTTGGCAGAGATGGCGTACGGCTCAAGTGTATTAGCGGTTGGTTAATACTGACATCAGCGTCATCCGCATCTAATACAGGGCTGACACAAGCCTGAATATCATCGAAAATACCTCTCCAATGATTTTGAGATTCAGAAAGAAACCTGTTGGCCAAGATGTCTCTGAGCTTAGGCCAATTCTGGCGGTCAGCTCGGTCAGGGATTGCAGCAGCATCTAAGCCAAGTCCACGTATCATTCGGTCATAAAATATGTCCTCGATGCTGCAGACCATCATATACTTTCCGTCAGACGTGCGGTAAACATCCGACCATGGCACATCATTGACGGGTAGCGAAGGCTCGTTTTCAGGTTGACCCTTTCTCCTCTGCAGTGGAAATATTGCCAGGTAAGAAGTACCCTGCTGGACACTTGCATCCACAATCTGGCCTTTTCCAGACGCAGTACGGTGGATCACGGCTGCAAGGATACCAACTACACATGCCATACTCCCACCGCCGAAGTCGGTTGCATAGTTGACTGTCACTTTGGACATCGGCCCACGCCCAGACTCATCCCCGCCATGCATATGCTGCAAAGCTGGCAATGCACCGGATACCGCCATGAAGTTATTCTCATGACCCAGTGCTCGAGCATATCGTTTGTCATGGCGTGAAAATCCCGTCACGCGCGCATATATTAATTTCGGGTACCGTCGACACAGTTCATCGGCTCGCATGCCAACCATGCGGTCAAATGCCCCCGGTCGATAAGGATCAATCAGTATGTCTGCAACCTCCAATAGATCGAGGAAGGCCTGACGTGACGCAGACAGTTTGAAATCAACAACAATGGAACTTTTATGACGACATATTGAATCAATCCATGCCTTTTCGTTGAAATTGTTTGTAGGAGGAGGCTCGACTCGTACTACGTCGCATCCAAGGTCGGCAAGAACCATACCCGCGAAAGGAGCGATCACAGTACCGGCGAGTTCGAGTACTACATTTTGATAGACTAGTCAGCTTTGTATTCACTAATATCGTTGAAATCTGCGTTTTCGTATCCTTTGAAGGTATCGCTGTCTTTTTTTCGAGTTTGACTAACCCTTTAGGCCTGCTAAAGGCGGTTTGCCGACACCGTCGTCAAGAGTCATCTTTGCGTTCTAATCCGTCATAGAAAAATAAAGCAATATCGGTTATCAAATATCAGTTGTGTATTTGCATTCGTTGGATAGGAAAAAGAGGAAGGAGGATACAAGCGTTGATAAATATTCTGCGCCTCCATTCTCATGTTATATGTATTGGACGAGCATACTGCATACAAGCGGCGTCGATCCCGAAAGAGTGCGGAAACCAATAGTCATCTTTTGTCAGCCAATAGTGCCATTACTAGCTAACTATCTGAGCAACATGCATAAATACTAAATTAGTAAATAGTGCTTGGGTTGCTGTCCACAACGCTGGGTGGATGGAATTAGACGTGCAAGATGAAGTGCATAGGGCCATACGTTGTACTTCCGAAGATTCCGAAGTATGGGTGCCATATCTTGATACCAACTCGCTTCATATTTCATTGTATGTTAGAAAGCAATACAACTTATCATGGGAAGAAACACCGTTTTCTTTATCTCATATAAAAATCCACGTATCCAAACACTCTCTTTATTATAAATATACGCCTAAAAACATCATACCTTTGCCAGCGACGCAGAAGTCTTTCCCAAATCTCCTTTCACAAAGAGATAACTTTCTAATTTTGCCTGGAGGTCTTTCTTTCCATCCACAATCTCTGTAACAAGGCCCAGAATCTGAAGTACAGAGCCGCTAATGGGGTGTGCAGATAGCGTGAAGTCCTGGGAACAGGTTGCAGCGTCCCCTTCTCGAGAAACATAACGTGATATAAGGTCTGTGAGGACACTCCGCTTTGTGTGATTTAGGTTGATGGTCGCTGTTTGAACCATGATCCGCTCATCACAAGCAAAAGCTAGAGCCACACCAGCACCGTAGGCGTGTCCGTTGAGACATGCAATGACTGGCTTGGGGGTTTGATCAATCGCTTCAAATAATTGCATTAGAAGGTCAAACGAAGTCACTTCCACTTTTTCATTGACATCTTTTCGCATATTGGCGCCCGTGCAGAAATACTTTCCAGATCCCGTGATTATTATGCGAGAAACTGAAGGATTGGTGTTGTATGCCTTCAAAGACTTGATCAATCCGGCAATCATGGATCTAGTGAGTGCATTTCCCTTGTTGGGCCGATTCAAGATGATTTTGAGATCACTTCCGGTCTGATAGATGCGCAGCTTATCGGCATGTTTGACTCGCTTCAAGGATGCTTTCACATACGTGATAGGACGGAAATCGGGAAGCCGGATCACTCTCGCTTGGGATTGTGTTATTGATATGTTGAAGTCCACAGCGTAGCTGCTACGTAGACTTTCCGAGGAGGATCCTCCGACTTGCTGGTTTATCCAATTCCCGATGGCAGCCAGATCAGGCAAGTTGACTCCTGTATGAATACCTGCGTTCTGAAACATGAGAACAATATCCTCGGTCGAGACGTTTCCTTTAGCACCTGGGGCAAACGGGCACCCCCCGAGACCACCAACGCTGGCATCAAACACCCTAATACCACAGAGGTAGGCCTGCAATACGTTTGCCACTGCTTGTCCATAGGTATCGTGAAAATGGCCGGCGAGACGATTTAGCGAAATGCCGCTTTTCTCCAAGTATCGAATCAGAGTAGCCACCTTTGCTGGGGTGCCAGCTCCTGTGGTATCGCCCAAGCTGACCTCATAGCAACCCATCTTCAACAACTCCTGCACACAGTACAGGACACTAGATGGTTTGGTTGGGCCATCGTATGGGTCCATAAATATGCAGGATACATAGCTGCGCAGGTATAATAAGCATGTAAGATTTTCACATAAATGCAAAAGAGACGCTTTTCCGTTGCTGTAGGACTTACCCCCTCACTGCAACTCCGGAATTTGTAGCTTTTTTTGCCACAGATCGAGCCTTTTCAATCCCTTGCTCAACAGTGCAGTTGATATTTGCTCTGCTGAAACCCTCCGTCGCGCTGACAAAAACAGCTACTTCTTTAACACCATGCGACAACGCTACTTCAAGTCCTTTGAGATTTGGCGTTAGTACCGGCAAGCGAAGACCTGGTTGTAGCTGTCCACCATCATTCGTTGTTATTAGCAACAATTCCCTTATAGCAGGATCGGCAAGGACTTGTTGGCAATCTGCTAACTGAGGCACCCTGCGCGGGGAGACAACGGAGGTGAGCTCGATACTTTGCAGGCCGGCTCGTCGAAGTCGCTGGATTAGTTCGATTTTTATTTCTGTAGGAATGGCTTCATGGATACTCTGCAGCCCGTCTCGAGGACCAACTTCGACGATGCGTATCTCCGGGATTAGCCGGGCCATTTCTGTATCTCTCTCTCTCTCTCTCTTTGCCCCTTCACTCTCCGCTTTTAGGAATGACTATATAAAGGCGGTTGTTGGTTTATTGCATAGTCTTTTGCTCGTCTATATTTTATTTTCAAGCAATCAACATCGAATCCAACATCGAAAGGAGCAGAGGATTAGTTAACATGCATATGATAAGCAGCGGGGGAAAATTCGCCGAGTAAAGCTGACAGAGCTGATTGAACCTCGGACCCCAAAATAGGCATATATTCTTCCCTTCGTATCAGTGACCTCAAGCTCATGGCTCAATGCAACGTCGTAAAAGGGTCTAGACTTGCGTAACAGAAACAATAAAAGAGAAAAACAAAAACGAAACAAAAGGTAAAGACGAAATGACGTACCGTCTGTCTGCTTGCGGCAACTCTGGCCTACTATGTGGAACCGATAAGAAACTTCGGCATTTATGCTACCTACCTAGAACTTATGCATTCTAGGATAAATTATTGGTTTTCATCCGTGAACGTGATATTTAATTCATTAGTTTGGCAATGAAAGACATGAAGATAAATGATAAATTCATCCAACCCATATACAAACTACTGAAAGTGGAGTGACCGGCGATCGATGATCAGGTTTCCCCGGATTTTCATTTTCTAACCTAAATAGTCAGCATCTTTATCTTTTCTAACTTATTAGTTATACTTTGATTTTCTTTTCTATTGGTTCATTCAAGTGTCAGACTCATTCTCCAATGGAAATATTAACTATAGGTTTCAGGCTTATGTATTACGCCTAATAGGAAAGAATTTAGCCCCTATTGACAACGCGATTTTCAGAACGTCTCGTATTCAGCTTCCTACGGATTATGATTTGAAGTGTAAATCATTTTTTCTCGAAGGGAGTTGTAGGTTTATTATTGTAGGGTATTAGAATGGGGAAACATTTGCACCTAGTAAACCTTGCGGTTTAGGGCTAGGGCTAGGGCTAGGACTTAGTAAGGCCCGAGGCATAATAGGTAGGTTGAGCACGAAATCTCAGTGTCGCATGTAACTAAAACATTAGGGTATCGTACCTAACTAGACTATCTCATATGATCGATCATATATACATGACAAGACATCAAGTTCATGGCAATAGTAGTTAATTATAAAGATGATTTGAAGTTCCACTGGAATATTAATCAATCACCGAATTGATGACATCTGACCAAGTAGATAATCAAGATTTTTTTTTTATTTTGTTTTTTTTTTCTTTACTCTTCGTGAATGGCCTTCTCCTCAAGTTTCAAGTCAGAGATATCACTGGCATTAGCCAAGCCCAGCTCCTCATAAATGCGTTGCATGCGCTCACGGTCCTTGCTTGCAATGCTACCCATGTCACCACCGAAGAAGACGTCGAGTTCCTCGAGGGTCTTGTCCTTGGTCTCAGGGAAGAATTTCCAGATAAAGAAACCACCGCCAGCTGAGAATATGGCGAAGAAGATGTAAGTACCGTATTTCATGGATCCAAGCATGTCCTTGGTGGTCAGACCGATAACGAAGTTGAACATCCAGTTCGTTGAGGCGACAATGGATACACCACGGGATCGCATACTGGCTGGGAAAATCTCTTGTGCAAGCACCCATGTGACAGGGCCCCAGGAGTAGGCGAAGTTGACGGCAAACAGCCAGATGAAAACAATGGCAACCCAGCCTTGTGTAACGGCAAGATGTTCGCCCTTGTTCCACTGGTCCTCGTACACACCCTCGACACTGGCGACGATAACGTGGCAGATGAACATACCAGCAGCACCGACAATCAGGAAGGTCTTACGACCGAACTTGTCCAAGTACAAGACAGCGGGCAGGGTGAAGGTTACCTGCAGGATACCAGTCACACCGGTAGCAAGCAACTCGGTGGTGGTGGAAGAGAAACCAAAACTCTCAAAAATTTGGGGCGCATAGTAAAGCACAGCGTTGATACCAGTAAACTGCTGGAACACCATCATCGCGCTTCCAAGGAATACACGCTTGAACATGTTGGGGGCGAAAAGGGCTTTCCATGGGGCTAAGATGCCACCTTCGCCGATCAGCTCGGCTGTGGTCTGCTCGTCGAACATAACGGCGGCCTTGATTTCCAATAGTTCAGCGCTCAAGAGAGGGTCGTTCGGGTCCAACCGACGAAGCTTGCTTAGAGCAGTACGTGCCTCGTCTTCGCGATGCTTCAACATCAACCAACGGGGGGAGAAGGGGAAGAAGAACAATCCGAAGAACACTAAAAGGTAGAAGATTGCTTGTTAGATCAAAGATCGCGCTAGAAGGAACATATGATAGGCTGTTGAAAAATATCTGTCAAACTTACAGGTCCAAGCAGGAACCAATTGCAAGGCCAAAGGCACACGCCAGGCAACATCAGTCTGGCCAGTGCAAGGATGGCCATGGTTCTGCTCGTAGTTGTAGCTTCCGGTGGAAGTATATGGGTTGGTGATGCCCTCGGGCTTACACTTGTTGCCGCCAACGTAGGAGAAGCCAAAGTCAAGCCAGAAGGCGACAGTGGTGCCGATGGTGATGGAAAGTTGCTGTAGCGAGACCAAAGATCCACGCAGCTCGGGAGGGGCAATCTCGGCCTGGTACAATGGAATGACCATAGAGAACATACCAATACCGAAACCACCGATGATACGACCGGCGAAGAAGTAGGCGGGTGACTGGGCACCAGATTGTAGACCAGTACCGAGAGTGAAGACGAGCACAGCAACCATCATACTGTATTTACGCGAGATCACGTCGGACAACCAACCGTTGAAGAGAGCACCAGCCCAAGCACCCAGCTCAAGAGCAGCAACGAGCCAACCCTGGATGGTCGAGCCCATCAAGCCGGGGAACTTGTTCATGAAATTCTCCATAACCAGGATAGGAGACATAACACCTTGGTCATATCCGTACATCATACAACCCAGGGACACGAACACACAGGTCAAGAATACATAAGGATTCTTGAGCATACCACGGAGACCGTGGGGCTTGGAGGCATTTTGGCGGCCAACCAAGGACTGGCTGTTCTTTGCCTCCTTTGTACTGGAGGACAGATAGGCAGGCATGGTGTGTTGTTGTCTTCTGTATTATCTTGAACTTTCTTCCAGGCTCGCAGCCACAACGAACAGAAGAAGGGAGGAGGAGAAGGGGAGACACAAGGAAAGAAAACAAGAACTCGGGTCGTGAACCCGGGGTGTTGGGCCTATTTTATAAGCATCTGGGGGCGAACCCCAGACCAAAGCGACTGCACCTTTTTTTTTCCCTTTCTTTTCTGTTTTTTTTTTTTCCCCTAGCTCTGAATTCATTGACCACGTTACATGGCAGCTCCACTTCATCCTTTCCTCCCCCAGTGGAGGACTCCGTACGGAGTAGTTAGGGAAAGGAAAAAAAAAATCGTGCTAGTCCGGTGCGGAGGACCCCTGTCTGTTTAGTGCCACCCCCCCGACTTCTGTCTGATACGTTCATTACAAGCAATCTCCGTTTTCCTCCCCCCCCCTCCTCTCCCCATTGTACGGTCTTGAACCAGTCAGCATGCCGGAGGACCTTTATCGTTCATCCGGTCTTCTTTGACATGCTTTGTTTGAGGTCTGGCAGTGTTGATTAGTCTATGTATAGTTAGTGGATGTGACTCGACAACTTGATGGCAATTTCACAAGTTGCTCATGGTTGCCTTAACGTTAGGTCACCTAGCCTATGTGCTGAGAACTTAGCTGTACGGAGTAGTATCATCATGAAGTACGTGCTAGTGCAACATCACTTTCCGTGCACTGGCTGCCAACTACGGAGTATTTGAGCAAAAGCCAGTGTTGTTAGCAGACTGACTCGCCTATCACTCTCGCAGACTTGGGAACGGCCAGAACCTGCTTCAGTCCGCAGTAACACGCGACCCCGCGATAGATCCGTGAGAATTTCCGAAAGTGATAACCAATGCTAATTCGCCGCCACATGCCAGCTTTTCAGACGTCTTTCCGCTTGCCAAGGACCGAAAGAGGTCCTGTCTTACGTGTATGAGAGGCTTGTTACCAAGGTTTAATGTCGGGGGTTGGCTGATGGTGAAATGAGGGTTATATCCACCATGTTACTTATTCGGTTCTAAGTTAATCTTGCCCATGGGCCGAACCTTCTCTGGGGACGAATCCGAGTGCTGATTTGCGGATGATGTCTCAAAGCGCGTGTCTAATTAATCATTTTAGCCCAGTTACCATGAGCGACTAGCAGGAGTTGGAAGTATTGAGGCTGAGGCCTAGTAATCAACTATGCCGCCTGCAGAGTAGGCTTGATACTAGCTCACAACCCCAGCATCTTAATATACGATGTAGCACGGAGTTTCCTTGGCCTCCCTCGTCGAGCAATTTCGAGGTAAACAACTACGTGCAGGACGCGATCCTCTTCGTTTACTGATGAATCCTTCCTATGTATCCTGCTACCTGAAGCCAAAGGGCCTTAGCGCTGCCATTCGGGGTAACGTTGCACCCGTTTGGACGCTAAGGTTGCAGCAAACAGCGCGTCTGCTGTCTGCACTATACGCTATAGTGACTAGTATACTCCGTACCTAGAAGCGACGTGAAATACATCAGGCCGCGAAATGTAAGACCCAGTTAGCCCTAATCCTGCTTGAATGATTTGCCGCTACCCCGGCTGCAAACCGGTCAAACACTGCCGCATCGAGACATTCCTTCCGAGGCGTATCGAGCTTGTAACTTGGCTGAGTCTGGAGTGGAGAAGAAATACACAGAGGCTGGTTTGCTTGGGCGTTATTATTGTTTTACGTATTCGATTTACTTTCACGTGTCCGATGGATCTCATTATTCTCCGCATTTTCACTAAGCAAATGCAAACCCATGGCTGGCCACGAAAAACGTGGACTGCGCGCACCGAATGCCACGGACGGGCACAAAGCTTGATGGTCTTAAGCAAAGATTTTAAGGTTCGCATTCCCACGTTCCGTATCATTACCTCTGGGTTGAAAATGCTTTACTACTTGCTGACATCTGCATGCAGGCTTGACTAGCTTTACTTTCCCCGTACATCGCTCCAGGCCATACATAGTCTTTGGGCAGAATACGCCACTTTTCTATAACAACATGATTACGTGGAAAACAACAGTCAACATGGATAGAACCTGCCCAAGGAAGTCATACATAGCAAATCATTCGTAACACTAGAAATCTTCCGAATAGATTTGCTCCAGAATATCTCTGTACAACACATGTGGATCATGGATTTTTTTTTTTTTCTTTCCCTCTCTCTTTTTTTTTTCTCCCCCCCTAAAATCTAAAATTTGGAAGGGTCTGGGAATTCGAAAGAATGTTTATCCGCTCGCTAAACCAAGCTCATGGGATCCCGAGATGGCTGGGCCGAGTGCCGGAGAAGTACGGAGTACACAGTGACACTCACGCAATACTAAGTAGCCACCGCAATTTACATTTGTTCCCCCCGGGGACCGTAACTACTCCGCGGGTTGGAATTTGATTAGCATGGGGAAGTCTAAATTATGATCTTTTTGCCGGTATTCGGACCGAGTGTGCAACTGACGGCTAGTCGGCTGCGAGACTACACGCGTGGAAAAAGATACCTGTATCCTTACTTCCACTTGCCTGCGTCGGCTCTTGAGCATGGCAAATTTTTTTATTTGTCACGAGACTATTCCTTGAGAAAAGTTTTTTCGTACTCCATACGTGTCTCCGTATGGATACCCCCGATGTACACTAGTCTAGGTAACTAGTCCATTCTTTGTCTCTCTCTCGCGTACGGTGCTGTGCAGTAATCTATGAGAGATCTCTTATCCCCCTTGTTCTTCGGCGTCGATTTGCCGGTCTAGACGACGGAGCTTCTATTTGACTCGGATCCCTGAGTGTGTGTGGCTTTACTACTGGTAAAAAAAAAAGCGGTTCTAGCCATTGGACCATGTGATAATGCCTGCCTCATGCTGCTTAACCAACTTTGTCATTACTTGGATAAGACGGCCAAGATTCCCAGGTTTGTCTCTTTAGTGCAATTAGGGTTAGGGTTAAGACTGCCTGCGTAATCACGTGAACGCTGAGTCGCCCCTTTTTCTCACTCTAGGGGGAACTTCTTTGGCAGGTGATACTTATGGAATCTAGCGTAGTTCACTAAACTACCTGTTAACTCAGCTGGGAGCTTCCTTCTCCCGAACAACTTAAGTACACCTCTCATCCTGCTTTACCTGGACGCTGCTTTGTTTTCCTGCATATAATTATATACTAAAAGGAAGGCCAGGGAATCAGGTAGGCAAACTCTCAAATTTCCCCCCCCCCCCCCCTCGCCACCCAAAAATCCCATTACGCAGGAAACGGACGGCATATGTTATAAGGGAAAGATATGAATAAAACCTGTCTCTACGCATAAGAGCGGATCTAAGCAGCATGGCTGCGCTGCAAGCAACGACAATGTACCATTCTTTCTGAATTGTACTCACGATAGCTTGAATGCATCGTTGACGCAATTGGGGGCTGAGGCTTTCCAACATGCGACTCTTAGTTCCAGCCATCGCGGCTTGAATATCGGAGTCTGAGTATCCAGTCCCTTGGAGAATGCGCTTGAGTTTGTCAAATGTCAGGTTTTGAAAGATGGCGCTCGCGATCACAAGAACCGTCACCTGGCCAGACTGCTGAGCGATGGTAAGGAAGCGTATCACATCAGGTGCATCGGCGGCATTTACGATCTGTGGGCCGAGCGAGAAGCCTGCTTGTGTAGTAGTCATACCGAAGCCCACAAGGATAGAATAACCATAAGTTGTCGCCATGGCAGTAGTCTCATTGACAGTGGACCATAGGGCACTACCCACGACAAGGAGTATGCTGGCGGCTATGTAGCAAACGATGGGGTACCCGGTGCGTTTCATCAACAGGCCGCATGTAACCACCCCAGTGATGTAGGTGCATACGTATGGCAACATCCGGATGGCGGACTGTGTACCCGATTCTCCATGGACAAAGAGAAAGTACAACGGAATGTAATAGATGCTGATGAAGATTGATCCTATGCCACATGCTATGCAGAGGAACGAACCGGCAAGGTCCCAGTTCTGAAAGAAATGGGCAGGAAGCACTCTATTTTGGCGAGACGTGAAAACGCAGAAATGCTGCGTGACAGCAAAGGTGATGGACGCGACGCCGAAAAGGACAATCAAGGCAATGGTCGAACCGGCATTCCAGGCCCAACGAGAACCACCCATGGAGAATACCAAGGCGAAAAGAACATAGGCTGTGCTCACAAGACATATCCCAAGCCAGTCGAAGGAGCACAGTTTGCTGGAAACGCTCATATCGGGGCGCCGGGGTTGAGCAGGGAGAACAAGCAAATAAACTGGAAGCATAATGCCAACAATGACAAGATTTATGTAAAATGCCTACTTGGAGGACTCAAGGGTGAGCTTTTTGTTCTCTCTCTCTCTCTCTCTCTCTTTTTTTGGGGGTCTCTATTTTTTTTCTTTTCTCTTTTTCTATTTTGTTTAAATATCCATGTTCCGATCAACAACGCGGCCCTTTCCGCCATGGTTCAAGATTCGGATGCCTGATCATGCGCGTCCTTGGACTTGCGTCGGCGTCACGCGCCTCGGAGAGGACAATATGTGCGTAGGGAGTGAAGTTGTTGCGCGCAATTCCAAGACTGAAGGTCAAGATGGAATTGGAGATGCTGGCATCGCTGCAAAAAGGATTCGGAGATACCATTACATACTACTGCAACCGGACTTTGTACATATAACGAATCCTAATGTAATAAAACCCTCCCTTCAATGCACAGGCCCTGTCTGAATTATCTTTTCCTCAACAGTCATCTCATCGAGGCTTATATCTATAGCAGAAATATGATTTATGACAACGCAAACGTCCCACCCGTGCGGAATTTATATTCCGCTTTCAGGAAATAATGCATGAGACGAACAACCGCAACTTTGACATGGGAGTCAAGACTACCAGTTGTCCTGAAAAAAGTCAGCGAAAGGAAAGCACAATGCAACAGGAGGCGGATTTGCTATTCCGCCACAAGGCCAACGACAATCAACGCCCACAGCGACGACAGTACACATCGAAAGCCTGCAACGAGTGCCGTCGACGCAGAGCCAAGGTGAGGAGACTAGAATTCTCTTGCTGTGGCACTTCAAATGCTGACTCGACGAGAGTGTGACGGGGCCAGTCCTTTCTGCTCTCGCTGTGCCCAACGCGGCATTGCTTGCCAGTATAGGGCCGAGGAGGACAGGCGGCGACCTGCCGCCCGGTCTTATGCTGAGATGCTACGAGGCCGGATCGATCTTCTCGAGCGCGTAATACGGCTCAACTCTGTGGACTTCGACGCCAGCATCGCCGTGCTCAAGACAAGGGAGCGATCGCGAAAGCTTGGCGACGAGTCACCGTTGAGCAGCGATGAGGCCCTGGACGGCGATGCCAACAGCTCGCCAGCAATATGCGAAGAGCCCTCTGAGTCTTTCAGTGGGATGCTTTCGTCAGATAAAGCTCTCAACTTTGAGCGAGATGGGGAGATCCGCTACTTCGGGCCAACCAGTGGCAGACTCAATTTCGGATCCCGAGACTGTAAGGACATCTAAGGCCTCTGCGATGGTGATAATGATAATACTAAACAGCTTTTCTTCTAATTGATTGGCAGGCAATACTACATATCGTACGAAAGTGTCAGACACGTCGAATCCACTCGCAGCCGAATTATCCCATGTCCGCGCCCAAGTAAATCGAAGTTTCTCCTCCGATGACCACGACACCATATCAGAACAGCTCAAACTCCACTTGATTGATCTATATTTTGAGTGGTACCAACCATGGTGCCAAATGGTGGATGAGCACCTTTTCCGAGAGTCCCGAGCCAGCCACGGCCGGTTCCATAGCCCCCTGCTAGAGCATTGCATCTTGGCTGTCGGCGCAAGGTTTTCAGACGTACCCGAGCTGAGGTCCAATCCGTCTGATCCAAATACCGCAGGGCTTTTGCTTTTTGACAAGGCCGATTTGAAGTGGCCGACCATCACTACAATACAGTCCCTCAACTTGCTGAGCATCCTACACGTGGTAACCAGCACAAAAAATTTACCCCGAGATGAAGAGAGCATCAACAGTTAACATGGAGTTAGGCTGTTGGAGCCGACGCTGCCGGATGGCTACGTCAAGGAATGGCGATTCGCCTAGCTCTTGACATGGGTCTGAATCTTGATGCGGCTTCTTTGCGCGGTTCAAACTTGTTAACGACCGAGGAAATCGAACTTAGACGCCAGATATATTGGGCTCTATATTGTGACGACAAATTATACGCCATCTACACAGGTCGTGTGTGCACCATGCTGGTGAGTTTCCCTGCTATTTGATACTCCATACATACCCTAGACTGATCGCCAGTTCAGTCATGTCAAGCATCTGTTCAGTTACCGTCTCTTTGTCCTGATAGCTCGAACACTCAATTGACTTGATATTGCCGGAAACATACAGTGGCCAATTTCTCGCCTTGTTGTCTAAATCTACTCAAAGGTTCAAAAAGCTAGTTTGGAGGTATAAAAATTTTTTAAACCGTACATATAGCGATCGATGTTGAAATACAGAGTGCCTGGCACTGGCAGATGCGCCGCTTTGCTATGCCCCCTCGCCGACAGTTTTTTCTCATCGAAGGCAAGTTGTGACCTCCCAACTCTGTTAACAATACTAAAGGCAGTACGGATATCATTGTTCAAAACTTGCGTGCGGGTGTGTGAGCTTCGAAGAGCTTATCCAGCTCGTCACACGTCTTCCCTTTAGTTTCGGGGACAACGAAGTAGGCCAGGACAAAAAGGCAAACACCAGGTACGAAGTATACCAAGCCAGTCTTGGCACCAAGATTAGCATTCTCGGTGTTGACGAGATATGGAATAGCAATGGACCAGGCCATATTAAACAGGGAGTTAACACCGGCGGCCAGCGCGTTGCTCTTCGAGCGTAGTCGAGAGGATGTCATCTCGCTTGTAATAGTCCAGCCCACCGCACCAACTGATATGTAGTAGAAGGCATTCCAGATGATGCACAGAATAGCAACTCCGATGCTGGTACTTTGGCTTCTAGGCTTGACGAAACCCAAAATGCCGATCACAAGAAGACATAAACACACAACAAAGGAGCCAAATAGCAGTTGTGGTCGCCTTCCAACGTGCTCAATTATGAGGAACGAAAAAGCTCCTGCGAATAGACCAATAAACATAGAAATAAGCGTGATCAAGAAAGAGTTTCTAAAACCAGAGAGGTTAAGAAAGTAAGCCAGGTAGTTGCCGCAAAGACCATAGCCCATGAAGTGTTGCATGGCCATTGGAAGACACGCGATGAGCGTTCGTCGAAAATCTGTTCCCTTGAAACATTCTATAAAGGAAGGTGCCTCGCTCTGATTCTTTCTCTCATGTTCCAATGTTGAAATAATAGTGCCGAGATTTTCGTCAACGCCGTAACCAACTTCTCTGCCTCTCAATTTGATCAGGGCAGCTCGAGCTGCACCCGTTTTGGAATTGGCCACGAGATAGTACGGAGATTCAGGTACCACTGGAAGAAACAATGCTAAGCAGATGGCACCAAGACCAATCTGGGAGACAACGGTTCCTTTCCAAGGCCATGCGTTCGGTACGTGAGTAGTGCCCTCCAGAACGCAGGCGGCGAGAAATGACCCGACAATGATCCAGAACTGGAAGAGAGAAAGTAGAAACCCGCGAACGTTGGCTCGGGGCGAGCTCAGAGACGTAGACAGGAACGGTGCCTTGCATCTGGCCCATGGCATATCCAAACAGAAACTTAGCCGCGATCCAGACTTTCCAATTTGAATAAAAAAGCTCGACGAGGGTGCCAATTATCGTCAACCTCAAAGCATGGGTAAGGCATTAGCCATTGCCACGTTCTTCGAGGTAACTAAGTCAACTCACAGTATGACAGAAAGGAATGCAGGTCTCCGGCCAAAAGTGTCATTGAAAAGTCCCGAGCACAGAGCACCGACCAGGGCAGACACATATTGAACAAGGCTCCAAATCAGCTGGTGGCTCGCTGGAAGAGCCCACGACTGAGCAGCATTGTCGTATGTACCAAAGAACTCAACGAACTCGGTATTGGCAATAATGGAACCAATCAGTGTCATGTCATATCCGATAAGTATGGCAGCAGACGAGCATGCAAATGCTCTTTTTGACATCATGATGGAATTTAGCAGGCACATTCCTCGCAGGTTCCTAGAATTTCACAATACCCACAGGCAAATGCAGCTCTCGTGCATCTTTTCAGAGCACGCAATGACTCTACCCACGTCAAATGCGGCAAGATTATTTCGGAACTGTTGCCATGCTCCAATGTAGATTGCTTGTCGACGACGAAGTCGAACGACTTCTCAGGCTCAACTGGAGTGGACATGGATAGTGTATAAACTTCTTGTTGTATAGCTTAGATTGAGGGTGGTAAACGAAGGGGAGAAAAGTTGTTTGTCTTTACCAGCAACGCGACCTCAATCGAGTTTACATATACTTCGAGACAGTAAATATCATGCTCGTACTATAAGCATCCCGGGTGTCTAGGGTCTCGGATCAGTATTGAGGGAAGTGGCTGATACCAGAGCTGCTATCAGGGCGGAATTGGAATTCCGCTCGCTTTTGAGTTTGGACTTGATAGTAGAAAAGTTTCTCTTATCTACATAAATACACAGTCACTTTATTTTGGTGCTCCGCAGGTTCCATATCTTAGGGTTAGTGACTTGCAGAAAAAAGAATACGGAAAGAAAGAAGAAACCCAGGATAGAAAAGAAAATATCATTTATAGGCACAATTTGTAATGCCATATTCTCTGTGTTCAAAGCCGCTGGGTCATTGACTGTCCGAAAAAGAGTTGTACTACTTCATTGATGTCAACGTATGCCAGCTTAGAGATCGAGGTGCTCTGGATTACGACAGTCCATTTACTATCCAAAACTATTCAAGTTTGTGTATGTAAAAGATTTCTTCAGCCACATGAACAATCCCAACGGCTACAGCGTTCATAGCCGTCGTTCCAATCAAGATCTCGAACTCGGTACCCTGGTCAATGACCCAACCGCCTTTCTGAGGATCATACATGGCGAGCGCATAAGGCTCGATGCTGATTTCAATGTGGCAACTTTCTCCTGCATGCAGCAGTCGGGACTTTACAAAGCCACAAATCTGTTTTCGTGGTCTGGCTAATCGGCACGCAGATGTCTGAGAAACCCAAGCTATAACTGTTTCCCTTCCAGGTAAGAGACAGGGGCCCAGGGTACCGATGTTGTCAACTTGAGCTGTCACCATTAGGCGGTCACTACAAGACAAGGAATGAGGGCCGACAGTGGCTCCTGAAAGCCTAAACTGACAATACGACAATCCAAAGCCGATAGGGAAGAGAGGCTCTGTACCAACAAGATCCCACCATCTGTATCCCACATATAGGCCCTCTGCATAGTATGCTTGGTGCTGCTCCCCGGGGAAGGACGAGTAGGCAGGACAGTCAGCTAGGCGCCGAGGGAAAGTAATTGGCAATCGGCCTGATGGATTGAAATCGCCACAGATAACATCTGCCGCGGCATTTCCCAGTTCTTGGCCCTGATACCAGCAGTATAGGACGGCGTCAATGCGATCAATCTAGGGCTGCAGCTGAATTGGCGTGCCTGCTTGGACGATAACGATAACGCGTTTACATACGGCGGCAACTTTTTCAATGAGATCAACTTGCTTGCCAGGAAGCTCGAAGACTGGGATATCCTCTCCCTCTGTTTCCCATTCCTTATCTCTCCCCACAACAACAAGAGCGGCATCGCATGTCTGAGCAATCTCAGCCGCCTGCTGCGGCAGATTGGATTCGTCAAATTCCTCATACCCAAGTCTAGTACCCTGGAATGTATTCTCCATGGGCTCTATCAAATTCTTGGTTTCAGGTGTGATCTGTCGGTCGTGCGAGTGGTACTCAACTCTCAGGTGATAGTCACGACCGGCAACCATGGGCCATGTAAATATCGTCTCACCGGATCCGTAGGTGAAAAAAAAGGCTCTCTCTTTCCTCAAATGCACCTGATTTTTCTGTAACCAACTCCCCGTCGATGTAGAGCTTGGAAGGTCCGATACTGGCCAGAGACAAGCGGTGATTACCAGAAGTGGCCGGCGTTAAGATGGTCTCCTGGCAGAATGAGAAGCTTGACTCAGGATCTATCTCGGAAGGAGCGTCGTTGAAAGAAATGTAGTATAGATCTTCTCTTTTGGGTTATTAGTACTAAATTCTCAAAACGAATGCCTCTTGGGTTTTCAGGATATACTTAACATGTTCGTGCTGGTGACAATAGGACCTTGAAACCCGTGATCATGACCGCGATGCCAGTCGATAGCAGCCCCCCGGCCAACATGTAAAACTCTTCGCGAATTCTTTTGTCTTCGACTGTAAGGATACTGACTGCGCATATCTATGATGTCTGGATTTTACTTCACCGGTCAGCAGCTAGACAACCAACTTGTCACATCAATTTCCAGCCTTCTCGACCTAGCTGGCGTTCCTAATCTTCTCTAGGGCAACTATTTATTAACCATCAACGGAGTTCCCACGACTGTTTGAGTGAATATTTCTCCCTAGAAGGATATGTTTAGTTCCGAGAGTCCACTAATCCTGTGATGGGTAGGGTGTTGCCTTTGTCGTGCCAGATACATATATCCAATATTCGTGCGCCTCCTGCGCCTCCCTATTAAAAAACTGGATTTCTTCCCTGCACGGAGAGATTGGATTGTCCCATTCAAACACATTGCGATACCCTTCGCCTGCTACACACCTACATGTCAACAACGAACTTACGGTATCATTGTAACGCAAGTCCGATGTGCTTCAGGAGTTTCCAGACTTTGAGCTTACATCCAAGGAGAGCTGCGCGGATATTATACGTGCGTCCGACGCTCGTCTTCTGCCAGCAAGTCTAGGTCGCGGTCGAGGCCGTTTCTCTGCAGATTTCAGCTCTGTCCGAATTCCGAGTCCCCTCAGATACTGTGAAGCTATCATCTTTTTACTTTGCCGGGATTGCGGCAGTGCCTGTGAGACTTACTGGATGTCAATTTTAACCTACATACTTGAGTTCGTGGACGGAATGGGTTTAATGGACGAGAAAGGGCTGGGAGAAGGTTATAAACAATTCTATCAAGCTATGAAACACGGAGATTCAAACATGTATCTAGCCTTGGATGGGCTCCGTCGCAACTTGACAGACTAGAATCATCACATATTCAGTTGGCCGCTGATTGAAGATTACCAATTTCCACGATCTTCTCGCTATCGAAGCCTGCAGACTGGGAGAAGTAGTAGCCTCTCTGGTTTGAAATGTGTGTGCCCAAATGCCCACAGTATAACACTTCATGTCGCCAACACTTCTCCTCTGATAGATCGGTCATAAATCCGGAGGAAATACCGCTATTTCTATGCTTAGAATTCGGGTTACTATTCGTATTCTAAAACAAACGCCAAGCCTGCCGTCATTGGTGGGTTAGGTCTATGGGAAGTATATATAGTCTTGCATTGGCAAACTCATCGGAACTAATATCAAATAGGACGTCGACTTCTTCATTACCGTTCAAGGAGCCCCAAAAGTAGTGTAAGACAAATTGCTTGCAATGCCCTCTAGCCCCTTCCTACAGCAAGCTCCGATATTTCTGTACAAGGCGCCGAACGGCAAGCAGATTCACATTGATATTACACCCGACTGGCAGGTACATTCAAGCCAATCTCAGACAGAATTATAACATTTTTGAGTCACCGTATCTGCCATACATTTCTGAAGTTGATCTTCTTATTTTCAAAATAAACTGTTGTGGTCCACACCCCACTACAGCAAAAAAAAAAAAGAAAAAGTACGTGATGCAACCGATGCTAGGTCTCTAGCAGAGGATCTCAGTTTGAAAGGACTTATTGTTTTATCGTCTACACAGAGGAGTGCCGTTCTACAGGGCTACACATTCATTCAACTTAGTCGGACAGAGGAAAGCTTCAACCTCCCTGGAAATTGTTCCGCAAAATGCCGTCATACCAACGAGTTGATAGAAGACCAAACTCCGCTTGCACCATCTTCCGGGTACGGATCTCCTGGCAGAAGCGCTATCTCTGCAAGTCTGTCTGTGACTCGGAGTACAGCGTGCACCTTGGCGTGGGAGCCGGTCTAGGCCCAAGTCCTAGCTCGAGCAATTTTGGGCGAGACGGAGTATTTAATCTGACGGATCCAAAGCCAACCCTATAAGTACATTCCTTTCCAATAACGTGTTGCATAGATATGATAGACTGTTCATGGATCTATGACAGATTCTACCGCACACAAGTCACCAAATTTTCTTCCCCTAACTTCACTAACGCGGCGGCCCGCTTGTTGGGGAAGCTTGCGACAGCCAATCCAAACTCCGAGTCTGTTGACAACAACAACAATTGAGCGACGTGCCAAGCTGCGGGAATCCAATAAATAGGGGGAGCACGAACTCCACACTCAATCGCCAAGTGAGCTGGAGGCTGTAGCTGAGTGCTGTCATTGCATGGCATTATGGAGACTGCCTTTGCCCTTTTTTTTTTTTTTTTCTCCGTTGCCATTTTTTTTTCCTTTTCTCTCCTCTCTTCTTGTTTCTATCTTCTACTTCTTTGCTTGCATTATTTGTCTTTCGTCTTGCCAGTGTTACATAGCGCGTTACTCGTTCAATGAGGTTCTCATGACAGACTGTGTGCAGCTGCACACAGCATCCACCAACACACCAAAATATAATATATATATATTGACATATATAATATTGTTAAGAAGCGAATAATAAAAGTAATTCGATCATAATGGCTTCGCTCCGCCATCGCCGACATGACGATGATGAAATAACCGAAACATTCACCCAGGACACTCTTCCACAACACCACCACCATCTCAAAAACAACGACGATGGCAATGAAAAGTCAACCGATAAAAAACGAGCCATCCTCGGCCTCATCCGAGTGCAATCAACCGGCGAAAGCGGGCGGAATGGCTTCCATCCCTTACGATTCCTCCAGATCTGTTTCCGGAGCACCTGCACTCTCTCCATGATCGTCAACGTGCTCTGGCCCTTTGTGCCCGCCGCTATCGTGATGCGCTTTGCTCGTCCGGACTTGCACGTCTGGGTCTTCACGCTCAACTACATTGCCATGGTACCCACGGCGAATCTGCTCGGATTTGCGGGCGGCGAGCTCGCGCGCAAGCTGCCGCGGGTATATGGCGTCCTGTTGGAAACGTCGCTCACCTCTGTAGTCGAGATCATCCTATTTATGGTTCTGATCAAGACTGATAACGGGGAGGAGTTGATCTCTGTTATACAAGCGGCCATTCTGGGCTCGATACTGGCCAATCTGCTGCTTTGCCTGGGCATGTGCTTCTTCTTCGGCGGTATGCGACGGGACGAGCAGATCTTGCACGAAGCTGTTAGCGAGGTTGGCTCCGGGTTGCTGCTGGTTGCTGGATTTGGGCTTTTGATTCCTAGTGCCTTCCATGCGACTTTGGAGGGGACGACCACGCCGGAAGGTCCGCTAACGCCTGATAAATTGGAGTCGGACACTCGAGTTATCAGTCGAGCGACTGCCATCATTCTGCTCTGCGCTTATTTTATGTATGTAGTTACGTATCTTCAAAAGAGCGATGGGTGTGTGGATTACTTACACATCCTCCCAGGTTCCTATGGTACAACCTCCGCACGCACAACGGCATATTCGACGAGGTGCTTGAAAACGAAGAAAACAAAAATCTGGACGGTGACAAAGAGCACAACCGACCCAAGCTGACTCTTTTGGAAGGTATCTTTGCCATCAGTATTGCTATTGCATGCGTCTCGCTTTCGGCCGTGTTTTTGGTCGAGCAAATCCCGTCTATTGTTGCTCGCGGAGTGCCCGATAATTTCATGGGCTTGATTCTTGTTCCGCTGGTAGAAAAGGCGGCGGAGCATTTGACGGCCGTTGATGAAGCCTGGTATGTCTTTATTCTACCTGATTCAAGCTTGGAAATCATTCATACGTACATGATCACATATGCCAGACGTCACTGCTAACACGTCCAGGGATAACCAAATCAACTTTGCGCTCTTCCACTGCCTCGGCCCTTCGATCCAGACTGCCCTGCTCAATGCGCCGCTGGTCGTTCTGGTGGGATGGGGACTGGGCAAGAACATGGACCTCAACTTTGAGATTTTCATGGTTGTTCTGCTGGTGCTGTCCATACTGGTGGTGGGCAACTTCCTGCGCGATGGCAAGTCTAACTACATGGAAGGGGGGTTATGTGTGCTTGTGTATATGATCATTGCCGTGACGACTTGGTTTTATCCGTGACATTGCCCGTCCAAAAAAGGTGGAAATGCGGAATTCATGTAGCGTGTTGTGCCTTTATTACGACTGCTCAGTTGACAGACCTAGTTTACTCAAGAAGCAAAGTAAAATTGATGATTAGCAATTATGGCCATACAGATGACGATAGGCCGTAGAGAAGGATTGCTGAGAATATGTCTTGCCTAATCAGGTAATTGCCACAATTAGGTAGTTAGTTAGCTTAAATAGTCGCTGAATACGATAAAAGCTGGTACCTAGATATATTCTATCTAATTCAAACAGACTTTGAGATTGCCAAAAGAAATACATGTACGGTTCATAAATTCATTTGTAACACATCGATAAAGAGAACAACAAATGGAATCCGATCCAGTCCGATTCAAAAGTTTTTTCTTCTTTCTCCCCACCCCTGAATTTGTGTCTTCAGTCAACAGAGATGTATTAACAGGTTACTCAAACCTGCTGATGCGGCTGAATAGGCTGAGCTTTCTCATCCGATCTATCCAAACAACTCCAGTTAGCAAATATGGTTCAATCAGCCATAGGAATGACCATCCGTCAACTTACTGTTGTGGCAGCGGTTGCTGCTGCTGCTGCTCATACCCATACTCATTGTAAGTATTATTTCCGTACGGCGACTGCTCTTCATAATAATCCGCTTGCTCATCATAGGCCGAATAATTCACCCTCGACCCATCCTTCTCTCGCGGGAAATATGGATTTTGGTTACTCATCCTCCGCGAACCTGCAACAGCGACAGCGACAGGAGTCATGGGGGTATTCGGAGATGTCGCAGCGCCGCCGTTATGAGTATTGGACCATACCTGCGACGTGCGAGTGGTAGTCGCACCGTCACCGATAGCAGAGAGAGACTCGGCGTAGGCATGTTGATGCGTCCGTTGTCGCACTTGTCGCATATATGCATCCTGCTCGTGTGATATTTGATGCGTCGCGTCGGCCATCGTTGAGCCTCGGCTGTAGTGGGCGCTGAAGGACCAGAAGATGGCCACCAGGAGGCCGGAGACGACCACGACGATGACGATGATACCAGAGGTAGAGATGCCGCTCATTTTTTGTTTCTGTCTCTTTGCCTGCTTTTTTTTTTTTTTTTTTTTTTTTCTGTGAGATTTGAGTAATTCGCAGCTTTTTTCTTCCCCTCCGTCGTCCCTGATCCGATAAGGGTGCGGGGGTAATATTTTACTCAGGACAGACAGTCGCAATCTGAGCAGCAGGAAAGACGTAGTATGGACGCTAATGCGACGACAGGTATATTTGCCAGTCGCTCTTGATTGAATGACCTCAGGCAGCGACGTGATGCGACTAGTTACCTAGGTATAGAATGTAGTGATGGCTCCGGCCGATATGCACTTGTGTATGTATATTTGTAATATTAGATATATAACTTGATATACAATATGCACTTCGGACTTATGGGCGCTCTCGTAGTACGTAGGTAGGTAGATAAAAATGCCTGCTTATCGAGATGCTGCTTCAGGCATCGACTCCAAAGGAGCGCGATCTGTAGGGTGGCACGACCATCAAATAGCGCGCGAAGTTGCAGAGGTTGTAATGGGGGAATAAAAAAGAGAGGAAAAAGAGGGCAGGAGAAAAACAGGCAGAAAAAGGTACGTGCTAATCAGAGAGGGAAAAAAATAACGATCGCCTGGCTCGGCCACTGTTACCAAACCAGCATACATACATACATACTGCATAGATAGTAACTACTTCTGACCTGTCATCGTCATCCCTCGAATCGGCTGTTTGGGAAGAAAAACGAGACATTAATGGTTAAATTAACAGAATACGGATACGTACGTAACTTTTCATGTGTAAAAAAACGATCGTAACGAGAGACCCAGCCAATGGCGCTTTGCGAAGAGCGGCCCGCTGTGGGCCAGGAAAAGCTTGTCTTTCGTTTTGCCCGTACGGACCAATGGCTAAGCCTTAATTACGGGGCCGTACGTACGTTCTCCCGTCTTCTAGACTCATGAATGGAACTTTCGCAGCAGTCGCAAAATCTCTATTATAGCTATATATATCTATTTATATCCGTTGTATATATGGCACAGAGACATAGAAATAATCCGCAATATATATTAGGCGGGTAACAAATACCCCGACTACCTAGGATCTACCATTGGCCATGATCCCCATCGATCAGCGACGTAGGTGGCATTCCCGTGTCTTACCCTGTAATGTCGCAGTAATATTACCGTCTGATACCATCTCAGCACAACGAACATGTGACGTGGAAGCCATCCGGCAAGCCTTCCTTGCATTAATAGTAGTTAACTCATTAGTTGCTCTGTAACTATAGAAGAATATCCAGATAGATTATTGTCCTTCTCTCTCGCTGCCCGCCGGAAAATGGGAAGCAGGATCAGTCACTGCGTGTGCCACTAGGAGGCAGTACGATCATGACGACTATGCACCCCACAACGTGGACCGCATTACGAATGCTTGTAGATTACTATGTATCTGTGCGGCAATTGACGATGGATATATGAAACTTCCTATGAGTATGTGTGTATGTACACTGGTAGCTGCTTGGATATATATAAAGAGAAATCCTGGATAACACGTCATGCCCTAGCATAGGCATATGCGAGGACTCAGTATAGACAAATAGTACAGACAACTGGATTCTGGACGGCATCCAAGTAGGATGCCACTCACTACTCCGTACCTACTACGCCGCGGACGCTCTTGGTCAAAACACATCGATTAACTCGTAAGTTATAGGGTATCTTCAGCACAGACAATCTATGAAATGCAGCGTATGTACGTGTATCGACTCACTCAGCCTGAACAACCATCTCAATAATCCGTTGCGCCTTCTCCCCGCCCAAATAATCCTTTCCTTCACCGCGATCCCCTTCGTCTCCATCAATCTCAAGCTCAGCTTCCAAGCTAGCATTATACGCACGCATCACCGTGTCCTCATCAACCCGGATACCGCCTTCCACCAAAACTCGAATGCAACCTTGTAGCCGCGCAATCTCGCGTCGCGTCTGTCGCGGAATCTCGTCGTTTTGACTGGAGTAGATCGAGCTAGTGGCGACTTCCTCTAACCGTGTAATCGAGACTGTCTCCGTAGTAGACGACGCTTTCGCCGCGCCTTCTGTGACTTTGGAGATCCAGATGTACCCGTTTACTCCAAGAATGACCTGAACGTCGCCGCCGCCGTTGGATGTGCTGACTGTCCACATCTGCCGTCGCGATCGGACAACGCCTCCAACCGAAGTCGACGGCGCGGCTATATGAGACGACGAGGCGGAAGAGCCTCCCCTTGTCGTGGCCGAGCGGCCTGCCGCCGCGCCACTCCCACCAGTACCTGACACCGCCATGAAGACGCCATTGCGCAATTTGCCGTATGTCAAAGACCGCGTATGCAGCGTCGCCGCTCCATCCTGATGGACGCTCTGTACCTCAGCGAGCACAAGGTCACCCTCCACAAAAAAATTTCGCATTTGCAATTCGTCGGCACTTGTACGTCTGCGTAGAATACCGCCTGGCAAGTTGATGGCTGACAAAGGTAGTTGCGCTAGCAATGGCGCAGCAATGTCGACCTTCCATCTTCGCGCCTGCACTTCAACAATGCGTCCGACGACGAGGTCGCCGATCTCTGGGATGTAGCGGGCCCGCAGAGGGTGGACGGAGAGAAGCTTGTTCGTTTTTTGTACTGTGCCCGCGACTGTCGCGATGATTGATGCCGAATATGGGGTGGTGAATGTGCCGTGGCCTCTGTTTGACATCGAATGGCAAAATTAGATCAATGAAAGTAGGGAGGGGAAGCCGACACAAGTAAAACTCACCTCATCCATTGCGGATCGTTGGTGACCATTTCGCCAGGAACAACCGTGCCAGTCTCATATCCTATGCCCTTCAAACTCGCACTCCCTCCATCGAGACGAGGCCGCTTGGTCGGCAACCTATCCATGTCCACATCGCCTTCCGAGTCGTGCTCATGGCCGTGGTATAGTGAGGCGCCGGCATCTTCCACTAGGGGAGAGAGAATAGTGATCCCCATGACCACACCTAGAGAATTGAGGCTAAAGAACGCTAGGGATGGCACGAATAGAGGGGAGAGCGTTCAAGAAACGTCAGCACAAGGCCGTAGATCATAAACAACGTTAGGAGCTAGTGAAAGCACACTGATATTTTTGAAGCTTGGCATGGTGGACATGGGCACGTGACCGGTTGTCTCTCCAGTCTTGGCATTTCTGATAGGCGCTGATCATAGAATCTACACCAGGGCATGCAAGAGTCCTTGCAAGTACGTACTATTTGTTTGCCAACTCTAATACTGACAAATAGTCAAATGCCGACCCGACTATTTTCTGACATCCTCACAACTCTGGGCTGGGCTAGTCATGGCACATGCTCTGCCAGAAGCCGAACGGCGCATGCTATTAGCAGACGAGTTCACTAATACTAGTTAGGTAGCATAACTAATGCAGCTGCATGAGCTATGCCCAAACTGGCGATAGTCGCCGTCTGGGTTCTTGAATCTTGACACTTGCGTCTTAATAAAGGTACTAGTCCGTGTTAGCATGGAGTATCTATGAAAATCCGGAAGTCGACATCCTTTTTCTTTCCCTTTTTTAATTCTTTCCGCACGAGCATTAAGAGCTCGGGTACGTGGACGTGGCCCTGATCTTCGCCAAAATTTTTGGGGTCTCAAATATAGGCTGACCAATAATTGCGACCGCGGAAAAGGATGGACATGCACGTTCGTTGGAGAGGAAAGCCAGCAGGAGACAATCTCCGCATTGCGTTATTACTATTATACATACTACAGTAATTGAATACGTATTTAGGATATATAGATATAAATGTGCGCCATGTTAGTATCTGTTCTCCCATATCCGGCATGTACACCAGACCAATATCGACGACAAGCGAGCATTCCAGGCCCGCCCATTGGCTGCATGGTCCACCAGCCCTCAGTCCATTAAGACCAGGTCCCGCAAGTATAAACTAGAAGATCCGCGATTGGCCCAGCCCACGGGCTGGCACAATGCTATTGGTCCATGGCCCCAATGGGAGCTGGCACTAACGCAAGGTAAGCCTGGTAAGTTGGCCTTAGAGTCCCCATAACCCGCGCTGCCGAGGCCAATCACAGGCTGTGAATTGCGCCAAACCGCCACAGCGAGTTTCTAATACTTTCCATCCCTTGCGAGTTGCAACGCTCTTTTATACTACGCGGAATTAAGCGCTTACTCGACTCTCGAAGGATTTAACTAACTAGTCTGCTCTTAGGCTACTACTACAGTGCCAATTTGTCACTCCATCTCGACGGCCCGCGTCTCCACCTGGCACCCGCTGCCACCTGAAAGAAAGAAACTCTTTGTCCTCCCAGCTTTTTCATCCACTCACTTCACTTCACCTCACTTCCACTTTCCATCCTTTCCTTCCCTTCCTAACACCACCCAGTCCATCTGCAATCGAGAAAGAAAAGATGTTAGATTGAGACAGTCAATCTATTATGTGGATTGTGGCCATTGAGTTGGGCACAGATCTTGCCGGCATCTGAGCGTTCCGGGGACCGCCGAGGCACCAGACTGCACGACATTCACTACGCCTTTTCAACTACATCTACATATATATATTTATATTTATATACATTATAAAATGGCTTGCTTCATTCACCTCCGCGACAACGTGCCATCCTGGATTTCGGATGTCAATCAGCTCTCCGTTCACATTCACAACAAGCGAGCCGAGTTTGCCGCCGAGGCCGCGAAAGCAGCCGCCGCCTCGCCCTCGCCGCTTCGCCGAAGAAAATCGGTCAGCAGCAGCCTCTCCACTAATCGCACCCAGAAATCGCTTCTCGAGCCGCCGTCTACAGGACACCGTCTGAAGCGGCTTTTGTCGAGGGAGTCATTGAGAGGCGATGGTTTGAAGAGGCGCAGGCCCGCATCTCCTCAGTCGGGGGACCTCGACGCAGAATCAGAAATAACAGTCGCACCAGTTGGGAAGAAACCCCCAAGTCATATCATCTCCTACGATGGCCACACGCAGAAAATCCTAGAGAAGATGGTTCGCGACATCTGGACGGCCAAGAGTAGCATTCGCTCCTCTCGCATCCAGTCTTCGATTCAAACTGCATTTGGCGGTCGGATGAGGATGCAAATTCCCGCCCAGAGGCGTTATATGGATACCCCGATAAAGTGTGCAGACGAGAAGGGAGATGGAGATGCGACTATAGAAGCTGACCAAGCGGACGATGATGGCGTGGCCAAGGATTTGTTGGAATTACGCATGGCCATGATGAAAGAGAGACATCGTCGGTATCAAATCCCACCTCCAAATCTATATCCACAGCAGCGACAACAGCAAACACGTCCTAAGCATTGTCCCTATGATTTTGTTGAAGGACAACTCGACAGCGCGCAGAACCTGTGTGAAACCGCTGCCTACCGGTTTTTGCGCCATGGAAATTGCCTCGAAGAATTAGAGGATATTTTACGCGCTTACGAATTTATCCTTGAGGCGTCGACGAGCATGGCAGAAAAGGAAGAAAAGGCAGCAGCAGAAGCCGCTGCCGCCGCTGCTGCAGAAGAGAAAAAGGAAGAAGAACAAAAACAGGAAGAGGACGACAATGACACCATTGATATCGAAGTAGATGATAGTGAAGATGCAGTTGATGCTCCAACCACGATCGTCCCTACTCTGAAAACCAAAGAGAACGACTTCGATGACTCGACTGGTATATTGGAAGTGGATGATCGCTCGGACACCTCCGAGGTATCGATTGATATTACTGCATTCCGTATGACGCGGTACGGTCAACGAACCATGCATCCTTTCACGGTGAACCGAGTGCCATAAATTCCCGTTCTTTCTGATATGAAAGCCATCCGTCATATTCTTTTATGAGCAATTTCGTGCAACGATTTGCAAAAAGTCAGTCCTAAAATCAGCCTTGCGACGTGGACCTTGTCCACTTGACGATTAGATGGATCTCTAAATATATCCATATACATACTTCATCAAACTCACCAACCCCGCTTTTCTTTTATGTCTAGTCGTCTCTATCAACGAGCGACATCACACTCATTAATACAGCCTACTTGCTCACGGTGCCGATGTATTGAATAGATCACTATCGCTTGTCTACCATTCTCTACCCTTTTCTTTGTTGCTATCGGCTGTCAATCCGAGACGAACTTGATTTTATTACGGCGTTTTTTCTGACGGGAAGATTGGCCATTATGCGTCGCAATGATAGTTTCTTCCACCTGCTTAGTAGGTATCGCTCTTTGACTTCATTTATTTATTTCTATTTATTATCAGCCAAATACTTTTAACTATATACATATCGAGTACAGCGGCGCTAGTACATACTCTTTTCCTTTTTTTCGTGAATCGTTTCTTTGAACTGAATCAAGTTGTCTGGTTCCAAAAGCCTGATTGAGAGGCCCTCTGTTTATACGTTTATGTATATACCTGTTTTACTTTTTTATCTTCAGGCGCTTACTTCAGTTTTTCGACGTTATACTTTGTGTTTTGTTGTGTATTTGATACTTTTTTCAATCCACAAATGAATCCACGATTTGCTTGGACTAAGTTTAATTCGTTCTTATCAAACAGCCTTGTATATAGGTAGATAGATTACCTGTAATGGATGTATCCTCCCAAACCAGTTCAAATTCCCCAATCCATTAAAATACATGCAATAAATAGACAAGGATGTTTTAACAACAATAAACAAAAAGGTATCATTCAGTTCATATAACCATGCCCCATTAATCAATTTTCCCAACTGGTTTCGTAAGATAGATCATCGCACATTCACTAATCTCACGGCTGTCCTTCCTACAAGACCGCCTGCTCGCGGATACGTGATTTTCTGTGTGACCGCGTCGTGGATTTCAATTTCTTCGTCGTCGTCGTCGTCTAGATCTGTGTCCATGTCCGTGTCCGTGTCCGTGTCTGTCTCTACATCGCTTAGTGGGTTGTTGTTGTTGATATTTGTGTCTTTCTCTGCACTAGCAGTGTCGTCGTAATCGTTAGTCGTGGTAATGATAGTGTGGTTGTGTTGCGGAATTTCCTCTTCGGGAAATTTCCATTCTCGCATTTCGTCGTTGATAGTATTATCACTAGAAGGATTCCTGTGCCCTGCACCGTCATCCATGTATTCTTGCATAAAGTCGTCTCGCGCTTGATATCCATTGTCATCGCCACCATCGTCGTGGTCAATGTCGCTGTCGTCAAGCAGGAAATTTACCATATTCATTGTAGTGCTTGACGTCGTCTGTTCTGCGCCCGGCTTACCGACTGTCTCAGCGACAACATCAACATCATGCTTATAATCATGATCGTGAGCAGCACTCAGCACGGAAGAGGAAGGTGACAATAGCCCCGAGGACGTAGTCACCGCTGCTCCAGCAGAAGTCGTTCCAAACGATTCGGAGCTCGAGGTAACCGGGCGCAAATGAGGATAAAAATTGATCGTGCCAATGCCATCACTGACAATAACCCCCTCACGATCCAACTGGCAGCGCGCACGAACAAAAGGGTCGAGTTTCCAGAAATTGATTCTCAATTCCTCGATGAGCTCCGCGCGTCGGTCCTGCTGCACCGCTGTCCCAATGGTGTCACGCATTGCGCTTGTCTGTAGCCACAGCCGCGTTGTCTCGAGGAACTCCTCGGAAATGCGGTGGTGCTGGTTGAGCAGGAAATTGCGCGTCGGCGAGTGTGTCTCAAGCGGGAGGTTTTCGGCAAGGTCGTCGGCATCAGGCTCGATGTAGTGGTATTGGTACTTATCCTCTGAGCCCCCTAGATCTGACGGGATGTTTTGCCGAGGGATGTAGAGCTCGAGGTCGGAGAGGTTTTTGGTGAAGAACACCCTAGAGACGAGGGAGTCGTTCATCCAGGTTTTGATCATTTTCCAGATTCCTACGGTTGTTGTCATTATACATCTTCTACTACGGAGATAATCGTCGTACCTGAAAAAAACCACGGCGCTTTATGGATGATAATCCGCGCAAGAGACTCTGGATAAAAGTTCTCTAAACACTTGATGATGAACTTCACTGGCGTATAGTCCATATTAGCCATGGAAAAGTCGGTCATGTTAAAGATGAGTATCTACGACATGTCAGCAAAGACCGAAAATTGAGGGAAACGAAGAGAAAAAAGAAACCCACAGCAGTCTCGACCAACGGCGGTCGTAGCAACATCCTCACACTCTCAATGGTATGCACAACATATCGTTCCAGCACATCATCAGCCTGGTCCTCGGCACGATGCAAACGCACGCGAATGTTGACGATTGGCCGTCCAGCACGATCAACCCCATGGATAATATTTTTGCCCATACGCAACTGCTTCATAAAGTCCCACGCTTTCCTCTGCTCTCTCGGATCCAGCTTCAAACTCCTGCTTTGCTGATAGGCATACAGCTCTCCGCGTCGCACGATGTCGTCGTCGATATGCATCTTCTTAGTCCGCCACGCTATTGCAGAGACCAGCATGACAAATGCCTTGCCCACATTCCATTTTCGTGCGCGCAAGAAACGCAGCAGCATGGAGTCAGGGTGATCTTGTTTCAACGACCTGAGCAGTCCTTGTCGCAGCTCGTCCGGACCGATCTTGTAGGTGGCCATGACGCGCTGCATCACTTTGGTATTTTGCGGACTCGGCCGTAAGTGGATGCCGCCCATAGACTGGGTCTGGAACATTAGCGAACGTTTGTGCGTGGATGACCTTTGAGGTATTGGTGTTGCTGATGAGACGGGTTCGGAAGCGTTATTGAGGGAAATCCGTCGGCGCAGCTTTCGCAGGGATCGCTGGTGCTGCGGCTTGTGTGACTGTGACTGTGTCTCTGATAAAGTTGTCGGCGAAATCGGCGAGATAGGAGTTGTCGGACTAGGTGGTATGATGTTGGTGTTGCTGGACATGCTGAGACGGCTGCCAGAGAACGATGTATTGAAACTGGCCGGAGACAGCGGAGGCTCATCCAGGCTATTTGAGCGCCGTGGAACGGTCGGTGTCGAGAGGTTGTTGTCATAGATACTATTGCTCTCGAAAGCGTTGAGCAGAAACATCCATAACTGCTGCAGACGAGCCTCCTGGTCGGCAGTGAGGCTGCCCAGGACGCCCGTTTGGGGATCCATGTTTGGAGTCTGTTTTCGGGCAATCAAGTGAGAGAGTAAGAGTTAGTTCGCACGTATGAACAGATGGGCAAGCATAATGCGACAGATAGTAGAAAGAACGCAAAGCATGTAGGGGGAATGTCATGTAGGACATGAAACATATGTGTATGCACATGCACAGCGTTAATCATACGTCCGAAAGGCTCGGCAAATCAGATGCAAGAGCAGAAAAAAGCAAAGGACAGAGAGAATGTCTTAACATCTACTGCGTATTATCTAGTCAAACGCAAGCCTACAGCGATGATCTCATCAGCAAAAATAGCCCGGCATGGCCGGGGCACTACGAGTTCCATATCTCTTTTCTTCGTCGAATGACAAGCCTCGGCTTACTGCAAGAGGCAAGTCTGATCGCTAGCATGGCGCTAGCCACTCCACAGCCAGATCAGAAGAGGGAGGGGTAGGACTGGAATCATGGGATGGTGATTGATCAGTGAGTTAGGGCTTGTCTCTTCCTTTGCAAGCCACGTGCACGCTAAGCAGCTCTGTTGATTGCGTGAAGTTCAAGGCGAGGTTAGGGCAGCCACCCGATTAGGGCATGGCCGAAAAGGGCAATAGTTGCCCGATGCGGCCAGTTTGAGGGGTTTGCACTGATACTCGTTAGCAGCGCCATGTCTAGGCGTTTCCTGCAAAACTGAATATTATGAAGTAGAAATGGAAAGTAAAAGTAGAGAACAATGTCGATGGAATGCATGCGAGAGAAAGGAAGGTCTGGATTCAAGATTGTTAATAGGCTATGGAGACACCCCACAAGGCCAAAGGCACTAAACAAGCCAACTTCACGATAAGATTCAGATAAGACCTGAAACTTCTTCAGTCTTGCCGGTCGGAACATTCGGCTGTTATGCTTTTTTTCCCTGTGCCAAACGAACCTCTGCTTGAGGGAATTTCAAGTTCGACATACGATCCAAAACGTCACTTCGCACCGCCACATGAGGCTGACCGTTCCGGGCTCGGCCGCCAGCGTGCAAATTATACCGCAGATCCTCATCTTCTCCTCTTCCGCTTCGTCTTTCCTTGTAACCAGAAGAAAAGAACCTCAATCAACGAAACGACGAATCAATCATGCCTAACGAGAGCTCCGGAAGCAGATTGAAGAACTGGCTAAAACCGAAAAAGTCGCGCCAGACGCTGCGAAAGCGAGGCGGCCCTCCGGCCTCGCTCACCTCCGCTAGTAGCACCACTCTGGCCGCCAGCATTCAAACAGGCCGATACTCCTACGAGAAATTCTACGAGAACAGCATCCCCGACGTGCCGGCTATACCCTCCAACCTCGCGCCCCTGCAAGCGCACCGCGAGAAATACAAACACCTGAATGCCCGGCTCGACACGCAGCTGGGCGAGAATCTAGATTATACCACCATCTTGCACTCGCTGAGTCTACAAGAGCACTACGATTCGGACGAGGCCTGGCAGAAGGAAAACCTGAACCGACCCCCCGGCGAACCAGCCATTGCGAGCCTGGCTGCAGAGTTATGGATATATATTGCGAGCTTCCTCGATCCGAAGTCAACCGCCTGCCTGGCGCTCGCGAGCAAGACGCTCTATGCCCGGCTGGCTGCACACCACCCACTGGCCGCGCTCAATATGCCTGAGAATTACGAATACAAGCTTGATTTCCTCGCCATGCTGGATCGCTTCTTCCCCTACCACCTACTCTGCATCCCCTGCGCCCAGTACCATCGCCGAACACAGATCGGCCATGAAAAACTACAGCCAACCTCCAAACTGAACCCGCTTTTCAGATGCCCCAATGAGCGCAACAACCTGAACCCACCACCACGCCATAGAATCGCGCAGGGCCGCACTCTGCCCTTCACCTTCGTGCAACTGGCGACTCGCGCACGCCGGTTCGAGGTCCCCTTCTACGGCGTCACGACAGAGTCACTTGCTCGGCGATGGAAGAAGGACGACTGGACGTTATCGACCCGCTACCACATCCATGAAGGCAGACTGCTGATGCGGGTCGTCAGTCAATGCTTTGCAACACCGGGGCTAACACCCAGCGGGAAACGGCTTTTGTTGTACTCGCGCGAAGACTACTGGCCATTCTTCTCTGCGTGCCCCCACTGGCGCGACGGCGAATTGATGAACGTCTGCAAATGCGCTCTCGACCATCTGCCCGTCCCGCGCAACACGGCCGGATTGCAAGGCATAGAGCACAAGTTCCGCGACCGGATACATGGGCGCATCTACGATCCGCACGCGCGGCCGAGCCAGTGTGCGAATTGCCAGCCACTACGCCGCTGTCCGCGATGCCCAACCGAGTATCTGGTGGAAGTCAAACTGGCCGAAGACCAATCCAACAACCCCAATGCGAACCTGCTTAACAACACCCTCACCCCAAACAGCATCAGCACCATCCACAACGAATCGCTCAAGAAGCGGCAGGCAGCGCTCAACAGCAAATTCAGACACGCTATTGTGGTCACGCGCTGGAGCGACTTGGGCGATGGGAAGAATCCATTCCCACCGCAGACAGCCACCTCGTCCTTGGAATGGGCTGCCTGCAACGGCGGGACGGAAAACTACGATTCTTTCAAACACCTCGGCCGACGCGGGATATCAGGGATTTTCGAGTCTGCTTTTACGCATGACACGATTCCGGGGAGGAGGATTGTGTCGATGAATCCGGAGATGAAGACCGGTGGAGAGGAACGGGACGATTGGTACTAAGCTGGTTAGTTGACTGGCTAAAATGTAGACGAAGGGCTAATATGTTTTGATTGTGGAATGGGCGTTTTGGTATAGGAAAGGTACCCTAATATTGGTCTAGTTATGCGAATTGAATTATAATATGGTTATATTAATGTTAATTAGATACAATTGCTATCAATTAGTTTACGAATAATGAAGCAATTCTCAAACTTGTCATTTGCAGCAAATCCATAGCCTACACAACACGCAAATAATAGCAGACACATGCGAAGATTAAAACGCAGAATAATGATTGAAGAACGCCACGGGCATGGGGACCCAGTTAAAGGTAGAGATAAGTTGATAGGCGGTTCATCAAGTTTAGCGCACGTAATTAGGAGAATTGGATTCGAAATCATAATGTGGATGGGTGATGTGACTTTTCTTTTTCACTCTTTTAGATGTGCTTTTCGCTGAATGACTCCTGGTCACTGGCGTCAAGAATGTCATATTCTTCATCGGTCAAAAATCCGTCGTCGTCCGACTCGACGTCTTCCAAGGTCAGACTCTCCACATCCTCGAGGATGCCCTGCTCGTCCGTATTCGAAACTGGTGCAGTGAATGCCGGAGTAGAGGAGTGCGAGAGAGCCTGGTGAATGCTAGACACAGGAGACTCCTTTTCAAGCTTGGGGAAGACCATGTTGCTACCAGCCAAAGGAGTCTCACTCTCCTTGGGCTCGTCAACAACCTTGATGTCACACCATAGTTTATGACCGAAAGGGGTTCCATTGGGCAACTTCAATCGCCAATAGGAGATGGATGTCCCCAAACGCCGAGGACTCTTGAGCGTGACCGAGAAGTTGGCCGAGTCAGATGGCGCAATTGGATGGGTCGTTTCGTTGCTTGACATGGCCTCAGCAAGAGCAACAGCGCTGGAAGGATGCTCAGTGTTGACATTGAACATTGCGTCGCCGCCAACGAAGCGCACGCTAGTGCCCACTGGCCATGTCGACGGTCCGGGATTGTAAAGTGTCCATGTCTGTTCAAAAACATGCGACGAAGCCATGCTAGTTCCATCGGGAATGGTGTCCCGCATGAAGTAGGCGCTATAGTCACCAGCGAGATTGGCTTTTGACGATGTGGGTGCAGTCTCAATGACAGGTGTCGCGGGGGTTTCATCGGCTTGCGGTGCATCCTCCTTGGCCTCCTCATGCATTTCCTCGTGAACTTCTTCCTGAGCCTCCTCAGTCTCCACCTTTTCTACAACCGATGGTGCTTCAACGACTGTGGAAATGCTGTTGGAGGTTGCGGCATCCACAAAGCTAGGCGGAACTGGAGGAGAACGGTCGCCCATGAGGATTGACTGGCCACCAAGGCCATCACCGCCCATGGTGCTAACACTAACGTTACGCACGGGAGTACGGAGCTTGATCAAGGGGTGCGTGCGATTGTGAGTAGAGTTTGGCAGAGCTTCACATGCTGCACAAAAGTCGGTGTCATGACAGATGGCGCACTTATATCGCACACCAGTAATGTAGGTAACCGACGACTTGTTTCGGCACAAGGGTCCGTCACAGTAAATACCATAGTGGACCTCTTGGTCGTATGAAGGTTCGGAAATGGACTCATAGATGGGAACAAACCGATGCTGGGGGTGAGAGTGTTCCGCAGTCTTCATACACGACCAGCAGTAGTCCCAGTCCGGACAGGTCATGCACTTGTGTCGAACACCCACAATACGCTGTGGCAGCGGTTAGTTAAAATGCGGACATGAATAAAAAGGAGCCTGTACTCGCCTTTTCACACCCATCGCAGATCGCGGCGTGGTGGTAGTGCCGACCAGGGCGGCAACGAGAAAGCACCAAGTTCTTCAAGCAGAACTGGTAGTCTTGAATAATTGAAAATTCATGGCCAGGATGGTGGCCATGGTTATCTTTCAAGAGGCATGTCACGCACAAATCGTAGTCGTCACAATCATTGCAACTTACCATCGTGGTCTCCGAGAACTCTGTTTCGAACAACCATTAGTGAACTACATTCAGCGGAGAGAGAGAGAGAGATGACTCACGACGGAAACATGCGTTGCATGTACGTTCATTTGCTGCGAGTTTTTCTTGCACTGGTTCCTCGACGACATTCTTTGTGTTCTCTACGACGGTTTCCTTGTCCTCTATCTTTGGCTCTTCTGCGGGAGCCGTGTTGTCTGTCGGAACAGCAGATGGTGAAGAACGGAGACGCTTGGGCGCGATAGTCTCGGTGGTGCTGTTGATTATGACTCCATTCTGAACCAAACGTTTGAGCAACCAGTGGTCCTCGCCGGGGCAGGAAACACCAGCATCAACGCAAGCAGAACACAGATCGTAGTCACCCCCGTCACAAATACTGCAATGGTAGTGTTCTCCGAGAATACTACCACCGCAGTTGTTGCAGTCGATGCAGTACATGCTGCTGGGGTGGTTGCTGTTAGGGAATCTAAAAGGGTAAGCACGCTGCTTCTCCTCGAGCATCGACTGCGAAAGAAGTGGTGACGTCATGGTCTGAGTAGACTGAGAATCGATATTTGTAGAGACGCGAGAAACGAGATCGTCGTTGGAGACGGTGTTGGTGGGTGAGGCGGAGGAGCTCAAGACGGTCTCCAGATAGCGGTAAGGCTGGTGAGACGGCTCCTGGGATTGAGAATTATCGGAGACAGCTGGGAGTGTCTGGGATGTGGTTGTAGCCTTGATGCGAAGCTTGAGCTTGGCCTTAGCAGCACGGTATAGTTGTTTGTAGACAGCAGGATTCTCGCTGTCCAGGAGAATATAGTTGGCAAAGCTGTCCGAGTAGCGCTCAAGCACTAGAGTTTCAGTCGGGGGGACGGAGAGGAATTGGCGGATCTGGCCGATACAGTTAGCAAGGAGGGAAGAAGGACTCTTCTTGCTATGATAGGGAAAGGAGCGGTATGGTCAGGCAGAACTAAAGGAACGAAACAATCAAAGATAGTTGGCGCTAGTAGATGAAGCAAAGCAGCGCTGATAACAGGGGGGGGTGGGTACGGCAGCCGAGATAGGCGAAAACGGGGACAAAAGCGAAGTCGCCATGGACGAAAGCGGTAACGCGGGCTGCAGTCCGGTCACGTGAACAGACAGTGTATTACGTAGAACGTACCTTCTGGGGGAACACGCGCGCGCCCAGGTCGCGGAGAGGCATCTTCAGGCGGCGGTTGAGCGAGCCATTCTGGAGAATCTTGATGGTGATGAGGGTGTCTGGGCCCACGGGCGGTGCTGGCGGAGCAGCAACCGCAGCCATGGCGGGCATGATGGACGGCGGAACCAGGTCACTCATCTGGAGCGTTATATCGATCGATCAAACAGGGAGGGAGCTCAGCACGCGTGGACTAGAAGCTATGCTGGCGCGGAACTGTGGAGGAGTGATGGATCTGATGGAGAGAGGGATGATACTGAAGGCGAAGAGATGTGAAGGGTGAGGAGAAAATAACAGAGAAGAAGGGGAGAGAGCTCAGGCAGGCAGTTAGTTATACCAAGTAAGGCGCAGGTTGGCTGAGAGGGGTAAGGTAAGTTACCAAGCAAAACCATCCGGCTGGGCGAACAATACGGCGCACGGGGTCATGCACGTATTTTACGCGGTCGTTACGCATTATTACCACAATCCCGGTCAAGGCGGGGAAAGCTCGGCGCCAATCACAGCCGCCGCCGTGGGTGGGGCTGGCTACGTATGGCTGCATGACGGCGTATGACCTCGACTTGTAATCGTATCCATGTGTACGGACTACGGAGTGTCTGTCTGTCTGTCTGTCTGTCTGTATGATATGTATAGCACCAGCTGCTATACCGATCCGTGAAAACAAGGAATGACATATGATATAATCTGGAGTACTTGGGGCTAGCATGGGTGGTGGCCCCTATTTGGTATTCACTAGTCTGCCTCACCGACTCGCCTGCTGTCAATGACTTTGGCTTTCTCGTTACGCAGTACATATGCACTGATGCAGTGTATAAAACTGGCTGGTATATTTTATGTCGGTACAATTGAATTTCAAAGAACAGCAACAACAACAACAACAAGAAGTCTGTCAGCAACTTACAGCGTACGGACTCCGGAGTCCTCCGTCGTACCACAAGTCTCGTGACGATCGCACTGCGCCGCATCCTAGTCAATTCACATTATGAACTTTACGTTAGCTGAGCGGGATTAAAATCCTCGCCATAGAATTTCATCGCAACTGTCCACTGATAGGCTACTCCTATAATCTCTGGATCTACCCTCCGAGCAACCAGTACCAACGCTGAAGATTCAGAGTTATGCCCGTTGTCGATCAGTTACAAAAAATAGCGACCATAACGACATAGTACATGCCTAGGTACTACGTAGTGATCCGTGCTGTCTGGCAATGGCCACTCCGTACCTAGCGTGCGAGCTATACAAATTACCCAGTGACACAAACTCTCCCACGTCGAGTCTAGACTGGACAGATTAAGCTCGGTGGGATAAAAATGTTAGTAGAAGTACAAATGTAAGAATGTTAGAACTGCGATGCAATGATAATGACGTCAGTTTACTCGGGGATGCTTATTCCTACTCTATATATGCTGTGAATATCGCTTCATAACCTGAAACATCATGCAAATAGACGGAACAAAGGCTTTCTTTGCCTGGATATGTAGTTAACATAAACCACGGAGCCTGATCGCCACATCGTTGGCGATCACAGTGGCGCGGCCTGCATATACGATTACGGAGCAGACAGTTGGATTTCAAATTTCTATTTGGTATGGACGCAGTAGGACGTATACGGCACGTACCCGGAATAGCAGAAGCCAAGTAGACATTAGCATGCACATCTTCATATTCAGTTATGAACCCCTATTGAATAGTGTATTGAACCCTGCTAATCCTTCTGTAGACCAATTACCCTGTAGTCAGGCCTATGTGGATACCGCCGCCTACGTACTGCGACATGCTACGTGACTTTAGCAACTGCGTACGGAGTAGTTAGCTACTGGCTTGGTTGGGCAGATGGGCGATGCATTGCATATGCCACACACAGCCTGGTAGTACGCAGTCGACGAGTCCAGATATGCACAATTTACGTACGTGGATCGATCACCTGAAGAAAAACAACAAGTCTGATTGATTTAAACTACTGTACTATGTAATAGTCGCCGAACGCCACATATACCCGGATATTCGTTCCCGTTGTTTTGTCTTTTCGTAACCTGGTTACTACGTGTTGCCTCGCTAATTGAATTAATCATGATATTTTATTTTTTCTTTTCATGCATGAATGCATTGTATGCCGTTCCCGAGTAATCCGACGATCCGCGCCGAGGGCAAATTGATTGGCACGCATCGCCGGACGATGTCGAGACTCGTTGCCGATGCCGACTCCCCCGTGGTCAAGTAAACCGAACATTTTTCTAACTGGCGATTAACTACCTAATTTGGGACAAAACACGGATGATGCATTGCATTGCATTTATGACACGTACGTAAGCTGACGATATTCGTAAGGAGGAGGCAAGCGTCTAGAGTAAAAAGGATTGGTTGTGAATCCGAATATAAAATTGAAAAAGAAAACAAAAAAGAAAAAAAAAAAAAGGTTAAAAAATAGAATAGTAAAAGATGCGAGGGAAATATAAAGGAAAGAAAATATGATATAATATATAGAAAAATAAGGAAAGATCCCGAATAGAATAGAAAACAGGAGGAGAACAAGAAGAATCGATCACACTAGGGCTAGCTATGCTGACGGAATCAAAATCAACTAACAATACTGTCGACTGATTATGATGATGGAAGAAGAGGAGGCGAGTCGCTCATCATGACAAAGAAAGATAGAGTACAGGAAAAAGTAAACAAGTGAAACACATTGGAGGAAGAGTAGGTGAAAGTAACATCTAAGATGGCAGACAGATGGACAACAGACAACAACAACAACAACAACAACATACAAACAACGCTATGAGATTCGTAACAGATAAGACAGTCACTAAAGAGAAAAGCACTTTTGAATCAAACACTAAATAAATTGTCATCACTGAGTCGTGTAATAGACAGGCCCTGAAGACTGTGGATAATAATACGTCGTACTTGGCGGCGTCATCATGCCCCCCATTCCGACTACCCCCCCACTCCCATGATACGGCGCATTGGGAGGGTGGTACAACTCTTGCGCATCATAGAAATAGACTGTGCCATTGGCTTCGTGGGCCACCGTATGGGCTTGCTCGCCCCCAGACGTGTGTGGAGGAGCAGCTGGCGGCGGAGGCGGAGGCGGAGCGTGGAAAACGTATGGTTGGGCCCCTGAAGGAGGACCAGGAGGAGGCGGAGGAGGGACAAAGGTAGCAGCGGGCGGTGTGTAATGCGGATATTCGCCAGCATAGTATACGGCGGCCGCTGGAGGATAGCCACCGGCAAAGTATGCCGGCTGAGCAGGAACTCCGTAGGGCTGGAAAGGCGGCGCATGGATGGCACGTTCGGGGATATGCGAAAGAGGCGTGCTCGACGGTTGACTGGGGTGGGACGGATGGCGTCCGTGCATATATGCTCCATCTGCTCCATAGCCTGGAGCTGCCACCATGCCGAGAACTTGCTGGTGGAACGGCTGTTCAAGTTGTGGTTGGGGCAGGTTGAAATTGAAGCTTGCAGGACTCTCGATATCAGCCACAGACACCGTTTTCTGCGGTCGAGGCTGGTGCATAGTGATCGGCCCCCGGCTTTCCCGGTATGCTGTGTTGAGCGGTAAGACAGGAAGCGGTGGAACGCCTGTTACAACCGCACCAGTGATGGGAGGTCCAGGTGGGCGCACGACCGGTGGAAGACGAACAATCGGCTTCTTATCGCCAGTCACAATGGTCTGTCTTGATAGCACCGAGCCTGCCGGTGAATGCATACCTTCTCGGACCGACGACCTGCGGCTCATAGATAAGCTGGGCGAGTAAGTTGAACCTGGATAAAGGCTGGGTCTTCGGCCACTATAGTATCCTCCGCCACGTCCACGTCCTCGGTAAGATTGTTGGTTTGGTCGTAGTGCACGGGGTATGAAGATGAATGAGCGCTCTGGTGCAGGTAGAACGTATTTAGGTGCTGCACCTGGCAATGAGATCCGCACAGGCTTGTCCCGTCGCAACGGAGGGCGGTGTTGTGGTAAGCGAGTATGCTGGCGCTTGCGAACTGCAGCGAACGACACTGGGGTTTCCATGCCTGGGAGAAACACCCGAACAGGCACATTTCCAATTATCAACGTTGTGGAAAATGAGCGATTTGGCGGTGAAGATCGAGGAGCAAGAGACACAGCGGCTGACCCATTTGTGAACCTCGCATTGTTGTTGTTGTTGTTATAATGAGAATAGGAAGGAGGTGTAAAGGCCTGTCCATTATCGCGGACAACCGTCTCATGTAGATCGTGCGTCCATTGTCCATCACTAGCATCGGGCTTTTGGCGTCTATTTAAGAGGTTATCAAAAGACCGCACACGCCATAAGGTGGAATATACGGATGAACTCACCGTCCGACGTTCCCATCCACAATCAGTCCATACGGCCGCGACTTGGACCTGTTGACATGGGACCGATGCCCATTTGCTGACACATCCGTAGACCTCTTGTCGTGCAAGAAAAATCCTCCCCGCGTCGGAACAAAAGCAGGATCATCATCCCTGGCTCGGATGTATTCCTCATGCTCTCGTCGTTTTCGTTCAGCAAACGTCTCCCGCCTCGATTCAGCCGGCGGTGCGGATGGCGCCCTCCCAATCTTGTCTTCTGGTTTATTCAACTGATCGAACTGTATCTCTTCTGTCACCTCTCCTGCCGACTCGGACACTCTTAGCCCGTTCATCATCGCTTCTGTGTCGGACACTGTCGCCGTCAGTGTCGGCTTGAGCGGAACGCTCAACTTCTCCTGCTCTCCATGACCATCCGCACGCTTGTGTCCGTTCCTCCTATCGACTGCGTCATCATCTTCACTGAGATCACTGCCCTCGCCGTCGGCATCATCATCATCGCCCAGATGGCTCGGTAACGAGCCCTCACTCATCGAGTCATCCTCAAAATCTCCTGCTGTAGAGCCCTCATCCTCACCATCATCTTCTCTCCTTCGCCGACTGGCTCCAATTTTATGTCTCTGATGCCGAGCGGGAGCCATTTGATGAAAGGGAACAGTAAAAGCCACCGAATCGCGGGCCTGCGGTTTGCACCGTAGCGGCTCGGCTACCGAACGGAGGACGCGTGGGAACGATGCGTCGCTAGAGAGACGTATCTTCAGTGCATTCCAACCCGAGAGAGATGGAAGAAAGGATCCCGGTGTCACCGGTTGACGGCTGTCGAAAGACTGATCGGGGAGAGTTAATCAGCGGGGAAGATGGCGGAAACTTGTTTTGGCCTGGGGCCGCTACGGACGAGCGGTGGTTTTGGGGCGTAGGCGGAAGGAACAGTGCTAAGTCCCGTCGTAGGTAGAAATAAGGACAGTCGAAGAGGCAAGGAGCAAAGGATGTGAGGAAATCGGGGGCGATGGCGGGGAAGGGAAGGGATAGTGTTGTTTCTTTTGTTGGATGGCGTTGTTTGTTTCAAGCAGAGTCTGTCAAAACTAGGCGCTGAGCCATGACATCTGAGAGATGGCAGCCGATCCCGATTGGGCCTAGCGCGCGCGTCTCCAAGGCGCCTCTTGTGGGCGATCCTTTAGGTTAATTCTCCGCGCTTGTTTTCTAATTATCCTACGGCTCTAAGCTTCCAGAATAAAAACATGTAGACGGGATATATGGAATGTAGCATAGTACGTATATACAATTTGCAATTCTCTAGTCAAACGTAACTTTCTGCCCCTGCGCTTCGACAATCGCTCCAGTCAGTCTCTGCACGGTATCCTGCGAATAGCGCGACTGCGTCTCTTTCCTGGGGCGGCGATTATTCGAGCCTCCATTTTCATCTTCAGAACGTGCTTTGCTGTCCTTGCCAAAGCGCTTCTTGTAGCGCGTTGCAGAATCCTCGGCAAACTCCATTCTCAATTGGCGACCGAGCAGCCGGTTTACCCAGATCTTTTTCGTCTTGGGTTTCTTCCTATCCGCGCTTTTCTTCTTTATACTCTTCTTCATCTTCTTCTTCTGCTTTCGCTTCTCGTCGTTGTCCGATTGGTCATCGTCTGAGGAGGAGGACTCGTCGCTTTCATCTGCTTCTTCCTCATCTTCATCCTCGTCTTCTTCGACCTTGATAAACCCATTCACGGCATGCTGGGCTGACTCGACGGTCTCAAACTCGACCCACCCGTAGCCCTTACATTTCCCCGAGTCCTCAAATGTTGCCAGATGCACGTTGGTAATGGTGCCACAAGGCGAGTAATGTTCCTGCACCGCTTCCTTGGTAGCATCGAATCCCAGATTCCCAACAAAGATCCGTCGAGATGGCGGGTGACTGCTTGACGCGCTATTACCAGGCTTAGATGAACCCGCTTGCTGGTCCTTTTCCGGTCGACCCTCAAAGCTTTGGGCGCCTTTGATAAGCACACGGCGGCCGGCAATGAAATTCTCGCTCAACGCTATGGCTTCGTCCATGGCATTTTTGTTGGCAAAATCGACGTATGCAAATCCCTTATTTTGGACCATGCCATTCGCTCTAGAAGGCCCCTGTGGAAGGTGAATTCGCGTGATTGTTGCATCGGTGAAAGTACAGCCGCTCGTGAAGAACTTGCGTACGTCTTCTTTCGTTGTGTTAAAGGGGAGGTTGCCTATCCAAACACCATACTCCGAGCGTTTTGTCGACTCCGCCTTGGGTGTTTCACTCTTCACCGCGGTTGTCTCAGGGTCGACGCCCTTCTTTTTAGCCTTACGGAGCGCCTTCTTCGAGGGAGGTTCGGGGGCAGCGACGTCAATTTCGATCTCGGGAGCATCTTGAAGTTTTCGTTTTTTGTTAATAGTGGGGTCCTCTTCTTCCTTAAGGCCCGGCATTTTGCATGCGATTGAATAATAATGGTGAGAAAGATGTAGCAAGTGCTTTTTGCTTGTTGGGATTTTTTTTTTCCCTCAGAGCAAAAAGAAACGGATTAGTCTTAAGCGGGCTCCGCACTGGCCCACCTTGGCTGGCTCTTTCCTGGAGGGCCGGAGCAAGGACTAAGGATGGGTCTTGCCGCCTGCGATACACGGCAAAAGCGCGACCTCCGCTTGATGCGTGACTTACCACCTCTCCTCGGACGTTCTTCTTTCTAGTCCTAGCACACATTCGCAAGGAAACTGCAGCATTGTGATTACTCTACGGTCGCACAAGCATGCCTTCAGATCAGGAAGAAACGCAGTCCACGGCGGGCGACCTGCCTGATGCGCCAGCTCCTGCCAGCAAAGTCCCTTGTCATTCATTCAAGTATGTTCACGGGCAATTCCATCCGCAGGAACTTTTAATCTTATCAGAGTTTCTACAGGAAAAAATTTGCCAAGCTCAAGGTCAAGTTTGAGTTGGAAATGCGTGAGAGCGAGGCGCTCATAAAGGAGCAGCTTCGGTTAGAGGATGTTTCTCAGAGATTACAAGAGACTAATGAGTTGAGGAACCCCAAATCTATATTCTCTTGAAGAGATTCCTAATGGCAGAATCAACTGACCTGAATAGTCAACTTCTCGAAGTACTTATGGAATTTAACGAGAGTCTTTATATCCCGCCTAATCTGCGTTACGACCTAACTTTGCCCGGGGAAACACCACTCACTCTAACGTCGGAAGACGAGGACATCCCTCCGTCTACCTATACCACGACTGCGGCCAAGTCCGCTTTGAAAGAGGCACAGGCAGAGCTGAATTCTGGCCAGATCACACCTGATACCTATCGTCGTCTAGAAAAAGGAGTGAAACGCAGCACGGCTTTTCGACCGGCTATCCAATATTCATCTCTGCGACAGATTGCACAACCCGGCTGGTCGCTGTCACTTGATGGTCAAGATGAGGATCCTTCATTGTTACTCAATATCAATTATTTGACTCCAGATCATGAGCATGAATACTTATTAGCAATCGATGCGAAATTGGGCGATTCGAGTGCGGACAAGCAGCTGAAACAGCTGCCCGAGAAGCCAACGATTAGTGATCGCGAGCGAGAGGCGAACCTACAGAATCCCAACTCGGTGTATAACTGGCTGCGTCGCAATACTCCGCAGGTTTTTCTACAGGATAATGAAAACGCGTCTGAGAAGGGGACCGGCCAGCGTCCTGCCAACGCGCGCTCGTCAAAACGGGCTTCCCTGGCTCGCCCACCGGCCAAGGAAGAAGATATGTACGATGAGGACGGCATTGCTCTTGAAGTACCTGCACCATCAGCCTCCAAGGGCAAACGCAAGCGTGAAGAAGACACGGGATACCGCCCCAAGGGAGGCCGCGCAAGCACCAGTCGTAAGAAAAAGGAGACCGATGGCAACTACTCGGGTCGTCGTTCATCGAAGCGCTCTTCTGGAGTGGGTGCTTGATGTCTTATCATGCATGTCATAATTAGTGGTGTTTGGTTTTACCACCATTGCCTGTACAACAATGCATCTTTTCTCGCCACCAGCACCACCACGACGACGCATTCTATCTCACTGATGTACATTGATTTCGACTACACTAAAATGCCCACTTTCACGCGCATATACCACACAATTACACAATTTTTAATGATCGGCATTGCAATGGGGATATCCAAAGGGATTTGCGGTTTCTGGACTAGGATCAAAATGCAGTTCAATTGATTTTGGGGGCGTTTGTTTTGTAATTTCTCTCTTTGTCTGTACTGTGATGTATGCATATTTTCTTTTCTTTCTTTCTTTTTTTTTTTTTCTTTTGTTGCTTATACTGCTTGCTATCGGAATTCGCAATGTCGGTTTATGTTCGAGTTATAGATTTGCGTTCGTGTTGCTCGCACGTATTGAATTTTACATTTTTTTTCTTTCTTGCGCTCCCATACAGAAAAGTTAAACCCAAACTATTGAAAAACGCAAGATTCGAGAACTAGCCGAATGATGGCATAGAAGTAGAACGTTGTGTTAGTTAACTAGTTATACGGCGTAGTTAGTCATGCATGGTCATCTATCGGGGGTGATACAGGGTGAATTAAGTACGCCACATCGCTGCAGGATTCTTCATGTAGGCATGTATAATATAGTTATATTGTAAGACCAGTCGGAGACTGTATACATCAAACGATCGGCTGGGTTGGCGTTGTATGTGTCATCTTGATTCATTCAGCATCTATACCGGTGGCAGAAGATTGACCGATCACTTTTTTCGACTTTGAACCTTGTGCACCGAACGGATTGCGATCAGTCGATAGTCCAGTACTATATGGAGGAAATCGGAGCGTCGACCCTTACGAGTCATGGCCCAGTCCGAGATATGCGAAGGCAGCTGGTTGGCTGTTCCCCTGAATGGGTTGGAGCCTTGCTGCCTTGGAGTGAAGGCGTGACAACGTGGCTAGCCCCTTCCCTTGACATCCGCAAACTAACTAACTATCGGACTAGCATCTGAACCAACTCCACCATTTCGTCTCTTAACTTGCCCTCGATTGAATTATTTCCTCCCTCCCTCCCTCTCTGCTGTGCTGTGCTGTGCTGTCTTTCTGTCTGTCCAGATCGACTCACTCCAGCTCAATTGAATCGCAACACGCAATTGATGCACCCCCGTTGTCAACGCAGCTGGACGCCGAGGACAGCTGGGCGTCTGACTGATCTGCCACTGGCCGCGGCGATAACATTATACTAGTCACAATAATAGCTACGGTCTGACCAGAATAGTGCCCGGCTGATCGCTCAATCCGGACAATTCTCTTACTACGATGAACTGCCGTCAACCTCAGTCTTTCTGACTCGACGACAACCACCGGAAGCTTCGAATACGCACGATCCGAAAGTGTGACACTATCCCTTACGTTGACTTCTCGAACGCAACAGCAGGGAAACCGCTTACCAGCTAGTCGCTATGGGCCTGGACGACTTCCCTCGACCGCCAACCCATCGTGGGGGACTCTCGAGACCAGACAGCTCCAGCCAATTCCAGCCTCAGCGCCACGACCGAAGTTACTCTCCGCCCTCGACACCACCATCCGGGGACAGAAAGAAGCCGTGGTCCCAGCCCCGGGCACTGAATACCGGTTTAACCTACCCGGGGACTTTTCTCGACCATAGTACGCCGGTCGAGCATCCTGGTCGTGTGAGCGAATCTGGAGATGAACAGGATCCGCACGATCTGGCTCTGTCGCCAAAACACATTACAAGGACCTCGGTGGTGGACAATATGCTTCTCTCTCTAGATCAGTTTACGCCAGGATCCCCATTGTTTAGCGATACTCGTTTCTTCAGCAACTCGCCGGAACCCGATCCCTACGCTTATTCCAACAACCTCAATAACCATCGATTCTCTCCGTCCCAACATGCACGCTTCAGAAGTCGCACATTGTCCTCATCCATATCCTCCGATATTGGTCCAGTTTCCTATAGCGATGATCCCCTTGAGTATTCTCATATTCCTCGTTCTAGCGGCCGCAGAAGCAATGGGAGCTCCTCGCTTCAGCCCTCACAGCAGCGTTATGACACTGCCCGTAGTAGAGAAAGCGTTGGCTCTGCTTACTTGACCAGGAATTACGACGTCGAAGAGGAAACAACGTCACCCCATGTCCGATCGAGGTATTCGGTTCGTCAAGGAAGCAAAGATAGCACAAACAGTGCCGACTATGATGACCCTGCCTTTGATGAGCCCTATATATTAAATAACCATAGACGTTCCATGAGTTTGGATTATGGCTCCAGGCCTGCGTTTCTAGCAAACACGTTGCATAGTTCAGAGTTGATTCTGGATGATTTGGAAGCAGCACCTACTCCCACTGTTCCTCCTGGTCCGAGACGGGATCTCTCTGGTGGACTTCCCGGCAGCCTTTCTCAGCCGCGAACTCCAGCCTTATCTCGCAGAAACAGCAACAGATCAGCCAGGAGTACATTGACGCGCAAGGGGCGCACGGAAACACTGGGAACATCGACTATAAAATACAACGTCGATACACCCCGACCTCCTCTTCCTTCCTCGTTTATCGATCCTTCTGCCCCAAGTCCTACCATTTCGTACCAAAAACCTATACTTCCCCAGGCAGATTCGGTCCCAGCCAAGGAGAAACACGGCTTTTTCAGACGGGTTTTTGGGTCTTCCAAAATTTCTTCGGAACAGTCAACTCCTGAAAATACCAAAGTGTCGACACCGAAGTCGGATAATACCACAACTCCGAGTCAGCCTCGCCAGGAATATGCCCATCCCGTAGTAGCTAAAAAGGCGTCCTCCTTCTTCCGCAGACGAAAGAAGTCTATTCCTGATAATATACCGCCACCGTTAAATCTAACACCCAATGCCTCAAAGGCTTTGGATATGCACGCAGAGCCGAGTCCCGCGAGCAGTCTTCGACAAACTATGGATCCTTACCTGTCGCATACAACTCCTTCATTTCAAAAAGTCATGAAAGACTACCCAGAAGATGCTTCAACGCATATCCGAGAGCACGATCCTAGAGTACACCTAGGTCCCAGCCAATCTTTGCTGGACGATAGCACACCTCGCCCAGCTGGGCGGCAGACTCGAACCGCTGATAACCAAAACCAGACTACATCGACGAATAAGTATGGTCTCCATTTCCAGATCATATCCAGAAATCACACTAACGAACTTACCATTAATAGGCATGTCAATGAAAATGCGAGCAGCAGCAACAAAAGTGCGTACAGGCCTCAGACAAGCCCACTCGCGCCTCGTTATAATCTGTTCACGGCAAATTCCCAATCTTCTGTGCCGGAAAAGAACTTGCATATTAATACTTCGAGCAACAATCTTCTTCCGCCTTTGGAAGTCCCGAGCAGCAGTTTTATGTATTCTGAGCCTTCCCCTAACCTTGTTCAGAGATCTCTGAAACATGAGCCTTCTACCGGATCAAATCTATCCACTTCAGACGCTTCTCAATATCACACTGCTTCGAATTCCCCCATGATAGAGACTCCAGTTCTCTTGACAAAGTCAACGCAGGCCAATCAAGAGGAATCCGAAATTGTCTCAGCGGAGACAGTAGACGACGTCCCCACCACTGCAGACAGGGAGAAAGCACGCAAGTTATTTGACAACCCAGAAGAAGTCGTTGGAAATGAGGCCACGGCGGCTTGGCTGGGAGACATTGATCGTGCAATGGTTCGAAAGGCCTACATGGATCTGTTCAATTGGACAAACATGGACATTCTAGCGGCTCTACGCAGTCTATGTACAAAGATGGCACTGAAAGGAGAGACGCAGCAAGTTGACCGTGTTTTGGATGCATTGTCTAGCCGGTGGTGTGAGTGCAACTCGAATCACGGATTCAAGGCTGTTGGTGAGTACCTTTGTCCCTCGATGTTTTTTTATTGGTGTCATGTGATAATTAACCTTCTTTCTCTATTCTAGACGTTGTTCACACCATTTGCTACTCGCTTCTTCTACTGAATACCGATTTACATTTGGCGGATATCGATCAAAAAATGACGAGAAACCAATTTGTGCGTAATACGTTGCCCACGGTGTATAGAGTAGCCTGCGATGCTGCACCAGATGGATTTGAAACTATTCGCCCGGGTGGGAAGTCACGCCCTCAGTTAAACACAGCTGCCAGGTCTCCAAGCATCCCTTCTGCCGATCTTACTCTACCTATTTCTGAAGGAGATTTAAAACCAAAGAGGAGCTCAGTCATCGTGGATGGTTCTAGTATTCACGGGCCACTAATCTCTACGCCGTTCCAGGGTACGATTAAAGCATGGGAGGCGCAGATTGAACTTGTTCTCAAAGACTTTTACAACTCTATTCAAAAGCAGCGTCTGCCTTTGTACAATGCACTCCCCGAGTCTGAAAGTCTTGCTCCTCCGACTACGGCAACGGGCAACATCCTGCGTCGCAGTCCCAGCGTACTTAGCAAAGCCGGATCAGATGTTATTCCACGAGGCCGATCTGCAGATTCTAGAATGACCACGGGTAGATGGTCGTCTAAACCACGATCGCGGGCTCGACTATACCCTGCGTCCAATATGGGCTCGAGTCGCACAAGTCTTGACGACCAATCATCAGTATGGAGTCCCTCGGCGTCGAGTACCTGGAGTAAGTACTCTCTCGGCAAAACGATGACTTCAATGTCAGTGGATTCTCTGGGGTCTGAATACCACCGAGGCGGGTACCAGCAGTCAATCGGGTTTGCGAATGCTCTCAGTCACGCCATCATTCGCGAGGACTCGGCAAACTCGGTTTCGAGTTTTGAGGATCCAGGCACTGCCAATCCAGTCCTAGAAGATGAGACCCTAGAACTCATGGGTGCTCCATGGGCCAAGGAAGGCAGTCTTAAACACAAGCAACATCTGGAAGCGGTCGACAAGAAGGCCAAAGATCGCAATTGGAACGAGTGCTTCGCTGTTATTCAACGCGGATGGCTACGGCTTTTCTCCTTCAATGCCACTACGAAATCGATGCGAATGAAATCTAAACAGCGTCAGTTAGGAGCAGGAGGCGGCGTTGTGGGAGGGGGTAATTGGATGGAAAATGCAGAAGAAGTCTGGAAGTTCCTTCTTCGTCAGACCATCGCAAGCGCATTGCCTCCACCGGGCTATTCCAAATCACGTCCTCATGTATGGGCGCTCAGCTTGCCAACAGGAGCCGTCCATCTCTTCCAAGTCGGTACGGCCGAAATTGTGCGCGAATTCGTCACTACGGCCAATTATTGGAGCGCTCGGCTTTCAAAGCAGCCTCTAGTAGGAGGGGTGAGCAATATGGAGTACGGCTGGAGTGATGCAATTATCAATGGCGCGCTGATTCATGGAGACTACCATCATCGGTCGCCGCCCCATTCATCTGGAGCCGCTTCTGCTCCTGCCGCTGCTCCACGACCAAGTTTCCAGAGTTCCATCCGCAGTTCTCTTGACCAACAAGGAGGTGTTCGTGCAAAACTTCCCGCCGATCGAGTACACCTCAGCGACTGGATGCCGCCTCAGCAGAGCATGAATGCCTCGAACCTAACGGAATCAGAGCAACTAAAAGCACTGCAGGATTACGTTAAAAACGTGGAGGACGACTTGCAGAAACACAACGAACTCCGCCCAGCAATGCTACTGGCTTTTTCGCCTCGGCACCCAAACGCAGCCAAGGCGATGGCAAATTGGGAGCGGAAATCTTCTTATTTGTTAAGGGAGATTGTCAAGTTTCGCACTTATATTGACTGCTTAGTTGCGGCCAATGCGCACAAGGAGAAGATTTATGCTTCGAGAGTGGAAGATAACAACGACAACGATACAGCTGAAGATGCTGTCGTATCTATTGAGTCAGCAGTTGATTCTGCTACTACTAAATGATCGATCGATTCATTCACCATGTACATATTTGTAATTTCTTTCTTCTGAGTGGCTTGTACTCCACCTTTTACCCCTTTTTCTTCTGTTACTCATACTTACCATCTCGGGAGTCAGTCTGATTTCTTCATGCGACTTACAACATAACGAATTTCTTTGGTCTCTTTTCTCTTCTGTCAAATTCTTTCATCGTCCTTCAATTTAAAAGTTGTCTTTGACATTAAATTTATGCTCCCTACGCATGCCTCTCATCTCAACGATGTCATTATTGCTATCACGCTTATGCTCATACTGTTCATTGCTTGAATGTACATAAAATATATTCGGAAATGAGACTATTTGTTCTTGTTATTGGACTATAGGTGAAGACTATCATAACCATGTTCATCCTGGCAATATCAATCTCCTCGCTTTACAATCTGACCTAAGAGACAGTAAAAAAAATTCCCGTCAGCTTATATGCGAATCAATTTCAAAAGTATCTGAATTCTGAAATAATAGAAACCAAGCTTATAGGCCCATTAACCAAAATATCAATCGAAGTCACATAACACGCCGTTGGTGAGGCAGCTCCCGGGCGATGCCTAGTCCGATGCCACACGGTTTGGGCCCGGTGAGTGTGCTTTACTCGTCATAAAAGAAAGGCTTGCGGAGGAAAAGTCGACTCCCTGACAATTATCTTTGAGGCTAAGCTGATTTACCTAGGTACACTTTCTTGTCGACGGCCGGTGGTGGAGGATGACGTGATGCGACCGATGTACAGGTTTTGGTTTTTTTTTTCTTAAAAAATGAATTAGATGGAATGCAGTAAGAGAGGATTTATATTATGAATTCAAAGATATTGTTTAATTATATAGTAAGAAGGGGAAATAAAGCATCCTCCTTGTCAGACAACAACTGACGAGAGGGTAAGGTGCCTCGACATGAGGACACCTTGGGTGATATCGTCGCATTTTCATTAGGTACATATCTTTTAGATTGCTTAATCAATCTCTGATTCTGACTAGTCAAAGGCCACAGGGTTAATTGTAACTCCTGATAGTCTGGTGTGGTCAGTTAGGGCTAGTCGGGCCATCCCCCCATATTTCTCGGGGCTTCCAAGGTTGCGGAGAACACCCAAAGCCAAACAACCACGCAGGCAATGTGCAGATGTGCCATTGATTGAACTACGGTGTGCATATATCTAAGGTATGCAAGTAGAAACGAGCATCAAATTAGGCACGCATACGCTATGTAAGTAGCAACAACAAACCCCCCTTCGCTCACTTCGCCTTTCCCAAATCAATAGTTATATCAATCAAACAAATAAACTACATCAACCAATCACTCCAGTGCTTCTGCAGGCAACCATCCAGTCTAGCTAGCTTTAAGAGTGAAAATCTCGGTCTAGTTCCTTTTTCTTCGTTGCTTTCATTCATTCGGTCGTTTGTTTCGTTTTGTTCCATCCACATCGTGTACTGTGTCTGCGTGTATATATGTTATATATTCAAATTCATCGACCAGTAATGTGTAATGTAGCCATTGCTCTCCGTCTTCCAGGTATAAGCCGCAATGATAGATAAGAACCAATTAGTTGTTGTTATGACATGTGGTAATAATTGGAGATCATATCCTCCTTTATTTTCTTGCTCATGAGTACTCGGCGCCTATCGAAGTACCGTTCAACATCCCAATCGTTGCTATAACATCTGCTGGCTCGAGAAGATGCCAGCTTGCAAGTGTTTGCTTGGAGCTGGCGCCCACGGTGACCGAGAAGATGTGTTCGGGAGGGAGGTCGGAGTGCCGTAAAGCGCGGAACATGTCTAATGTCGTGCCCAGTTAGCCAAAAGCTAGGAGAAGGGAAATAGAAGAACAGGAATCTACCTTCATCCGTAAAATCGTCCCCACTGCATAAGATGAATTCCGGTGCCTCACCAGGTCCCGTGCCGTACTCATTTAATAACCGCGTCACGATGAAACCTTTGTTGACAAAGGTTGGGCGCACTTCAAGGTTGGCCTTACCCGCCATGACTTCAACATCGTATGCTTTCATGACCGTGTCCTCTAGATGTTTCCGGCACTCCTTTGCTTGGAAAGACCCGTACTCGGGGTCTGCCCGTCGGTAATGCCAAGTAAGCGCAACTCGTTTGCGCTCAATAAACGATCCGTGGGTGCGCTCTGTGTAGTGCTGAAACACGTCCATAACATCCTTTTGCCATGCCATATCAAATGTGGCTGCTAAATTTTCCCAGTCATCACTGCGAGGCTTTCGAATGAAACAGCCATGTTCGGCACTCAGTCCGAGCTCAGGGATGTGGCCCATCCATTCATCTAAGAATGCCTGGTCGCGTCCACTAATTATCCAAACTGCATTTCTCGGATCTGCAGCAAGACTCTTGATATTTCGCAGGACACGGTCGGATGGGATAGCAGCCTGTGGGTCTTTCACAATTGGCGTTAACGTTCCATCGTAATCGAACATGAAGAGCCGTTTCCTAGCCTTGCGGTATTGCTTCAATACTTGTGCTCGGTCCAAGGCTGGCGTGGCGATTGACTGGTCAAAGGACGATAGATTGGTCAGTAGACGGTGCAGAAAATGTTGAGACCACATCGAAACCGTATTTGACGTAACATGTTTGTAGAGCTTGCAGTGTTGTTCAATCTTCTCTTCCTCGTTCATGCTGAGCGCTTGGTCGATAGCTGCAGCTACACCACTCATATCCCATGGATTGATATGGATCGCACTAGGGAGCATTGCGGCTGTCCCGGAAAACTCGGACAAGATGAGAGGTCCGTGATTGCCCTGTTGGCAAAGCACGTACTCAAGACTTGTCGTGTTCATACCATCCCGAACACTGGTAATCAGACCGACATCTGCAACACGCAGGAGACTGAAGTATTCTTGTGGAGAGATGTACTGAGGATAGTACTGCACAGGCGTGAAACTGAGCGATCCAAATCGACCGTTGATAGTGGACACAAGGCTCGATACTTGGCTTCCAATCTTGTTCTCTGGGTCCTCCTTTTGTTCCTCCATACTCGTTGGGCTTGTAACTTGGATCATGACAACTTTGTCACGCCAGTGAGGATATCTTTCCAAGAATGTCTCAAAGGCTTGTAGTTTTTGTGCCACACCACGAACGCTGTCTAATCGATCCCTGCCGACAATGATCTTCTTGCCAGCATAGAGCTTTTTAATGTTCATGACAATCTGCTCTGTGTCCGGCGATCCGAAAGCCGCCTTTTGTACATTCTGCGCGTCTATTCCTGTTGGGAAGACATCCACTGCAACGTGCGCCCCATAAGCATCGACACCCGCAGAATTGGAGTCGAACCCAAGGACACGGGTGCAGCAGGATGAAAAATGTCTGGAATATGAGTATGTCTGGAATCCAATCATATTTGCCCCGAGAACCCCCGTAAGCACTTCCTTCCTTTTAGCCAGACAACGCATGTATTCGCTACTAGGGAAGGGTGAGTGGAGGAAAAATCCGATAAAGATATTGGGAATCCGCTGCCGTAAAAGATTCGGTAGCAGGAACAGATGGTAGTCGTGAATCCATACTATATCACCAGGCTGGTATACCTCGGAAATGCGATCGGCGAACAACCGATTCAGACGCATGTAGTCTGTCCACCATTTGCGTTCTGAGCGTCCATCCGATGGGCCATTTTGCTTATAATGTAAAAGGGGGTACAGCTCTCGTTCTGCGTATCTCCTCCAACGAGACTGGTCGATCAACACGGTCTCCTCCTCAGGCTCATCAGATTCAGCTGTCGCCCAAACTGGGAGAATTCTACCATATTTGCTGCGATTCAGCTGTCGTTCCAACCGTTCCTTGTCGGCTGTTGAGAGAGTAATAGCCTCCACTGGAATATGCGTTTGCGGGGTCTGCGTTGCATCGACGGGGACAGGCGCAGCTGCTTTATTAACAGGAGCAACCGTAGAGGGGACCGCTGGTACGCCGTTCCCTGCGACGGGTTGCAATGGCGATCGTTTGCTAATGATCTCTTCCACCTCTCCCGTCCAGCCTACAAGAGTATGATTCCAGGGCGATCTTTCGGACGTGAGGTGAGCAAAGGAGTCAAACAAGGCCGACGTGCCTGAGCGAGGTTTCAGTTCCTATATAAGCGGGATGCGTGCGTTAGCATAGAAATTCGGATTGCGCAGGTAGATGAATAATCAGATCATCTTCTCACCCAGTCAGATCCGGCCTGATGCGACACTTTGAACGGAATACAAAATGAGGCACTGATGAGTCGTCCGGTTAAATGTAGCCCTGGGTGGTCCGCCCGCGGATCTGTCACAGGAGTTGCCGGTGTGAGGTGAGCGTCCCCCACGAGGCTCAGACGTCGAAGCAATTCAGGTCCGGATGTGACACCCGAGGCTGCATCGGAAGGACTCAGGGGAGAATTTACGTAGGCATCTTTGGTGGCGGTGGTCGTCCCGGGAAGCTCGGAGAAGTACGATGCAGACGATTCTCCCTCCCTGGGTGCTCTCGGCTTCTCCTGGCCGGAGATAGCTGGGGTGGCCATTGAAGCCTGCACATACGCAGCTTCGCCCAGTGTAGACAATCCCGGTCCAACGATGGCGGGCTGGGGTTGGTTTGGGGGGATCCTGTCGGGTGCTCCTTGCTGGTAGGCCATTGTATGATGTAGATCCTGAAGTCGAGCTTGCACAAGCCAAGCCGGAGTCAACGAAAACGCTCAAACGGAAACAATAGCAGGTAGAGGAAAGGGGGAAAGGAGAAATGGCGGAGAGCAAATCAATCGATGCGTCAGTGCATGGCTGTCGGTCAGTGCTGCGACACAGTCACGATACTAAAGCCGTTCGCGGAGAGGGAAGGCGGCGGGGAGGGGCAGCATTCACGTACTGTTCCTAAAAGAGGTATCTGCCTGCCGCCATCGAGCAAACGCCCGCGGAGCAGCCTGCACCGTAGAACAGATATGCCGCGCTACGTCTATCGAACTCGAATACGTCGTAGTAGTAGTAGTAGTAGTAGTAGTAGTATGTTTAATTCCTTATGTCTGCCGTCTACCGCGTTCTTGAAATCTTGAGAAGCAGAGCAACGTGCCGCCTCTGCGGGGGTGTGAGGTGAGGTGAGGTGAGGTAGGTTAGTCAGTCCCTGGGCCCTCGCGGGCGTTGACAATGGCAACATGCAATGGTGGACTAGAGGCACTAGTTGTGAATAGTCTGCACGTTCACGAGGCGGTGAATGGCTGGTTGCTGGGAGAACAAGCCGAGTGGGATTTCTCCGGGCGAGACCGTGCTATGAAGCCATATAAAACTATAAGCTTGTTCTGTCCATTCGAGCAGTTCCGGTCCAATCGCCTAGTTTACCTCCACTTTTCAGCCAGGCTCGCTTTACAGTGGAAAAATTGACGGAGCGCTGACGTTCCGTCCCTCGAAGACTTGAAAAAGAGGGTGGATCTGGATACGTAGTTGATGTGACGTCTGTGCTTTGTTTATCTGGCATTGCTCAGTCGCTTGAATCAATACCAATTGTCTTTCGCACGAAGACCACTGCGTCATCGTCGCAGAGAGCAAGTAGAGGGTGGGCTTGCAGGCAGAGCTTAGGGCTTAGGGCTTAGGGCAGGACTCAAGGTTATTCTTCCTGTCCAATCACAGAGTGGACCAAGTCCGCCCGCTGTGAGATCACGTGCATATCTCGGAGGCCGGCGCCGATCGTCGGAAAAACCATAATGACGATCACATGCGTTCTCCCTCAGCGAACGTTTGATACTCCCAACTTACGGCAAAAAAAGTGTCCTGCACCAAACAAAACCAGTGTCCTCATCGATATCTTATGCGCTTTGGGCAGCCACCTACTTCATTGCAATGCCTTGCATTGGGTGATTCCCGGCTGGTCCTGTGCGGCCGAGGGAAAAGACCGTCTTCCTCATCGCCATCGACCTTACCCGCGGCAAGCCTACGACGATCTTCCCACAAGATAGTTCCTCTAAACAGTAGAAAGCCGCGGTATCCAGTCATAAAAAACAGTTTGAAGAAGACTCTCGAAGCACAAAGGGCCGCCAACCGTGAGAGACTGATCCGCAAGGTCTACAATGATCCGCCTGGCCTAAATATTCACCGTCCGTTGATCCCCGAAGAGCAGATAGACCAGCTTCATAATGCGCTTGAAGCTCCCGCAGAAGCCACACCCTCCAAGACATCCCTATCAAGGCGGTCGTCAACAAAAGAACCAACCCAGGAACGACTCATAGGCCCGTCTGTTCGAATTCCGTGGGTTGTAAAGGGAGATGGTTCCACAAACCGCCCCTGGCTTGACTTTCTTCGAACCGGTGGTGAATTGAGAGACGCCAGTTCAGTCCTAGGAAGCGAGATTTCAGCCCTTGCCGAATTCCTCAGGCCTTCAACTACAGAGCGATTGGTCGTGAAGGGCATACTTGATGATATATCAAAGCAGCTTCTTGGTGCGGTGCCGAGCCCGCCACAGCTTGTAGGCTCATGGTCCACGCAAACCGCATCTAGCACATCAACTATTGACCTTATGATCCTCGTGCCTGGTGTTGATGCGCCGCATCATAAGTCAACACCAATGAATCCCCGTACCATCAAAATGTTTACCGGCATCATAGAAAGGGCTGAGCTTGAAATGAAGAACAGCACAGATTTTGATGGATGTCATGTTATTTATGAAAAAAGTCCAGCACTTGTGATGCCCCACAAAGCTTCAGGTTTATCAATCAGGCTATTTTGCGGGAGTTATCTGCCCAAGTCCGATGGTTTCATGAGGGATTCTCTTGCCAATTTTCCGTCTTTGCAACCATTATACATGGTTCTTAGGGTCCTTCTTGAAAGCAGGAATATCTTTGGATGGGAAGCGGCCTCGGTAGACTCATACGGTTTATTTCTGCTCATCACGGCCTTTTTGAAGCAGCAGAAGAGTCCGACGGAATACGCACAGAAAAGTTTGGGCGAGCAACTCCTCTCAATTCTTAATACATATGGCTCTGCAATCGACCTAAGCACAACGGGTATCTCAGTCGACCCAGCTGGGTTTTTTAGCATCTCCAACATCCGCGAATCCGGAAATTTTCGTATTGAGCATGGTGACAACAACAACAAAAACAACGGCAGCAACGGAAAGATATATCCCGCATATCTGGTCGGACAACGCGCGCTGATGCGATACAAAATCAACGCTGGCAATAAAGGCAACCAACCCGCCGCGAAGCATCTATGTATCCAAGACCCAACAAACCACCTGAACGACGCTGGCCTGCGCTGTCTTCGCACCGCAGAGTTGCAAAAGACGCTATCACAACTACATCGTGACCTGCAGTCGGCTCTGCAGAGGTGGGATGACGGTGATCGAGGCATTGATAGCTACAGTATTCTCGGTCAGATATTGTCACATGCCAGCTTTGATAATTTGCTTCGGAGAAGAAAGATGCTGAGCGAATGATACCCCCACAACTCTCATTTCTTCTATGTATTATTATGTATATCATAGATGTATATACGTATCCTCTCCCAGCGTATAACTAGATAACACGCAAGTGCGACTCTATCCCAATTCTGGAGAGAAGATTTCTAGGTCTTGATAACTAGGTATATAGAAATATGCTACAAATATGACAAATTTACATGAAATATCACAACCTCCTATTCTAAAGCCTAGGTGATCTTCCTCCGGGCCAACCATTCACTCAACCACCGACGTTCCTCCTTCTCGAGTGCCTCTAACCCTAAATCCGAGCCAACACCAGCGCCACCGCGCTCATCGACAGCAATACGGACTTCATCGGCGCTCATAGCACGTACCCCACCACAGCTCACGATCAATCTATCATCAAGGTCCAAGTACTCCGCCCAACGCAACAGCCGCGGCCGATAAACGAACGGGACCAAGAACGAGGGCCGGTCGTGCGACTTCGCCAATCCAAAAGTTGAGCATGCGCGCAGCACTTGCTCTGCCGAAGCGGTGGATGCGAATTCGCGTGTTCCGAATTGTTCGGCCAACCAGGCCATTTCTTCAGCTGAGCCGGGAGGGATGGGCTTCACAGACCCGAGTCCGCCCTGGACGGCTTTCAGGGCGCAACGTTTTTGCTCCACGCGCTTGATCCGTGTTTTCTCGATTTGTCGGGGTATGCGACAGGTGAAAGGAGTCACGGAGTCGCCGACTGCTGCGACGATTAAAGGGGTGAATTCCCCGCAGATGATGAGCAGTAGTCCAAAGGGGATCATGCGACGGACATCGTGTGCAGCGCGACGCACGAGCTGGAAATCGGCTCGCGATATTTTGAGAGCATCAATGGCAGTCTTGAACGACGTGGCGCCCGGAGAGTTTCCTCCTCTGGCTTCGGGAGGAGGCGGGGAAGTAGGTATATAAGCAGGGAGACCGAGAGCACGTCGGATGGGTAAGGAGTCTTTGTAATTGTAGTATACGTTTTTCAAGCCGGTTTTATAGAAGGCCAAGTATGCTCTACCGAATGCAACAAAGCGGGACAGTTTTTTGGGCAGCGTCTCGGTCGCAGTTGTTGGCGATGGAGGAAGATTGAGCTCCGCTGGGAGTGTGCTCACGGGAGCGTTAACTGTTGGCGTTAGCGAAGCTGGTTTTCGTGCATTCGAAGAGGACGATCTCGCGTTTGGCGTTGTTGGATTTGGTGGTGGTGATGGCTTTGGTCTATTTCTCTTGCCCGAGGCCGAAGACGTCGCATGGCGCCGAGTAATCGCAGTCTGGATTGACGAAGAGTATATTTGAATTTTCGAGTGCCTCGTCCTCGTCAAGACAAAATGTGCAGACAGCAGGGCATTGTCAACAGGCAGCCGACCTCTTCTTTGAGGAGCTAGATGCGATGCGGTGGCGGCGCAACGGCCGCAGATGGCGGAAGACATGGATCAATTGGGTTGGATGTCGCCCAATACGCTTATTCCATGAATGTACAAGGTGATATACAATATGATTATGTGGTCAGGAATGCCATGTACTCATGGTGGCAGGTGTAAGTAATTGTCTGATGCGGAAAAAGATGATGATCGCCGCATGAGTAAGCCCGAGCCGACCAGCTTAACTAGCTAAGTTAGCTTGGCTATTTTACTTCACGTGCTTTTTCTCTCCTAAGCTCACCTCCGTGGGCATCAACAACTCAGTGCTTGCTTTCAACTGATTCCTCTCGATGCCTCCCAGAATGCAATGGAATAACTCTTCTTACGTGTCGAATTCAATCTCGACTGTCGCGATGACTCACTCGCCCTGACTGACTAATCCTATTGGTGACTAACAGACTAATTAATAACTAGTGAACCATTCCACAGCTTCATATATCTTTGGGATAGAACCCAATTCAGGCGAATCTCACCGGAAACAAGGGCAAAAACAAGCCAAAAAAGCAAACCGAAGAAGCAAAATGCAGCCTCTGACCTTTACTCAGCCCACGGCCCTGGTGCTAATCGACAATCAGGTCGGTTTAAAGCACCCAACTCACTGGGGCCCTGCGCGCTCCAACCCATCATACGAAGCAAACACTGCTGCACTGCTCGAGGCATTTCGCAGCGCGCGCCAGCGCAGCCCGGCATCACCATCAAAAGTGCCCATTCACATCGTGCACGTCTTCCACTCTTCACTCTCGCCAGACTCCGCTTTACACCCATCCAACCCAGAACAAATCCAACCGCTCGACTTCGCTACCCCTGCGACAGATGGATCGGAGCCTGTGTTCTGGAAATGTGTCAATTCATCCTTCATCGGCACCGGATTAGAGGCCTTTCTGCGCGAGAATGGCGTGCGGCAGGTGTTTTTCGCCGGGTTGACTACGGATCATTGTGTATCGACCACGACGCGCATGGCTGCAAATCTCGGGGTAGTTAACAATGTCATCTATGCTTCAGAGGTACAACAGCGAGTGACCGTCAAACCAGATGGGTCGCATCCGGAGGGTGTCATCCGCATCGATCATGGTCGAGTTGTGCTTGTGGCTGATGCGACAGCTACATTTGCCAAGGGGGGATTCGATGCAGAAACGGTTCATGCAGTGTCAGTTGCGAGTTTGGAAGGGGAGTTTGCAGACATTTTCAGTACACAGGATGTTGTCAAGGCATTGGGTAGTGTATAAGAGAGTTAAAACAGTCATGTGGAATACGATTGGTAATAAGAACAATTTGACTAATACAAGTATCTTAATGATGTGTTTTATTTTTTTTTTTTTCAACGTGAACGCTCTCGAAACGGACACGCAGGCTCGTAAGTAATCTTCGTGTCCCCTACGACGAGTCTCTTGTTATAGAAAGAAGTTCGTGAAGAGAATATGAGGACATTTCTACTTCACCGACTGCAGAATCCTCGAAGGACCAAGAACACCGAACGCCTAGCTCATTCAGAGACAAGTGTTTGCAGCGTGTATCCTACCTAGGTACATATAGTGAATATTACAGTGCATTGTTAGTTAGGGCTAGCTTCTGGTTTACCCCGCAGTGGTTGGAGAAATTGTCCCGCAAATCTCCGAACTCTCTGGAAAGCACAACTCAAGAACCAGAAGAACAGAATGGCAGCAGCACATGGAGACCTGGCGCATTTGCTGCCTCTCAACTACAAACGCCTCGTCTCAGACTGGCTGGAAGAAGACTGCCCCAGCTTCGATTACGGCGGGTTCGTCGTCGGCGAATCTGATGGCGAAGCCAGATTGCTGGGGAAGAGCAAGGTTCGTTTGTATCCAGCTGCAACCCCCCCAAGTATGTGCATATATTATATACTAATGGTACGGAGAAAAGGGCGTGATTGCTGGAGTCCCATTCTTCAACGAAGTCTTCTCGCAATTAGGATGCACGTACGTCCCCTCACCCAGGTGCTGGAAGGAAGAAATCCAGACCAATTGACGATTCATCCAGAGTCGAGTGGCACGTCCAAGAAGGCGAGACCATCGAACCTATCAAGCAATGCGCCACAGTCCGAGGTCCAGTGCGCAAAATCCTTCTGGGCGAAAGAGTAGCCCTGAATATACTTGCTCGCTGCTCGGGGATAGCCACCAAGTACGTGCACATCTATCTCACTCGCAAAAGGGAGACTTGGGGAGATTGACATGTATCCATAGAACGTCTTTCCTGGTGCAAACACTCCGCGAACACGGCTGGAATGGCATACTGGCTGGCACACGCAAGACAACACCGGGCTTTCGTCTCGTTGAGAAATACGGCATCTTGGTAGGCGGAGCCGATCCTCATCGCCACGATCTCAGCTCCATGATCATGTTGAAGGACAATCACGTCTGGGCATGTGCCAACAATAATGCCCGCAGCAACCGCCTTGACAACAACAGCAACCCACAACAATCATCATCAGCGTCCTCAGAAGAAGAAGAATCCAAATCTATCACAGCCGCAATTCCCGCGGCCGTGCACGCCGCCAAAGCCACGGGCGGATTCTCAACAAAAGTCGAAGTCGAAGTGCGCAGCATCGAAGAAGCGAATGCAGCTATTGGCGCAGGCGCAGATGTCATCATGCTCGACAATTTCACGGCTGATGAAGTGCGCGCAGCAGCAGCTCTGCTCAAGACTGAATGGGCAGGCAAAAACAAACCACCAGGCTCGTTTTTGATTGAAGTTAGTGGCGGTTTGACCCCGGATAATGCGGCCAAGTATGTCTGTGAGCATGTCGATATTCTGTCGACTAGTTCAATTCATCAGGGTACGGGCATTGTGGATTTTTCACTGAAGGTTTCTTTGAGGTAATCTTTAGTATTTCCCCTCCTTCTTTTCTTTCTTTTTATCGGCATACTGAATACTCGTCTTGGATGTCATGTCGGGTACAACATAATGCGGAAAATGATGAAAAATGTATGATAATCACAATTAATCTAGAAATCAAAAGCAATGAATCTTAATACGACACAGTATTTCCTATACTTCATTGCTCATGCTGATCAAGACCAGATAATCCCCTAAACTCCCATCCTATATCCTATATTCATCATCCATTCGTATTCTTATAAATTTCATACAAGAAAAAGTAATAATAATATCAATGACAAGAAATTGCAAGCAAAAATTGATCCCGAAAGAATTGCCGTTAGGGTATAATGCATCGATCATAACAAAGGTTGACAGTCACCTAGAAGGGAAGAAGATGAAACTAATTCATCTCGATATCGACTGTGAAGCCTTCGCCGTACGAGCTATGGGCATCAGTATCCTCATTGTCGCTACCAGATGTGCGCTTGTCATCATCTCCAGAGGTCGGCCCCGACTCGATAGCTGTCCTCTGGCTATTAGCCCTGCTGAGAGAGGCTGCCTCCAGAGCCCGCGTGCCCCAACGCATGCGCTCTCGTTCAAGCTCAGCTCGAAGCTCTTCGTTTTCTGCATCTCGCTCCTCGAGTCGCTTCCGCGCCCCGTCGCGATCCGCCAATCTTGCCACCCGCTCCAACTTCAATCTGCGTTCGAGTTCTCGTAACCGTGATTTCATGATATTGTCCTGCTCAGAGTCTGTCGGTTTTTGGGATGACGACGTTGATGATGTCTCTGTCACGACGGTGGTCGGCTGCGGGATACTCGACGCGCTGCGGGTTATCGTTCCTTTCTTACTGCGGGAGTCCGAGCGAACAACCGCCGATGTACGACTGACTGTCGGTGAGGCCACTGCTGTACGATCAAGCTCCAGGTCTGCACCAGCAGCATAACCTGCACCAGAGCCAGAGTGTCGATTCTTAAAGGTGGATTGCATCAAGTTGAGTTCAGCTTTCATAAGGCGATTCTCGCCCCGCAACTTGATGACCTCCGGCGAAACACCAGAAGCTCGTTGCTGGCTGCGAATATTCCGGACAGCTTCTTCGAGGCGCTCAAGCTTTTTGGCCCGAATGCCAAAGTTGTGCTCAAGGGCCTGGTATTCTTTGCTTAGGTCGCGTTCAACAGCCCTGATACGGGTCTTGAATCCGGAGAGCATGTTTTCCACAGTCTTCACGGCAAGAATGAGATTGCGGCTGAAACCCGGCCAGAAAAGAAGGTTGCCAATGACCTCCAAGCTAGGGAGGTTGCCATTGATAAGGCTATTGGAGTGAGCCCAGTCTGGACCACACATTGCCGAGAGCCTCTTCCACAACGTCAAGTACAGTGCGTTGCGTTCACTGAGTTGGTCCTTGAGCTGCTGTTCGAGAGTAGCAAACCGTTTCCGGTCCTGGCTCCTGGCATTTTCTAGGTCGGCAATGCGGGAATTGTGCTGAGTGATCGTCCTTGATGCATGTTGCTGGGATTTTAAGGACTGGTCGAAAGAATGTTTGTCTGCTCGGCGAGCTTGTCTTTCTCGATCTAGGAGATCTGCGAGCTTGCGAGACTCCAGCCCGTGACTTTCTAAGAGAGCCTCGCGACTTTGCAAGAGTGACTCCTTTTCATCGAGCTTTGAGCGCGTGCTCTCCAAGTCGAGAGACTTGGATTCAAGCTCCTTCTGCAGTTTGATAATGGAGTTTAGCAAGCTCGATCGGGTACCATTTAAATCTCCAAGAGCTTCTCGCAGCCCGTTCTCTAGATCCATGAGGCGCTCTTTCCATGTGGTAGCCTCAATTTCACGCGCTGATAGTGTCTTTTTCAGTCGTCGGACCTCATCCCTAGCCGATGAAGCTTCCCGATTGAGCTCGTTCATAATTCGTTGGACTTCTTGCTTTTCTTTGCTGCCGACCACTTCCCGCTGATGTCTTTCCTCTGCTAGTCGCGTTTCCAACTCTTTCGCCTTTTCCTTTTCAACCTGTAGGTTCATCCGAGAGGTTTTAAGTTCCGAGTCAAGCTCGCTGATTCGAATCTTGTCCGCATCTTGCTCTTCGCGCAAAAACATGATCTCGCCCTGGCTCGACTCAATCTGGACTGTCAGCCTCTGAACTTTGCCATTTGCCTCAAATAGATCTTTCTCCAAAGACTCGATCTCTCTATTTGAGTCCTCTAGCTCTTGTTGCACTGCCTTGAATTTTCGAAGATTGCTCTGTGCGTCTTCTTCGAGTCTTAGGATTCCCTCGCTGGCAGACCGCATTTCAGATTGCAAGGTCTTGAGATTGTCTTCCTGAGTCCGAAGCGTCATCTCAAGCCGTTGACACTCGTCGACTTTCTGGTCAAGCTCATCTCCAAGTGTGTCAATCTCTTCTTGCGCCTCGTTTTTTAGATCCTGTAATGCAGCTTCGCGCTCTTCGGCAACTTGCAGAGCTTGGTCACGCTCCTGCTGGAGTACTTGCAGTTCCTCCTCAGCTTGGTCTACATCTGCCTGGTATGCTTTGTCTAGCGCCTCAATCTCGGCCATGTACTCGTCGAGCTGGCTTCGCAGGCCCTGATTTTCGAGCTTGAGACTGGAAACTTGATCGCGTAGTTCACCATTACGCACTTCCATGTTTTCCCGCTCTGAATCGCTGGCGCGAGATTCCCGTGTGCCATTACTTGCTCGTGACGAAGAACGAACATGAGCTCGTGAAGCTGAGCGTTCAAAGATGCTATCTCCAGCAATAGACCTTCCACTCCGTTGGAGCTTAAGATCTTCGATTTCTTGGTACAAGCGCTCTTTCTCTCTATTACGGGATGTTAGCATTGACGTCTGCACGCTGACTTCCCTGCGCAGTTCAGTATTTTCTTTCTTCAGCAATTCAAGTTCTACGAGGGTACTGCTTGCGGAACTTGGGACCGTGAGTCGGCGTTCATGATCTCGTTCAGATGCTGTGGAGTGCGATATGATAGAGCCTTTTCGACCGCTTCTTCCATACCTGCCAGCTTCTGAACCGATGTTTCCTTCAGCTCTAGCCCGTAGTATCTCATCGCGAAGCTTGCGGTTCTCCTCCTCAGCCTGCTCACGAGCGGCGGTTTCAGCATCGAGCATATCTTTCCACATTTCCTGTACACCGGTGTTAGTATGCTAGTAGGATATGTGGTAGAGATATCAAGACTTACTCTTTCTTCTCTCGCGCCAGCATCTGAATCGATCGGCCGAGAGTCTCCGATAGATTTGACGATTTCTGCTAATCGGCGCTTTTCGCTTTCCCTCAGGATACTTTCAGATCGCAGCCTCTCAATTTCCACCTCGTATGTTTCAACTCTCTCTCTGAGGAAGATCAGCTCCTCTTCTTCAATTTCATTTCGTTTCTCTTCATCGTTTGTCTCGGTTTCTTGGTCGGCGTCCGTGTCCCTGCTGGATTGACTATCTTTGAGTTGCTTCTCCAGGTTGCGAATAGTCCTCTTCATTCCTTGATTCTCTTTCTGCAGCTTTATTTTGTCCGATTTCAGTTCGACGTTTTCTGAAATCATCTCCTTGATACCTTCTTCCGATCGCTTATTCAAAGCTTCATTCAAGAAATGAACTCTCATCTTCAGGTCAAAGTTTTCTTTCGAAAGGCGATCGATTGTGCTGCTTTGCTCTTTCAGCGTCATGCTCTTGCCACTCCTCCCAAAACCAGGTGTCGGTGCTCCGGCTCTTTTGTCAGGCGATATGTTGGTAGAAAACTTTGCATTGAACTCTCGGGCAAAGGTACCGGGCACCTGGATATCCTGAACATGCTGTGTAGCTACTGTATCTGGAGGTAGGTCGATATCCTGTGATCTGGCCTTTGGCGTTTCTGGAGGGTTGTCTTCGAAGTCCCTCGAAGAATGAGCCACAGAGCCTGTATCCTCCTCATCCAAAGTATGTAGTCCGCCATCCGTGGCGCCACTAAGTACACGTTTATCGAAAATATTTTCTTCGCTAAGTGCTGATACCCCGGAGGCCATGCTCCCTAGGCTGATAGTCCGAGACAGATTCCTACTAGGCGTATTTGTTTTCGAAGGTACTGCGCCCCCTGTCTGCAATGCAAAATCAGCACCTAGCGTCGCTTCGCTAGCCGTAGTGTCCGTGTTGGTGCTATTTATTGAGGAAGCAGAAAAGCGATGGGATGATTGGCGGCTGGTCAAGTATTTGGGACGAGAGCGCTTTCGGTCGGACTGGGAAGTCGAAAGTCTGCTATCATCCTCATTATCCACAAACGCCTCGCGCGATCGCCTCGAGTCAGAGAGAGCCGGCGATAGGTTACGTCGGCTTTTTCGCGGAGTAAGGCTACGGTAAAATTCGGCCGAAGAATCGCCCTCTTGCATATTTTTGGATGGATTAGATAAAGCTCGCTCGACAGCTGCTGCGGTGGGCGATGAGTTCAGCGTCCCTAGCGCCGAAGTATTGACGTCCAACTCCCGATTCGAAGCTGGTGTTGTCGTGGGATCACGGTGTTGATCCTCTGTTACTTCTTCCGTCACGATGCGAGGCAATTCCAGTACAGAGCTCTCTTCCTGTATTTGCGATATGTCCGGATCATAAGCGCCCTCTTGTCCGTTTGGATCGGTGACTCCGACGAGGTAGGTGTCATCAGCACCACCATCGTGATCGTCGGCGGGTGTGATTTCGATAGTAGAAGGTTCCGGTAGAAAGCTTGATTCGATATCTTGTAGTTTCCTTTGCATCTCCTGCTCTTCTAGCATTGTCTTATTATTTTGCCGGTGAACGTCGTCATCATCGACGTCTATCGAGTACTGCAGCACGCTGCTCTGTTCTATAAAATCTTGCGCGTCGTGCTCTTCTTCCATGGGCGACAAGGCGGGTGCAGAAGCATCCTGTGTACGGGTAACATATTCAAAGTCCTCTGAGAGCGTGTCCTCTAGGTGAGGCTCCTCGCTGTATTGCTGCGTCGCTGCTGTCGACTCGGCGTGGTGATCTTCGGCCCTCGAATGCTCCATTCTCGCGTCCCCCGTCCTCAACCGGGAGGCGATGGATTGTTGTTTGTCTGCCACGTCAGTCGGACAGTTAAACAGACGGTATTAAAAACAGGGCGGTGTTGACGACGCAGACTGTACGGGGGATCATTGTGGTGTATCGTATTTATTTATTTCATGTTGTTTGTTTTCTCCACACGGCAGGCGACCCACTTGTCGCCGTTGCTCATCAGTGTTGGCCTGAGGCCTGGCCGCGTCTCCGCCGGCACCAATCAGCCGTCGTCACATGCTCTCTCTCTGTCTCTCCTCTCTCTCTCTCTCTCTCTACAGATCACGCACTTATACCAGAAATAACACTTAACCTATTGTACAGACACGGATAGCTTTACAGGCAAAACAAACAATGGGTATTCCAAATGGACAGACAAAAACACATATTGATCATACGCAGAGGAGACGCCTGCAAAAGCTCTGGGGTTTATTCCCTTCATCGTTAGACGGTTTACTTGCTTGGCCCCCTCGCTCAAGCTCGCTGGGTCCTTTTTCGTCCACATCTACGAATGACACCCGTTTAGAGGGATCTCTCTTAAACAGCGAGAATCCTGCGCCTCGGCGGGATGTGCTTTTTGACGGCTGTTGGTCGCTTGCTTGCTGCCTTTCGCTGACAGTAAGTGCTGGTGTGCGAGCAGTAGAGGACCCCATTCGGGCATCCAGCTGTTGGGACTGGTAGTGCTGTCTCCGGGCTTCAACCACGCGTCGTACGATTACTGCAACAAAGGATCAGTCTGTGCTCATTCTTATGGCTTAGCGGGCACATACGCGCAAATGTTTCCTCAATGTTGACCATCTCCCTCGCACTAGTCTCCATAAAACCAGATCCATGCTTGCGCGCGTATTCAAGGCCATCTCGAGCCGAAATTATTCTAGCCTCTTTAAGATCGCATTTGTTGCCAGCAACGATCTTCACTGGTGGTGGCAATCCCACCGGGCGATTCTGAGCCTTCCGGCCCAGTTCCCTCATAAGTCGCTGATTGTCCTCCAGTCGCTGCTCGGTCTCGATGTCAATCATATCCATAAAGTAGTCGAGAGCTTCGAGACTTGGCCCGTGGGTGATATCGTAGACGAGCAAAAATGCGTCGGACTTCAGATTAGAAGCTGCCCAGAGCCCGCGATATTCTTCTTGGCCTGCCGTATCGGTGATGGATAAAAAGTAATCGGTGCCGTCAATGTTGCGCGTCACCGAATATGAGTCCTCTGAATGACCGAGTCTTTAGCATGATGTGATAGCCTCGGCGACCTCGATCCTTGTTTATGTGTAAAAGCATACCTATCGTTGGGTCATATCTAGGAGAATCAGCCAGGCGTCAGCGTCCGGGGCAAGCTACCAATAAAACTTACTCATGTATCCACTGACTGCGAACAAGGCGCAAAGTTATTGATGATTTTCCTATATGCCCATTGACACGACTGACTCAGTAAATCGTTCAAGCGCTTTGGCGTTGGCAGGCGTAGACGCAGCTAATCCAGCGCAAAGAAAAACGTACCACATCCCCCGTCTCCGCATATTGTTATTGAGATTTTATCCGCCATAGTCTAGCTTTCTAAAAACAGCGCAGTTTGGGGCACGGGGACGGTAGTGTCGATCTGGACCAGAGTCGATTTTCCCTTGCGACTCGTTTGCGCGAACGGGCGCTGATGAATCTATATAAGTCGAGTCGGTTATGTTTGAGCAGACACGCGTTGCGCAATGATTTGTTGGATCATGAAGTAACTAGCAGAGTAGTTACACAGCAATGATGTGTGAGAGACCAATGGGTGCTATTCGAATGGTAGAAGTCTCAGGCCTGTTGCGTTTGACTTCGGAAGCCGCTATCATTCGCACATGCGAGTCGAGATTGAAATCTGAAGGGAAAGACGCAGGCGTAGGAGGCGATATAAGGATGGAAATGAGAATAATATAAACCCATATGTCAATGGTGTCAGGGACGAAAAGCGAGCAATTTAGGCGATGAATCAACATGCAATAACCCAAGTGAGTTAATTACGTCCCAGTTGCAACTATTATTTTGGTTTAACGATTCCTGGCTAGCGCGACGCCCACACTAAGCTGCTTTCGGCCATGCCCCTTTTTCCGCGAGTATAAAGACGACAGCGACAGAACAACAAGGTCAATTTCGTTATACACAGAACATAAAATATCCATTATAGACATGGGCCAGCTCCTTCGTTTAATTGTCAAGTCCTCGGTTAATGATTATGGATGACCATCATCAAAACACAACGATTCGTTCTTCCTTTTGTTCGCTTGGTCGCTTCTTAGTATCAGTCGCATCCACAGCCCCGATTCCATCTGGCTTTCCATAGTGTGTCGAAACTTAAGCGTAATATAATCGGTATTACAATTACGTGCACAAGCAAAGTTCCAGCGCTTCAGTTCCGTACTCTCCCCGTGCGGCGCTAAACGCAATCAGGCAAAGCGCGGGGTCCATCAGCCTCGATTTATCGACGCCACAGATTGCAGTGGCACAGCTCCTTCCCCTGGGGCCATCACCAACTGTCGCTTTGTCCGTTGTTCGGCTTCATCTAATCCGGATATGTCCGTACGACCTCGGCCTGCGTGGTGCTAGTCTGGTCAGAGTGCGCTCGCTTCCTGTGATTGCCTGCCTCAGCCACATTCTCGTTTCTCACTCTTCGTGTCCGCCTCTCCCGCATTGTGTTCGCCACGCGACCAGTCACAATTCGTGGCTAATAAAGACCATTCATTATTATAACTACAATCTACGCTATTAACTTATAGTCAAGATGGACTGATCAGAAAATCCATCATCAACCATATCAGCTAATTGCTCTGCGACAACTTCGCCTCTTCTCTTCCATTTTTCGATACGCTTAGTACTGCTATATATGTCGCACAGATGTTTGTTTACTGCCTCGCCAGCCTATCAATGTGAAAGTCCCACCAAGAGGGCAGAAGACACTAAGATCAATTTTGGGAGGGGAGATCACTGGACTCATTGCTGGAATCGCCTGTCTTTTTGCCGTGCACAATGAGCTCTGGGCAGCTCCCACGCACTCAAAGGGACCCGTATCCCCCACAACCGACTGACACAAGGCAATGTGATCATGATATCAGCCTGAGATTTAACATGCCGCTGAACCCGTCAGCCATCCCGCCTCAGTCAGGCGAAGTTAACTCTTTGTTAGACCCGAATCTCCGCGGGCAGCCAACATCCATGGGATACGTTGGGAATACCATGGGAACGTACCAATTCAATGCGTCGCCTCCCTATGGCAGCAATCCCGCATCGTCAAATGTCGTTTATACGACAAATGACACAGTGTCAATGCAGCAATTTCCGCACAACCGATCCTTGTATCACAGTGCGGATCGCTTCAACTTGGACCCTAACTATGATCCGGCCTCTTTTGCTCCCTCAGAGAACCCCATGGCCGCCTTCCAACATCATTATCCTGGTGCGGTCAATTTTCAGGAGTCTGATATGGCTTTCGCTTTAGCATACGAAGACCCGGCGACTGCGCAGTCGCAATCCCTGGATATGTTATTCTCCAATTCCACATATGCTCCCCTTCCGCAGTCGTCAATGCAGCCCACCTCTGCAGCTGGGCAGCTACGATCATCATCACTAGGTGGTCCGCAACAGGACTGGGCGGACATGTCAAATTTCAATATATCACTATCTGGACCAAATCCACATGGCGTATCTCCAGCTGGAGTTCATCCGACAGAGGATTCACTAGTCGCTTTACCACAGAGCACGGGTAGCGCTAGATCTCAGTCCATCTCATCCTACCTACCACCACATACTTCTCCGATGACATCCACTCCACCCACTTCCCGTAATCCGTTTATTCCGCGTGGTAAATTTCTTCCTATGATGGTCCAATTTGACGTTATGCTGATACTATATGCTTTCCCCAGAGATTGCGGCGTCAACTATACCCAGACCTGGGGCAGGCAAAGTCGCATCTCAGTATCTGAATGCCTACTCAAGCAGTGGATTTGATATGTTCGGAATTCTGGTGAGTTCACTTCAACTCAGCGGAAGTATTGTCGTATAGGTAGGCATTGCTAAAATTTATTCTCTTCAAGGCAAAAATTGCAAATCGACCAAATCCAGAAATAGATATCGGTGCTGTCGACATGTCGTGTGCATTTATACTTTGTGACGTTACTTCTCATGACGACCCTATCGTCTATGTTTCTGATGCCTTCGAGCGGTTGACCGGCTACACAAAGCATGAGATTCTTGGGAGGAATTGTCGTTTCTTACAATCTCCTGACGGCAAAGTTGACCCAGGAACGAAAAGGAAATATGTAGACGACCAGACAGTTTATCGACTAAAAGAAAAGATTCAATGCCGAACAGAGGTTCAAGTCAGCATGCTCAACTATAGAAAAGGTGGCCAGTCATTTGTGAACCTTTTGACCATGATACCAATACAGTGGGATACGAGCGATTACAAGTTTTATGTTGGCTTTCAAGTTGATCTGGTCGAACGGCCCAACGCGGTTACTAAGCGAAATACTGGTAAGTCTGACAAGAATAACACACAATCCATGCGGCTTTCACGGATCACGTCTTTCTCAGCTCGGTTGCAAGAAATATCTAACAATTGATGGGTTAGATGGCTCCTATACGATTAACTACCAACGAGATCAGCTTTCTCGGTACGTCTTACATGCGCCTGAAACACGTAAGGCCCAGCCTAGGTTGTCAAACAATATCAGTCATGACGAAGCTACTTCCGCCCTGAGAACAATTGGCGCGGGAGCCAGGAATAACCGATTTTTAGATCGCGTTTTACTCGAAAATGCCGACGATGTAATTCATGTTCTATCATTGAAGGGACTCTTTCTGTACCTATCACAGTCTAGCTCTAGGCTTCTTGAATATGATCCAAGCGAGCTTGTGGGAAGATCAATATCATCTGTCTGCCATCCCAGTGACATTGCACCGGTCACCCGTGAACTGAAGCAGAGCACAGCTGGATCACCTGTCAGCGTGGTATACCGGTTCCGGCGTAAGAACAGCGGCTATATCTGGATTGAAAGCTATGGGTCACTACACATCGAACCCGGGAAAGGACGCAAGTGTTTGATACTCGTCGGTCGTCAGCGCCCTGTATATGCTTTAGATCGATCTGGTATCGTTGAATCGGGAGGGATAGGAGAGAATGATCTGTGGACGAAAATGTCTTTGTCGGGAATGTTTCTATTTGTGTCTTCTAATGCGCGTGCCCTCCTCGATAGGACGCCAGCTGAAATGGTAGGAAAAGGCATACAAGACTTCATGCGAACTGACTCACGCGGTGAGTTGGGTAAAGCCTTGGAACTCGCCCGTACTGGACGTCAAGCCACATTCAAGCATGAAGTCAGACACAAGCGTGGCCATGTTTTACAGGCACAGACAACATTGTTTCCAGGAGACGCAAACCCTGGAAGTAAACCTTCCTTTCTCATTGCTCGGATTTATCTTCTGAAAAACTCGCGCTCAACTTACATCCAAAAACGTAATAGCCCGGCTGTCGTGTCATCCTCTGCCTCTACGACCGACATACCTAGCTCTGTGGCCGTCGCATCGACAGCTTCACTTATTTCCCTACCCGAGCAAAACCAAATAACCGCACCAACGGAGGCGGGCTCGCACGGGCTGCCTTTGGGCACTCAAGACGAAGCCCTTCTGTCAGTCAACAACATATTTGAGGAACTGAAGACAGTTCGAAGCTCTAGCTGGCAATTTGAACTGAGACAACTCGAGAGAAATAACCGCTTACTCGCCGAGGAGCTACAGAGTCTACTGAGCCGTCGCAAGAAGCGTAAGAGGAAGAAAGGGACGGGCCCATTAGAGAAATCGTGTGCAACCTGCGGGACGCGAAATACACCTGAATGGAGGCGTGGACCAAGCGGGCATCGTGATCTATGCAACAGTTGCGGATTACGATGGGCTAAGCAAGTGAGTATATCTATGTTCATATCTACCTGTGCTCATCCATCTCTAATTGCAAGTCTTCTACAGAACGGCCGCATATCACCCAAAAAACTGACCGATCAAAACGATAAGAATTCAAGTTCTGGATCGGCGAAAGCCTCGCCGGGAAGTGCGACTGACGAGAGACCACAGGATAAATAATAGTAAGGCATAATAATCAATAAAAATCAGACCTTTCTTCCTCTCTCTCTTTAAATCTTCCATGACAAATGGATGAGCAACGAATTTACGGCTAACAGAACGGAATGAATATCGCTGAATTCATTCATGTAAAGGACATACACTTGTGATTGGACAGAGCAACTACTGAAGTCTTACATATGAAGTAGGAAGAGCCCTTGTCTTCAAATCAACTTTTATACCTAATACCTATATCTTTTGACTTGCTAATACTCAGAGAGAGAGATTCATAATGAGTACAAGATGAAGTTACAATTAACAGAAATGATCAATTAGCAAATCAATATAACCTAACGAATATACATGCATGTAGAACAACGCTAGGAAAGATGTGCAGTTTATCGAAAGGAAAACAACAAGATTGAAGCAAGGGCAAAAAGTGATGTGATGCTGATTAAACTAGATACCTTTAGAAGAAGAATCATTTAGCTAGACTAGCTAGCTATATCCCTCTATCCTTTAGAACATGTTTGAAAATGAAAAGAAAGGAAAGGAAAAAGAAAGGAAATAATAGACTCGAAGGAGAATGAAGATGATTCACTTCGATAGTCGACAGAGGGGAATAAATCAACGTGAGGAGGCCAGAGGTGATTGTTTAATTACTAGAAAGACCAGCGTTAGTATGTACTAAATATATATATATATATATAACGTTAGACCTAAAAAATCATGTGGTGGAACTTACTATATTTCAATCGGCGAGATTTGATCAAGTGTATACAGCCAATTTCCACCTTGTTCCTCTTTCTCGAGCCTGTGATTATTTGGTCAGCAACGAGATTATCAATCATTGAAAGAGGGGGGAGAGAAAAGCCTTACCAGTCATACGGCCAGCTAATTAGATGGCCCTGGACCATATTGAGTAATTCATCAGCATGGCGCAAATCAATCACTCCGTCTGAAGCGTGGAACTCTCTTCTGGAGCTTCGCGTCATCGTTCGGCGACGTCGGTAGGTCCCTGATGGTTGCGATTGCGATTGCGACTGAGTCATGTTCAGAGCGCTTGAGTATGTGACTGAGTGCGAGCCGGTGGTTCTGTCTTTTTCGTTTTCGGTTGAAGGAGCATTTTCACTAGACTGCAGTTCTGGACCTGGGCCGTCTACTGGCTGAGTTTGGGTTTGATTGTTGCTGCCTTCAGAATTATCCATTTCTTTCAGCGCGTTCTTCTCGTCTTCAGACGTGCGGCTCTCGGATGATCCATTGTTGCTGGGTCTTTCAGCCGTGGGTTTCTCCGAGTCTTGTTGGCCATTGTTTGTGTTGATATTGGTGGCAGTAGATGGATTGGAATTCTGCGCCTTCCAAGCATCCGTCTGTTGGTTTTGCGCTTCCACAAACTTCTCGCCATATGCAGTGTATTCTTTGTATTCCTTCCACGACTTGACTTGACTGTCTGGCATGCACCTGAATACGGTTCTGTAGATTTTTGTGTTGTTCTCCGCAATTCTCTGCCATGTATCGTAGTAAAATGTCTCGTTGACGGGATCCCTCATACAGTGTTCATCGACGAATGGTCGTGTCATTGTTCCTGCTAGAGGATGACTGCTTCCAACAGGTCTAGAAGGGTCTTTTGATGGCAACCATGACCCGCCGATATCAGCGTCGTTCGTCTCGGGCAACGGTTCCAGATGAGAGAAAGGAGATTCATGGCTATCTAACGGTGATTCAATCTGCCTAGGCGCAGGCGGTAGGATTGATTCTTTGACAGCTTCGTGTTGTCTCTGCTCCTGTTCGAGATCTCTGAGCGTCTTTCTCGGGTTACTTATTGTTCCTTTCCCCTCAGAAGCGACATCGTTCACAAGAATTTCGGTCGTATCGCGCAAGATTGCAGAATCCCGTCCAAGACCAAGACCAGCTTCCAGATTCATGTTCATGCGGTCAGCACCATGCCCAGCAACCTCATTCCGATGCTCAAGGTTGTCCGTCACTCGCGGGTCTGCAGTGAGCTTTCTGCTGGATTTCAGATTCGGATTGCTGCCTTGTTCCCAATCAACATCATGGTTGAAGCTATGCATGTCTTCGGATCGCGTCAAAAACTCGTCCTGAATTCGGTGTCGGCGCTCAATCATTTCCCGTTTATCTTGTTTTTCACGCTCTGCTGAATTCTCGTCAACTCCGTTGGCCTGGCTATCCACAGAGTCGGCGTCACTCTCGCTGTCGCGTCTATTGCGCCCTCCTGATGCTGCTTCCCTGGCTAGGTTTTGGTCAAGTAGCTCATCAACGTCAATACCGAGATGCTCTCTCATCAACCGCATTCGCAAGGTGTGCGGAAACCTTCCAACAAGGTAAGGTTTACCGTCCATTGTCGACCAGATCATATCGGTGTCTCTCACGACGGCGGCACATTCAGAGTCGCGCGAGCCAAGCATGGATCGCTCGTTGATATTTGCAGACCCAATAATGGCCGCTCGATCGTCTACCACCATACATTTTGCATGGATATAGAGCTGTTCAGTGACCAGCTGCTTGTTCGGCCCAATTCTGCCCCATGTTCGCAGGCTGAAGAACTGTATATAGTCCTCAGGCTCAATACCCTCGGCACGGAGCCGCCCAAAGATAGAGGTCTCGCCACGACAGATACTACGATATTGACATTGCATGATAAGACGGACGCTCGTTCCGCCTTCGGAATCGACGGTGTTCTGAAATCCGGGCATCAAGGGAATGACAATGACAGCACGCCATGTCTCTCCATTGCGCGCCGCTCTTATGACTCTTTCTACCAGTGCGTCGCCAATCAGATTTTCAACCTTCCTACCATCAATCTCGCATGTACTGATGAAAAATTGATTTTCAATGTACACAAAATGCTCCGATTGTTCAATTAGCTTGACGTAGGCATTCATGATGCTGTGTTCCGTCACATCTGGAGTTCCTAATGACCACATGCTGGCTGAACGCAGAATCTGGACTTCGCACGTGCCATGAAGACCAAGCGCTTCGAGGTCCGCAGGGTTGAAATCGGGTGGAGGAAGCAGGAACGGTGTTGGTCTGGTAGGTTTGCGCTGACGCAAGATATAATTCCATCTCTGGACGAAGTGTCTTGTTAGATCTCGGGCTGGCTGGCCTACTACATGCATAGATATGTCGTGCCAGGGCATCCGAGGGATAACATTACGGTCGTACATCTCCTCATAAGGCTTGTCCAAATCGTAAAAGTCCTGGACACGAGGGTTGGAATAGTCCTTTCCTGGCCAGAGCTGGCAGTGATCCGCATCCTTTGGACCGTCAGATGTCTCAAATCCAGTGGGTTTATCGTCCGTAAGCATATGTTGAGGGGTGTCCCATCTTCCGAAGCAAAGATCGATTCCTCCGACGAATGCAAGTGTGTGGTCGACAATGCACAATTTCTCATGGTGGGCCCAGAAAAAGGTGTTCTGCCTAAACTGGTTGGGAGATCTCTGCACAAAGACGTTGGGGTGAAGGTCAAGGAGGGAGAACTTTGAATATTCTGAATCGATAGGAATGGCCGAGTTGATGTTCCGGTACATAATGACAAAGACCTTGACGCCTTCTTGGGCCTTTCTTTGAAGCAGTCGATCAAGCCTCCACTTCTGACTTATCGCAGCTGGACGCCGCATATACAGCTCAGGACTCAGCCACCAGTCATGAATGTAGATGACATCCTTCGCCTGATTGATTGCACGCGATACGAGCCACATATGGTCACGGCCATCCACTAACCACTGGGCAAAGCAAGCCTTTCGCACTGGAGCAAAACTATCAAAGCGATTTGGCTTCGACCAGGGGGTATTCTGAACCATGAACCGGATTGAATCTTCGAATTGATGCAACTGTCTCTCGTTTCTTGCAAGCAAGCGCAGCTTCCGCTCCGAATTCTCGAGCCTGAGAGTATGATGTTGAGGATGAGCCGCCGAGTCCTTTGCTGAACGCGCAATTTCTTTTGCGTTCTGATCTCTGAACCGGACTTTCTGAGACTGTAGCTTGAAATAAGGGTCTACAAGGAAGACATCGTAAATGTTCATTTCTTCCGGTGAATCAACACAGACAACGTAGCTGTGGCGTACGAGGAACCACTTCGGTGAGTGTCGCTTCTTGAGTAAAGCCGGTCTCAGAGCCTTTCGGAAATCGAGACCTTTCGCCGACTGTATGATCAAGAAGCCTTCTTTCCCATGATAACTTCCTTCTGCTGCTAGACGGACCCCTAAAGCGGAAAGTTCAAGGAATTTGCATAATCGGTTACTATCAGGACGGAATATCAAGAACCGTATCATCTTCTGCAAATAGTTTTCGAGTTTCTTCCGCTGTCGTTCGGTGTAGGATCTCCTCTCGCCTGTCGCTGTTGCTGCGCCTTCACCTCCAGTGGCATCACCCTCCAGGGGACCTCCAACGCTAGAGCGACGGCGTGCTATGGCAAAGGAAGAGCGTCTCTTTCTCGCCTTGCGGCGACCTTCATTACCACTGGTCGCGTCCGCCCCGGTTTCGTCGCCAGCGCCGTCTTCTTCATCCTCTTCCCGTTCGCTATCGAGGCCTCGAACACCGCGCAGATAAGGAAACGCGCTTCTGGGGAAGCGCGGGAGATAATGCCCACTGTCCTGGCTTTTTAATTGAATGTACTTCTGAGTGCCTATCTGTAGCTTGTATTTTAGATGCAAATTGGCGAAGTCTCGGAGAGTGCGGTGTATAATCCATTTCATCCGCGTCATCCCACTTCCGTATTCCAGCTCGATACGAAAAACGAGATGTCGGTCTCCGGAATTTGAGTCAATCCGGCTGTCTGTAATCTGCACCTTGAGCTGTTCAAGCAGGATGGGAATGCGCCTACTTCCATGTTCATCGCGTTGAAACATGCTAGCAAGGATCAAAGCAGCGGGAATACCTGAGGTCAATTCAGCCAATAGCTCTGCAGATTTAGCATGATCTACTGTATTGTCTGCCTTGCGTCTTTGCCCGATCAATTTCAATCCAGCTTTGATTTGGCGCCATCTCTGTGCACTTAGGCTAGATCCTCTCTCGGTTTTGTGCCGCCTCCATATTTCTTTAGATCCCTCCTGCTCGCCAGTTGGAGTACCAAAAGTGGTCAGCCTCCTCAGGTTCATAGGTCTTCTCTCCTCGTTGTTATTGTTGTTGCTGTTCTGGGCATCTTGCCGCCCACTATATGCCAATCCTCGGGCACTAGACAACCATGCATTGCTTCTCTTTCTCCACTGCGAGTCCATGTTCAGCCTATCTCGACCTTCATCTTCCGATACACCATCGCGAAGTTGAGTGGATAGATCAGTGGTAGCCCTCCGTTGCAGCAAACCGGGCCTTTGATTTTCCGAGTTATGATAAAACGAATTGAACGAGAAGAGCCCTGGGCTTGGAGCAGCAGGCCGGGGAGTAGTCGGGGCCGATGCGTGCGGTTCCCTAGAATCTTTCCTAGCTGGCCGCGGTCGTTGTGTCTTTTTCCTCCTGCGCAGTCGCAATCGTTGTTCTCCAGCGCTCTCCTCGGCGTCCGCGTCTCCTTCACTTCCGGCGTCTGATGTTTCGGGGTACGTGAATTGTTCTCTTTCGGATGCCGGTGTATGCACGTCACTGGCATAGCCATTCTCAGTACCTCCACCGGGGCCTCCCACTGGAACAGTAGCCAGACTTGGAGAGCGGGAATGTGAAGGGAACGACGGGGTTGCTGCGAAAGCTCTCAGTTTTGTGAAAAGAGACTGTTTCCGGTCCTTGGCAGACGCGTCATTGTTTTCCTCCTGGCCGGCAGAAGAGGACAGGGATCGCGTGCGCTGCGGCAGTTCATGATCTGATGATGCACCCTGAGTGAATTGCACATTTCGGGTGCCCGTGGGCGTTGACGCTCCAGGCGTAACGGCACCCCCAGGAAGCCCTATATGATTGTTTATATCGCTATTAGTTTTGTCGTCATTATTGGCCAACGAGTCTCCCTCTTCCTCCAGGATCGGCTGGTCCACGACGGTACCCCCTGGGAGACTAGAAGGGAACTTCGCCGATGCCCCTTTGTGCGTGAAAACGGACCCATTCTCTACCGAATCATTAATCACGGGGACGAAAGACGAAGGTCCAAAGGCTGGGGAAGCAGGTTGTTGCTGGCGTAGATATTTCTTGGAGCTTGTTCTGGGGCTGTTGTCGGTGTTGGCGTGCGACACGGGATCGTTGAGGTCGGCCATCCTGGCTATGGATTGCTATACCTGCTGGACAGGGCTTTATTTTCGCTCGGCCCTAGAAAGCGTAAAATCAAGAAATTTCAGTAAGTGCGCATTGTACCAGTGTGTTGTCGCAGGTGCAGGAGGTGGACTGTACTGCTTACTGCACAACCCCAGCATGCCGGAGACAACCTGATCCCTATTTATTCTTTGGGCGCGACCATTGGCCAGGAAAGAGGAAGCCGGTGCGAGTCAGGAGCACAGAATCGTGTGCAATAGTAACTTCCACGGCGTAGATTGCTCGCATGCTAAGGAAGTGAGGGAGTAAATAACGGAAGTTCTGTTGCATAACTACGTGGGTAGTCAACCTGCCCTTCCGGAGCCACGTGTGGGCGGTCGTCATGCTCGGCGTCTCCGCTGCACGGCTTTCGTCAACATCGACACGGGCTTGCAATAACAAACTGCCATATATGTCAATATCAATCAATCTACTAGGATTCGCAATGCCATCTCCAATCTCGCCGCTGAATAGTTATATCCCACCAACCCCATCATCCCCCCTCTCCGCAGAGACATTCCACATCGCCGGCATACTGACCACAGTCTTTGGCCTCGCCGAGATCCCTCCAGATGCCTCAGAGATCGTGTGTCTATGGCTGCTACATCCCCGCCAAGACTCGCAAAAAGACATGGTCGGGTTGGCGACGGCGATAGTTCACGATTACTACGACAGGAGAAAGAAGTCTTCCGCCAATTCGAAGCAAAAGGGATTTATAGCCGTAGCCTTTGATGCTAGAAATCATGGAACGCGGGAGATTGATCCCATGGCCAATCAGGCATGGAAGTCAGGCAACGAGAACCATGCTCCGGACATGTTCTCAGTATATTGTAAGTCGATGTAGATGTATAACTAATGTGTATGTATACGCCTAGAGCAATTGTCTTCTGATACGGGCAACTTTTTTTTACCTAGTTGGCACTGCACAGGATACCTCCACCTTGATCGATTTTCTGCCGGCATATATTTTCCCGAACTCAGAACGCTCCATCTCAGGCCATTTTGCGCTGGGCGTCTCTCTTGGGGGGCACGCCACCTGGCTGTGCCTGTTACATGAACCGCGCATTACAGCTGGTGTTGTGGTCGTTGGCGCCCCTGACTTTGTAGCCCTCATGGCGGATCGAGCTCGCCTCTCGAAACTAACATCTTGGCTTCAGGGTGATGCACCAGGAAGTGGTTTCTTAGGGTCAAAGCACTTCCCGACTGGACTTTTGGAGACGGTCCAGAAGAAAGATCCTGCTGCTGTTCTGTCTGGCCAATTGGATGCCTCAAAGAAGATTGAGTTTATTAGAACTGGTGTTTATGCTCATCCAGCTGATGATGATGAGGGCAAGGCGAAGACCCAATCTATTTTGGATCGTCATCTGCGCGGCAAAAGAATTCTATGCTTGTCTGGAGCAACCGATAAGCTAGTTCCATATCGTCTCTTCGAGCCCTTTATGTCATGGCTGAAAGGGATTGTGACCCCTGCCGGTGGTAATGGTGGCGACGGAGATATCTATCTGGAGGACATCGTCTTCAAGAATACTGCTCATGAGCTTACTGAGGCAATGATGCAAGAAGTCTTGCGCTTCATGTATGATTCTGTGTTGGCTCTCGATAGACCGAATGGTGCGAAGGTAGCAAAAATCTAAGTCCCAGTTGTCACTCATTACACGTATATTTTTAGCTCATTAGAATATCCATATGATCTATTAGTGTGACCTGAAAAAGGACACAAGGCCATCCTGACACAAAGAAGACGCTTTCACATCAGAGACAAGACTCTGCCGTATCCACGCCGGAAGCTTCGCTTGAATGCGAGAAGTCTCATATCTCCTATCAATCATGATAATAGCCGCGTAGTCATTTCGATGTCGAATAGCCCTTCCAATGCATTGATTCACTGCTCTCATGCACGAATTTTCAAAGAAGTCTCTTCCGGCCGCTTTTGCGATTGCTCGTCTGGTAGATTCGGGTTCATCTTGACGCTTTGCGTATGTCTGTTTCTCGATGTGCCCTATCTTTGCTTTCCATGCGGCAGAATGAATGTTTGGGAATGGAAGACCAATAATAAGGACACCTCTGCCTAGCTTGTCAGAGAAGTTGATGCCCTCAGACAAACGGCCACCGACAACCGAGAGTAAAAGCGCTCCGGATCCAGAATCAACTTTTTTCGAGTATTCAAGGAGAATATCGTCGGTAGAGTTGTCTTTTTTCTGATTTTCATATAGTATTGGCTTGTATTTCTCGATGGTAGAGTATAATGACGCTCCTCCCCCAGCTTTTGACGGCTTGTTCCAGGCATTAAGCACCTGCTTCAGATATTCGTAACTTGGAAAGAAGGCCACAACGCCATCCGGTATCACCGCACAAAGATTGGCCACTGTCTGTCCCAGATCTGCGATCTAGGCATTATATATATACAAGTTAGAATCGACTGAATCTCAAAGAAGGGCAGGCGGGGGCGAGAAGGGACTACCATTGTTTCCGAGTTTCGCTGGTCGAAAGTGAAATTGAAATCAGAACCAAGGACGCCTTTGGCGAGGATATGGGCTGTTAGGTTCTTCGGTGGGATGACATGCCCAAAACTATAAGTATCTAACCTGTCTGGTGACACATATGAGAATAGGTGGTCGGCGTAGTCGGACATCTATTGCATATCATTAGGCCATTGCTTCAAATATGCGGACATTCCTAAAACCCACCGGCGACATAGTGCCTCCTGCCAGAATGACAGCCCGTGCTTCATCCACAATGTCCCTGAAATGGTTCGTTGGATCCAATAACATATATCTCAATAGTATGCCATCGTTCGTTTTCTCAAGGAACAGTTGACCCTCATCAGAGGGATTCATCAGCGTCAGGATAAAACTCTGTACTTGAAAGAGAACTGGCACTGTCGTCTTTACCGCTTTGTCTGCGCTGTTCGACTGAGTGTTATGCTCAACGTAGCCATCGACTTTTCTTGCGAGTTTGCTTTCCTGCAGGTACCGGGAGAGTTTGTAGGGATTGATTTGATCTACTCCTTTTCCAGATACAAGATCTGAGTATTGAATGATCACTTCTGATGATTTGTTCTTCTGAGCAAGAGAGTGAAGATTGTCTGCAAGCGAACTGACGAGTCTGATAACTTGGGTCACATACACCCGGTTTTTACCCTTGAGCCGTGTCTGGAATTTCCGTGCGTAGGTCGTTAGCTGAAATAATGAAGTCCGAAGTTGATCCAACGTGACAGAAATAGAATGTATGTTTGCAATGGCATCCATCAAATTATGTGCTTCATCGATGATAACGACATGGTCACGGAGCGACAAGCCCAGAGCCTCTCTCGAAGACTTCTGAAGTAGTAGAGGATACGGAATAGTAACAATCTGTACTGACTGCCTTTAGAACAAAGTCGCACACAATTCCATCGTTTTCGCTCACCTCGCTATGATTAACAGCTGTCCGCGCAGCATAATAAGGACAGATGGCGAGCTGCTTGCCAATGAAACCTATGTCCTCTATATCTTGGACAGTCGATAACACATGATCACGAAACTCCGACAAAAGGTCCTCGGATTCTTTGGTTGGCAAGTACGAACACTTTTTGTTTGAAGCGACTCCCGACTGTTGAAGTTCCATACATCGTTCATTAATTGCTGTTGGGTTTCCCAGGCTTGAAACTCGAGGATTAATGCAAAGCTGTTTGCGAGAGCCTAAAGTGAGGTGTTTGATTATCTCTTCGAGCTCGGCATGTTCTTGTATTGGTCCGTCCCCTGGAAGCGAGGGGAGGCTTGACGGAAGGTTCACCTTTCGAAGCTCTTGAGCGAATTGAGACAGTTGAGAATGAGTGCGTGAACAGTAGTAAATCTTGGTTTGGTTCTCGAGTTCGCTTTCATCCTCCTTTCGGTCTGTGTCTCGACCTTTGAAGCGGTCGAGTAACGCTACAGTACTAGCAGATAATCCTTCTATGTTGCCTAGTCCAGGGTTTGAAGCGTTCTTCCCAATCTCTGTATCGCTTTCATAGTGGTCGAGCTCAAAGAAGCTTTCGTCGGCCGCGGTACCTTGGGCGACAACATCCGTTTTCTAGTACCATAAGTATGGTCCCAGAGCTAAATTCCGTGTTTAAATTCTCACCTGTTTTTTGCTCAGTCTCGGGAAGCTGTGTAACAGCTTCTCCTTCTTCTTCTTCCTTTCCTCCTCTTTTCTAATCCTGGCCAGCCTGTCTTCCAGTTCTCGCCATTTCTGCGTTAAAGCCTGAGTTTTCTCCTTCTTAGAATACTCGAGCATCCAATTCGGCTCGTCGTCGTCGGCTGGAAGTCACGTCAGTTCTGATGCCGTAAAATAGATATCAAGGTTACACGAATTCTCACCAGAAAGGTCACCGATCGATTTAAGAAATGCTTTGCGCTTGTGATCGCGAAGCCATGTCAGAGCGCCGCAGATCAGGCTCAACGATTTACCCTTTTGCAATGCCCTGGTCAGCCGAGTGTTTCGGGCTTCCACGCTCAAGCCATCCGTTACAAGAGACGAAATAAGGAGCAAGTCACAAACATACAGTTCCTAGACAATGGGGTCTTTAGAAAAGATGGGATCATCATAGCAAGGCTCGGCACGGACCTGTGGGAGACTCGAAGATACCGACTTTACCAGCTTCAAGACAGTCATACAGAGAGCTCATAAACTGGAGCTGGATGTCGTAGGGAGAGTACGGATGGTAGAATTTGTCCCTGGCAGCCATGTTCCAAGGTTGTATACATGTTGAAAGAGGGCAAGAGCAGGCGCGGAAAGAACAATCACCATGCCCAACTGGGTTAAGCGCGCCAAGCAGCGCTGACACTGGACAGCCTAGTACCTGAGGCTGCAACTTCTATTTTAGCCAATTTTTGTCACAGCCACGGCCGAAGGAAGTCAGCTTGTCTCCATCGGTGAGATTCCCGACGAAAGGGGGCCCGGTTTATAATTAACGACTCCTTTGGCTAGCACAGAGTTCATGCAATTTGGCACATAATCGTACTACATAGCCCCCATGCTACCATACTGATCCAAGTCGGCGCTGACAGGTAGTACTTGTTTGTATACTAGTAGTAGTACAGGTTGAATAAGTTGACGCCCGTGTCCTTGCCAGCGCTGCTACAATTCACGAGGTATAATAAGACAGACAATCATTGTTGCAAGCCCAAGCAAGAAGATTTCATTAAGGATCAATTTCTTTTTCGCAAGTCCGCTCCTCACCGATCAGGCATAAATTATAAACCCTCTCAGCCGCATCAAACGCGTTGAGCTGGGCGGCCCCGCGATTCGTGACCGACACCAAAATAATTCCATCCTGTCCAACACTTCCCCCTCCTCCTCCTTCTCCCGCCGCTGACGGACCATTAACTACATTCTTTACTTACCCCCCCCTTACCCCCAATTCTCCGGTCGATCAAGGAGCGCAAGCGTGCATCTCAGCATCTTGATCGCACTGCGTCTGATGTAATAGGGCCACTGCACGGTCTGCATTCCATCTCTCGCTGTGCAGTCCGCCTAGCCGAGCGCCGAGCCAGCCAACAGCGCTGTCCGACTGCAAACCCCTCCTCCTCCTGGCGTCCGCGGCCTTGCACACCACGCCAGCAAATAGCCAAAACGCATTCATTGCACAGCGTTTACCTGTCCTGAAGCCGCGCGCATCCCAAGGACGCACCATGTCCCGGCCACCGCAGGGCTATGGTCAACAGCAACCAAGAGTAGGCGCCACTTTTTATCCTGGTGGTACGGACGATTACTATGTCCCAGAAGTCATCTCCCCTTCTCCTCAAAGGTGAGAAATACAAGCCTGCGGCTCACCGCTTCCCTCGCCGAGTTTCGCAAGTGAAATCCTCTACGTTGGATCCTTTTTTTGTCCCCCCTCCACCCCCCTTTTGTTCTTCGAATTTCCTGCTAATTGCCCCTCTCAGAGTGATGCCTGAGGTCCCTGAAAACATGCAGGATAATATTGCCCATCTCGAGCACGAGGCTCGCGGTCCAAGGTCGTTTAGCGGTCAGCAACCACCGTCGTACGATCGACCCCAGTTTCCTGACCGTTCCTCTTCCATGCCCTCGCCAGGCTACAATAATCAAGACAGCTATTATAATGGTGCAAGTTCCGGTAGCAATTCATACAACCAATCGTCCGTCTACGATGGCATGGATCACCCGAACTTCTCTCCCTTCCCGGTGCTTCGCAATCCTCCCCCCAATGTCCCTCCAACTGACGAACAAAAGGAGGCAAATCTGGAAAAGGGGCGCGTCGCAGTTCTGTCGTCCAATGACCCGGAAATGCAGCTCGCTTGGGCTCAAGATGCCCTCTCATACGTGGAGATAGCCATGCAGAACGAGATGCGAACGTCGCAAAACCAGCCTGCGCGACCACACACGCCTCAGGTGGAACATCAGCTGAGGACGGATGCTCTGAGCATTGTGACTTTTCTCTCGGAACAGCGCCACCCGCATGCCGAGTTCATCAAAGGCATGTGGTTGGAGTTTGGTAAATTCGGTTTCCGCGTCGACAAGAAGGAGGCTTTCCGCTGTTATTCTCGTGCGGCAGAAAAGGGATATGCGCGCGCAGAGTACCGAATTGGCATGCAGTTCGAGAGCTCCAATGAGCCCGCAAAGGCGATAAGACATTATGAGAAAGGTGTTTCTATGCGGGATTCGGCCTCCTACTACGTGAGTTGTTGATTATGTTTTTTCCTGGGTTTTGGTTTGGTTTGTTTTGTTGCTAATTTTCGATTTAATGAACAGCGTCTTGGTATGATGATTCTCCTAGGCCAGCATGGACAACGACAGGATTACAGCAAAGGTTTGGAATACATTCGTTATGCTGCACAGACCTGTGATGAGAATGCGCCTCAGGGTGCTTACGTGAGTCGAGCCTAGAATTTCATTAGACGCACCTACTAAATCGAGCATACATGTTCTAGGTCTATGGAATGTTACTCTCCCGGGAACTACCTCAAGTCGTGGTGCCTGAGCAATATCTGCCCATTGATATCAACGGCGCTCGAGTAAATATTGAAAAGGCGGCGTATCATGGATTTGCCAAAGCTCAGGTCAAGATGGGAGCCGCTTATGAATTAGGTCAACTGGGATGCGATTTCAACCCCGCATTATCACTACATTACAACGCTCTGGCCGCTAGACAAGGCGAACCAGAGGCCGAAATGGCGATCAGTAAATGGTTCCTTTGTGGCCATGAAGGGCTTTTCGAGAAGAATGACGAGATCGCTTTTACATACGCCCAGCGCGCCGCTCAAAGCGGGCTACCCACTGCAGAGTTTGCGCTTGGTTACTTTTACGAAGTCGGAATTCATGTCCCCGTTGACATCCAGGAGGCCCGAAGATGGTATGCTAAGGCAGCTGCCAGTGGCAATAAGGATGCTGCCGGTCGAATTGACAGCATATCGCGTTCCAAGACCCTTTCTCGAAAAGACCATGAGCAGGTCGCCATTGCTCGAATTAAATCCCAATACGGATCAGCTGGTCGACCGCGACCGTCTTATGGAGGAGCAGCACAAGCCGCTGCTATGTCGCCGCCTCAAGAAACCTTGGAGATGCCCGACCCCTCACGGATGCGTATATCCGACGACGGATACGGAGCACCGTATGGAGCCAACGGACAGGGCTACGGACGTGGTAGCGCATATGGGGGTCCTCAACAACTAGCTGAGGTTCGCCCTAGCTCTGCGTTTGGAATCAACCCCAGTATTAGCTCAGGAAATTATGGCCCCGCTGGCCCTGCTAGTCCAGGCGGTCCAGGCCCAGGTCCAGGGGGATATGGCCGCGTTCCCTCGGGTGGTCCTATGGGATATCGTCAAGGTGGTTCTGGTCCCAACTCGCCTAAGATGCCACCGCCTGGCGATCCACAGGGTGGCCCCCGGCCAGATATCGGATATTCTGCACCTCTAGACTCGGACCGCCGACGACGACTCCAACGACCCGATCCTCAAGGCATGAGCCGGCCTTCTCCAGATATGAACCATGGCATGCCACCAGATCGCCGTGCCGGCAGAACGCCAGATTTCAGTAGCAGACAGTCGTCCGGTGCTTATCCTCCTCGAAACCAGTCGATGCCTCCAGGGTCAATGCCTCCAGGAGGCCCCGGCCGTCCTTCCCCAGCCACCACCCCACGACCACCTGGTGCTCCAATGAACCAGCCTCCTATGAGTGGCGCACCTCCTTCGAACCCGCCCTCGAAACCGAGCACTCCGGCGGCCAAGCCATCGCCCGCGCCTAGTAAAGGGCCAAAGACATTTGAGGAGATGGGTGTCCCTCAAGGAAAACATGAGAGTGAATGCGTAAGTTTGACTATTTCTTCTTTTCTTTCAGAAACCGTGGAAGCTAACGCACTGGCAGATTTTGATGTGATACCCGGCAATCTTTTCTTCATCTTTTATTTTTCATCCATCCGAAATGTAAATTTCCTTTATTTATCTGTCCTGATCTTCTTCATGTGCACAGCGCCTGGTCACATTGAACTGAAAATAAAAGAGTTATAAAAAACGATGTGATTTATCAATCCAGCCTATAGGATGGCTGGAGGTTCAGCTCGGATGTTTTGAGAACGGCAATCGCAAGATATCCAGCACGTGATGTGCATTGGTCAGCGCCTTCCTTTTATGTACTTACTATCCAGGCAGTCGCAGCCAAGACTTCCTTCTATTAGGCAGACCTTTGAAATGTTCATAACTTCATTCTATTCTCCCTTTCGGCATTCCCTGCTTTCGTATTGGAATAAGTAACTCGTTCTCCCAACAGACTTTGTGATGGCACCCCGGAAGAAGAAAGACGAGAAAGAAACCCCAGCCAGTGGTGAGTTTCCGCAGGTGCAGTCTTTACTTTTTCAGCCTGTCTGCCGTCTTGACCCAAATTAATTGATTCGTGCAACAAGGCTCGGCGCTTATCCTGGAGTATCTAAGTGAGTTCTGAGAGAGCTTGGAGGTTGGAGTATGCCTGCTCACAAGTGTCTTTCTGTGTGAACTTGTAGAGAAACAGAAGTACGTTGAAGATGATACAAAGGCTTGATATATGACAGCTCTAACTATGTTTCAGTCGTCCTTATTCTGTGTGTAGTGCCTTTCCCTGGGTCTGACTCTGGATGAGACAGAATACTTGGCTTATCGAATTTGTGCCAGGCTCTTGATATTTCCACTAATCTTCATGGGAAAGTCACAAAAGGTGGGCTCATACATCTCCAAACTTGATATGCGCGTTATGTTGCAATGACACTCATTTCTATAGCGTTCGCTACCAAGGTCTTGAAGGAGATGCATGACCGAAAGAAAATTGAAGCACGGGCAGCAGGTTCTCTTTTCCAGTGACAGACCGCTTGCTTGCGTACGTGATCTGACTGTACATCTGCTATCAGGAAAACAAATTGTTTACCATGCCATCCAGCAAGTCGAAGCAGGAGTTGATGCTACAAACAGTAATGGCCATCATGGTCAGCCAAACGAAGACTTACAGGGGAAAACATCCGCATTGAAAACCCGGGAGAAGGAGCTTCGTGAAAGACTGGCTGCGCTGAATGCAATTGTCCCTATCGCTGTGCTTCGTCAGCAGATAGCCGGTCTCGACGAGGCCAAAGCATCCTTGATTTCTGAAATCTCCAATCTTTCAGCAGAAGCATCATCAGATGAGGCTAATCGTGTCTGCAAGGAAGATATTGACCGCATTGATCAGGAATGGGGGAAATGGAATCACCAGGTTGTATCTCGCAAAAGGATTTTCTTGGAGTTCTGGGCTAAATGCACAGAAGTATTGCCGCCCGATACAACTCAGGCAGAAATGAAGGTTTGTGATATCATGATTCTGACGGCTTATTTTTGTTCGCATACAATGTTTAATTTTGATGATACAGGAGATACTCGGCGTGGAAGGATCTTTTTAACTACTCACGGGCAATAAGACTTGTCCCTGTTTCTTGTGTGACCTGACTGAAAGATACGGGATCGGCCTCTTGCAGGAAGATTGCCATCTTTACATTTGACCGTTTCGGGTCACCAGATGTACCAAGTGTCAGATGTTCTCGTAAAGAGGTGAACGAATTCTACAAGATGGCGAAATAACGACACATGCTTATCACATATCACTAAACCAAGACTTACTTATCTCTTGGGGTGGCAGATAGCTAGATAGGCAGCTAAACAACAAGGCACCTGCCTAATCTCTATGCATCGGCTTGGACCAAATAACAAAGCTAGTTAAGCTTCTGATTAGCATGCAGATGTGCTACAACAATGCTTTACTATGCGTGCTTCGGAACAGATTCCATGTAATCAGCGAATGGTCTCATTGGCTCGTCTGATTGCATTATCCGATTGCTCCCAGATGCTTAACTATACTAACTAACTATAGGTTAGTCGAGTGATTATTAAATCCAGCCTCCAGCCATCTTCTTCACAATTCTCTTCTCATCGGAAGAGGCAGAGAGAAAAAGGAAAAGGAAGAAGCGAGAAGAGCTGCAAAAGTGTGTTCTATAATATTCTTTTGTTCTTTTTGTTTTTCATTTTTCTTGGCCCTGGAGAAAATCCCATCTCCACCACTTTAACCCAGTTTGGGTCTTTTTTTGCCCCTCGCCTTTTTATCTCCACCCGAACGGACTTCTTTTCTCGCTCTCCTCCTTCGCCAATGAGCCAATCTCACCAACACCACCAGCACTTCCCGCCGTCTCTTACCTTCGAGGAACAAGGAGCTTCCCTTTCGCACGGGCCCCCAGCCCTTTCGCACATATATTACCATAATCCCTCCTCCGGTGGTCCTGGTGAGATGAGAACGCGCAACACTGCCGCTGCCGCTGCAGTTGGCCAGAACAATAATACTTCGACGACTCCTACTCCTACGACACCAAACGGCCATGGCCATGCTCATGCTCGGAACCTCTCCGGGGCTGCGCCGTTTGAGATGACTGCTCGCAGTCCTCCAAACACCAGTGCTGCCGCAAAGAGTGCGTATTGCGTCCGAGTAGCTATCTTCTTACTTGCTACTGAGACTGAACTTGTTGTGTCCCCTCAGATACGAAGCATGTGCCGTGCAAATTCTTCCGGCAAGGCGCCTGTCAAGCTGGCCCGGCCTGTCCCTTCCTTCATTCCACCGATGCCGCTATAGATTCTGCTCCGTGTAAATACTTCACAAAGGTACCTTTTTCCTTCTTCCTCGTCCTCGGCTTGTATGTTATACTATATGCAGTGGCTAACGGATCTGTTTTTTCCCTGACAGGGAAATTGTAAATTCGGCGCCAAGTGCGCTTTGGCACATATACTTCCGGATGGTCGGCGTGTGAACAGGCCCAATTACGGACCAGGAGGAGGGGGAGGAGGCAGTCATTTGAATTTGGGTGGCCGTGTGAATCCTCAGGCCTTTCAAAGTCAGGACTCGGCACTCACAAACTCGGTCTTGTCGCAGCAACGATTGAATGGGCAAGATGCTCGATACGCTTATCAATATGCCGGAGGCCAAGACGACCTGTTGGGAGTTCAGCCCCATCATCACCAACAACAGCAGCAACAGGCAATGGATGGACTCGGACTGTCTACGTCGGAAACCCCTCTTGTTTCGGATTCGAAATACGGCTCGCCCGTGGACGACGGTCGATTACCGACTTCACCCCCCGCAGCGTTGACTCTTCGTGACGTACAACTCCCGGCTTCGTTTGATAGCCAGGGTATATCCCATGTGGCGCGATATGGTCCGGTGGCCGCCTCGGTGCCTTCGCAATTTGGTCTCGACCTGGCTTCACCGCCAACGCACAGAGCGCCCTCCGACGCCTTGAGGAGCCTTCGTGACACCGCATTTGGGTCTGATATACGGAAACCGACATCGAATTTTGGCTCTTCCCCGCCTGCTATTCTCGAGGACTCCATTGGGTCGCGTTTTCTTCATTCCCAGCGGATGGTGCCTCGCTCAAAAGTGCTGTCAGCTAGCGTTCCCCGTCCGAGTATGCTGGATGACTGGGATGACAATTTTGCCATGGAAGAGGACTATCTCCCAGGCAATCTTCACGACGATGTCCTCACACCTCAGGAGAAAATGAGGAGGCTCTCCCGAACAGAGCATGAATTAAGCAGCAGCCAAAGGGATTTCGGTGCATTTGGCAGCATGACAGGCACAAGTGCCAACAAAGTCGGGTCGCCGCTGGCATCCAGTCCCTCAAGATTTGGCGCATTGTTTGCACGACAACGGCAGAAGAAAGAGGAGGAGGCGCTTGTTGGTGGTGGAAGTGGCACTGCAGCTTCGTCCCTTAATCACGTCGGATCCCCACTGCGCGAGTCCTCGCTTCATTTCATGTCGAGTCCAAATCTGCGTCCAATCGGCAGTCGACCCACGTCAGGAGATATTTCGCCATTTGTATCTAGCCCCACGAATCGTCATCAGTCTTCGATGTCTATGATATCGCAACAACTTCATAACATGTCGCTTCCGACAACAGGTTCTACACGACAACAGCAACCATCTCCTTCCAGTAACAATTACTCCTCATCAAGCACTACTCGATTCGACCGCATCCCTGCAACATCGCCCATGACATACGCCACAAGCCGCATTGACGAAGAAGAGCAGAGCGATCTCGTATTCTCCATGGAAGAGGAAGAAAGCAACAAACGGAATAGCGTTGTATGGAATAATCACCAGTCATTCAACCACAACAATAACGACGACAGCGGCAGCAAACCTACATCACCCTCCTCGTCGACCACCACTAAAGAGACGCCTATTCTATCGACGACAGCCCTTGAATATCAATCATAGCGTTTTTCCTCCTTTGTGCAATATATGTACGTATAAAAGAAAGGACAAGAAACATGGAGAAAGAGCAGGGGAAAAAAAGAAATCATAAAAGAAGATTTTACTCATGACGGCGTTTCCATTTTTCACTTCTTCCCTCCCCATTTCCATAAAGATATTATATGCTTCTCGCTTTCACGGTTCCATTCTGTTTTGTTTGACTTCGTCTTGATAATGACAAGCCTCTTATAATTATAAGGCGTACATTGGATTGGAAAGAAGATTTATTATTTTTTTCAAAAAAAAAAAAAAGATTGGGAAATTTGGAGGTTTTCCTTTTCTTTTCATGTCATTTTACTATTGGATGCGCACACATTACCTAGATAGATAGATATGCGAGAACATACTTCTATACATGACATGCATATATCTGATTTGAATTTCTATATTAGCATCAAGAATGGATGCCTGAGGTGTAAATCGAGGAGGCTTGAAAATCACGGGTCGAGCCGCAGACCCACGCGTACTACGTCGTTGGCGTGGGAGATCAGCATTATGGCTTTTCTATTTGTTCTTCTAATCCTACTGCGTTTTGTCGAACAAATAGGCTCTACATTTCTCCTATTCTATCTCTGGCGGATCCTTGCTCATACTACGACTATTATCTTTGTAGAGTAGTTTTGGCAGGTCTTCTAAAGACATCCATGGATGTACAGCATATTGGAATATAGACTGACATTTCCATTGCTTGCAGTCCTATCGCTGGCTTCAAGCAAAATGGCCAAACCTACTGCTAACTTCTAGGTTGATCATTAACTTCATGCATGCGGCCTAGCAATGCCATCCAAACAACAATGAGCATCAAAGGTCAAGTGGGAAGCACAGGTCTTAATCACACAAAAAAAAAGGCAGTTCAAAGCATGTCCACCTCATCCTTGGCTCCCTCCTGCTGGTCATCCTCACCTGTGGAATCGCTGCTCTCTTCGACGCTTTCAGGCACTCCACCCCATTCAATGTCGTGATCAATAGGCTTCAAGAAGAACTCATGCTGCAATGCCTGCCTCGCGGTGAGTCTTTTCTCGGGATCCAATTCCATAAGTCCCGAAAGCAGACGAATGGCCTGTTTCTCGCTCTCGGTCAGATCTTCCACACAGCTTGACCAAATGATGAGTTTCTCCCAGCTGTGGCCCTTCTCCCCAATTGTAGGAATGTTGGTCTCGAAAACCTGCCCATGCAAAGATGCGGCGTGTTTCATGCGTCGGTTGCCAAATATACTTGCCATCTCAACCAGGGCGTCGACATCGTCGGCGGAATTGAAGAATGGGAACCGACGCCCGAGGAATGTGAGCAGGATGACCCCGGCAGACCACATATCTATGGCTGTTGTTTGCGATGTGCACTTGAACAGCACTTCCGGCGCTCGAAACCCACGTGTCCCAGCTCGGTTGGCTCTTCGAGAGGGACGAGGGTCGTTTTTTGGATAGCCGTTTGGTAGGTGCATGGAGTGCGTTGTATAGTAACTCATGTGGATTTTATTTCGTCGCACTGACGGAGTATATGTGCAATAGCAAGGTCCGGCATAGTCAGATCCCATACGCTGTAGATTCATAGTCAGTTCACGTGTCTATCACGGATTGCATTTTCCTATGAAGCGAGTTTTTGCGTACCTCTGCTAGCCCAAAGTCCACTAGGACTCCTCGTCGCTGCTCGGGATTATAGAGGAAATTTCTGAGACATTGTCAGTTTTTTCTGAATGCATACATCAAGGAAGTATCTTCGTACGTGGGTTTGATGTCGCGATGCAAGATACCATGCTTATGAACAAACGCCAGCGCTGTAAACAGGGACTGAAAGTAATGACGCATGTCCCGTACTAAGAATGTGCGGTACTGAATGCGAAAATCTGTATGTGGGAAATATGGAAGAACTGCCACAACTTGGTCCTGGTGCCTGAAAGCTGTGATGAGCGGACAGACAGAGCGAGATCCTCGTAGTTGGTGTAGCAACTCCAATTCGTTCTGGATGCGGAGCGGGCTACTCGTAACATATATCTTTTTGAGCGCAACATATCGTGGCTTCTTCTTGCCATTACTCGGTACAGATTCCTTCAGATTGTCCCCTAGGCGGCGCTTCTTGGTTGGAGGAACCTCCCAATTCTTCTCGTCAGGATCATTGTCGATGTCCCAATCGTTCTGATAACCATCGTATAATAGATCTTCTGCTTTGTATACGGTGGAAAATGTTCCTTGGCGATGTCAGGTGCGTTAGCTTCACGTGTACTTCTGTTGTTGAAATGTCACGATAGAATAGACTATTTACCCTCTCCGATCCGATTGATCAGACGAAATCTTCTTGAGATCCCTCTAAAAGTACTCTCTAGTTTTCGCATATCCTCCCTGACCGATGCGTCAACTTTCTCACCCGCCTCCGTGTCCATGGTCTCGTCGGACTCGTGAGTCCTTTCTGTGTTATCGTCTTCACGCTTGGAGATGTTCGCCGGGTTGTCTTCTGGACAAGAGAATTTTTCAGCAGGGCGAGGGTTGGCTCGCGCAGCTTGGTTGGATACGGACCACTGCTTCATGAGCTTGGCCCTGTCCTCCTCCTCGGTTTCGTTTTCCGACGTGCCGTCCTTGAATCTCAAGGTGTACTCTGGATCGAATTTTTCTGCGGGGCGAATGTCGGCTTGCGCGAGTGGTTCCCCGTACATATTGCGACGCGATCTTATAGTGTAATAATTATCACGAGAGAATCATTTTTTGACCATCCAGTAAGCGCAGAAAAGTCACGGTTTGTAAAGAGCCCGAATATGGGAGCCGTTGACGCGCGCGCGCTTGTGACGTATCAATTGAAACTATCACCGACTCGGATAAGTTGTTTATCAGAGCAGCTAACTGAACTCCACAGCGACGGACGACAACAACAACAACAACAAAACAAACAAAACAACATAAACAATGCGATTAGCCAAGCAGTCGGCTTGCTATGGATTTATTGAGAATCTCAACGGCTGCCACGCTGTAAATAGCACGTTCTCATTAACTCTATATTAAACGGATCTGGATAACGACCACGAGAATCCTAACTTACTCGAGGTCGAAGTAGTATATAGTGCACTAAACGCTCCTCGCACCAATCACGCATCGACTCCCCTCTGAACATGCACGAATGGAATAATATCCAGGGTAGCCTAGATCTTAGTTAGATCTCCAGAGGAGAGAACTGTTCCATGTGGCATAACTAAATGAATTATGAATGTCTATGGCGCGCTTTCCCCGTCTCGGCTAGTCCCGGCTGGAAAGGGCAAAACCCAAACAAGCAACAACAGCGACTCCCCCCGCCTGCCCTTTCCGCCTCTCTCTCTCTTCCACCACCACGACTGTCACCAGCCATCGCCCCAGCCAACATGGAGGACAGGGTGGATTTCGACATCAATGACTCGCTCAAATACTACCTGAGCGACCCCGCCTCAGTGCCCACGCCCGACGCCGAGCCCGAGTTAGTCGACTGCGAAAATGAGACTGAGCTGCTCTCAATATCGCTCATCGACGGAGTCATCAACCCCATTGTCGATGGCGTCGTTGCTAACCCCGAAGCACTGATGCGGCCTTCGTTCTTCGATTCGCTGCAGGTTCTTCTAAAGTGCGCAAGATCCTTCGCATGGCTTGGCTTTGAACTGAACTGAACTGACCTTTGCAACTGGCAGATGCTGCACCGTGTTACCGTCGAAGAGTCTGAGCAAGATCCTCGATCTGATCGTGTCGGGGCTCGCTGTCGAAGCCGATATCATACATAGCGACTTGGAGGCCGACGAGCAGGAGGCTGTCCAACAACATAAGCAGCTACTGGAGATGTACGGCTTCTTGCTGCAATGGGCTCTCTCGGCCGTGGAAGTCAAGGCCGCCGAGAAGCCCGCGGCTGCCGCTCCTGCACGTCGCGCTGGGAAATCCGGAAAATCAAAGCAATCGGCCAAAGATGGAAATTGGGATTGGACAGCGCAAATACAGATTTCCATGGAGGTTATGTGCAAAGTGCTGAAACTGAAGCTGGGAAAGATTTTTCTAACAACCTCCGACCGAGACACTTTCGTCAATCTCTTCACCCGCTCAATATATCTACTGTTGGAAAACGAACAACGCGTAAAAAATATGGCCATTCGGATGCACGCTTTCAAAGTTCTATGTATTGCTGTGAAACACCATGGCCATGCTTTCGGTACGTTTGCGCTTTAGCGGGGAGGCTGTCTTTGCGGTTTCTAACAGATCTATAGGCGCTCAAACTTCCATCGTACAGAGTTTAACCTATTTCGAACACTTGTCTGAGCCAATGGCCGAGTTTCTTCATATCCTTGCAGAGCAATACGATTACACGCAATTAGGAGATGAGATTTTACGGTAAGAACCACTGTTATTTGAAAACTTAAGAACTCAACCTAACGTGTGCGACAGGGAGCTTGCAAATAAGGAATTCAATAGTAATGATACGAGAGGCCCCAAGTCAGTGTCTACTTTTATAGTGAAACTGTCAGAGCTGGCTCCCCGACTGGTCATAAAACAAATGACGCTGTTGGCAAAGCAGCTGGATAGCGAGGTATGAAAACTTCGAATTTCCACAAGACAATGGCTTACCATTAAACTTCTTAGTCATATACACTACGCTGTTCTATTATCGAAGTGTGTGGTAACCTAATCGCCGACCTCAGCAAAGAAGAAGAGAGAGGCGATAGCTCCAAGTCACAGATCAATGCGTTCTTTGATGTGCTCGAAGAACGCTTCCTAGATATCAACCCCTACTGTCGTTGCCGCGCAATCCAGGTTTATATGCGACTCTGTGACCTGGATCAAAAGTTTCCCAAACGCCGGCAAACAGCTGCTGAATTGGCAGCTAGAAGCCTCGAGGATAAGAGCAGTAATGTCCGAAGGAACGCCATCAAACTTCTAGCAAGGCTTGTGTCTACGCACCCCTTCAGCGTGATGCATGGTGGCCAGCTGGCATACGAGGACTGGGCCGCGCGTCTTGAAGCCGTCGATGCTGAGCTAAATGCTCTCAGACCTCCTCCGGAGACTCCAGGACTAGGCGAGACCCATATAGATAGTGAGCTGTTGGATGATGCGACGCAGCTTCCGGACGAATCTCCTTCAAAAGCACCAAGGATGACTGACGAGGAGAAAGCCGCCGCCGTACAGAAAGCTGCGGAGGAAGCTGCAACGTCAGAACTTCTTACGAGATTGCAGTTGACTCGCAAATACTATCTAGAAGCCCTACGTTTCATCCAAGTTTTACATTCAGCTTCACAAAACGTATGCCAACTCCTGTCAGCCCGCAACAAGAGTGAGGTCATCGAAGCCATGGACTTCTTCGTGGTCATTGATGCATACAAAGTGGAGACCGCCAGAACTGGGATTAGACGCATGTTACGTCTCATCTGGACCAAAGGAAATAGTGACGAAGGGAAGGGCGTCCAAACGCATCTGATTGACTGCTACAAGGGCCTCTTTTTCGATGCACCAGGTAGTTTCAGTGCGAACGATGCCGCAAATTACATTGCTCGCAACATGATCAGCTTAACTTTTGGTTCCACCCAGGCAGAGCTAACCTCACTTGAACAACTGCTGAGCACGATGATGAAATCGGGTCACATATCAGAAGCCGTCGTTGCCAAGCTCTGGCAAGTATATAGTGTACAGAGAAGGGAGATATCGAAGGCACAGAGACGGGGATCGATCATTGTACTCGGAATGCTTTCACTTGCTGACCCAGAGATCGTCGTGAGGGAAACAGAGGCGATGTTGCGCATTGGCCTTGGAGACCTTGGAAGGTCTGATCTTGTGCTTGCGCGATATACCTGCGTCGCCTTGAGGCGAATGGCCCCTGGCCGTCAAGCTAAGAATAAAGAAAATGGTATCGCCAAGTTGCCTAACGATCATCCTGTACTGGCCAAATTGGCAGCAATTACAGAAATTTCATCGGACAGCAAAGAATGGTACGGAGTAGCGGAACAAGCAATCAGTGCTATCTACGCACTTTCGAAGCACCCAGATGTCCTGTGTTCTGATATCGTTCGGCGAAAGACAAGGGCCGTTTTTCAAGCAAGCGCTCGCCAATCCCCTAGTCAAACAATGCTTGAAAATGCGGATCAACAACCGTCTACTGCAAATAGCGAGGCTTCAGCAACGACTTCTAAAAGCACGTCCTCCGGACTGTCTCAATTGCTCTTTATAGTCGGCCACATTGCTATCAAGCAGATAGTCCACCTCGAGCTATGTGAGCTTGAATTTAAGAGGAGAAAGGCAGAGCAAGAGAAAAACAAAACAAGCAATGCAGACTCTCAGCAGAAAGACCAGGAAGATGACAACGAATTAGATCTCATTGGCGGAACAACGGAAGATGATTTCACAGAGGCCATGGCACACATTCGAGAGCGAGAACTTCTCTACGGGGACAGCTCCCTGTTAACCAATTTCGGCCCTCTGGTGACCGAAATTTGTGCCAACAACAATGCTTATCCCGACCCAAATCTCCAAGCTGCTGCGACGTTATGCATGGCCAAGCTGATGTGCGTCTCTGCAGAGTATTGCGAGAAAAACTTGCCACTTCTCATCACAATTATGGAGCGTTCTGAGGATCCTATTGTTCGCAGCAACGCAGTCATTGCTCTGGGAGACATGGCAGTATGCTTTAACCACCTAATTGATGAGAACACGGACTTCCTCTACCGACGTCTAAACGATGGCGAAGCCTCAGTGAAAAGAACGTGTCTGATGACATTGACCTTCCTCATTTTAGCCGGACAAGTCAAGGTCAAGGGACAATTGGGCGAGATGGCCAAGTGTCTTGAGGACGATGATAAGCGGATTGCAGACTTGGCACGCATGTTCTTCACCGAACTGGCGACCAAGGATAACGCGGTTTATAATCATTTCGTTGATATGTTCAGTCTCCTGAGCTCGGAGAAGAATATCGAAGAAGGCTCACTGAGACGAATCATCAAGTTTCTTGCTGGCTTTGTCGAGAAGGTACTTTTCTCCTTCCCATTCCCCACCTTTCGGTACCCTTTTGCATCTCCATCCAGCATGATTAGATACTGACAACTGACAGGAAAAACACGCCAAACAACTTGCCGAAAAGCTTGCTGCGCGTCTCGGACGCTGCGAGACAGAGAGACAATGGAACGATGTGGCATATGCATTGTCATTACTGCAACATAAGAACGAAGAAATCACAAAGACAGTTGGGGCAGGTTTCCGAGTTGTCACGGCGAGTGCATAAGATGGTGTTTTGTTTTCATGGTATTCTTTTCCTTTTCGCACTTGGTCAATTCGGAGTTTTAGGGCAGGCCAGGAAGGGTTCCGGCATCATGCATGCACGTGTACAGTTTAGATTTCTATGGGTTTCAGAGTAATTGAATGATGATTCTGTGTGGGAGGGATTATCAGTCCTGACTCCTTTGACTGCAGTGATAGTTGTTCTAAGCCTCCGAGGTAGTTGAAAGCCAAGTCGATTTTAGCCTAATGCGGCACAGCACGTTGCGATTGTTATCTTCCACGCAATGGATAAGCCACACAAGATGCATGACTAGGAGTAGGTAGGTTATCTTTCATTTGCTGCTGCTGCTTTCTTTTCTTTTCCTTTCTTTTTCCAGCTAATAATCCTTGTACCCAGACAAGGCTGGCGGAAAGGAGAAGTCCCCTTCCCCAGCACCCACAACTTTGAACATGCAACACTTTTATTGTCCATCTGACACATATCAGATTCCTGGACAATGCCAAATCGTCGCGTCCCGTGGAAAAAAGAAGACAAAGAGATTTTGTTTGCTCGTCGCAAGGAGTACGCCCACTTGACCGTGGCAGAATTTACACAGGTCTCTCTCTCTTTCCTTCATCCAAAGAGTGCTCAAACACGCAGAAATATTTACAGCCTTTCCAGAAATTTTACCCAGAGCGCACTGCTAAAGCGATAGGTCAAACCCTTTGGGTAAGCCCCGTTCATTCCTTGCCCCAAAATCCGTCTGTTTTATGGGGTTTGTTGACTATGAACCGTGTAACCAGCTAGCGAGTAAAAGAAAAGGGAGACTTTCGCAAAGTGGCAAAGCTGGGATGAGTGTAGGTCATAACCTTGACTTTGATCTTTGTCAAGATTCTTTTTTTTCTTTTTTTTCTTAACTCGCGATGCTAGCTGGATGCTGTGACTGCTACTACTACTACTCCTCCTTCGACGAACGACGACGACGACGACGACGACGAAGAAGACGAAGTAGACTCTAGCCCAGAAGAGCAAAATGAGGATATTTCATTCATGGGAGAGCGAACTCCCAACAAGGTACCACCTCTCTGTTTGCGACAGTACATTAATAGCGGCTCAACTAACATTTGCATGTTATTGTAGCGTATCAAACGGACCTATTCCACAAGGTCACAGGCATCTCTAGACAAGCCTCAGGATCCACCTATCGTTAGATCTCAATCAAGTGAATATTCACAGCGCTTGGATAATTCTTCGCTGATGTTATCACTGCGAGCTGGTGGAAGGCATAGTACAGAGTATACCAGTCCCTACCAGATTCCACAGACGAACACATTCGATACGAATCCTAGCTTTTCAGCACCCCCTCCAGCTCCTACTCTCTTTGAAGAATTTATCGCGCAAGGACAGACGCAGAACCTTCACCAAGAGGTACAACATGAGAAGGAAAGCGAGCAGCCGCAACCCCAAAATCAAGCGGCACAAGGCACCGTAAAGGAAGAAAACGCCCGCTCACCATCCGAAATCAGAAGGCAATTTGCCCAAGTAAACGCAGCATTATATCCGATCCTGGAGATGGCGTTATCTCGCAGCGAAGCTAGCGATACGGAGAAAGTGCGTATAGAGAGCGAGCTTCTCGCTCTTCAGAAGCAATACGAGTCAATGCAGACAGATAAAGATGGTCAAATCTCCCAGTTGCAGGGAGAAATTGATCGTTACCGGAACGAAAGAGAGAATTGGCTGAATGGACAGAAAGAACAGGAACGCCTGGTGAATGAGAATGCGGACTTGAGAAGTAGGCTCCGTAAGTTGGCATCTGATGCTACGCAGGGACTCTAAGGATTCGAAAATCTGTTTGCTGGATGAATAGTTTAATTGATCTCTTCTTGAACATGACTTGTGATACCACTATGCAATCCATTATGTTTATATTCAATATGAAATATGAGGATAACATGGGGGTGACCAAAAGTTAGGAACGGTTGATGTTTTAGTGTATATGTAAGGCAAGAATAACGCCTAAGCAATGAAAAAGGATTCCTGATCCTCTCTAAACAAAACAAGAGGGCATATCATAGTATATCATGTTGATGTGTCGATGTTGACGTCTAACTAAATACGTAGTGCAGGGTAATTCTTGTTAAGCACCGAGAACTTTACTCTCCTCTAGCTCAAAATCCCCTCTATAAAGTGCCTCCAGGACCTGTTTCCCATCATCTGTCAAAGCCGGTTTCCCAAGGGGAGTAGTTGCATCCGTGAAAAATCTCGGCTTCCACCGTTCATTTGCCGCCTCTCGGTTTGCCGCTTTGGTTCGTTGGCGCTCTTCAATCTCCTGTTTCAGCTTCGTGGCTTGACTGTATTGTTTATCTAGGATGGAGCGAGTTACGCCGGACCAGAATTTGCGGGATTCATTGCCCAGTTGAACTTCCTCGGGAGGGACAACTTTTTCAGCAGGGAATAAAGGGGCTAGATCGATTAGAAGATGTTTTTGCTGTTGCTGGTCTTGCGAGCTAGTGCTGGAGTTGGTACTGGAACCGGAGCCGGAGCCGGAGACAGGACTCGCAAGTGTGAAGTAGACTTGTTCACGCCAGCAACCACTGATGCGAGCCAGCACATCGCTTGATGGCACGTCCTTGACTTTGGTCTTGTTATCGTTGTCCGGGTCGTATTTGAAGATCACCCCCTCAACGCGATTCTGTGCTCGTCCCACCCAACCATCTTCTAAATACTGCAAAATGACTTTGATCCGAGTTTTGGGGCATGTTATATAGCAATTATCTGCGACCGAGATGTAAAGGGAACCGCGCAAAAGACCACTCAGATGGGCCAATGGGTGTGTGAGCTGATATTCTTCGTTGTCCCGTTTTGCAAGAGTCACGAATATGCCGAGATTGTGCTGACCGGGACCAACACGGATACTTGTTCCTGTGAATTTGGCACTTAGCTGGTCGAATCCCCGAGCCGAGACACCGCGCTCTGGGCAGTCGATATAGAAAGCAGACACCGGGGGATGGTGTGATGTTTGCTCTGTAAGAAAGCAGACTTTGGCAGGCCCGTTGTTTTCGTTTGTCGAGCTCGCAGTTTCATTTGTGGTGGTGGGCGGAAGCACTGGTGTTGGTGCGGTATCGACTTCCCAGTAGGCCTGTTGCAAGCCCGTTAGCTGAATACAATAACGGTACATGTTCGCTATAAAGGAATTAGATACCCTAAAAAACTCGCCGAGAGTCGAGTTGTACGGTTTGCACGGCTTGCCTTTGATATATTTCTATCCATTCATAGATTAGCAAGTGAGCCACTCGACAAATAATAAACCAGACACACACATACCAAATCTTTTGTGAACCAGAACCGCAAGACCTCCAGCATACGGCCGAGCTCATCATCGGATGTACCAATACTAGCGAGATGTTCGTTAGCATGCTGTTTTGCGAAGTTTCTCATGCCGAGCTGTTTACCTTGCAAAAGTCTCAGGCCGGTCCAAGTAGTTCCAGTACTCTATTGGCAAGGGTCAGCAGCAATCCACCCGCAAATCACATCCGCAAGTCTGTACCTAAGTTAGGCGTTGGTTCTAGGAGTTGTGCTGGCAGTGAAAATCGCACGGAAGCTATATCTGCAACTCCAACAAATCTATGGTGCCAGGTTAGATCGATCTTATGTGTATCAACTTTTTGGGGGGCGACAAAATCAAAGATGCGCCTGATTTGCAGAGCGGTCGTACTTGCGGAGTATAGATAAGAATGTCTTCAGCTTGGAAGAATCATCGTGACCTTTCTCGGCGACAACAGCTTTGGAGTCCGGATTGCCACTCATGCTGGTTGTATTTCGGCGATTCTTGCAGCGTGCGTGCGCAGGATCGAAATCGTTTCGCAATACCACTCTGCTGGACTGGGTGTCAGTACGATGGAGATAACGATATGTAGCGATAGCGATAAAGACGTTGCGAACTGCGGGATACGCACACGTTGGAAGAACAAGGTAGAGAGCGACTTGAGTTACCAGCCCGATAGTTGACTTGACAGGAGGACGAGAATGCTGGAAGCAGCAGCTGGCTTTGTGGAGTTCTGTCTCTGAGCGGTGAGGTGCGAAAGAAGCTGTGTTCTCGCCTTCGGCCCAGAAATATTAATACGGGTCAAGCACGGTCGATCGATGGCGCTCACTCACGGACTCTTGCACGCACACACTACTTTGCAGAAGCACAAGGTACGCAGGCAGATTCGTCGTCGACTAGGCCCGTGAAGGGAGCGCACGGCGAGGGAATCGACGTCGAAGCCATCTGCGGTCGTTATTTATCGTGGATGAACTTGGCAGGTGGCGGGCGATAAGCACCGGCGACGGCTGTACAGCGCGCCCAAGCCAATCAGCTCTGCACGAGGCGCCTTACTACGACAATACTTACTGTATGGCATATTCACTCTGTTCTATTCATGTTTCTATACTTATATATACTTATATATACGGATCTGCCGCCTCAGCCGGCCTCGCCAAAGTCGTAATGCCCCGTCTTCGATGCATGCTCTGTTGCTCCCTTCTCTCCAATGAACAGCCCGCCACACGTATTACAGCGGATCTGGAACGTCGCCGTGTTTGTGTAATAGTGTCTTTTCTGGAGCGTGCGACACAGCTCGAGCGCCTTCTCGAGGATGACCGGGTCTGCCGCGTCGAATATGCGCGTGTCAAAGTCCGGCGGCGCGTATGCATGGGCGAATGGAGGATCCGATGGGGACAAGGCAATCATATCGTAATGTATTCCAGAGTAGACGACAAAGCAGCGCGTAGCCTGCCCTTCATTGAAATGATCCACCCGCAGTGTCTGCACGTCGATCGAACAGATTTCAACCCCAAAGTGCTTGCTGAGGATGTCGAGTTCTATAGCGCCACCCCAGGCATCTTCACTCTGAATCCATCGGCAGTAATCGTCTGCTCTCTTGTCAAGCACCACGTCGCTGTAGACCTCGGGCTGTGCTTGGATGGTCTGGGCCACGATCGAGCGTAATTCCGTCATTGTATCCATTCCTCCTATGACCGCAGCACCAACTGCTCGAAAAAGGCACGAATTATCGTCCGCCATGATGCGCAGCACCACAGTTCCTGCGTGTTCGGGGGATGGTACTTCCGGTGGTTCAGTATCGGCTTCCGTTGTACCGTGTAACGGGGTTGCAGTTGACTGTGAAGCAGATGAAGCAGGACCTTTCGAGTAGTCTTGCGAAGGTGCTGGCTTTGGTGCAACATCAGTGGTTTTCCCTGCAGAGTCGCCTTCTTCTTCTTGTTGTTGTTGTTGCTTACTATTGATGATCAACTGTTCCCCGTTCAGATTCACGCCTACATCGGTAATCTTTTGTGCGGGGTCGTATCCCTCGATCCGAAGGGTTTGTAAATTCGGGTAGCCATATTTGATCTCAAAAGCAGCAAGTCCAGTGGTATCTTTGACGAGATTTATAAACTCGGCCACGGTGGTGCTTGGCTCAAGCGTGATAGTGCTCTGTCCGGCGGGGCCCCGGACTCTCACTCGCATTTTCCGATCAAGATGGTGGACTGAACAAATTATTCGCAGGAATTTAAGGTGGCCAGGGTTGGGCGTGAAAGATGAAGGCCTTCCCCTTTGAAAGTAGGTGAACTGGAATGCAGGATGATGCCCGAAGCTGGAGGGGCAGGCCCGTTGACTATATGAGACAGAGTAACTAGTCGGGGGTGGCGGATAATAGCCAATAGCTGACTGACACCCTATGATATAGTTGAAAGATTAGCTCTCTAGAATAAAAGTAAAGAGAGTAGACACGAAGGTTGAACTATATGAAGGAGTATGGACGTCTCATTTTCTAAGCAATGCTATGTATTCTGGCGCTATTCCCGTTTGGGAGCACAGCTTAATCGCGGCGCTAAATTCCTTCCGTCGCGACGAGACCCTTCGTGCCTTCCTCTGCGAATTGCAGCTCTCAACATCGACCCAACAACAACTAAAGCATTCGCGACAGCTGAGCTTCTGACTTTGTAGTGTGTCACTCGTCTGAGATTGTGGACTGGGCTGGCGCACGAGAATTCGCGATCATGTCGGGAGAGGCGCCCGAGGCGCAAGCTGCGAGAACCGAAGCCGAGGAGCCTGTCCAGTCGATCGAAAAGGACGGCGAAGGCAGGGAAAATGAGAGCGATGGAAGGACACCAGGCGCGGCCAATGCTACAGCAGCTACTCAAGCAACCAGCCAAGTCACTGGCGAGCAATGGAGGTCCATGATGGATGTTGTCATGGCAATCTATGATATCCGCGAAGAAGAGTTGGTCCTACTCTTATCTCTATATCTCGCTGTAATTGGGAGTTGGGAAAGCTAACCAAGTACTTTGCAGTGGCCATGACCCGTCGAGACTCTTCCATCGCAGTGTCAACAAACGACATGTGCCCGACTATTACGATATCATTAAAGAACCCATGGCGCTGAGCATCCTGAAGCAAAAGATTAACAAGCGCGAGTATAACAGTTTCGAACAGTTTGTCCGAGACTGTGCATTGGTAGGCGCATCTATTTTGGTCTAATTCGTACTGTTGAGTTTTACTAATAGTTCGACTAGATCACACACAATGCGCAGACTTACAACAGACCCGAATCGCAAGCTTACAAGGATGCGCTTGTGATCAAGGTAATTATTTGCCAAGCTTATGTCGGTGTGCGAAACAGAATCTGACCGGGTGTCGCGTACTTAGGACGCTTTCATTGCGGAGTTCAAAAAATTAATAGACAGCGGAATCATCACAGCCGAAGTAGCGGAGATGCCAGATCTAGGCGAAATCCCGGAAGCTGATCCTTTGCCCCTTGAGGACGAAGAGGATGATGACGATGACGATGAAGACGACGAAGATGACGATTCTGATGATGGACAGCGAAGACGAAGACGCGGTCCACGATCGGGAAGGAAAGACGATTTGCAGAATCTGAATGATCCCGACGCTCGGAAGAAAAGAGGCCGACCTCCTCGTGTCGACACACCGATGGAAGCCAGAATCAAGGCTGTCTTGAAGGGCCTACGAAAGTTCAAAGATCCTAGCGGTCAGCTCAAAGTACGCCACTTTGAGAGATTGCCAGATAAAGCAATGTATCCGGACTATTTCATGGAGATCAGGGAGCCGATGGCAATCGACCTTATCAAACGAAAGTCAAAACGAAAGAAGTTCCACTCGGTGGATCACTTCATGCGAGATGTTGACTTGATGTTCAACAATGCCAAATCATACAACGAACCGAACAGTCAAATCTTCAAGGATGCCGTGGACCTCCAAGTGGAGGCGCACAAATTGGCCGAACAGGAGAAAAGGAAGCCTGATAGTGAATACTTAATGGAGGATGGTCGCTTGCCTTTGCCAGCAGGCATCGAATACAAAGGAGAGCTTTGGAAGGTGGGCGATTGGGTGCATATCCAAAACCCGAACGATGTGACAAAACCAATCGTCGCTCAGATTTACCGAACATGGCAAGATTCTGAAGGCGAAAAGTGGGTTAATGCTTGCTGGTACTATCGACCTGAGCAAACAGTGCATCATTTTGAAAAGCATTTCTTCCCCAATGAAGTTGTCAAGACAGGTCAATATCGTGACCACCGCATTGACGAAGTCGTCGACCGTTGCTTCGTCATGTTCTTCACTCGGTATAATCGAGGCCGGCCACGAGGCTTCCCGCCTGACAAAGATGTGTATGTGTGCGAGGCGCGCTATAACGAAGAAAAACATAAATTAAATAAAATCAAAACCTGGGCCAGCTGTTTGCCAGACGAGGTCCGCGAGAAGGACTACGAGATGGATCTCTTTGATGTACCGCGGCGCATCAAGAAAATACCGAGCCCCATCAAACATCTCTTACCTGCCGATGCCAAAGAGACGGATGATGTACCTAAGCCTACGTGGGGGGCAGAGAAAGCACCCCCCTTGGTAGGCGCAGTGCATCGGCGTCCGCGAGATGAAAATGTGAGTTACAGAGTGTGCTTCTGACGGTTAAACCAAAAAAAATTTTGGAATGAATATTGACTAGGCATAGGAATCACCACCTCCAGAGCCCACGCCATCGCCCCCTCCCCAACCCATGATGCATCAACCAGGCCTTGTCGCTACCCTACCTCAACAGCCCCCCATATCACGACCGCCAACTCGACAAGACGGTCTTAGTGAAAGCGCATTAGGGGCTGTCAGTAACGTTGCGCCCGTGAGGTCACCGGCGGTTGGAACATCGCTTCCGACGATACCAAACCTTCCTAGTAGTATTCCGGCGCAGCCATATCAACCCCAGGCAATACCCAGTCCTGCGGCTTATTACCAACCTTTACAAGCACGCACCGGGAGCTTTTCTGCGCCGTCAACACACCCAAGCACATATCAGCCTCCACCAGTACAGGCGGCGCAGTCCCCTTATCCGACAACACAGGCCTCGCCGTACGCAGCACCGAGCCGCTTTCCACCTAATTTACCGCCAGCACCTCCATACAATCCCAATGCACCGCGACCTATCGAGGTGTTCCATCTGAGTGACATTGCGAATGCAGCAATTCCGACAGAAGTGCGGTCTCAATTCCATTGCGACGATCATGGGCGGGTCTTGTTCTTCTCGACTCCGCCAATGGACATGGTGTCTACGGAGAAGAAGCAACTAGGTCATTCGCTGAAGTATCTGGCCGCTAAAGCAGCGAAAGAGGAAAAACGCAAACGGCGACAAGAAGAAGAAAGCGAACAGCGCATGTCGTTGGATAATGATGATGATGAACAGAGAACAACAAAACGCACTCGCCTCGAAGAAGAAGAAATCGACCCTTCGCGAGTGCGCAAACTAGTGGAGAAGACACTGGCACTTGTCGCGAATGATATCTCCGCTGGTACCGATGGGCTTTACAGGACACTTTATGGGGACAACAAAGAACTCGCGACAGAGATACAAACAGCAGATCGCAAACAGCACGAACAAAACATTCAAGCTCATATACTTGCTCAAAGGACGGTCGACGAAATAAATGCCCAGACGATTGACGATTTGGCGCCAAGGGTTAGTGATCTTAAGCGTGGAGGAGTCTACTTGGAGGATGTTAATTAATATTTCGGTCTCTTCTTCTCTGATGTAACAATAGAAGTCACTATCTAGGTATTGGGTCTCCTTAGTGTTAAGAGTAGGAAGCTTTGGCTAGGGCAGAATTACTTAATGATGAGCGCGTGTTTTGCCTCTTTCCTTATCTTATCCACCCCGCCTCCGCCTCTCCCCAGCGCTCGCTCTCTCTCCTCTCTCTTCTCTTTGAAGATCTTATGATAACTATCAAAAAAAAAAAAAGAAAAAAAAAAAAAAAAACCTCTGAACAACAAACAATACAAAGCTGCTTGTACCACGTGCAATACGCGCTCTCCTCACAATTCACTGTGGCTTTCGGTCGGTTCTTCAAGAGGCACTTCAGCATGGCCTGGTTCTGTTCAGGCACGAGCAACACCGAGCTCATCGAGAATCTGTACAGTGCAGGCCTCATCAAGAATGCACGAGTGAAAGAGGCAATGCTTGGTGTGAGCATCACCATACCCCCATGCTAATTTCAATTCAACTTCTGCATTTGTTATGACTGCTATACTTGTTTTTGAGGTTTGCCTTGTAAGACATATCGCATCGGCCATGCTAACAAACAGGTATCTTGCTTTTCACAATCTTATTTGTCAAGGTCGATCGAGGTCATTATGCTCCGTCTAGTCCATACTCTGACTCACCTCAAGCCATCGGCTACGGTGCAACAATCTCCGCGCCTCACATGCACGGCCATGCCTGCGAATACCTGATTGACTACCTGCATCCTGGCTCGCGCGTGCTAGACATTGGGTCTGGATCCGGATACTTGACGCACGTCATAGCCAACCTAATAACAGACCGGTCTTCGCCGCCAACGGATGCTGACGGTCACGTAATCGGCATTGAGCATATACCAGAACTGGTTGATCTGGCGCGAAAGAACATGGGTAAGTCGGAGGATGGGCGAGGGTTTTTGTCTTCGGGCAAAGTGCAGTTCATTACTGGAGACGGTCGTCAGGGTTGGAAAGAAGGCGGTCCGTACGATGCTATTCATGTAGGCGCTGCGGCTGCAAAATTGCATTCGGCCCTCGTTGACCAGTTACGGGCTCCCGGTCGAATGTTTATTCCTGTCGAAAGCGAGACCCCCGAAGGTGGTCTGAGTCGCTTAGGAGTGGGCAATGGGCAATATATATGGGTCGTGGATAAGAAAGCCGATGGTTCAGTTCAGAAGGAGAAAGTTTTCGCAGTCAGCTACGTACCGCTCACAGATGCACCACCCGGCTGAAGGGTTCAACTCGTATGATAGATGATCAACCAAAAAAAAAAAAAAAAAAAAAAAAAAAAAAAAAAAGAAAAAAGAGAGAGGGAAGAAAAAGGAAAAAGAATGAAAAGGTAAAAAAAAAAAACAAAACGTAACAACAGATAGTGCTATTAAATGAATTTTCACCGTCGTATATAACCTAAAAATGAGGGACTGTTCTCTTCTAAACACAAGCTAGCAACAAAATCGTTTTATGAAATTGTCTAGATAATATATCGACTAAAACCCTGGGAAATTAAACGACTGGCCTGAGAATTTAAAGTGGGAGTTACCCCCCTGTTGGAAGAAGAATTGTTGACCACCACCACCACCTCCTCCTCCTCGTCCAGCACCAAATGGATGACCGTGGAATGGATTACCACCTCTTTGAGACTCGGGATCATTCGGATCATCGCCACTATCATAGCGAGCTCTCAGCTCCGGATCCGAAAGGACCTCATATGCCTCGTTGATTGCCGCCATCTTCTTCTCGGCATCTTCCTTAGAGACGCCTTGCGCCATGGATTTATCAGGATGATGAAGCTTAGTGAGCTGTCGGTAAGCCCGTTTGATTGTCCGATCGTCGGCGTCGCGACTAACTTCGAGAACTTTGTAGTAGTCCTTTTGCTTTGACCTCTTTAATAGGACCTGAGCCTTTTGTAGCAATTCCTGCACTTCTCTTGAACCCTGGTGATGGTCTCTGGCGACTTGTAATGTTTGGATGGCCTGCTCAAACTGGTCTTCATCGATTTGAGACTGGGCTTGATATAACAGTGCATGCAGGGAATGTGGTTTTAATCGTAAAGTATCGGCACAGTAGCTCTTCGCTTTTTTCGAGTTCATCTGGCGGGTGTCTCCAGTTAATACAAATAAACAATGTCAATCCAGTCCCAAAACCCGAAGTGTACTCACAGCTCTATATACTTCACAAGTAGTCTCGATTAAAGACGTGTATAACTCATCAGGCGCATTAGGGTGAATGAATCCTGCTTCACGAGCCTCTTTCACTTCTTCCTCGACATCACTAATCATGCCGCTCTCGTCGGCGGTTCCCACTAAAAGGTTGATGGCGTTGGTAAATTTCCGTTTCTCCATGAATTCTTTTAGTCGGTCAAGACTCTTAACATGCTGCTTTTCTGTACGGAAGAGCCGACTGCACGACTTGGAGTCTGGATCTGAGTGAAGGCATTTCCGGATCTGCGCAATGGCGCGTTCAGTATCACCCAATGCGTAGAACAGTGTCGATGATATTTGCAAGTGAGGCTCGACAGAACCAGGAGAAATTTGTAGTATATGCGCCAGATCACCAAGGGCTTCCTGGATGTCGCCCTTCTCGAACCGGCAATGCGAACGAGTTCGTCGGAGACTGAGCGCCGCGTTTGCCTTCATAATAGCCACAGTAGCCTGCGAGACACACGTTTCCCAGTCACCTTTTGCCTCTGCCTGTTGCGCCACTTTTTCGGCAGCTTGCGCCTCCTCAAGCTCCGCGTAATCTGGGGATGATTTCTTGCCGGCTTTGGCAAGATCGTCTTTTGCTCCCGTCCAATCCGCGGTTTTGGCTTTGATTCTAGAACGCTGCAACAAGGCACCGTCAAAGTCTGGCTTTAGCTCCAGCACCCGGTTGAAATCATCGACCGCCTGCGTGTCCCGCCCCAGGGATAGATATGTAGCGCCTCGTTGGAAGATGGTCAAGTAATTCGTTGGGTCTCGAGCGACCGCGGCGTCAAAATAGGCCAGGGCATCGCGCGGAGAGCCAGTCGCAAGATGCGATTTCGCCGAGGAGATCAGCGATGCCACCGGTACGTCTGCGGGAATGTCTGCTTGTAGGGAAGAACCGGCGGCCGCGCATGCCAGCAGAATGGCAAATTGCTTGGTGGGCAGAAGCATCTTGTATTTTCGTGTTCGTATCTGTATATGTATAAGTGCTAGGGAGGTGGCAGCGACCGATCGGACCCTGATGAGCACACTCTTCACATTATCATCATCGTCATCATCACCACCGTTGTTGTTGTTTCAGGACAAGTTGTTGCAACGATGCTTTATTGGATACGTGTAATTATGCGTACCGCCCTGCGTATCATTGGCCCGCGATAAGATCGGGTTATCACGTGCCAGGAGTTGCAATACATATGATTGGCTGAGCTGCCCAGTGGGTCCATTATGCTCTAACAGGCAGTCGAAACGGTAATTACGGTATATCTCGACTGTCCCAACACTAGCAGCAAACACGTAGATATGTTCTTCAGGAGCTTTTCGATATGCACAAGATGTCTGCGAAACTCAGTTGGGCTTCTAGAAGGCCGCTCTCCCATGCTACAAAAGCGGTTTCAGTCTTCAGGTATGTGTTTGTTCTTTCTCGCTTTTGCGCTCTAGTTATAGAGAAAAGAAAGAAAAAACCCTCCTTCCAAGAGCTGACATCCTCACTGCAATAGCTTCTAGTTTGTCCAATGCGTTGCTCAATCGAGCTCGATCAATTGCACAGGAACATGACAAACTCAGTCAACTCCTCGGGGAGTCCTTCGATTCCAAAGTCGCAAAGCGCATGGGCGAACTGGCACCCGTCGCCCAAGCTGTGAAAGATTGGGACAAAACACAGGAAGTGGGTTCTAGTCCATAATCTTGCCCTGTTCTAATGGAAAACATGGAACTGACTGCTTGGTTTTCCTTTCGGTATGCAGGCCATTACAGAATTGAATCTACTCATTGGAGATCCCGAAACTGACTCCGAATTGAGATCGCTCGCTATCGAAGACCTGGAACAGACCCAAACGCAGCTTCCAGTTGTATCCGAGCAACTCAAAACTTCCTTGATTCCACGGCATCCTTTTGCAGGTCTCCCGTGCCTTCTCGAGATTAGACCGGGCGCAGGCGGCGATGAAGCTGGACTTTTCGCCTACGACCTGCTAAGGATGTACCTATCGTTCTGCGCGCGGCGGGGACTGCGCACATCGATTGTGAAGCAAGACATGGAAGAAACTACAGCAAATGACCGCATCACGGAGGCAGTAGTCGAAATCGAAACACCAGGCAGCTATGAAATTTTAAGGTCTGAAATCGGTGTGCACAGAGTTCAAAGAGTGCCTGCTACAGAGACCAAGGGGCGCACACACACCAGCGCAGTCAGTGTGATGATACTACCCAGTTTCCCGGAAACGGGGTCAGGAGGCGGCGACGAGGCTCTAAATTTCGAAGATCCGAATAGCGACTACTACGTTAACCCGCAAGAAGTGCGATCCGAGAAGATGCGTGCCAGTGGTGCTGGCGGTCAACACGTCAACAAAACCGAGTCTGCAATTCGATTAACTCATCTTCCAACAGGCCTCACAGTCTCCATGCAAGACTCAAGGTCTCAGCATGCAAATCGCAAAAAGGCATGGCAGCTCTTGCGCGCGAAACTCGCCGAAAGGAGACGAGAAGCTCGCGAGGAAGAGATGGTCCAACTTCGAAGGGGCGCCATGGGCGGTGTTGCAAGAATGGGCCGCGGTGATAAAGTCCGCACTTACAACTTCAGTCAGAGCCGATGTACAGATCATCGCAGCGGCACCACCGTACATGACCTCGACAGCGTTCTTGATGGTGGGCATGGACTGGAGACCGTCATGGACAGCGTCCGCACATGGCTTGTTGACCGTGATATAGAGCTGATGATGGTAGATCAAGGAGAAAAACTATAAAAAGTACTACTACTACTACTACTACTACTACTACTACTACTACTTGAGAACCACGCCAGAGGTGAAATCATCTTCTTTTTGTATATTAGATGTACAATATTACTTTTATCTCTTGTGATTGCTTGTTCCTTTGTGAATATCTAGCGGATTAAGACCAATTGCTACAAAACACCTCGGTAAGGCTTCAAATCTTGCGTTTTGGTATTGTAATTTTTTATTCTTCAAATGTATTTTCGTTCCGGGTCCACTGTATCCAAGGCTTCCATCGTTTTCTCGTACCTTTTGATTTGCAATTCATTGTTAGCATCGTAACCATTCATCAAGCTATATAGTAAATGTCATGATTAGGGGTCAACACAAACATTGTGAAAACGATTCCTCCACTGAGAATCAAGCGCGCAAGACGTGGCAGAGCTCCAGACCAGAGAGTGAAGACTCCTTCATTCTTCACTATCTTTGCAGCACAGACAAAGCTGTTTTTATAGTTCTTGCTTGCTTCCAGGGATTGCATTCTATCGTCTTGTCAGATCTGACAGAATAATACCATGAGCCAAATTGAAAAGCGCAGTTTGACATACCTTGTCTTTATCGTGTCAAGCGGTTGCGTTGCATATCTAGTCATATGTGTAGATGGTAAGCAGACTCAAACTTTGAAAACTGTTTATAAGAGCACCTCTCATGCTTACACTGTGATCAACCCGGCAACGCCTCCAATGGCAAAAGTGCTAGCGGTACCCAGCTTCTCGCCGGGTGCGACATAGCCCTGCGCAAACTGCTTCAAGGTAGTATAACTTGAGAACCTGACAGCCGAGTTCGCGGCCTGGCGTGCGGTAGTGGGCACAAGTCCCTGGAAGAATCCCCGGATACCACGTTCTTGGGCAATGATTTTGCTTCCATGGAGGAACCCGTGCATTCGCGGGTTGGCGGCTTTGCGGTCGTCGATACTATTGAATCGCATACAGTTAGCCATGGAAACAGAGTTTCTTTATCACAATCTTTAGAAGAACATTCAAATCCTCACAGCTGGGTTTTTATGCTCTCAAACGGCGTCACGGCAAGGATAGACTCTGTAAAACCAGCTCCGAAGCCCGCAATAACGGTCATAGGGCCAGAGATATGGCCATTTTCATCCTGAAGTAGGGCCTTGAATTTATCGAACGCCACGAATCCTATTCATATGACATATGTGTAAAACGTTAGACCCTCTTCTTGGCTTTCCTCGCCCACAACGAATTCACAGGCGAGTGGACTCTTACGTATTCCGGCCTTCAAGGAATTGCCGATAATCAATGTCGTACATCCAGCATACCACTGAGCACCAAACGGCGGCCAAGGAAGCTTCTTGCCATCAGGCAATCGGCGGTTGAGCTGAGTGCGTGTCTTTGCAACTAGGGGTCGGCGCTTGGGATCAGCATGGCGATATCATTCACAGTATCTCGGTCCATTTGTTGTAGGTTCAGGCGAAGGAAGAGAAAGGGAACGTGGGGGGG